AATCCGACTTCAACTTTTTAATGTATTTCTACAGCCTTTTCCTAATAAATATTATGAAACTTTAAAAGAGCCCGTCTTCATTTGCACAAAACAGTCATTGCAGTTTGATATTGTCAATTCGACGCAGAATCTGCTCGAGCTCCTCGATCTCGTGGCTCAGTTTGCCGGCGGTCCGCATCAGATCACTGGAGACGTCCTCAATCTCATTGAACTCGCACGCGTTCGTTCTCATGTGCATCTCCAGACTGTTTAAAGCTCTCGACAAGTCGTACTCGGTGGCTCCAAAGTTCACAAGCAGCTCGCGGGTTTTCAGAATCGTCTCGTACTGGTTCTCAGTTCTTAAACTGGAGCAAATCTCCTGATCGTTCGGAATCAAGGCGTCAGGGCCGCCGTTGGGAGTGCTCGGAGTGAACTGATGGCTTTGGGTGTTGAGGGTGTCTGCAAACTACCATAATCCTTCTCACTTGGGATGGGCACTCACTCATCAGGTCCGTCCAGCACTGATCTTCTCGGCTATCGTACTCTAAAGCGGTGCGCGTCTGCTGGTTCTTTCTGGAAATCGTCTGAAGTCTCTCCACGTCATCTCTACTCTGAAACCTATTATATAGGCTCATTGATTTTTCAGACTGTCCTACCAGATGACGTTCCTGACGAACTTGCTGATGCTCTCTGCGAACCGGATTGTTCTGATTTCTGTTATTCCGTCTGTTCGGATTCGGATTCGGATTCGGGACCGCATTCTGTTGCTGCTGGGCCACAGCCACTCGTCTTCCTTTGTCCGATTGGCTGTCTAGCCGGCAACTGTGGGACCAGCGGAGCAGGAGGAGCCGGAGCCGGAGCCGCCGGCTGAAGAGCTCGGTTCCCTCCGGCGTGTGCTCTTTGCTGAGCATTCATTGCGAATTGCCAACCCGGATTCCAGTGATTCATCGGATTCATTTCGGATTTTTCGACACGACGAATTAGAAAGAAATGGTGGGAAAGTGGAGATGGAGAACATTATGTCAATGGGGCAAAAGGGCAGTTTATCACGTGAAAGAACCGAATCATTCTTCGAACTTAGCATCTGGCGAGAAGCGACGCCATTCAAGGAAAAAAAGGAGCACGAACATATCGTGCCAGGATTCCGGCTCATCGGTATCCATTTGTCAAGCTTATGTCGAACAACTTTTTGCTGTTCCGCCGCACTCAATTCATTGATTCGGCCTCCGAGACTGTCGCAAGCCCATCGCGAATGGAGCAGACAGTAGTGCCGGTAGGAGATCCTTGTTCCCGGCGGTGGAGACGTTTTCGCCTCGTAGTACGGTTCGAGGAAGCATTGCGGAGGCGTTTTGAGGAGGACGGCGAGCATTCGGTACTCGTGGACGGCGTTAATCGCAACGAGACTGTTCATTTTGTTGTTCGGTCCCTGCGGCAGGCCGGTCCACAGAAGTTTGTGATCCGCCCGAACTTCCGGCGCATTCACCACGTATTGGCTCGTATAGTTTCCGATCTTCATCTGCCAGTTCTTCGCGATAAACTCTTTCGTTTGTGCAGCATCTTTTGCTTTCACAAGCTCCACAAGCTCTTTCCACAGGGATCCCGCCTGCAAACTTCAAACTTTGATACTCGGTACAAAAAAAGGCGAAAAATGAACTCACTCGAGTCTTCTGCTTGCTTTTCCTGTCCGTACTGATGACAAGATGAGCGATTTGGAAGAGGTTCATCTCTTTCAAATCTTTTTCATCGACGTCGAGTTTCTGCGCCCACTGGCTCAACTTTTTGTTGAACGGGAAGATTGGCCAAAACCGAAAGTAGTTAAAGTTCGAGAACTAGGAGAACTACAATAGTCGAGAACTAACGGAGGCAATTTCCAAGAAGTCTTTCCTGCACGGCACGTACGACTCCCTCGTCGCCTCCGTCTTGTTCTGCGTCTCGGCCACGTTCCTCTTAATCTCCAGAATCGTCTCTCGTTGCTCGATCGTCGCGATCCACGCCTTCTCCTCGTATCTCATTTTCGGAAGGTACACCAGCTCGACCTCGACTTGCCCGTCGACCGCCAATTCCAGAAGCGTGCTCTCTTTCTCGCCGTCCGCTGTCGCGCAGAGCAACAGCAGATTCGGTCCGTCACCGTGCGTATTGTGCTCGGAAAGATGATCGCGGAGCAAGTCGAGTGTGAAGTGATGCGGGTAGTTGGCCCGGTTGCATCTCCAGTTCCCCTCGATCCAATGTCTCGTTATCACGCGGATGTGCGTTCTGAACTCGGCTAGATTCAAACATCGAAACAATCGGAAGCGGTTACCCACGGTACACGTTGATTCGGATTGTGAGGGGGAGGAGGAGGAGGAGGAGTCATCCTGAAAATAAAGAAAAACATTTGAGAATGTAAGAACTGAAGAGAAAAGGCACGAGAAGAAAGAGAAAAAGTGATAGAGAGAGAGAGAAAAAAAGAGGCGGGTCAGCAGTGGCGGATGGGAGAGAAAAGAGGAAGCGGTTGGACAGAACAAGTGTTTGTTTTGTGCTTCCTGGCCAATGGCGCCATCACTTTCTTGCCCTTTTGCCCCCCAAGTACACACTTTCACACACGGTGGTCATACAAATGCTGGAAGAACTGTTTGTGAAATTTATGAATCTTCTAGCGCCGGTCTGGAGATCAAATCTTTTATTCGCAATAGAGCGCTCTTGCTTTTGTATGTCTGGATACTTAAACAACTTGAAACTCGATTTCTAGAAGCGTTTTGCACGGCATTTAATTCGGAGGGTACAAAAATTAGGGGGTACAACAGGGTACAAATGGATTTGGGGTACAACTTTCATGGTTTTGGGGAACAAAAAGTCGAGGGTACAAAATTTTCGATTCTGGGGTACAAAAATTTACCGATTCAGTAGGCATTGATTAAGGGGTACAACTTTTATGATTTAAGGGTACAAATTTCACGATTTTGGGGTACAAAAGTTGCACGAAGCACATTTTCGAAGTTTTCATTCCAGTTTTGAATTTTTGAGAGCTCACGAGACACAGTCGTGTGTAGCCATGCTTTGTTTTATGCAGTATTTTGTGTCATTTCGAGAAAAAACTTTACTTGGGTAAATTTCACACACAACATTAGATGCTGAAATTCTGCTGTGAAATTGCGGAGTTTAAAGGGGCCAAAACAGCAAAACAACTTGTAAGTAATATTATAGGGGCACCGAATAGAAAGGGCGCTCTGTTCGCAATCTGGCCGAATTTCTAGTCCGCGAAGTAAAAAAAAAATTAACCCCATAAGGTTCCGCATAAGAGTCATTTTAGCAGAGTCATTTTAGGGCCAAATCCCGGCCCGGCCCGGCCCGGTCGGCCCAGAAGTTAGACCTCAAAAAAAATATGCAAAAAAAATATGAAGGAAGAGGAAAACGCGTGCAACAAAATTGCTAAAATGGCGTGCCAGAGTTGCAATCAATCGCTCCGCCCACTCTTGAGAAAATTTTCGTAATTTTTGTGAAAATTTTGCGACTTTAAACAGCAATTTCTATTTTTTAACAGGTTTTTATGCTATAACATTGCCTTTTTAAGTCTATAAAATTTTAAGTCTATAAAATTATGTTCGTTTCGAAGTTCTAGTTCGCTTTGAATTTTTAGGTGCATCCTCCCGGGCCGGAAAATTTCCAATTTTGGCCCGGCCCGGCCCGGCCCGTTGCAAGTCTGCATTTTAGTAGTCCCCAATAGAGGAACGCATGATGAACCCAACTCAATAAACTCATTTCTCAAAAAATCAATTGTAGCGTTGGAATTTTCACTAAATCTGTCAGTATTCGTTGTCTTCTGCCGTTAACGTTAACCATATTGGTCAGTGAAGTAGAATTCCCACTTTCAGGTTAGTGTAGTTAAAGTCGATACCAGGGCAGGGATTTTACCAGTATGAATTGCCGGGGGCCGTGTGCAGTACTTGAAGAATATTGTGAAACTTTCAGTATTATTACCATCCCTTACAATGCTCTTCTTGCTCTTCTGAAAGTTTTTGAGCAATTTCACAATATCTGCTGGTCAATGTACCTGCATAATCCTATTTTGAGAAAATAGAGAAATCGGAACTAAAAGCGGAGACGTCGCAGACTGTAAACAAAAGGAAAGGGACTCACAATACTGGGGAATGTGAATCACCTATTCCTCCGTCCGTCAGTAGACCGACATCTTAAAGAGGAAAATAATGCGGGAAGAGAACAGCGCCACAAACTTGATCTACCGTTTAGTCAATGGAAAATTATTGATTGATATTCTAAAACCTGTTGTTTGTGCTTTTTTGCGAACATTGTGAAATTGAAACTGAAATACCGCATCCAAACCTGTTTTTTTTCAGGCAAAGCTCGAGAAATGAGCGTCTTGCTCACAATTCTGTTGAGAATTGCCGCCGAGGCAAACGGGCTATTGAGAAGGGTGGCGCATCGCGGCCGGCGCCCTAGTCTTCTGGAGCGCACTTTCGAGCTCCAGGAGAACCCTTTGGAGCCGCACGGATACGAGGACCGGCGGTGGCCGCAAAGGACGGAGGAGGCGACGGAGCGCCAAGGTACGCGAGAGGAGGCGGAGGCGACGGAGGAGGGGCGACGAGCTGACGTGCTGGTGAGTTTCTTGAAAGAAAAATATTTTTAAAAAAAGTAAAGCTTTCGGTACAAAGAAGTCCCTTTGATCTGCTGCACAGTGGAACAAGGAACATTTTGCTCAAAGCTCTAATCAAACAGACTTCTGAGGCCGGAAGACGGTCCGACCAAACAAGAGGGTCGTACTCCAGCTCCACCGGACCGTTTTATGTGAGACTCGGACAGTCTCATGTAAAACGGACGTCTGAAGATGGAATACTGTCAAGCTGGGGCGGGCCAGAAAGATGCCACCCCAAAAAGAGTCTATCGAACTGGAACTCTGTTCCGATAGTTTCCCATTTGGTGCGGCACCGTGAAAAAGAGACTTACGACTGACCGATCGCTTTGCAGGAGTCGACGTTCAAGGAGCAGGAGTGGCAGTGCGGGTGCTGCTCCGCTCGGATCGTCGACGAACCGGAGGGGATCGTGGCGCACATGCGGGACCACCAGGAGACCGCCGCCGTTCTCCACTCGTTCATAGTGGAGTTCATGACGAGGGAGAACGGGCGGCGCGGCGGTTTCCATCAACTCCACCGCGTGATGCACGGTCTCACACGGCAGCACGGGCTCAGTTGCCCTTCCGACGTGAGTGCCTGAAAACAGAGATTTTGTAGGAACAAGCAAAAACGTTATGCATTTTGGAGAGAACGAGATGAAAAGAAACTGTTTAGAGACAAGTTAATGTGAATTTTACGTTCTTTTGCAGGTGGCCCGTGCCTACCTCGAGCGGACCGTCGAGGCCCAGAGAGAAAAGGAAAGGGAGGCGGCCGCCGAAAGAGCCGCCACGGAGAACGAGCTGCGACAGAGGCAGCGGGCGCTCGAGGAGAGATTGGAGGCCCTGGCGGCCGAACGGAACGAGCGAGTCGATCGGGAGAGGACCGCGGCCGTCAGGGAGGAGGAACTCAATGCTCGGCACCAGGTATTCGTCGCCAGTGCTCTTGTTCGACCGACTCCGCTCAATGTCGGAGTCCTGAACAGGACGAACCGGAAGAGGGTAAGCAATGCCGATACCGGTATTTCGAGCTGCAATTTTTGTTTTTTTTAGAAGAGAACCCGATGCTCAGCGCCAGCGCCCGGTCGGCAGCAGATCGTGTTCGGAAACCTTGAGTTCCAAATCGATCCGTCGGACGACGAGTTCCGAGCAGGGGTGTGCGGAAAATTTTTTTCGGAAAATTTCGGAAAATCGGTTTTTCCGAATTTTTTTTTTCGGAAAATTTCGGAAAATCGGGTTTTCCGAATTTTTTTTTTCGGAAAATTTCGGAAAAATCGGAAAAATCGGAAAACTCACTTGTTCATTGGTTCAATAAAGTGTTTAAACAACGTTCTAATACAAAAAAATGCTTATTATGATTTGAAATCACTTGAGTGGGCGGAAGCCAAGCAATGGAATATTTTTTTGCAAAAAAAGTAGCCGAGAGAAGCTCTACGGGTCCAGTGTTTTCCGATTGTCAGTGAGAATCAGGGGTGTGCGGAAAATATTTCGATTTTTCCGAAATTTTTCCGATTTTTCCGAGAAATTTTTCGGAAAAAAAGACGCTCGCTGCTAGACCCTTCCAAAAATTTTGTGATGCGCCTTTAAAAAGCATACGGTGGTTTCGGACAAACTAACCTTGAATCCACACTAATTTTCCGAAAATTTTGCCGAACATTTTCGGAAAATCGGAAAATTTCGGAAAATCGAAATATTTTCCGCACACCCCTGGTTCCGAGCACGAATCGGCGACATACTGGGCCGACTTGGGTAAGATTTCATGATTTCAAGCGCCAAAAACCGACTAAACACTCATTATTTATAGAATCGATTTGGATTGGGACGCGGCAACGTTCCCGAACGCCTCGCGGGGACGGCAACACCCGATCTCTCCAATCTTCTGGACCATCGTGGAGGTTCCGAAAGCAGTGGCGGAGAAGATCGGGCGGGCCGTCGCAGAACACCTGGACAGCTTCAATCAGCTGGAGTACGGCAATAACGTAGAGGTTTGTTTATTTCTCGAAAAGAGAATGTCAGTTTTTTTGACCACGAAGCTTTGCAGCAGTACGTCATTGTCGAGCTCCACGACACAAAGGAGTCGCGGACCAGGGACGCATTTCTGCACGCCGCCGCCAGCAACTTCAGGATGATGTACCGTCACGACCGAAACTGCTCCGTCACCGTCTGCCACAAACATCTACTGGTGACGAGAGACGGTTCAGTCCTCGAGAGGCTGTCCGTGAAGGACATCAAGGACAAGTTCGCGGCCAACTTCGATGCGATCATGCGGAGCATTCACCCAACCCAGAGGTCAGGTGTCAAAAATGCTCCTCCAATGAGAGGATTCGCCTCGCTATTTTTTTAATCATTCTGGAATATATTGATTTTTGAAAGTTTTATCGTTTAATGAATGTTTTATGAGTCAGACTCCGTACTCATCGCATTCTCACGTTGAAAGCTCATGGCACCGCAACGCAAAAAGAACATGAAAAAAATTATAAGGAAACCGAAAAAAACGAAAGTTACTTTTGAAACTAATGCGATTGAATTGAAAGAGATTCGAGATAGACAACTTTTTTTTTTTTTTTTTGAACGACTGAGCTCCGGAATTCTCGGAATGATCTGAGCGTTGCGGATAGCGCTCATTTCGGCGACGAACATAATGAACGCATGTCTGTCCGGAAGGGAGACTCCGACTTTGATGTCGGATGCCAGAAGCTGCTGGAAGGATAACGCAACGTCGACGTCATCCGATGCCATGGCGGAAAACAAGTTAGTGAAAAAATGAAAAATTGAAAAGAGTGAAGCCAAAATCGAAAGATACCGGGTGGAGGTCAAAGACTCTTTGGAAATGCGCCTTTAAAAAGACCTACTGTAGAAGCTGGCAATTGCAAACTTATTGAACACTTTTTCAGCGCAAATTCACAATTCTATTTGCATTTGTTAATTTTTTCCAGAAAATCCGTTCAAACGTCATCAATTTTCATCAAATACTTGATGACTACAGCCAACTAACACGTTGACGACCGAAATGTGAGTCAATTTCCTCGTAAAATGTATCTCACGGTCTCCAGAGCTTACAATATGGGCGTGGCCTCGGCCAAAAGGCGTTTTCATGAATTGAGCAGGTTTTCTCTGATTTTTGTGGTCAAAGGCGATGAAAAATGATTGTACGACATGAAAACACACTAATTCTCAGAATTAATGACGTTTTGGCGCATTTTTCGCGGACTTTGCTTTTTCGCCTTCGCCGCCGATAGCCGCCGATCGTTGCCTCAAAACAGCACTTCTCATTTTGCGCTTTCTTGACCGTTTTCAGACAGAATTAGTTTTGAGAGCGATAAATCACGTAAATACAAGCATTTTGAGCGCTCGAACCGCGAAAACTACCGAAAAGCAACTGAAATTCACGCAGTTTTAACCAAAAACCTTCAAACGGATAAATGTGATTTGCGACTAGACCAAGATTAACGTTCTTGCTCTTAAAAAATTCCTAATAGCCTATACAATCGGTCTATCGAGAGACAGAGCAGTTCATCCATCCGTGACGCACCTCACATATCGAGTAGACCTAACAGACTACACACTCATAAACCTACCAGACTACACATTCATAATCCTAACAGACTACACACAGAAATGGAGGGAAAGGGCCGTTTTGATTTACTCGATATGTGAGGAGTATAAAAGGGCCCCCGTGGGAAAGAGTATAAAAGGGCCCCCGTGGGAAAGAATAGCCATTCATTCGGACATACCGACTTGGCGGACGGTCGGATCGTCTCGTTCTGCCCGCGTTTTGGGCGGGCGGACTTTCCAGACCCTCTGCTAATCGATATCGATCCGATATTTTTCCACTTGTTCTTTCTCCCCTTTCTCTCCGTTACTTCATTTTCTCTTTCATATGTCAAGTCCATACGGAAGTGAAGTGCACTCTATTCCGAAGCTATTTCAGCTGTGATCTCTGTAAAGTTCCTTTCTTATCCGACAAAAGTTGCATTAATTTCATTTTGCTTCTAAATGCTCACAGGATATCACATTTGGGAGAGTTTCTGAAAAAACTGCGCTGAACTCTCGGATGCCTCTATATGTAGTAGAAACAAACCGTCCTGTTATTCCTATGTATTTTGTGAAAACCGGAACACATGCTCACTTTTTTTGTCGTTCAGATCGGTGCTCAATGAGTTGGGCATAGTGTAGGGAGTGTGGCAAACAGTAAAAAAATTGCGTACATTTCTGAGTAATTCTCTTCTCCCTGCGATCAATTTTAAACAAAAATCTTGCCTACCAGTGGTGTCTTTTTCGAATTAATAGAACTTTTATGTGACTACAATAGCTTAGAAGAGGTGTATTCCTCAGGGAGTATCCGTCTGTACGTCCTTCTCTGAGTAGGGCCACAGCGGTGACCTTCGTGACGTGATTTGCCCCGTCACGGAGGAAAAATCACCGCCCCCACCTTGCACGTGGCGTGGTTGACCCCCTTCTCTACGGGGCGGCGGCTCTGCGGACCGTGGGTACTTGATGCGGAGTTGCACGGTCCTTACGGATCAGATCCCTTCAAGTGACCCTAACGATAACTTCTTGAAGGAAGCCTGAGATGAGAGGGATGTGGGCAGACAGAGACGGGCACTCTTTGGGGTTAACCTCTTGCGCGCATATGACTTACATGTTAGAATTTTAGTTAGTAGAAGAAACTGCCACACCCTACTTAAACTCTCTCTCTCTCTCTCTCTTCTCTCGCTACGTCGGACACGAGAACCGACAAGGATCTTCGGAAGGCGAGGAATAGTCAAGAAACTTCCCACTCTTGATGCAAGCAGTGACTGCCACTTTTCGAAGTGTCAGTCATTAGGATCTGATAGAGTAGGAGGGAGGCGCATTCCGCCGAGCACTTTGTGAGTTTGCAAGCAGAATAAGAACCATAACAATTGAATGTTTCAGACGTGCACAGGTGTGTCAATTCTCGCGTTATACGCACAAATCGGCCTGTACGAGGAGGAGCGGGTAAAGCTGTACCAGCAATTGGACGAGAAGAACGACGAGATCCAGAAGGTGTCGCAGGAGCTCGAGAAGCTCCGACAGCAGGTGCTTCTGCAAGAGGAGGCACTGCAGACGATGCTCGAGAACGAGGAGATCATCCGCGAAGAGAACTCGCGCATTCAGAAAGAGGCCGACGACAAGCAGCAGGAGGGCAAGGAGATGATGACGAAGAAGTCAAGAAACTTCCCACTCTTGATGCAAGCAGTGACTGCCACTTTTCGAAGTGTCAGTCATTAGGATCTGATAGAGTAGGAGGGAGGCGCATTCCGCCGAGCACTTTGTGAGTTTGCAAGCAGAATAAGAACCATAACAATTGAATGTTTCAGACGTGCACAGGTGTGTCAATTCTCGCGTTACACGCACAAATCGGCCTGTACGAGGAGGAGCGGGTAAAGCTGTACCAGAAATTGGACGAGAAGGACGACGAGATCCAGAAGGTGTCGCAGGAGCTCGAGAAGCTCCGACAACAGGTGCTTCTGCAAGAGGAGGCACTGCAGACGATGCTCGAGAACGAGGAGACCATCCGCGAAGAGAACTCGCGCATTCAGAAAGAGGCCGACGACAAGCAGCAGGAGGGCAAGGAGATGATGACGAAGAAGTCAAGAAACTTCCCACTCTTGATGCAAGCAGTGACTGCCACTTTTCGAAGTGTCAGTCATTAGGATCTGATAGAGTAGGAGGGAGGCGCATTCCGCCGAGCACTTTGTGAGTTTGCAAGCAGAATAAAAACCATAACAATTGAATGTTTCAGACGTGCACAGGTGTGTCAATTCTCGCGTTACACGCACAAATCGGCCTGTACGAGGAGGAGCGGGTAAAGCTGTACCAGAAATTGGACGAGAAGAACGACGAGATCCAGAAGGTGTCGCAGGAGCTCGAGAAGCTCCGACAGCAGGTGCTTCTGCAAGAGGAGGCACTGCAGACGATGCTCGAGAACGAGGGAGACCATCCGCGAAGAGAACTCGCGCATTCAGAAAGAGGCCGACGACAAGCAGCAGGAGGGCAAGGAGATGATGACGAAGAAGTCAAGAAACTTCCCACTCTTGATGCAAGCAGTGACTGCCACTTTTCGAAGTGTCAGTCATTAGGATCTGATAGAGTAGGAGGGAGGCGCATTCCGCCGAGCACTTTGTGAGTTTGCAAGCAGAATAAAAAAACCATAACAATTGAATGTTTCAGACGTGCACAGGTGTGTCAATTCTCGCGTTACACGCACAAATCGGCCTGTACGAGGAGGAGCGGGTAAAGCTGTACCAGCAATTGGACGAGAAGAACGACGAGATCCAGAAGGTGTCGCAGGAGCTCGAGAAGCTCCGACAGCAGGTGCTTCTGCAAGAGGAGGCACTGCAGACGATGCTCGAGAACGAGGAGACCATCCGCGAAGAGAACTCGCGCATTCAGAAAGAGGCCGACGACAAGCAGCAGGAGGGCAAGGAGATGATGACGAAGAAGTCAAGAAACTTCCCACTCTTGATGCAAGCAGTGACTGCCACTTTTCGAAGTGTCAGTCATTAGGATCTGATAGAGTAGGAGGGAGGCGCATTCCGCCGAGCACTTTGTGAGTTTGCAAGCAGAATAAGAACCATAACAATTGAATGTTTCAGACGTGCACAGGTGTGTCAATTCTCGCGTTATACGCACAAATCGGCCTGTACGAGGAGGAGCGGGTAAAGCTGTACCAGAAATTGGACGAGAAGGACGACGAGATCCAGAAGGTGTCGCAGGAGCTCGAGAAGCTCCGACAGCAGGTGCTTCTGCAAGAGGAGGCACTGCAGACGATGCTCGAGAACGAGGAGACCATCCGCGAAGAGAACTCGCGCATTCAGAAAGAGGCCGACGACAAGCAGCAGGAGGGCAAGGAGATGATGACGAAGAAGTCAAGAAACTTCCCACTCTTGATGCAAGCAGTGACTGCCACTTTTCGAAGTGTCAGTCATTAGGATCTGATAGAGTAGGAGGGAGGCGCATTCCGCCGAGCACTTTGTGAGTTTGCAAGCAGAATAAGAACCATAACAATTGAATGTTTCAGACGTGCACAGGTGTGTCAATTCTCGCGTTATACGCACAAATCGGCCTGTACGAGGAGGAGCGGGTAAAGCTGTACCAGAAATTGGACGAGAAGGACGACGAGATCCAGAAGGTGTCGCAGGAGCTCGAGAAGCTCCGACAGCAGGTGCTTCTGCAAGAGGAGGCACTGCAGACGATGCTCGAGAACGAGGAGATCATCCGCGAAGAGAACTCGCGCATTCAGAAAGAGGCCGACGACAAGCAGCAGGAGGGCAAGGAGATGATGACGAAGAAGTCAAGAAACTTCCCACTCTTGATGCAAGCAGTGACTGCCACTTTTCGAAGTGTCAGTCATTAGGGATCTGATAGAGTAGGAGGGAGGCGCATTCCGCCGAGCACTTTGTGAGTTTGCAAGCAGAATAAGAACCATAACAATTGAATGTTTCAGACGTGCACAGGTGTGTCAATTCTCGCGTTATACGCACAAATCGGCCTGTACGAGGAGGAGCGGGTAAAGCTGTACCAGAAATTGGACGAGAAGAACGACGAGATCCAGAAGGTGTCGCAGGAGCTCGAGAAGCTCCGACAGCAGGTGCTTCTGCAAGAGGAGGCACTGCAGACGATGCTCGAGAACGAGGAGACCATCCGCGAAGAGAACTCGCGCATTCAGAAAGAGGCCGACGACAAGCAGCAGGAGGGCAAGGAGATGATGACGAAGAAGTCAAGAAACTTCCCACTCTTGATGCAAGCAGTGACTGCCACTTTTCGAAGTGTCAGTCATTAGGGATCTGATAGAGTAGGAGGGAGGCGCATTCCGCCGAGCACTTTGTGAGTTTGCAAGCAGAATAAAAACCATAACAATTGAATGTTTCAGACGTGCACAGGTGTGTCAATTCTCGCGTTACACGCACAAATCGGCCTGTACGAGGAGGAGCGGGTAAAAGCTGTACCAGAAATTGGACGAGAAGAACGACGAGATCCAGAAGGTGTCGCAGGAGCTCGAGAAGCTCCGACAGCAGGTGCTTCTGCAAGAGGAGGCACTGCAGACGATGCTCGAGAACGAGGAGACCATCCGCGAAGAGAACTCGCGCATTCAGAAAGAGGCCGACGACAAGCAGCAGGAGGGCAAGGAGATGATGACGAAGAAGTCAAGAAACTTCCCACTCTTGATGCAAGCAGTGACTGCCACTTTTCGAAGTGTCAGTCATTAGGATCTGATAGAGTAGGAGGGAGGCGCATTCCGCCGAGCACTTTGTGAGTTTGCAAGCAGAATAAGAACCATAACAATTGAATGTTTCAGACGTGCACAGGTGTGTCAATTCTCGCGTTATACGCACAAATCGGCCTGTACGAGGAGGAGCGGGTAAAGCTGTACCAGAAATTGGACGAGAAGAACGACGAGATCCAGAAGGTGTCGCAGGAGCTCGAGAAGCTCCGACAGCAGGTGCTTCTGCAAGAGGAGGCACTGCAGACGATGCTCGAGAACGAGGGAGACCATCCGCGAAGAGAACTCGCGCATTCAGAAAGAGGCCGACGACAAGCAGCAGGAGGGCAAGGAGATGATGACGAAGAAGTCAAGAAACTTCCCACTCTTGATGCAAGCAGTGACTGCCACTTTTCGAAGTGTCAGTCATTAGGATCTGATAGAGTAGGAGGGAGGCGCATTCCGCCGAGCACTTTGTGAGTTTGCAAGCAGAATAAGAACCATAACAATTGAATGTTTCAGACGTGCACAGGTGTGTCAATTCTCGCGTTATACGCACAAATCGGCCTGTACGAGGAGGAGCGGGTAAAGCTGTACCAGAAATTGGACGAGAAGGACGACGAGATCCAGAAGGTGTCGCAGGAGCTCGAGAAGCTCCGACAGCAGGTGCTTCTGCAAGAGGAGGCACTGCAGACGATGCTCGAGAACGAGGAGATCATCCGCGAAGAGAACTCGCGCATTCAGAAAGAGGCCGACGACAAGCAGCAGGAGGGCAAGGAGATGATGACGAAGAAGTCAAGAAACTTCCCACTCTTGATGCAAGCAGTGACTGCCACTTTTCGAAGTGTCAGTCATTAGGATCTGATAGAGTAGGAGGGAGGCGCATTCCGCCGAGCACTTTGTGAGTTTGCAAGCAGAATAAAGAAACCATAACAATTGAATGTTTCAGACGTGCACAGGTGTGTCAATTCTCGCGTTATACGCACAAATCGGCCGGTACGAGGAGGAGCGGGTAAAGCTGTACCAGAAATTGGACGAGAAGAACGACGAGATCCAGAAGGTGTCGCAGGAGCTCGAGAAGCTCCGACAGCAGGTGCTTCTGCAAGAGGAGGCACTGCAGACGATGCTCGAGAACGAGGAGACCATCCGCGAAGAGAACTCGCGCATTCAGAAAGAGGCCGACGACAAGCAGCAGGAGGGCAAGGAGATGATGACGAAGAAGTCAAGAAACTTCCCACTCTTGATGCAAGCAGTGACTGCCACTTTTCGAAGTGTCAGTCATTAGGATCTGATAGAGTAGGAGGGAGGCGCATTCCGCCGAGCACTTTGTGAGTTTGCAAGCAGAATAAAAACCATAACAATTGAATGTTTCAGACGTGCACAGGTGTGTCAATTCTCGCGTTACACGCACAAATCGGCCTGTACGAGGAGGAGCGGGTAAAGCTGTACCAGAAATTGGACGAGAAGAACGACGAGATCCAGAAGGTGTCGCAGGAGCTCGAGAAGCTCCGACAGCAGGTGCTTCTGCAAGAGGAGGCACTGCAGACGATGCTCGAGAACGAGGAGACCATCCGCGAAGAGAACTCGCGCATTCAGAAAGAGGCCGACGACAAGCAGCAGGAGGGCAAGGAGATGATGACGAAGAAGTCAAGAAACTTCCCACTCTTGATGCAAGCAGTGACTGCCACTTTTCGAAGTGTCAGTCATTAGGATCTGATAGAGTAGGAGGGAGGCGCATTCCGCCGAGCACTTTGTGAGTTTGCAAGCAGAATAAAGAAACCATAACAATTGAATGTTTCAGACGTGCACAGGTGTGTCAATTCTCGCGTTACACGCACAAATCGGCCTGTACGAGGAGGAGCGGGTAAAGCTGTACCAGAAATTGGACGAGAAGAACGACGAGATCCAGAAGGTGTCGCAGGAGCTCGAGAAGCTCCGACAGCAGGTGCTTCTGCAAGAGGAGGCACTGCAGACGATGCTCGAGAACGAGGAGACCATCCGCGAAGAGAACTCGCGCATTCAGAAAGAGGCCGACGACAAGCAGCAGGAGGGCAAGGAGATGATGACGAAGAAGTCAAGAAACTTCCCACTCTTGATGCAAGCAGTGACTGCCACTTTTCGAAGTGTCAGTCATTAGGATCTGATAGAGTAGGAGGGAGGCGCATTCCGCCGAGCACTTTGTGAGTTTGCAAGCAGAATAAGAACCATAACAATTGAATGTTTCAGACGTGCACAGGTGTGTCAATTCTCGCGTTATACGCACAAATCGGCCTGTACGAGGAGGAGCGGGTAAAAGCTGTACCAGAAATTGGACGAGAAGGACGACGAGATCCAGAAGGTGTCGCAGGAGCTCGAGAAGCTCCGACAGCAGGTGCTTCTGCAAGAGGAGGCACTGCAGACGATGCTCGAGAACGAGGAGATCATCCGCGAAGAGAACTCGCGCATTCAGAAAGAGGCCGACGACAAGCAGCAGGAGGGCAAGGAGATGATGACGAAGAAGTCAAGAAACTTCCCACTCTTGATGCAAGCAGTGACTGCCACTTTTCGAAGTGTCAGTCATTAGGGATCTGATAGAGTAGGAGGGAGGCGCATTCCGCCGAGCACTTTGTGAGTTTGCAAGCAGAATAAGAACCATAACAATTGAATGTTTCAGACGTGCACAGGTGTGTCAATTCTCGCGTTATACGCACAAATCGGCCTGTACGAGGAGGAGCGGGTAAAGCTGTACCAGAAATTGGACGAGAAGAACGACGAGATCCAGAAGGTGTCGCAGGAGCTCGAGAAGCTCCGACAGCAGGTGCTTCTGCAAGAGGAGGCACTGCAGACGATGCTCGAGAACGAGGAGATCATCCGCGAAGAGAACTCGCGCATTCAGAAAGAGGCCGACGACAAGCAGCAGGAGGGCAAGGAGATGATGACGAAGAAGTCAAGAAACTTCCCACTCTTGATGCAAGCAGTGACTGCCACTTTTCGAAGTGTCAGTCATTAGGATCTGATAGAGTAGGAGGGAGGCGCATTCCGCCGAGCACTTTGTGAGTTTGCAAGCAGAATAAAGAAACCATAACAATTGAATGTTTCAGACGTGCACAGGTGTGTCAATTCTCGCGTTACACGCACAAATCGGCCTGTACGAGGAGGAGCGGGTAAAGCTGTACCAGAAATTGGACGAGAAGAACGACGAGATCCAGAAGGTGTCGCAGGAGCTCGAGAAGCTCCGACAGCAGGTGCTTCTGCAAGAGGAGGCACTGCAGACGATGCTCGAGAACGAGGAGATCATCCGCGAAGAGAACTCGCGCATTCAGAAAGAGGCCGACGACAAGCAGCAGGAGGGCAAGGAGATGATGACGAAGAAGTCAAGAAACTTCCCACTCTTGATGCAAGCAGTGACTGCCACTTTTCGAAGTGTCAGTCATTAGGATCTGATAGAGTAGGAGGGAGGCGCATTCCGCCGAGCACTTTGTGAGTTTGCAAGCAGAATAAGAACCATAACAATTGAATGTTTCAGACGTGCACAGGTGTGTCAATTCTCGCGTTACACGCACAAATCGGCCTGTACGAGGAGGAGCGGGTAAAGCTGTACCAGAAATTGGACGAGAAGAACGACGAGATCCAGAAGGTGTCGCAGGAGCTCGAGAAGCTCCGACAACAGGTGCTTCTGCAAGAGGAGGCACTGCAGACGATGCTCGAGAACGAGGAGATCATCCGCGAAGAGAACTCGCGCATTCAGAAAGAGGCCGACGACAAGCAGCAGGAGGGCAAGGAGATGATGACGAAGAAGTCAAGAAACTTCCCACTCTTGATGCAAGCAGTGACTGCCACTTTTCGAAGTGTCAGTCATTAGGATCTGATAGAGTAGGAGGGAGGCGCATTCCGCCGAGCACTTTGTGAGTTTGCAAGCAGAATAAGAACCATAACAATTGAATGTTTCAGACGTGCACAGGTGTGTCAATTCTCGCGTTATACGCACAAATCGGCCTGTACGAGGAGGAGCGGGTAAAGCTGTACCAGCAATTGGACGAGAAGAACGACGAGATCCAGAAGGTGTCGCAGGAGCTCGAGAAGCTCCGACAACAGGTGCTTCTGCAAGAGGAGGCACTGCAGACGATGCTCGAGAACGAGGAGATCATCCGCGAAGAGAACTCGCGCATTCAGAAAGAGGCCGACGACAAGCAGCAGGAGGGCAAGGAGATGATGACGAAGAAGTCAAGAAACTTCCCACTCTTGATGCAAGCAGTGACTGCCACTTTTCGAAGTGTCAGTCATTAGGATCTGATAGAGTAGGAGGGAGGCGCATTCCGCCGAGCACTTTGTGAGTTTGCAAGCAGAATAAAGAAACCATAACAATTGAATGTTTCAGACGTGCACAGGTGTGTCAATTCTCGCGTTACACGCACAAATCGGCCTGTACGAGGAGGAGCGGGTAAAGCTGTACCAGAAATTGGACGAGAAGGACGACGAGATCCAGAAGGTGTCGCAGGAGCTCGAGAAGCTCCGACAACAGGTGCTTCTGCAAGAGGAGGCACTGCAGACGATGCTCGAGAACGAGGGAGATCATCCGCGAAGAGAACTCGCGCATTCAGAAAGAGGCCGACGACAAGCAGCAGGAGGGCAAGGAGATGATGACGAAGAAGTCAAGAAACTTCCCACTCTTGATGCAAGCAGTGACTGCCACTTTTCGAAGTGTCAGTCATTAGGATCTGATAGAGTAGGAGGGAGGCGCATTCCGCCGAGCACTTTGTGAGTTTGCAAGCAGAATAAGAACCATAACAATTGAATGTTTCAGACGTGCACAGGTGTGTCAATTCTCGCGTTACACGCACAAATCGGCCTGTACGAGGAGGAGCGGGTAAAGCTGTACCAGAAATTGGACGAGAAGGACGACGAGATCCAGAAGGTGTCGCAGGAGCTCGAGAAGCTCCGACAACAGGTGCTTCTGCAAGAGGAGGCACTGCAGACGATGCTCGAGAACGAGGAGATCATCCGCGAAGAGAACTCGCGCATTCAGAAAGAGGCCGACGACAAGCAGCAGGAGGGCAAGGAGATGATGACGAAGAAGTCAAGAAACTTCCCACTCTTGATGCAAGCAGTGACTGCCACTTTTCGAAGTGTCAGTCATTAGGATCTGATAGAGTAGGAGGGAGGCGCATTCCGCCGAGCACTTTGTGAGTTTGCAAGCAGAATAAGAACCATAACAATTGAATGTTTCAGACGTGCACAGGTGTGTCAATTCTCGCGTTATACGCACAAATCGGCCTGTACGAGGAGGAGCGGGTAAAGCTGTACCAGCAATTGGACGAGAAGAACGACGAGATCCAGAAGGTGTCGCAGGAGCTCGAGAAGCTCCGACAACAGGTGCTTCTGCAAGAGGAGGCACTGCAGACGATGCTCGAGAACGAGGAGATCATCCGCGAAGAGAACTCGCGCATTCAGAAAGAGGCCGACGACAAGCAGCAGGAGGGCAAGGAGATGATGACGAAGAAGTCAAGAAACTTCCCACTCTTGATGCAAGCAGTGACTGCCACTTTTCGAAGTGTCAGTCATTAGGATCTGATAGAGTAGGAGGGAGGCGCATTCCGCCGAGCACTTTGTGAGTTTGCAAGCAGAATAAGAACCATAACAATTGAATGTTTCAGACGTGCACAGGTGTGTCAATTCTCGCGTTACACGCACAAATCGGCCTGTACGAGGAGGAGCGGGTAAAGCTGTACCAGCAAATTGGACGAGAAGGACGACGAGATCCAGAAGGTGTCGCAGGAGCTCGAGAAGCTCCGACAGCAGGTGCTTCTGCAAGAGGAGGCACTGCAGACGATGCTCGAGAACGAGGAGATCATCCGCGAAGAGAACTCGCGCATTCAGAAAGAGGCCGACGACAAGCAGCAGGAGGGCAAGGAGATGATGACGAAGAAGTCAAGAAACTTCCCACTCTTGATGCAAGCAGTGACTGCCACTTTTCGAAGTGTCAGTCATTAGGATCTGATAGAGTAGGAGGGAGGCGCATTCCGCCGAGCACTTTGTGAGTTTGCAAGCAGAATAAGAACCATAACAATTGAATGTTTCAGACGTGCACAGGTGTGTCAATTCTCGCGTTACACGCACAAATCGGCCTGTACGAGGAGGAGCGGGTAAAAGCTGTACCAGAAATTGGACGAGAAGGACGACGAGATCCAGAAGGTGTCGCAGGAGCTCGAGAAGCTCCGACAACAGGTGCTTCTGCAAGAGGAGGCACTGCAGACGATGCTCGAGAACGAGGAGATCATCCGCGAAGAGAACTCGCGCATTCAGAAAGAGGCCGACGACAAGCAGCAGGAGGGCAAGGAGATGATGACGAAGAAGTCAAGAAACTTCCCACTCTTGATGCAAGCAGTGACTGCCACTTTTCGAAGTGTCAGTCATTAGGATCTGATAGAGTAGGAGGGAGGCGCATTCCGCCGAGCACTTTGTGAGTTTGCAAGCAGAATAAGAACCATAACAATTGAATGTTTCAGACGTGCACAGGTGTGTCAATTCTCGCGTTACACGCACAAATCGGCCTGTACGAGGAGGAGCGGGTAAAGCTGTACCAGAAATTGGACGAGAAGAACGACGAGATCCAGAAGGTGTCGCAGGAGCTCGAGAAGCTCCGACAGCAGGTGCTTCTGCAAGAGGAGGCACTGCAGACGATGCTCGAGAACGAGGGAGATCATCCGCGAAGAGAACTCGCGCATTCAGAAAGAGGCCGACGACAAGCAGCAGGAGGGCAAGGAGATGATGACGAAGAAGTCAAGAAACTTCCCACTCTTGATGCAAGCAGTGACTGCCACTTTTCGAAGTGTCAGTCATTAGGATCTGATAGAGTAGGAGGGAGGCGCATTCCGCCGAGCACTTTGTGAGTTTGCAAGCAGAATAAGAAACCATAACAATTGAATGTTTCAGACGTGCACAGGTGTGTCAATTCTCGCGTTACACGCACAAATCGGCCTGTACGAGGAGGAGCGGGTAAAGCTGTACCAGCAATTGGACGAGAAGAACGACGAGATCCAGAAGGTGTCGCAGGAGCTCGAGAAGCTCCGACAGCAGGTGCTTCTGCAAGAGGAGGCACTGCAGACGATGCTCGAGAACGAGGAGACCATCCGCGAAGAGAACTCGCGCATTCAGAAAGAGGCCGACGACAAGCAGCAGGAGGGCAAGGAGATGATGACGAAGAAGTCAAGAAACTTCCCACTCTTGATGCAAGCAGTGACTGCCACTTTTCGAAGTGTCAGTCATTAGGATCTGATAGAGTAGGAGGGAGGCGCATTCCGCCGAGCACTTTGTGAGTTTGCAAGCAGAATAAAGAAACCATAACAATTGAATGTTTCAGACGTGCACAGGTGTGTCAATTCTCGCGTTACACGCACAAATCGGCCTGTACGAGGAGGAGCGGGTAAAGCTGTACCAGCAATTGGACGAGAAGAACGACGAGATCCAGAAGGTGTCGCAGGAGCTCGAGAAGCTCCGACAGCAGGTGCTTCTGCAAGAGGAGGCACTGCAGACGATGCTCGAGAACGAGGGAGACCATCCGCGAAGAGAACTCGCGCATTCAGAAAGAGGCCGACGACAAGCAGCAGGAGGGCAAGGAGATGATGACGAAGAAGTCAAGAAACTTCCCACTCTTGATGCAAGCAGTGACTGCCACTTTTCGAAGTGTCAGTCATTAGGATCTGATAGAGTAGGAGGGAGGCGCATTCCGCCGAGCACTTTGTGAGTTTGCAAGCAGAATAAAAACCATAACAATTGAATGTTTCAGACGTGCACAGGTGTGTCAATTCTCGCGTTACACGCACAAATCGGCCTGTACGAGGAGGAGCGGGTAAAGCTGTACCAGCAATTGGACGAGAAGAACGACGAGATCCAGAAGGTGTCGCAGGAGCTCGAGAAGCTCCGACAGCAGGTGCTTCTGCAAGAGGAGGCACTGCAGACGATGCTCGAGAACGAGGGAGACCATCCGCGAAGAGAACTCGCGCATTCAGAAAGAGGCCGACGACAAGCAGCAGGAGGGCAAGGAGATGATGACGAAGAAGTCAAGAAACTTCCCACTCTTGATGCAAGCAGTGACTGCCACTTTTCGAAGTGTCAGTCATTAGGATCTGATAGAGTAGGAGGGAGGCGCATTCCGCCGAGCACTTTGTGAGTTTGCAAGCAGAATAAAAACCATAACAATTGAATGTTTCAGACGTGCACAGGTGTGTCAATTCTCGCGTTACACGCACAAATCGGCCTGTACGAGGAGGAGCGGGTAAAGCTGTACCAGCAATTGGACGAGAAGAACGACGAGATCCAGAAGGTGTCGCAGGAGCTCGAGAAGCTCCGACAGCAGGTGCTTCTGCAAGAGGAGGCACTGCAGACGATGCTCGAGAACGAGGAGACCATCCGCGAAGAGAACTCGCGCATTCAGAAAGAGGCCGACGACAAGCAGCAGGAGGGCAAGGAGATGATGACGAAGAAGTCAAGAAACTTCCCACTCTTGATGCAAGCAGTGACTGCCACTTTTCGAAGTGTCAGTCATTAGGATCTGATAGAGTAGGAGGGAGGCGCATTCCGCCGAGCACTTTGTGAGTTTGCAAGCAGAATAAAAACCATAACAATTGAATGTTTCAGACGTGCACAGGTGTGTCAATTCTCGCGTTACACGCACAAATCGGCCTGTACGAGGAGGAGCGGGTAAAGCTGTACCAGCAATTGGACGAGAAGAACGACGAGATCCAGAAGGTGTCGCAGGAGCTCGAGAAGCTCCGACAGCAGGTGCTTCTGCAAGAGGAGGCACTGCAGACGATGCTCGAGAACGAGGAGATCATCCGCGAAGAGAACTCGCGCATTCAGAAAGAGGCCGACGACAAGCAGCAGGAGGGCAAGGAGATGATGACGAAGAAGTCAAGAAACTTCCCACTCTTGATGCAAGCAGTGACTGCCACTTTTCGAAGTGTCAGTCATTAGGATCTGATAGAGTAGGAGGGAGGCGCATTCCGCCGAGCACTTTGTGAGTTTGCAAGCAGAATAAGAACCATAACAATTGAATGTTTCAGACGTGCACAGGTGTGTCAATTCTCGCGTTATACGCACAAATCAGCCTGTACGAGGAGGAGCGGGTAAAGCTGTACCAGAAATTGGACGAGAAGGACGACGAGATCCAGAAGGTGTCGCAGGAGCTCGAGAAGCTCCGACAGCAGGTGCTTCTGCAAGAGGAGGCACTGCAGACGATGCTCGAGAACGAGGAGATCATCCGCGAAGAGAACTCGCGCATTCAGAAAGAGGCCGACGACAAGCAGCAGGAGGGCAAGGAGATGATGACGAAGAAGTCAAGAAACTTCCCACTCTTGATGCAAGCAGTGACTGCCACTTTTCGAAGTGTCAGTCATTAGGATCTGATAGAGTAGGAGGGAGGCGCATTCCGCCGAGCACTTTGTGAGTTTGCAAGCAGAATAAGAACCATAACAATTGAATGTTTCAGACGTGCACAGGTGTGTCAATTCTCGCGTTATACGCACAAATCGGCCTGTACGAGGAGGAGCGGGTAAAGCTGTACCAGCAATTGGACGAGAAGAACGACGAGATCCAGAAGGTGTCGCAGGAGCTCGAGAAGCTCCGACAGCAGGTGCTTCTGCAAGAGGAGGCACTGCAGACGATGCTCGAGAACGAGGAGATCATCCGCGAAGAGAACTCGCGCATTCAGAAAGAGGCCGACGACAAGCAGCAGGAGGGCAAGGAGATGATGACGAAGAAGTCAAGAAACTTCCCACTCTTGATGCAAGCAGTGACTGCCACTTTTCGAAGTGTCAGTCATTAGGATCTGATAGAGTAGGAGGGAGGCGCATTCCGCCGAGCACTTTGTGAGTTTGCAAGCAGAATAAGAACCATAACAATTGAATGTTTCAGACGTGCACAGGTGTGTCAATTCTCGCGTTATACGCACAAATCGGCCTGTACGAGGAGGAGCGGGTAAAGCTGTACCAGCAATTGGACGAGAAGAACGACGAGATCCAGAAGGTGTCGCAGGAGCTCGAGAAGCTCCGACAGCAGGTGCTTCTGCAAGAGGAGGCACTGCAGACGATGCTCGAGAACGAGGAGATCATCCGCGAAGAGAACTCGCGCATTCAGAAAGAGGCCGACGACAAGCAGCAGGAGGGCAAGGAGATGATGACGAAGAAGTCAAGAAACTTCCCACTCTTGATGCAAGCAGTGACTGCCACTTTTCGAAGTGTCAGTCATTAGGATCTGATAGAGTAGGAGGGAGGCGCATTCCGCCGAGCACTTTGTGAGTTTGCAAGCAGAATAAGAACCATAACAATTGAATGTTTCAGACGTGCACAGGTGTGTCAATTCTCGCGTTATACGCACAAATCGGCCTGTACGAGGAGGAGCGGGTAAAGCTGTACCAGCAATTGGACGAGAAGAACGACGAGATCCAGAAGGTGTCGCAGGAGCTCGAGAAGCTCCGACAGCAGGTGCTTCTGCAAGAGGAGGCACTGCAGACGATGCTCGAGAACGAGGAGATCATCCGCGAAGAGAACTCGCGCATTCAGAAAGAGGCCGACGACAAGCAGCAGGAGGGCAAGGAGATGATGACGAAGAAGTCAAGAAACTTCCCACTCTTGATGCAAGCAGTGACTGCCACTTTTCGAAGTGTCAGTCATTAGGATCTGATAGAGTAGGAGGGAGGCGCATTCCGCCGAGCACTTTGTGAGTTTGCAAGCAGAATAAGAACCATAACAATTGAATGTTTCAGACGTGCACAGGTGTGTCAATTCTCGCGTTATACGCACAAATCGGCCTGTACGAGGAGGAGCGGGTAAAGCTGTACCAGAAATTGGACGAGAAGGACGACGAGATCCAGAAGGTGTCGCAGGAGCTCGAGAAGCTCCGACAGCAGGTGCTTCTGCAAGAGGAGGCACTGCAGACGATGCTCGAGAACGAGGAGACCATCCGCGAAGAGAACTCGCGCATTCAGAAAGAGGCCGACGACAAGCAGCAGGAGGGCAAGGAGATGATGACGAAGAAGTCAAGAAACTTCCCACTCTTGATGCTAGCAGTGACTGCCACTTTTCGAAGTGTCAGTCATTAGGATCTGATAGAGTAGGAGGGAGGCGCATTCCGCCGAGCACTTTGTGAGTTTGCAAGCAGAATAAAAACCATAACAATTGAATGTTTCAGACGTGCACAGGTGTGTCAATTCTCGCGTTATACGCACAAATCGGCCTGTACGAGGAGGAGCGGGTAAAGCTGTACCAGAAATTGGACGAGAAGGACGACGAGATCCAAAACGTGTCGCAGGAGCTCGAGAAGCTCCGACAGCAGGTGCTTCTGCAAGAGGAGGCACTGCAGACGATGCTCGAGAACGAGGAGACCATCCGCGAAGAGAACTCGCGCATTCAGAAAGAGGCCGACGACAAGCAGCAGGAGGGCAAGGAGATGATGACGAAGAAGTCAAGAAACTTCCCACTCTTGATGCAAGCAGTGACTGCCACTTTTCGAAGTGTCAGTCATTAGGATCTGATAGAGTAGGAGGGAGGCGCATTCCGCCGAGCACTTTGTGAGTTTGCAAGCAGAATAAGAACCATAACAATTGAATGTTTCAGACGTGCACAGGTGTGTCAATTCTCGCGTTACACGCACAAATCGGCCTGTACGAGGAGGAGCGGGTAAAGCTGTACCAGAAATTGGACGAGAAGAACGACGAGATCCAGAAGGTGTCGCAGGAGCTCGAGAAGCTCCGACAACAGGTGCTTCTGCAAGAGGAGGCACTGCAGACGATGCTCGAGAACGAGGAGATCATCCGCGAAGAGAACTCGCGCATTCAGAAAGAGGCCGACGACAAGCAGCAGGAGGGCAAGGAGATGATGACGAAGAACAGGGCGAAGAACAGTCAAGAAACTTCCCACTCTTGATGCAAGCAGTGACTGCCACTTTTCGAAGTGTCAGTCATTAGGATCTGATAGAGTAGGAGGGAGGCGCATTCCGCCGAGCACTTTGTGAGTTTGCAAGCAGAATAAGAATCATAACAATTGAATGTTTCAGACGTGCACAGGTGTGTCAATTCTGGCGTTACACGCACAAATCGGCCTGTACGAGGAGGAGCGGGTAAAGCTGTACTAGAAATTGGACGAGAAGGACGACGAGATCCAGAAGGTGTCGCAGGAGCTCGAGAAGCTCCGACAACAGGTGCTTCTGCAAGAGGAGGCACTGCAGACGATGCTCGAGAACGAGGAGATCATCCGCGAAGAGAACTCGCGCATTCAGAAAGAGGCCGACGACAAGCAGCAGGAGGGCAAGGAGATGATGACGAAGAAGTCAAGAAACTTCCCACTCTTGATGCTAGCAGTGACTGCCACTTTTCGAAGTGTCAGTCATTAGGATCTGATAGAGTAGGAGGGAGGCGCATTCCGCCGAGCACTTTGTGAGTTTGCAAGCAGAATAAGAACCATAACAATTGAATGTTTCAGACGTGCACAGGTGTGTCAATTCTCGCGTTATACGCACAAATCGGCCTGTACGAGGAGGAGCGGGTAAAGCTGTACCAGCAATTGGACGAGAAGAACGACGAGATCCAGAAGGTGTCGCAGGAGTCTTCATTACTCCATCCATTTGTCCAAGAACTGTACAGTATCTCTAATCATTCCTTCAGTTCTCCTTGCCAACTTCTCTCAATCCGACTTCAACTTTTTAATGTATTTCTACAGCCTCTTCCTAATAAATATTATGAAACTTTCAAAGAGCCCGTCTTCATTTGCACAAACAGTCATTGCAGTTTGATATTGTCAATTCGACGCAGAATCTCTTCGAGCTCCTTGACATATCAGAAATTGAGATGGTCCAAGTTCGTGAAAATTTGCATAGTTCATCGCTTAATGCAATAAATATTTGTTGTTACATTGTTTGATTCACAAAACATGTTAGCAAACCGTTATATTCATCATGAGCTGGGGATCAGACTGTCGAGAGGGGAAGATTAGAAGAAGAAATAAAAAATGAAGTGGAGAGGGCGACTCAGCAATAGCGGCTTCTCTTCTCATCACCCATCGACGAGTCGTCGTTCACATTGCGCCGTTTCGTGTTCGCCACCAGATCCAGGCCGAGCCCATTGTACGACTGAATCGTTTTTTTCTCGTCGTCGTGCTTCAACGTGCCGTGCTCCTCGAGCTCCGCTCTCAAATCGTCCGAGATCGGGAGCGACGCCGAGTACATCATTCTGCATTTCGTAGCCAGATCCAGAGAACCATTGTTTTCAATTTTATCTCGGAGATAGCCGGCCAGTCTGGAAAATCATTACATTTAGTCACACTTCAAGTATAGTACCTTCTTTTAATCGAGTCTGGCTCACGATTGAAACCTTCCGACTTTAGGTTTCTGCAGAAGGACATGATGTTTATCTTTTTGCCTTTTTCCGACACTTCTTGTAATCGACGGAGCAGGAAAGCGTCTTCTTTGTCCGAGTAAATGCGGAATGCTGGCTTCGCCGCCTTTCTTGTCGACCCCTCCTTCACTTCGCTCTCTTCGGAACACGGAACCCCAGCCTTCCAATAAAAAATTCCCTTGGCGTAATTCACGTGCGCTAAACAAGGCGCGTACGCGTTATTCCGGAGCGTCGTTGTAGAGTTTCTCATTTCAATTTTTCCTTTTTTTGCATTATCCCCATCCTTCCAGAACCAATCAGTGTCAAAACTTATGATAATGATTAGAAATAAATAAAATATGAAATGTTAACTGCTTCGTTATCAATTTCGAGACGCTTTATGTGAAAATTACAGATAGTTCGACGAACGGCGGAAGATTGCTGCAGCAATTCAGGGCAGGAAAAGAGAAAGAGTAGCGGTTAGTGAGACTGACTCATTTTACTTCGCCGTCAGATGTTTTCCAGGTATTTTCACGGAATTATCCAAGAAGATGAGAAGATGAAGATGTAAAACGTGTTGAATTTATCGATAATTGAAAAAGAACATGAAGAAAAGTGGATGAAGAGATTCAACATAGGTCGCCGACGTCGAAGAGAAAATTGAAATGGCCCATGTTCTCGAGAACAAGACAGATTCTCTGCTTCACGTCGTTGACACTCGCGAATCGGCGCATCAACTCGTTGAAGATGGCGTGAAGGGCTTCGATTCCTTGCTCCGTCAACCGTCCCCAGCTTCGGTTCTCTCGCAAGTAGACCTCCAAATGAGCAGCGATGATGTGAAGCTTGGGGATCACTCCAGCCTCCGGATGAACCTCCCGAATGTTGATCACAAGGGATCTGATGGCCTTGCCGATTTCGTCAATTTGCGTGTCGTCCTTGACTTCATTGTTTGCGCTGCTCATCAGGAAGGACAATTTTTTTTTTTTGGATTGCTCGGGAACGGTTCAAGGAGCTTGTCGATGTTCTCTTCGCGGAGAAGAGCACGGACCTGATTTCCCGTACACTGTTGATACCAGGCAAGGGTATCGGCGCCCATTGTCCGCATCAATTTCTCCATGGCGCGAAGAGTCTCTCCGCTCGACTCCTCGAACATTTGTTGCAACGTGATTCGTTCGATCTGGGCGTTTTCTAGCATGGACTTCTCCTCGCCGATCATATCCTCCAGTGAGCGGCGAACCTTTCCGACGTGGCTTTTCTTTTTGTCCACTGTGAAATTGCCCGGGAAACGACATGATTGGCATTTAGTGTTTGGCGTGATGTCGATGCAGTCAACTGCGGGTCGGTGAGTTTGAAGCGAACGGTCGCATAGAACGATTGGAATGGGGACAGACGAAGGTTGAAGTTAAAGTTCCGGTTTTCCGAAATCCAATTGATGAAATCGTATAGGAATTTATTCAGATTCTCCGCTTGCACATGTCTCTCAATCGTCTTTAACAAACGGATAAAACGACCAACTTTTGTTTTTTTTTAATCAGAGATGAATAAGTTTTCAGTGATTCCGGAAAGGTCTCTTTGTCCATCTCTTTTCTCAACTGCTCCTCCAGTTTTGCGACGATTCGCTCCGTTGAATAATGAAGCCCTGCTGGGGTTCCGTGCGGAAAGTGATGAGGATAACGGTCCGTGAGGTGAGTGGACGATCAAAAGCACGCTAAGAAACTTTAAAGGCGCAGCACAAGGCCGCTGGCCTAGAAATGTCTGAAAATGGAAGAGAAAAGACGCGGCTGGCTCCCGTAAATCGACACACGTTTGAAGGCGCAAATGGCTGGCATGGCGATCATCATTGAAATGAGAAGAAACTCCGCGTCGGCTCCTCGTCGAAATTAATCCGATTAATTTCGTTTGCCGTTCTCTTCCCTTCGAATTCATTTCTTCATCTCATTCACAAACAAAACCAAAACTAGTTCACATTTATTAATTTGAAATTTGAAATTCGAAACACTGTTGATTCATACATAATTGGCAATTTTCCTAAGTTGGCACAACAGCGAAGATCATCATCGTGAGAAGGTGTACGGAGACCCGTTTTCCCCAGAATTTGGTACCCATTTTGTTTTAAAATTTGAGAGAGAGGGAAGGAGAGAGATTAGACTAAACATGAGCTTGTTTGTTGCTGAAATGATGGCCTCGGGTGGTGTTGCGACCGAAGAGGATCGACTTGAAAGCGCGACGGAACTCGGTGTTGAAGATTGTGTAGATGATCGGATTCATGAACGAGTTCATGTAGCCGATCCACGTGCAGTAGAAGAAGAGATCGTAGCCAACCTGGGAACCCTAGTTTATGGATCTATTGGCAGTCGGGGACCAACCTGACAAGTGTCCCTTTGTAGCAGAATGCACACGGCGTTCAGAATGTTGATGACAAAGAAGGGGACCCAGCAGACGAGGAACACTCCGACCACCACGCCCAATGTTTTCGTGGCCCGTTTCTCTTTTCGTTGTGCCTTTGAAACCTGCAAGCAGATCCCTCACTTCACACAAACACTGCTTATTTCAATTCCGCCCACCTTCCTCTTCAAACTATGCTCGTGCTTGATGGCCCTCTTGACCAACTTGACTGCAATCCCATTCCGCGAGCTCTTCTTCGAGCCCTTCGAGTCGACGGATCTCAAGCTGTCGGCACGTGTTTTCGAGGAGCACGTCGTGCCGATCGAGTCCGTTCGAGCTAGGTCAAGATCTGGATTAAATTGGATAGTACAGAAGAGGGTAATCTGAGGGAACTTACTCGGCAGACTAGGCCTCGTCAATATCTTCACAGCGAGCGGCGCTTCTGCCTGAGACACCCTCCTACTCGACTCTGCACTCCCGCCCTTCAGATTGTTCAGCGCATTGCCCTCCATCTCCCGGACTGTCAGCGCGAAACTGACAGTCGGCTGAGCGTCTCTAGTCTCCAAGGACTCCTGAACCGCTTCCAACACCGTTTCTGTGATGAGAGGAATCGCGACGCAGTCCGGAGATGCGAGAAGTTCGGCGCCTGCAAAACGAAGAGATTGTCAATCCGATTCTCCGCATCCTCTCACTATTCGCCGTCGTACTTCGACTCAACGTCATCGCCGGAAACTCCGCGTCCCGCGACGCCGATATCGTTTCGGTTTCGGTTTGCGAGTTCGTCTGACGCACCGGCATCGAGACGCGACGGTATTCTTGCGGCGATTGCGTCGACGGATTCGCCAGGATCATCGAGTGCTTCTTCTCGCCTTTCTCTTTTCTGAACAGACGGGGACTTCGCCGGGAGATTGTTCGGATGATCGAGGGGATGAGGGCGTCGTCGACATGATGACTTCTGAATAATATTATAAAAATACTTGATGACGTGTCTCAAACTCCTTACACTGAAGTCGATCTCGAGTTGGTGCCATTCAACTTCACCACTTTGCGATGATGCTTCGTCGAGTAGTTTCTCGACAGATTCCTAAACTTTCTCTGTCCTTTGATACTATAACTACTCCGTCCGTCGCCAGAAGATGTTTGAGAAGAGGTCGGCTGCGATTCGTCCGCATACGAAGATCGTCTGGACATTGTTGTGCAATTCTCCGACACAAAATCATTGGTGACGACGTGCACGTTTTCCGACAACGAATCATTGCTCGATCTCGGCGTCGAGCTGTTTCCAAACTCTCGTTCTTCTGAAATAGACGAGGGTTAGGAGATGTTCGGAGAAGTGGGTCATTCTGGAAACATGCTACACGCAGCATTCCCATTACATACATGCGTTATTGTTGCGTGCTCGGTGATAGTGATAGTGAGAAGTGGGCGAAGAACAGAGAAAAGACTGTCAGAAGAAGACATACGGAGGAGTATAGGAAGTGGTGGCCGAGCACTGGATGCCTTCGGAAGAGGAAGAGGAGAAGCGATTTCGGTTTCAGTTTCAGTTGCGATCGCACGAGCACACGAGGAGGAAGAAGGAGAGGTGGTCGACACGTTCTGCGCGAAGAAGGCGGGCACGACGCCGGCGCCGCCAGAAGCCGTGCTGCTCCCGACGGACGCCGCGTTGATGATGCGCCGGAGCATGGAGGTGGTGCGCGGCGCCGACGCCTCGACCGCGCCCTGCCCCTTATCGGCACGATACTCGTCGTCGTCGTAGTCGTCGTCGTCGGCGGCGTCGACGTCGCCACAACACTCGTCCATCTCCTCCTCCTCCTCCTCCCACTCCTCTTCACCTGCGAGTTCGATGGCGCGGCGGTGTCGCTCGAACTGACGCATCCGGCGGGTCATCGACGGTAGCGCCGCCATCATCACATTCACCACTGGAAGCCGACTGGGTTTCATAAAAGTCAAATCAGAAAAGTGTGAGGAAAACTGAATCTGAAACAGGGTAGGGAAGCTTTCTAATTCCTAAGAGGAGAGAAGGAAAACACATATGGCGTTTGGTTTGAAGTAGAATAAAATGAAATGTAATGGAATCGAAATGGAATGGACAAAAGCTTGGTTTGAGCCTTGATGATCGTCGTACCTGGACCTGCAACTATCCTGCCGGCAGCCTCTTCCTCCACTTGCTCACCGCCATCATTCGGCCTCATTCTGCAAACAACCAATCTTATTCTAGACGACAATTTTTTGTTCCTCACGTCAATCCGTGCGCAATCGTATTCTTCTCCCTACGCATCTTCGCCGCCTTCTCCCGCTTTTTCAGCGCGATTATGATTCGAATGTATACGAATAGTACTGGAAACAAATGAAAAATGAGCGGGTTGGGAGATGATAGTATACCTAGAAAACAAGGAATTACAAACGAGATCATGGAGCTGAGAATCGAGAATTCTGCATTGTAGAAGCGGCATTCATACGGGTTTGCATCGGGTGGACGCACGTTCACGCCTGGAAAATGGATAGTATTTAGGAAACATAGTTTTGAGAAGACGTTTCAGTTTTCATTCAAGTAACGTGTAAGAAGCCGTCAAGTAGCTAGAAACTGATCGTAATTTGTTTGCCTTATCTGTATGAAACTCATCAATGTCTACATTTCTAGCACAAAACTTTTAAAACCCACCAAAAACCATGGGACTCGCCAGACCAAGGCTGACGAACCAGATGACCGCAATCAGGTACCACACCCTTTTCACATTCTGCGACTGTCTCGAGTACTGGATCGGCAGCGACACTGCTCGGTATCTGCAAAACCAATACAGTTCAATTGTGTTCTGTTCTTAAAGTTCCTCGTAGACTTTGACCTCCTCTGCTCGCTATACACTTCCTCAACTCGCTCAAGTACATTAAAGAGCCGAGAGCCCATCTCTGTTGCACACACACACACACACACACGCGCATGCACACTCGGAGAGCAGGCGGTCATGTCAAAATCAAATTTTCGTACTTGAAAACTGCGTGGCGGCGCGCCACCGAAAAACATGATCAACGAACTGAACACGAACAACGTACCGATCGAACGAGATGACGGCGAGCAAGAGGATCGAGGCGGTGCTGCAGCCGACGTCCGACGCCATGTAGATGTCGCACATTAGATTGCCGAGGTACCAGTCCCCGTTGGTTACCTGAATGAACCGCTCAGTTTGCGATGTAGATCTATGATCCTCTTTTAATCAACTTGAAGACGTTGAGGTCTCGACGCTTCACTTCTTTTTCTTAATTTGACACCCGCCCGCCCGCCACGTCAGTTCGGCACAAACTTAAACAAACTTAACAAAGAAGTATTTGGCACTCTCTCTCTCTCTCTTTTTCTTTCCGTCCGTCAATAGATTTATGTGATGGCTGTCAGGGGATTACATTTCAAAAAAAAAACTCATGTTCTTCCCCACTTCCCACTTTTTCATTTGTATGTATATGCAAAACTTGTTCGCGACACACTTTGGTTACTATGTGTACTAGGCGCCGACGTGGCAACCACGCCCATAAATCTTTGAGACTTTGGGCCCGAAAAGCTTGAGACACTCAACAAATTACTGCTTGGTCGCTTATGTCTTTCTCTCTCTCTCTTTCTCTCTCTCTGTGAAGACACGTCACTCCAGGAAAACACAGATTGGACCTGCATGAGCCGGGCGGGAGGGGAGACATAATTGATCACTTACATAGACGTATACTGCATACGGCATCACTATGATGGCTACCAGAAGATCCGCCACCGCGAGGCCGAGGATCAGAAAGTTGATGGCCGATTGGAGGGCGCGGAAGCGAAGCACCGATATTATCACCTGAAAGTGTATTTAGTTGACGCCCTTCCCTACAATCGGGGCATTTCAGAGGTACGGGGTGTCCTAGCGCTTACCGCCAACGTGTTCTACCGTAATTCTGCGCGTAGTCATTCAAAAAACCGTTGCGACGATACGGAGTTTGAACATTTTTCCTTAGGCTGACACTTCGCCAAGCTTTTTCGCAATGTAGCGCAAATGCAGCGATGTCGGGTTTGACACCCCGTAAGAGTTCATGAGCTCTGCTCAGTAACCCCTCTTTTTGTGATCTCTGGGGTCTAATTTTGCAGATGAAGTTAACCGATAGGAGTTCTGTGCCTTTAAATTTAAAGGAGTTGCCGAAATTAAAATGTTACAATGCGAATTACAGGTGTTACAAGAAGGTTCGCTCGACTTGAAGTTCCATTAGCGTTGTTTCAGATTCAAGTGCGAGCTTTTGTAACTTTCGAACCGCATTTGCTTGAGTTTTTCTGTGCGAAATCATGATCTACCGTATCCCCCTCAGTGTTTAAAGGCGCAGAACTCCAGCGTGCTCCGTGCGAGAGCCGCAGTCGAGAAAGGCTTTGAAAGAATAGGAAAACTGAGGAATCTTATTTCGCCGTGACAGTACTTACCAGCAAGTTTCCGAGCAGTGTGATCAACGGAATGACGATCAGAAACAGGCCCATATAGTTGAGCGGAATGCCGCTTCGAGTCGTCGTCGGCGCGGCGGCGACAGCTGTGGCAGAGGGAAGTGGAGGAGGCCATCCGATGGAGACATTCCATGTCTCGCCGGCCTCCATTTCGTGGCCGGATCACCTAAACTTTTGCGCGATCTTTATATTCTCAGGCCATCAATTGAATATTCACACATATTCCGGCGCGGAATCGTAAGAGGTCATCGATGAGTCTGTGAGAAAATAATAGAGAAAAACTAAACCAAAGAGGCCAAAGTGCAAAGATTCGGGGAACCAGGAAGAGGGGCTAATTAGGAAAGGGGGAGGAAAAGAGTAAACAGACAGGTTTTTTTTTGAGGTTTGTATGGGAAGAAAAAGTCTCAAAAACATGTGTAAGCCTAGGAGCGGAGAAGTATGAATGTCAGGGCGTCTCCTGCTGCCACCTCTTCGAAGAAGAAGTGGGCGGAGTCTAGGACGCGAAAAGAGAGAGAGAGAGAGAGAGAGAGAAGAAGCAGAAAACAGAAGAGAAACGAACTTTAGCGTCGGACGAGCCGGGGGCCCAAAAAATGCGCATAAATTGCGAGCCGTTCGTTTCGTTTTCACACCCTGTTTTGGTCAAAACGAGAAAAAAGTTGGTCTGGAAGAAATTGGGAGAGCAGACATGTGCGCACATGCAAATCTTCGTCCGAGCACATCAATTATCAAATTGGGATTGACGAGAGGAAGACGAATGGAAACGAAGAAAAAGAAAGAGAAGAGAATGTAATTGGTGGGACGAAAAGTCGAGAAGATGGAGGATGAAAGATAAGAACACACACACACACACACACACAACTACTATGCAAATAACTGAATGACTAATGAAGAAAGTTCGGCCAGGAAACGGTTCGAAAGGGTACGGTAGGCAGGCGGTGTTTGCGGACTGCGCGCTTGGAGGTACGGTATTAAAGGCGCAGCACTTAGCATCTCTTTTCAATCGTTGAAAACATGAACCGTGGGAGTTTGGAGTATCAACTATTCGGGCGCGTGATGTGATGAGCCACGTCACACACGCGAGCCGGTGCGCGGCAAAACAGCCAGGGAAGGTGAAAGAATGGACGAGTTCAGTGAAGTGAAGCGTTTTGATGATGGCGTCTCAACCGCCCCCACGAAAAGAAATGTTCGGATGACGAACGGAATCGTTCCCGTTAAGAGTTCGGATAATCTGTTAAGCCGGGTGACAAGAGCAAGTACACAAGTCAGCCGCCTTCTGGAAGCGGACAAAACAACGCACGATAATTGGTCCTGGTGGATGGAGGGCAGTTTTCAGTGCTTCTAGTGTTCCAACAAAAAAAAACACGTCCATCATCATCGGTGTATGTGAACAGAGGGAAAAGCAGAGAACTAAAACTATTATGAGAAGAAGTGAGGGGTTGAGGACAATAGTCTCATTTTGGCGGAAGGCAGGCAGAAGAGGAAGAAGAAGACGAAGAAGGAGAAGAAGGAGAAGAGGAGCAAGGGCAAACGAACGGATTGAAGAGGATGAGGGGGCTGAAAAACAAGGACTATTGTTCCGTAACAAATAAAAGAGATAGATAGAGAGAGAGAGGGACAAGCGCGCTCTGGTGCTCAATTATGTTAAGCGGAATTCCGACTTCCGTCTTCCGAAAAAAACGCCCTTTGAAATTGTACAGTTTTCTAGACGTTCAAACGGCCTAGAATTTGCTGTAATTTGGACGGCCATACGCGATTACCGTTTCCGACAAATTCACCAGAAAATGGAAGCGCGCGATAGCCTCGAATACCAGGAAGAAGGATCTTTGCAAGTAATTCGAGTGAACTTCCTGCGCCTGCTTTTTGGTGCATTCGAGGGCAGCTGAAACGGGTGCGAAGCGAATAGAAAAGAGATTATTGTCGGTGAACAATTGTGAGTCAGGAGGAGGAAACCCGAAGGCGGACGAGCGATGAGCTATGAGCGATGAGCGCGATGAATAGAGAAATGTGCGAAACTACGCGGATGTATGGATTTATGTATTCAGAAATGTATCTAAACTCGATGACAATCCCCCCCCCCCCTTTTTTGCGTTTTGTTGCAAAAGGTCTTCGTCTCTGACGATGACAGCGTTCCGACGTGCTCAGGACGTGTCGGCGACGACGTCGACGACATTGTGATCATTGTGATCGCATCAAAGAGACCAATGACTGCGCACACAAAAGATTGGATGATTGGTTTTCGAAAAGTGAGAATGAAAAAGGAGAAGAAGTCATTCAAGTATACATTTCGGGATTCAGACCGATGAAAAGAGCCCACCACGATGCTTTTGGAGCTCGGAGAGAGATAGAGAGAGAGAGAGAGAGAGAGAGAGAGAGAGAGAAGCATAACAATTGAATAATAGAACAAAGGTGGACAGAATATTAGTTTGGGGGCAGGGTGACATAATCTTAGGAGCGTCCAAAGTGACGCCGCTTGTTTGTTGCTAAATTGGCCAAAAGGATTTGGAGGAATGGGGGATCGAACCCCAGACTTCTCGCATGCAAAGCGAGCGCTCTACCCCTGAGCTATACCCCCGCGCCCGGCCTCTGCTTCTCGTCGAGATGATGTTTGTGGTCAGAAATGGGCGAAATGAGAGGGACGAGAGAACGCAAAACATGTATTCACACGATAAGCAATGTTGAGATTTGAGACGAAAACGAACTTAAAATCGAAATTCTAGGCCACAAAAGCCCGCGAACTTTGAATTTTTGTTTCGTTTTTTTTTCGAAAAAAGTCCGATGTTAGGAAAGTTTTGGTGTGAAAAAGGCAAAAAGCGTATTTCCGAATTTCCGAGAGAAATTTTTGTGATTTTGAGTATGCAAATTACGTTTTCCCTCTAATTATAAAGAGCGTCAGTGTGAGCGATAGAGCGCGATTGCCGCAGAATTCGCAACGATTTCGCGTAAAAAAGTTGTCACCCCAACACTTTTCATTCAAGACGATGGATGTATCTCAACTGCTGGTGGAGACATCAAAAAGTTGTCAACTGAGAAATTGCTCAGGATCACATTATGCACATTTCATCAGTTAACACCTTTTTTATATCTCTACACACAGCTGAGATATGTTGTTTTGAATAAACGGTTTTGGCTTGCCACTATCTACGGTGTTTAGAGCCACAGTATGCCAGTCAAAAAAAACCTTTCAGCCACAAAAAAACAGCCCACAGACATTTGCGGATCAAAAGAGGAAGGTGGCATTTGTCGCATCACTCCCCCCCAATGATTACCGCGAAATGAGAGGCTGTCGGCACGCGCCGTCGATTGCACACAAAATTCGAATGTCCGCCCGAACCGTGGGGTTCGCATGCCTGGGGTTCAATTCCCCGTACCTCGAAATTCCCCGTTTTGCTCCTCCCCATAATTGTTGCCAAGGTGCTCAACAAGTGTGTGCGCAAATCGGATACACATTATTATACAGGGCGCGAGGCGAGAGAATTCGGCGGGAAAACCTACGCAATGAAGCGTGGACGGATTTGTATCCGAGACCTCGAAGCTCGCGTCGTCAACACACGGACCACGCGCCCCGTCGAGCCGTCGAGAAAGCGAAGAAGAAGGAGAAGGAAAAGAGGAGGAACTTTGACGATTTTATAGAATAGAAAATTAATGCGAAAGAAATTATGAAGAGAGGAACAAGGTTCGTCTCCGCAAAGAGTGTCGCAGATGCCTTCGGAAGGACACATGTGCCGCCTCGAATAATAGAATTATGAAATATAGACGGAAAGGTTGGATAATAGCGGGGGAAGAAGCGGCCGCAGCCGCCGCCAAAAACTTGGTCTTTGTTTGGGAAATTTGGGATCACAAAGTCGCACAAATGTGATTCTGGCACCCCGCGTGGGGCGACAATTCGATTAGTGCGACGACGACGACGTCGCGCACACCGAAAAAGTCACGAAACTAATCTGCCGCTGAAGCCGAATGAAAAGAGCAAAAGGAGAGAGAGAGAGAGAGGAAGCGATTTCGAATTCATCGCGGATTCCAACTGAACGAACACACACAAGACCACCCGGTGTGGCCCTCAATTCGATTTGTCTGCTCGACGGTATGCATGTACGCGGAGACGTCATTTCAGCCTTTCTTTTGCAGTTTTGTGTAATAAATTTCGCGCGTTTTTTCGGCTCAAAGTGGAAATTATCGGCGATTTCTAAGTTTGTTTCGTGTTCTTCAGAAAGTTGTTTAAATAAACTCGAATTGCGCGGGCGTTTCCTGGCCTAGAATTTGCGTTAAAGTGAAGAGGGCACAATAATAGGTTTTCGAGTGTTTTTGACCGCCGGCCGGTCTGCCCTTTTTCGCAATTTCAGAAATTGAACGGGAGCTGACCAGGGAGCGAAACGATGAAAGGAACACGTTTTTACGTACACAATGAACGGAAAAGGTGGCGAACAGCCGGGGGGAGCCGGAAAAAATTAGGTAGATGGAGTCGGGAGTGTCGGTGACCAAATCGAGTTAATGGTTGACAAGGGGGGCCACAAATATGTGTGCAAAACGGCAAAATTACTGCTTTGTTCTGCAATCCTGGGTCGCATTTTGCAGATTTGCGCCTATTTTTGTGAAACTTTTGAGTTGCCGCTGGCCTAGGAAACTACAGGCCGAAGAAACCGCTAGTCGCATGAATGGGCAGTGGAAACGTGAGGGAAATTGTTCGGAAACCGGATGACTCGACCCACTATTCAAGTCGGCCACAATTTGTGGCACAATTGCCCGTGATCCATGTCCTTTTCCGGATCTGATTGCTTCCGAACGTTCCGGAAGAAGGTGCTCTCTTTGTTATGATCCTCCACTCGCCCCCCTGTCTGTCTTCTCCTCGTTGACATCGGGAAACAACCGGAAGTGCGGAACGCATTCTTCCTGTGTATCAACTCGCAAAAAGTGACGGAGAAGAAGAAAAAACGAGCCAGAAAACGGAGAAGAAAAGGCAGGACGAAAGTATTTGGATGGCCCGGCAGAGGGGGGTATCAGAACGCAGATGCCAGTCAGTCAAACATTTGACAGATCGACTCGACTTGCCTTTTTTGAGTTGTTGCGCAAAGTTACTCGTTTTTTTCACTACTAGAAGCCGGGAAGATGTTTGAGAGTGAACACACGTGAAATTGATTCGGATGAATTGAAATGAAAGGAAAGGAAAACACGCAGAATTCAGATGCTTTACGGATTACAGTGATTGCACAAAACAACTCGATTACAGGTAATCCCCCCAAAAAAGATCGCACGGGGTCTTCGGTCTAGCGCTCAAAGTAGAAATTCAAATTTCCCACAATTTTTTCAGAGAAATTGCTTAAAAATCCGCTATAGATTGTAAAAAATTGATTTTTTAAAAAAATATTCTCGAAATTCTGACTATTCGACGAGCAAAACATTTTCTACCGTAGCCTACAGTACTCGCCGAAAATTTAAAGGCGCAGCACGGTTCGGAATTCAACGTTGTTAAATCGATTTAAAAAATCAGGAAATCGTTCTTTTGCAGCAAATTTCAGCGCATCAGAGATCAGAAGGAACTAAAAAGAAAAAGTGAAAGGAAAGAGATCGCCGCCTCTTGTTTTGTGCGCACACAAAAAAAGGGCTGAGAAGAGCAAATCGATTCAATTTCCTTTCTATTTTACAACCCGTATCTCCTGAGCTCCTCCTCCTTCTTCGCCTTGAGAGCCGCATCGAGAAGATGGAAACGGAGCAAAAGTTGTGGCAATTTTTGAGACGGAAATTAGAAAAAAACCGGGCGGCGGCGACGACGATGGGTGAAATGGCGAGATGTTTGGACACTTTGTGAGCGCGAAAATGTGGCGGAGAGAAGAGTTTTTATGGCGCTCGTTAAACGTGTTCAATCCAGACGAACATAAATTGGCGAAATGACTCGAGAAACGTTTTTCATTTTCTTCTTCTTCTCTTTTGCGGTTTCATCGAAAGAGTTCACTTGCGACTGTACTCTACGGAGTCACGCGATGTTTTTCATGAAGATCGTGTGAAAAAGCGGATATGAGAGTAACTGGAGAGGAAGAAAAACAAGAGACCTGACGAAATGGGTTTCAAATGACTCATCAGCATCACTTTCGGGTATCAGTTACGCCGAAAACAAGTAAACGTTTCAGGGAAAAGTCGGGGGAAGATCGAAAGACCAAGAGATGCAGCAATCGCGAATCGTCTTCTCGGCGAAATCGCGCGCAAAAAGGTCCCAAAGATCAAACCAATTGAACAGAGCGTGAAAAAAAAAATGAAACAAGCAGGCGAAAAAGTGGAGAAAGCTGGGCGAAAACAACAAGAATTCAGGTTTCCGCCCGTCCGCATGACTTCTTGGGTTCTTCGAAACTTGCGCCACTTCCGGCAATTCGAACATTTGTATGTAAGAGTCAACGAACGAAATAAAAGGCAGAGTTGCCACGGGCCGGGCCGGGCTAAAATTTTCAAAACTCCGGCCCGGTTCAAAAAGCGGGAATCCAAATTTTGGACTATTGATTAAATCAAGTGTTTGTTTTTCGTAGAACTAACGAATTTTGCAAGTATCGAGCATAAAAAAGAAATGTAGTTCTCAAAAATAGTTTTTATTGGCATCAAAGCAAACGTTTTAATTTTGATCCCCGCAAAAAAAACGAAAAAATAGATTTCCACCAAAAATTTGAATTCGCGCCTTTTTGGCCGGGCCGACCGGGCCGGGCCGGGCCGGCACTTCTCCGGCCCGGCCCGGCTCGTAATCTGGCAAGTCTGATAAAAGGAGTCTCTGAAATTTGAAGGGGGTCACGTATTTTTAGACGTTTTGAGTGGGCGACGACGACGAAATAATTGAGAGGAGGGCACGAATGAGAAGCGGGACTTCCGCAGGAAGTGTGTGAAGTCTCCGCCCCGAAACATTGCACAAAGTTCAGAGAGTCAGCAATTCGAAAAAAAAAGCGTGTACAACAAGTGACTGATTGATAGTGGTCAACTTTGCGTTTGCGTACAAGCACTCTATTTTGTAGTTGACCACTTTTGTGTACCTTCACTCCTGGTGTACAGTACTTTTAACTTTCATTTGTTCATTCCAATTTCAACACGCACAATCTCACTTCTGCTTCTCCTTCTCCTTCGGCTTCGGCTTCTGCGGCGTCGACGGTGCGCTCTTCGTCATCGGAGCGATCAGATGGCTCTTGAGCACCTCCCACATGTCCGTCCACGTCCAAATCTCCGCATCGTACGAGACGCGTATCAGATGGATCGTCGTCACGAGCAGCTCTTTCGCGTGGTGCGGCTTGCGGTAGCAGAACAGACAGATGCGGTAGATCTTGACGATCGCGTCGGCGATCGCTTCGAACGCGGCGTTGAGGAAGTCGACGATCCAGAGGACGCACGAGATGAGCGTCTGCCAGATGCTCTCCACCACCTCCTTCACACTGTTCTCTCGCTTCGGAGTAGCGGCCGGTATGGCGGTTGACACTTCCGATTTTGGGATGGCGGTACGAGTCGAGTCTGACTGGATAGGTGTTGCTACCGTAAACACTGAGCAATCCGATACACCGTCCATTCAAAACGATGTATCTCAGTTATCATTGGAGATACCAAAAATTGTCAACTCATAAAATGTACCCAATTTCTTAATGAGCATTTCATCAGTTGACAACTTTTTGATAATTCCAGCCGCAGCTGAAATACATCGCCTTGAATGGGCGGCATTGTGATGCCTTTGTATAACCGGCACGGTTAAGGGACCAGGGAACCCAAAAATTTTTTGCTTTTTTTGTGAAATTTTTTTGTGACTGTTTGAATTGTCTCTTATTGCCTCATACACTGGTGAAATGCTGCCTCTCAAAAATGCCAAGTTGTGGCCGTGGCCTAGCGCCCATGGCCGAAAAATATATAAAAATATATGCGCTTCTCGGCCATTTTATTTTTTCCGCTTTTTTACCGATTTTTTTCCAAAAATTAACGGTTTCTCCCATTTTTCAGTTGATTGACATTTGTTCGGCACTTACTGATTTTTTCACTGCTAAAAAATTGTTTTCATTCAGTCGATACGAAGTGCCAGATGACTGGTTTCCGTGGAACAAGGGCGATTTTATCGCGAAAAAACCGGAAAAAAAGCGGAAAAAATAAAATGGCCGAGAAGCGCATATTTCTAGGCCATTGGCGCTAGGCCACGGCCACAACTTTAACTGCGCGCCGTTTTGTTCATTGGCATTTTTGAGAGGCAGCATTTCACCAGTGTATGAGGCAATAAGAGACAATTCAAACAGTCACAAAATTTTGGGTTCCCTGGTCCTTTAAGCAAACGCGCTCCACTGCAAAAAAAGCTGGAAGCAAGTGAAAATGTGCTCAATCTACGATTTTTATACAGAAAAAAGTCGCGAGAAAAACCGGCATTTTAAAAGAAAATTCCAGGAAAATTGCCAAGTGAAACGGAGCGCGTTTGCCTAGCCATACCATTTTGGAAAAGTTTCGTCAAATCCAAGAAGAGATCGAGTGGACGCAAAAACGTTTTTTTGGCAAAATGACAAAAGTGCTCGTTTTCTCGATTCGCATTAAGAGTGCCACGTTTTGGAATTTCGCGCCAAGAGTGCAGTAAAGCGCACTTGTGTTCCGCCACCACATTATTTATTATCGGGTGGAACTGAAGAAGAACATCTAGAGAGCTGTGCGGAAAATGTAAGTGAAGTGGGACGAAGAAGAAGAAGAAGAAGAAGAAGAACAAGACATTTTTGGTTTTGGATTGTTTGGCAATCTATGGGAGAGGGGGGCTACGTATAGGGGGAGGGAATTTAGGCCTGAGCGTTTCCGGCAACGACGACCGTCTGCGGCTCGTTCTCTCCTCGCCACGCCTTCAGTTTGACGACGGTCTCGATGGCGAACAGCACGGTCAGCGCGACGCAGATCACCTGAAATTACAGAAGTTTCGACACAAACCGTCCGCGACCAGACTTACAGCAGTCATGATGGCGGCGCCTCGACCGTCGGTGCCCCAGCTGGCCGACAAGTGGACCATGAGCCAGATGGAGATGAAGTAGAGCAGGGTGTTGACGCCGTAGAAGATGAGCTCGACGACGATGAGTCCCTCTCGGGTCGCCTCGTCCTTGATCGTCAGGTGCGGGAAGACGACGTAGCCGAGGAGCAGTGCGGAGACGATCAGAAGCGTCTCGAAGGAGATGTGCTCGGTCCACGCGGCGGTTGTTGTGCGGCGGTCCGCGCAGATTGCCAGCACGAAGGCGATGAACGAGAGGACCTGGAATGGATCAGATGCAAGGAATCGGGTCACATCGTAAAGCCTACAATCTCAGCGATCTTGAGCACTCCTCCGAGAGTGGCCAAGTAGCCAGTGTTGAGCTGTCCCTGACGGTTCGTCGGAATGATCTTCACCTTGTTCGCCATGTGGAATTGAAGCTTCTTCTTCTCCTGAAACCGATTACGATTGGGTTACTACCACTGTAAAACTTCAATTTTCCCGATCCTTCTCCCCAAATTTCTCTAGTTTTCTCGGTTATTTCTATTCCCTAGAACCTTTTTCGGAGAAGCGTTTGGCCGGGTGACGTCGTCCGAGTGCGGAACGTCCTTGGCCGGTCCCAGTTCGACAGTCGTGCCTTCCTCGTTTTGCATCATAGTTCTGTCCTCCACTTCAAAACGAGCAAACGATTAGCTAGTGTGTGGGGATCTTACGGAACGAGAAAAATCAAGAAGAAGAAGAAGAAGAAGAAGAGAGCGAGAGCGAGAATCGCCACGAAACTTTCAAGCTTTTATGGGCGCCGGGCACAGGCACACAAGCACACAATAGAAAAGAAATATGGAAGACAAAACGAATAATATATTGCTGACGCACCGTACCACGACCACGAAAGATGATGACCTGGTTTTTAGGAGAAAAGTGACAGATACTACTACTAGTGTTGAAAATGAGAAAAAGAAGGAGAAGAAGAAGAAGAAGGAGACGGAGAGGGATGAGATCCGACGGCGATGATAGCAGTTTACACGGTCAAGAATCGCAGGTGAGAGATCGATAGAGAGAGACAGACTATTGTACTTGTTGAAAATGTGGTAAATCTAGTGCGGTAGAGCGCTTTTGCGCTCACCCGATGATCTAGAAAGTGAGCGAGCAGGGAAGGCCTAGGATTCAACAAAATTGAATCAACTGGCCTGCGATCCGAGAAGGTTTGAGAAGATGAAACAAAAGATTGACTGGGGTGGCCCGGGATCCGTAAAAGACAATGTTGATGGCCTAGGATTCAACAAACGCACTCTAGTATCCGATCAAACCAACACTTTCCGTGTTATGAGCAGGTTCCCTTCCAAATACGAGATTTATGACGAAAAGAAGTGATTATCCCACTCAAGGTTACCCGACGGAACAATCATGATGATGGCCACATATCACACCTTCATTCGATCGGGTAGGGGACATTTCGCAACCAGTCGTTTCGCAACCGAGTAGCGATAGAAATGGACTTTAAAAGCGCTAAAACCAAATGAAAAGACGGCTGAATTGACCCATGAACATCAAAAGAAAAGTGTCACTTTACAAGTACGGAAGTGTGGTCAAAGTCAAACAAGAAATCGTGTTCCTCTCGAACGGAAACCAATCCGGAAATGGACGGCGAATCGACCTTGAGAAGACAAGACGACGGGCGAGCGGTGATAAATGCGGCGGGAAATCGGCGGGGCGGTGTGATAGATAAAAATGCAGAAAAAACATCGATTTCAACCGTTTGTTTTTGTGCTTTTATGAAGACGAAAAACAAGGGAACATTGATGAAAAGGCAAACATTTGGGTGTGGTGTAGTCAATTTGTACTAGTAGAACAAAAAAAAAGTGAGTGGGGGAAGAATCGGCGTTTTTTTTTAGTGAGTTGAGAATGCTGAAACCCAATATCTTTGTTATCGCTTGAACACGTTCGATTTCAGAGACATTTGAATAACAAAATGGGAAAGAAACGAAACGTTTTTTTTTTTGAGTTTTTATGGCAACACAATAGACACCACAGAACCTATCCCTTCTTCTTCTGCGCTTCTAGATTGATAAAGGCAGCGGACGACGGTCGTGTTGGGCGCGGTTACCTTTTGCAAACGGACAGAATTCGGTAGCGGCGGCCGGGGGGCGAATCGATGAAAACGGACGGACTAGGACAGGTAAATAAATAACTGGTATAGTGGACGAAACGGAAAAATCGGCAGGGAAGGGGGAGGAGGAGGATTGGATCAAAATGGAGGGAGATGAACCGGATTCGCGCGCCCGGTAACACAATTATTGTATGCCGCCGCCGGGCTTTGTGAATATCATCAACTCTACTTTTTTTTCACGCTTTTCAGACGTTCAAACTGGTAAAATGAACATTTGGTTCGATGCGGACTAGTTTTTTCAACGGCTGAAAACTAGTCCGCGGAAAAAATTTGTCGCGCCAAGCGAAAATTCTCTTCAAAATGTTCATTTTCTGTGTAATTTCTACAAAATTCTCCGGAAAATCGGTAGTTTTGACGAAATTCTCGCTACTTTTCTCGAGAAAAACTGCACAAGAAGCCCGAAAATTTAAAGTTTCGACAATTTTTTCGGAGAAAACTGATTTTTCGCATAGCTCCACATTCAGTGCAAATTTCGCTGTTTTTCCACTCGTATTTGACAAAGATTGATTCAATTTTGACAGAATTTGGTGGAAAATCAGCAAAATTAGCACTAAACTCGTCGTTTTTTCTTGTTTCGCAGGATTTACCCGAAGAATGGCCGTTTCGACAATTTTATCCAAGAAACTGACAAAAAATGTCCGGATCAAGAATCCATGTTACCTGCCCCAATCAAAGAGCTCGCCGGAACAGCTGCTCCTTCTTCTTCCCTTCCCCATCCCCGATGAGTCGTTTTTTTTCGGTTTTTTCTTCCTGACGCGGGGGCACTAACGGGCTCACACAAACACGTACCACTGTCTTGGTCTCGGTCGTGCCGTCCGGCTTGCGGATCGTGATGATTTCCGTCTCGCTCATCTTATCTTCCAGCGGATTCTCTTGGAAACTGGCGGCCGCACGACGCACTTCTCCTGCAACACGAGCCGGATGAAATGGGGAAAGAGAGAAAGAGAGGGAATCGGAGATGGTCACAAATCAGGGGATCTATTAGCGATGGAAATTTCGCTCCACCGCTCTAAATTCACGCAAAGTGCGGTAGAGCGCGTTTGAATTCCGTTTTAAACATGTGGCAGCGTGAGCGCAAGTTGAGCGATAGAGCGCGTTAGAGTCATTTTTCGCTAATTTAGACGGAAGAGCGCATTTACTTATAAAATTCAGCTAATAGGGCAAACGATCGAATGCGAAAGAGAAAAGAACAGTCATCGGCCGACGACGACAGTTCTGTTTTGAAGAAGAAAAAGAAGAAGAAGGATAAGAAGATGATGATGATAGGAAGTTCAGTAGGGCGTGAACCGTTTTTTCTTCATTTTGCTTTTCCAATAACGCCTTTATTACACAAATCGAATGGGAATGACCGCCGAAAGTTCGCGTCTACCCGTGTTTCGGTGAACATAAGCCGCAGCTCAAACTCCGACTCGAGCAGCGGGTCGGCAATCGAAAAAAAACGCGGTTATTTTTTGAATCACGCCAACGTTTCAGTGTAGCGCGTTTGCTGGCCGTGTAATTGACGGCGTTGCGAATCGAAACAGTCGCACTCTCGTCTTCCTTCATTTTTCAGACAGTTCGTCAGGAATGAAACAAAGAAGAAGTGAAAAGAACAGAAAGGAGGAGGAGCTTCTGCTGAAAAGTTGCTATATTGTATTGTTTTGACTAAAAACAATTTGCCGAGGAATGCAACGAAAGCGCGCGGGCGAAAAAGCGGGAAAGGAGGAGAAGAAGAAGGAGAAGAAGCTCCTAAAACTTTCTGCTGCTGCTGGTACACTGTTTGTTCAGCAATAGAGAATTGAACGCGGTGGGCCACGGTTTTGGCACAGCACTCGAGACGAATCGGAAAGTGGCAGCTTGTGACGTTGCAGAACCATGATGTTATGGGCACATTTTGGCCGAACTTTTGTATTTTTCTTCAAACTCGGCAGCGAGATCATTGCAGAACGCTTTTTTTTTTCGTTTTTTTACATCGCTGAATTGGATTTTTTGACGTAAAAAAACGAAAAAAAAACGGAAAACAATCATTTTTTCACAGCCTGAATAACCCCATTAGTGAACACTGCTTGCAAGTGCGCTCTATCGCACTTTCAAATTCACGTGTGAAATTTCACGTTTTTCGGGAAAAAACGCATAGAATTGTCTTTATTTTCGCAATCCCCCGCTAAATTTGAAAGAAATTCGATCGATACATGTTTTGGACTGAAGATGTTCAAATTTCAGCGAGTTTCGTGTGTACGCTCTTAAAAAGGTTGGCGGGCCGAGTTTCAGTACTAAAATTTCAAAACATGTAATTTTTGAGCCAACAAATTTTCGAAAAGTCTGGTTTTTTTCCGGCGACCACGCCCCAAAGTACTGGAGACCGTCGGTTACTCTTTTTCGCCGATTATCAAATCAGCGGGAAACCTCTCTCGATTTGCCTTCATCTCTCAATTTCTAGCTGCCGTCCCCCTCCCATCAATGATTGATTTGTTTCTTAGTTTTTGTCGGTATTACAGTGGTATTACGAATCGAATGAAGATACCTATGATAGACGTCAGATAGTAATGGTCGAGACGGGCGGCCGGCAGATGAGGAGTAATCATGACGATGAAGAAGTGCCCGTCGTCGTCAGGAGACGAGCCATCTCATTGCCCAATTCGTTATTAGCAGTCTTTGCATTGCGTGCGGGGGTGTCACGCAATTGGCCGGTTTGGACGGGGAGGAGGAGAGGACGCATTGATCAGAAGGAGGAATGAAAGTGATAGGCAAGAAGGAGAAGAAGAAAAAGAAGCAGAAGCCACTTGGCATGGATGAACATGCACTTCCAATCACTTTTTGTGTCGCGCACAGGTATCTGTGCGGAGACGAATGACAAACACAGGACAATGTGTCAGATTTTCCGCGCAACGCTCTAATAATTCGAAAACAGAGCCGCGGGACGATTTGCTGCGTTGAAAAGTTCGATTTAAGCGCTCAACTGTCGGAAAATATGGAAATCTTGAAGATCGTCGACTAAATATTTCGTCAGAAGTCAACTTAAAGCGGATAATTTATGAGGAAAAGCGTTCTTCTCGTCAAATTCCAATCTTGTTTTGCTAATTTGCCACGTTTTTGCAGCAACAGTAGATGAAAAAGATTTGAAAAAAGTTTAAAAACTCACCGAAATTAAACTCAGCTTCGGCTGCGCCTCCGTTGGCTCGATGAGACTCGAAACGTAAGTTTTTCATTGTCTTCTTCGGCGCCCGAATGGCAACACTTTCGAAAAGTGATCTCTTTTTTTCCCCCGCTTTTCCCTCATCTTCTCCACCTAAACACTCTGAACAACTGTTCTCTAAAGAGCATCCGAGCTCGGTTAACCTGGAAAAAGTTGTATTTGTGTCTCACTCTGCACTCTCTTTCTCTCTCTGATCTTTGCTTGATTAATGGATTCTCGAAATACTGGGAGAAGAGAGGAGGCGCAGAGATTGTAAAGTAAAATGGGTGCTCGGGAGGAAATTGGTCGCCACGTAAAATGGGGAATAACGAACATTTCGTGCTGCGCCTTCAAACAACGACCGTAATTTCAAAATTGTGAGTGAAAAATCAAATAAAAAATTTAGTCGACGACTCTCAAAATGCCTCAACCTTCTCAATTTGAAAAAAACAACTCAATAAACTCATTTGAATTGTCACGCGAGAGTCAAAAAGGCGTACATATCATTTTATAATTTAACAAAAAAAAACTCACACTTGGCAGCAACAGCATCAGCGTGAAATCCCGAAAAAAATGTGGAGGGAATTTCTTTCTACCTTTGAAAAAGTTGTACGACTTGACTGAAGTGTACAACTTATACCAAGCGTCGAAAAATGGCTTCCACTTCCATGTGGAGTTTATAGACCATACCAGACGGTCTCCTAAGATTATCCTTTTTAGGAAAACCTTCCAAGCCTTTTTTAGGGCTCTCCCAAGACCGTGCGAGACCGTGCAAATGTCATTTTTCGACGACCTTATATGCCTCCGTGGTCGTGATGAAAACGCGCGATGAACCCAACTCAATAATTTCCCGGAATCCGTATGCGGAACCATTGCAAAATTGCGCGCGCCGAATGCAAAAAGGGGCGGGGTCTCGAGGAGTGACGTTCTTGGCCCTCAAACTCACTTGCTCCACCACTTTCCCCCCACAAATCCCATGTTTCCAATGGTTTTTTTGATTTTCCGAATGTTCAGAATTGTTCTCCGGCTTATTTTCCTTTCATCCGTCTCATCTTTTGCCATAAACTATGCGCGTTTTTTGTTACAATGGGTCCAAACGCTGACTTGCGAAAATTTGCGTAATAGGAGCGTTTTCTGGGTGTTTTGAGCTGATTTTCAGGTTGTTTTGGTGCTAAATTGTGAGATCTTACTCTAGTTTACGTACAGTATTCGAAACACGTCGAAATTATCCTGGTTTTGTGCGTTTTTTCTAGTTTCCATCCGCAACAGCCTCTAACCATTATTGATTTTTCTCTTCTTCAGCCTCTTTTTGCCTCCATTTTATCTAGTTTGTTTTCAGAGCCAGTTCAATCGATAATGACTTCGTCTTCTGGTTCGGATTCATCAGATGAGGAGACAAAACCGAAAGTGGCGTCCTCGGACTCGGATTCGGATGAAGAGATAAAACCGAAAAAGAAGAGCAGCGATTCGAGCTCTAAATCGAACGAAGAGAAGCCACAGTAAGCGTGCAATCTAGTAAATTGGACGGAAAATTTGTTTTCAGACCAACTCAGACGAAGAAGAAGGCTTTGACGAAGAGAAAGAGGAAGGCGTCCGGAAGCAGTGATGACGATCAGGTCGACGCCTCGCTCTTCGTGGACAAAGAGGATAAGGCAAGATGGAAGCAGCTCACCGAGCTCGAAAAAGAGCAGGAGATCTTCGAGAGGATGGAAGCTCGCGAGAGTGCACTCGCTCGGGAAGAGATCGCGCAACAGCTCGCCAAGAAGGCCAATAAGGAGAAGGTTCCGAAGAAAGAGAAACGACGAAAAGTTGCCGGCGGCGGAACTTCTCCCAAACCCGGATCCGACTCGGACTCCGAGATGAACGCTGAATTCCACAGACCGAGTGATGTACGTTTTTTTAAATGGTTTCTACAATGCATTTTATTTTTTCCAGATAAACCGTAAGCATAAGGAGAAGAACGCGATGGACGCTCTTAAAAGCAAACGCAAGGAGATTGAGAAGAGAAACGCGAAAAACGCGGCGCTATCAATCGACGCCGTCTTCGGAGCGGCCAATAGCGGATCTTCAAGCTCGTCGAGCTCTAGCGCCAGTTCCCGATCCTCGTCGAGCTCCCGTGATTCCTCACCGGAACGTGCCACCGAGCAGGAGAAAGCAACCAAGAAAGAGGTAGACAGTCTTGGCGAACTCCGCAAGGCTCGGCTCTCGCGCCACAAACTCTCGCTGATGGTCCACGCGCCGTTCTTCAACGCGACCGTCATCGGATGCTACGTGCGTCTCGGGCAGGGAATGATCAGCGGATCGGAGAGCAAGTACAAGATATGGAAGATCATCGAAGTCGAAGAGACGAACAAAGTATACGAGCTGGAGGGAAAGCGCACGAACAAGAGCATTAAATGCCAGCATGGTCGCTCGGAACGAGTGTTCCGTATGCAGTTCGTCTCGAATTCGGAATTCGAACAAGTCGAGTTTGAGGAATGGTTAATCGCCTCCAAGACCAACGGCAACGTGCCGACTGCCGATTTGATGGAGAAAAAGCGGCTGGACATTGAGAAGGCGGTGAATCACAAGTACTCGGACCGGGAAGTCGATGCGATGCTCAAGGAGAAGAGCAAGTTCCAGAAGGTTCCGAGGAACTTTGCGATGACGAAAGCGTCACTTTCGAAGCAGAAAGAGATTGCGCAGCAGACGGGAGACATTCGGGAAGCCGAACGAATCCAGAAGGAGATCGACGAGATCGAGCGACATGCCGACGACCTGGACAAGCAGAGAACCCAGTCGATTAGCAGCATTGCGTTCATCAATCATCGCAACAGGAACAAGATCAAGGATCAAGTGCTCAGTGGTGCGCTGAAAATTGAGGAGAATTCGCAGGACGATCCGTTCACACGTAAAAAGGGTGGAATGCGAATTGTGTCGGGATCAAAGTCCAAACTCGACGGATCGATTTCCGCCTCTTCCTCTTCTACCAATCGTAATTTTATATTTCATTGATCAGAGTCATAACTCCTTTTTCTACAGTTGCCGACGCCCGACACCATGATTCGGTGGCGAGACCAACTCAACCCCCTTCGTCCTTGGCGAAAGGCAATAAAAAGTCGGCGGATCTGGCGAGTCTGCACAACTTCGAACTGGACATCGACCTGACGAAGCTGAACGACTTCACCATCCCGGATTCGATGGCTAGCAAGCGTCCAACTTTGCCAGCCGCTACAAAGTAAGCAGGAAGAGAAGCCGATAATAAATAACAATCGTTTTTTGCAGAGGACTTTCGCTCTCGGAGTACCGAATGCGTCGCACCGGCGGAAGTGACGTCGGAGCCGCAGGAGCCGGGCCGTCGACGTCTTCCTCCTCGTCGGGCGTTTAAACTGCCCCTCGTCACGTTTTATTTATCGCTCTTTACGTCATCGAACTCTCTAATTTCAGTATATTTGGACCAGACCACTGTATTCTCTAAATCTCTGTTAGTTTTATACTTTTGTCTCGGAATAAACCATAAAATCGAGCTGGATTCTCTCATGTATTCATCAAAAACGAGACATTTTGTTCTAAAATTGAAATTGGCTGAACCTAAATGTGTTGCAGTCTCCGAAGGACTTACTCACCGATACTCGTTTTATTGTGCTCCCCAACTACTATCTGTTCCCACAAATTGTTCCATGTACCTTGTGACCCCTCTCCCTGAAAAACGTGTAACACTGTACAATAATTCGCATAATAATAAAAATGTAAAAATTGTGACTTTATTTGTTCCATTCATGACCCGCAATTATACAACTAAAAGTTTTCTGGAATGTGGACGAAGGGTGGGCGTGGCTTCAAAAAATCACAGCTCTTTGATTGGCTTTGCCCGCAGAAAAGAGCTTTTGCTCAGCGAGCACTGGCACGCGACCGGCAACTGAAAATGAGCAATATTCAGAAATTACGAAGCTCCGAAATAACGTAACGCGCCTTGTTTAACACTATTTTACGAAAATCGTTAATTTTTTAGAAATTACTCGAAAATCATAGACTTTTCAAATAAAAGTTTCGATTTTTTGTGATATAACGAACCTGAATCTGCTCGACAATCCAATCCTCACAAGAATCGTCGCCCGAGTTTCGAAGCACTTTGAACGAAAGCGTCTGGATGTCGCACTGGCCGTGTGCTGAAAATTTTTCAATAGAGGCCTGAAAAATAAGTACTTATTCAGAGTACAAGGCAATCACGCTTTGTCGCTCACACTGGGGTCCACGGAAATTTTCAAATTTGGCGGCATTTTCGGTCTAGAGCTCCGAAAATCGATAAGCGACAACATTTTTGAGCGGTACTCACCCATATCAGTGAACGTGTCGAAAATGCAGCCCATCTCTTGCGAATTGCACTGCACCGTGTTGAATATCTTGGGAAAGCAGTTCGAACCGAGCATGAACAGGCCGCGACACTCGGAGCACAGCGATTCGTGCGTTCCTCCGACGACGGACTCGCCGAGATCGGAGCAAACTCCGACGGGAATGAAGTTTCCGAGGGAGCAGGCGCCGGAAGACGTGGGCGGGGCGTCGCTGAAAACGGCGGCACGGAAACGGCCAAACATGCGGCGGACGGGCGACGAAGAGGCATTGGAAGAGGAGGAACGGCGCACGATCTCCTCGTTGAGAGCTCTTTTGATCGCTTGGCAACGGGAATCGCATGCGGTTGACTGCAAGAATCGGAACACTTTCACCGATTTGCACACTTCACGGTCTCCCACGGCGCGAATGATTTCAATGGGGCGCACTTGCAACAGGCGGGCTGTGTCGATTTACGCGGCGGCCGATTAATTAATTTTCAACGGGAGTTCGCGTTCTTTCCATGTTTTCTGTACAATACACCTATTTTTTGTACGCCTGGAACCTGGCGTCGAATAATTAGAGCACTAGCTACGTTTTGGTAACAGAAATCTCGCATTTCGTTGAGAATTAGCCGAGTTATTTCGATTTGAAGGTTTTGGCCTGGATTTTGATGTTTTTCGAATAGTTTTCGAAAACTGCTCAAGAAAACTAACCGCCGGAACCTGAATTTTGTGAAGAAAGATTTAGCGAACATTTTTATCGTTCGTTGGGCTCATGAAATGCAAAATGAGCTGAAATATAAAGGTTTGAAGTTTTGAAGAAATGCGAAAAAGACGCTAAAAACATGAAAAACTCGAAATTCTGTAAAGAACGGTTTTCAATCAGTAAAATATTGTTTTCTAGACGTTTTTCAAGTCAAAAAGATAGAAATAAAGGTCGTAAACTCGAATTGAACTGCATTTTTAGACCTGCAAATTTTCAAAAGTTACAACGACACTCCGCAATTTACGAGCGCACTGTGTTTAGCATTAGCGCCCTGAGAGACCGTGCACTTTCAACGGGAAACACTCACCTGCTGGACCATCTCAATCTGAACCGCATCGTCCAACGCACCGCCCAACGGATTCTGCGGGAACGAATCGGCAAAATTGGCGGCCGCCTCGTCCACCGAATCCGCCATGAACCGTTGATTCCGTCCGCCGGCCGCCTCGAGCAGTCTGTACTTTTCCGCCTCCGAATACTTCTGACACTGAATGCTTGAGGAGGGACGCAGTCTGCAACGTCATCGTGAAATTGAGAAGAACGTATTCAGATTCTAACTTTTTCATTCTCATCGCAATCTTCGTCTTTGGAAGTTGAGGAGAAGCTGTGGATAGTGTGTCCGTTTCATTGTTCACGTCAAAGTCTTCGATGATCTCGAACGTCGAGTTGATCAGAATCGTAATCTCCGAATCGTTTTGTGTGATTTGGCCCGTCTGATAGCCATAGCCCGTGTCCATCTCGGCCGGAATCGAGAGGAACAAGTTGAATAAAAAGAGGAGCATTAAGAAATCTGCAAAAAAGGCTGGCGTATTGCACACGTAGGCGCGGAGAGAGTATGCGGGCCGGCAAAAGGAGCGGAAACGGATGTTTGTGCCGCGCGGAAAGGGTGCGGAACGAGGGAGCAGACAGAGAAAGCGCGAAAGTGAGCGGCAAAGAAAAGTTTTCTGATCTTTGGAGGGTGTGACGCATATTGAGTTGGGGGTTAGACAAACAGAATTATCTCCACTGATTGGACAAAATTCGCAGGCTGTTTGTGGTTTCTGGAACGAGGAAGTTATCGCGCTCTACCGGTCGCGTATTTTGGAGATTTAAAAGTAAATTAAGCTAAAAAATCAAGTCTCCAGAGCTGACAATATGGGCGTGGCCTCGGCGAAATGGCATTTTCATGAATTGAGCAGGCTTTCTCTGATTTTTGTGGTCAAATGCGATGAAAAATGATTGTTCGACAAGGAAAACACACTAATTCTCAGAAATAATGACCTTTTGGCGCATTTTTCGCAAATTTTGCTTTTTCGCTCTCGCCGCCGATAGCCGCCTAAAAACCGCACTTCTCATTTTGCGCTTTCTTGACCGTTTTCAGACAGAATTGGTTTTGAGAATGATAAATCACGCAAATACAAGCATTTCAGCGCTCGAACCGCGAAAACTACCGAAAAGCAACTGAAATTCACGCAGTTTTAGCCAAAAACCTTCAAACGGATAAATGTGATTTGCGACTTGACCAAATTCAACGCTCTTGTGCTTAAAAAATTCTTAATGGCCTATACAATCAGTCTATCGAGAGACAAATAAGAAATTATCGGTTTTTCGTGGCTAATCTGGCAAAAAACACAAATTTTGCTGTTAAAATTTGAATTTCGCGCCAATGTATCGCTCTATTGGGCGGGGCGCACTTGCGCCCATTGTCAGCTCTGAAGACTGTGCAAAGTGTAAAATACAAGAGAGTTTTTGAATTTCGCTCGTAAGAAATTCGGAGCGCAATTGTCGCGAATCAATCTGAAAAGCCAGGCATAAATTTGAATTCGACAAAGAGAACAGAGGCGCAAAGAGTATACACATTTGTCTATTGTAATAATAACTGACCGACAGGAAAGAGACTGATCAAAAATGGAAAACAAACAGGCGAGTGTTGTTTGTCGGCCGGCGAGCGAGCACACGGAGAACCCAGAGGAACGTGGCAAATAACCGAAAAGTTCAACCTTTTTGTGGGCGAAAAAGATATGGCAACACGAGAATTTGCATATGAACTGAATGCGGGAAGACGGAAGACAAAACAATTGTTCGTTTTGCAAATCGGCACTTTTGAGCACTTGTTCGCACGCGGTACCCTTTCGGCTATTCGTCATCCGTTTTCAAGGTCATTTCCCCCCCTCGGCCGCCGCTTTTTGTCTTTTTGTAAGCGGCATTATCGAAAACGACCTCGGCACGAAGAGTTTTCCCAAATGTTTGTATTTTTTTTCGCGCTGCGCCTTTAATTCTACCGTATTCCGCCCAATTCTTACTGTAAGTTTGAAGGCGCAGTCCATAGCAGCCTTCTCTTCGTTTAATTTCCGCCAGTTTGAGTCAAATCTGTAGCAATTCTGGAAAAATTGAAGAATGGGATTGTGATACTGTAAATTTCGCACTGTAGATCACCTCGAGGCCCTGAACGCGTCTGAATCTGAACCAATTTACGATGTCACTATTTGCACACTTTCAAAAGTTCATTGCCATAAAAACTAGGGGGTTTTTCCCCCAAAACACTGTGTGTACATTTCGACGGAATCCAAGTCTTTTGCCACAAAAAGAACACCTGCTTCTTCTTCTTCTTCTTCTTCTTCTTCTTCCCCTCCGCCGCCGCCTTCTCCTCCTTCTTCTCGGGGGGCAACGACGACCATTTGTGTGCCCTGGCGCTCTCGTTTTTTTGTTACTTTTCTCGCTCTCTCTCTTCTTCTTCTTCTTCTTCTTCTTCTGGCGCCTTCCGCTTCTGCTTCGCGTGCCCCGGATCACAAAAGAGCAAGCAAAAGTTGGGCGTGATTCATCATCAGTTTGAATATGAAAATAATCAAGAGAGAGAGAAGGAGAGAGAGAGAGAGAGAGAGAGAGAGAGATGGCGGCCGCCCAATTAGCCGGTGTCTTCGCCCGGACCAGGACTTGGCTCCTCGCTCACACTCGCTCTCACACACACACACACACACAATGCACATATAATTATAGACACACATACCTCTCGCGCTCTGCTTCGCGGATAGAAAGAGAAAGAGGAAAGGAGAGAGGAGAAGAGTCACACTCGCGTTGCCCTGACGTTTTTATCTTCAGTTTTAGGTGAGCAAAGTCAGAGAAGGAGAAGAACCGAGCGCGTGTCTCCTCGATTCGTGTGGCTCCACGACGTTTTGCAACCGCCGGACGTCTCGCTGTGCAACTTATCGCTCGTATTGTTTTTGTTGTTGTTGCAAAAGTGGCCAAACAGAGACTGTATACCAAAACTTTATTCGTTACTCATCATCAGCTTTCGAAATGTGCAGCCGTGCCGACGGGCGCACGGACGGACGACTCCCGTTAATATTAGTCATCATCCAATTTCGGGCGGTGTCAACCAACGCGAGCGCCAAAGAGAGAGAGAGAGAAAAGCCTTCAAAACTTTACGGTTTTTTGTTGTCACACAACATGCAGCATCTTACAAGGCGCGATTTTTTCGATTTTCCCAAACGTTCATCTGTGTTGCGCCTTTAAACCTACCGTAACCTTGCATACGGTAAAATTAAAGGTGCAGCACGAAAAGTGAACAAGGGATTCGGAGCGCAAACCCACATTTACGCAAAAACTTTGACAGTATAAAATTTCTGATGTTCTTCTAGCAAATTCACTTGACTCTTTTCCGTTTCGGAGAGTCTCAAAAGTCTCGGACTGTCCGCTTTTGCCTCGTTTTGGTAGAATCAAAGGCGCAGCACGAAAAATGAGCGCCAGACCGGGTCAGAAAGCCAGGTTTGCTGAGAGATTGAGATTCAAATTCAGTTTTGCATGTTGACTTGCCAAGTCTCGGACACACGTATTTTCCCATGATGAATGTGCGTTTTTCCTCGTGATAACTGCCCTCTTTAGATTCCTCGTCCTTTTCCATGCACATCCCCTCTGCCTCTCTCTCTCTTTTCTTTCTTTCCGTCTCTCTCTCTCTCTCTCTCTCTCTCTCTCTCTTCTCTGTCCGGTGATAAACACAACCACATCGGTGCCTTTCCTTCCCGAAAATGTTATGGTTTCATCATCACCCTCCTCCCTCCCCGCGCCTCAGATATGTTTCATCGACCGTCGACTATATACACGGCCGACGCGCGCTCTTGTTTTGTTTTTTCTCGTCCTCTACCCCATGCCTCTAAAAATCGTATCGTCGACCTAATCGAATCATATCTAAGGCCTACCGTATTCAATTTTCTTAGAAAGACTCGCTTTGAGAAAAACAGACAACGAATTGACTCACTCACTCACAAAAGGCGACTCGTTCGTTTCGTTTCGCCCAAAGGTGATAAGAGCTGGCTCTGCGCTCGCGATGATCGATGATAACGAGTTTCGGCTGTTGTTTCACTTTTCTTGTGTCCTGGAACCGCTGAGCTACCGTAAATACTGTAATAGAACCGTCTTTTTACGAGACCGTATATCTCGGCTGTCTGTGAAGACATCGAAAAGGTGTCAACTAGACAATTGCTCAGAGAGACTTTGTGCACATTTTATTAGTTGCTCACTTTTTGATATCTCTGGCGGCGACTGAGATGGCTCTTAAATAACACACTTTCCAACACTTACTCTCATCTCATTCCCCCCAATTTGCTCGCTTCCTTCCACTCGAATAGTTTTCTATAACTGATCAAAGTCTGATCGAAAGTAATCCGTGTGGTGTGCGTCCCCCACATACTCTTATCACTTATCACCCCCCCTCGCTCTCCTTCTCGCTCTGCCCCGGCTACTTTCCTAATCACTCCATTCCATTCCAGAGACATGGTTCTCCAATCGATCCAAACCGCCTTCCAAAAGTACATTGCCGCGCCGACGCCGTGCTCGAAGCGGCGGCCGATGATTCCGTCGCCGCTGATCGGATGTCCCGAGGTCGGCGTCGTGTACGGCGCCCGTTTCCGACGCGCCGGTTATTGCTACCGTTTCCGTCCGGACAGCCACCTCGAGTACGAGCGCCAGATGGCCGACTTCGAGGTGCCGAAGAAGAAGATTCTGAAGAGAGACATGGAAAAAATCGACGCGCTCCTGCCCATCGACATCTTGTTGCGTTCGCTTCAAGAGCAGGCCGAGCGAATTCCACCGCCGCCCGACCCGATTCCAATCCGTCTCAAAATGCTGCCGCAGCTCCGGCGTGTCAAGTGCAAACGATACTTCCGCAAGCGATACGTGGACGAGCCCTACAAACGGCAGCCGCTGCGACTGCCCGAGCGCGGTCAGCTCATCGCCAGACAAATCACCATCGAGCAGATTCTGAAGTCGGCGCACTTTGGCGCGAGGGCCGCCAATCCGAAGATGGTGGCGCTGATGCTTGTGACGCGGATCTTGCAGAGACCGCCCGACAGCGCGAGAATCGACGCGTCGCAACTGATAGCGCAACGTCGCGGACTCCTACACCGGTCAGTTTCTTTATTTTTTTGTGTGTGTTGTTGGTCGACACGACCTTATCAGCAACAGAAACAATCGTTATCAGTAAACGTTTTCAGCGAGGAAGGTCTCCGATGGCTGCAACTGTTCCTGCCGGGCGCGTGCGAGAGCAACCCGAAAATCCCGGCGGCGTTCCGCATGTTCGACCACACCGACGAAGGCATTCCCGAGGAGATCATCGCGAAACGACCGCAATACCATCAGATGCTCAACACTTATCAGTTCCGTGTCCTCGCGAAACGATGTGCGTGCGGTGGAAACGCCGATTTGGAGGAACGCTTTTTGCTCGGAGAGATCATCGGACTCTCCGAAAAAGAGGTTGACGGATCTGTTCTCCGGGTTTCTTTTAAATTTCCCGCATTTTCAGGTACAAAAACATCTTCAAGACTTGCGAACGATCGATGAAGATGAGGACGAGGAAGAGGAAGAGGAAGAGGAGGAGGAGGAGGACGATGTGGAGGACGAGAAATCCGGAGAGTTCCGAGAGACGAGCCGTCCCAAAAGTCCACTAATGACTCTGTGCGAAGACTGATCTGATCATCTTTTTCTGTACATACGTGTGTTTCATACTCTAATAATGCCGCGTCCAAAGTCTCGGAAAACCCCGCAAATCTCGCCGATTTCGCAGTCCAAAGTCGGCAGAAATTTGCGGGAAATCCGGGGTGCGCACAGCTGAACGAGTGTTACCGTACACCATAAAAACTAGGGAATTTTTTTGAAAATTTACCCGAAAAAAATTTAAATTTTTTTCAAAAAAATACCGTTGAAAAATTTACCCAAGAAATTTGAAAAAAATTTCAAATATTCTCGAGAATTTTAAATTTTTTTAAAAAAATACCGTTGAAAAATTACCCAAGAAATTTGAAAAAAATTTCAAATATTCTCGAGAATTTTAAATTTTTTTCAAAAAAATACCGTTTTTAAATTTACCCAAGAAATGTGAAAATTTTTCCAATATTCGCGAGAAATTCAAATTTTTTTCAAAAAAATACCGTTAAAAAAATTTACCCAAGAAATTTTTAAAAAAATTTCAAATATTCGCGAGAAATTTAAATTTTTTTCAAAAAGCACCGTTGAAAATTTCAAATATTCTCGAGAAATTTAAATTTTTTTCAAAAAGCACCGCTGAAAATTTACCCAATAAATTTGAAAAAAATTTCAAATATTCTCGAGAAATTTAAATATTTTTTTAAATACCGTTAAAAAAATTTACCCAAGAAATTTGAAAAAAATTTCAAATATTCTCGAGAAATTTAAATTTTTTTCAAAAAGCACCGTTGAAAATTTACCCAAGAAATTTGAAACTTTTCAAATATTCTCGAGAAATTTAAATTTTTTTCAAAAAAAATACCGTTGAAAAATTTACTCAAGAAATTTGAAAAAAATTTCAAATATTCTCGAGAAATTTAAATTTTTTTCAAAAAAATATCGTTGAAAAATTTACCCAAGAAACTTGAAAAAAAGTTCAAATATTCTCGAGGAATTCAAATTTTTTTCAAAAAGCACCGTTGAAAAATTAACCCAAGAAATTTTAAAAATTTCAAATATTCTCGAGAAATTTAAATTTTCTCAAAAAATACCGTAGTTTTATGGTGAACGGTAACACTCGTTCAGCTGTGCGCACCCCGGATTTCCCGCAAACTTCTGCCGACTTAGGACTGCAAAATCCGCGAGATTTGCGGGTTTTCCGAGACTTTGGACGCGGCATAACATCATCTAGCCCAATAAGCAACCGCCTTTCTCTTTCCCCCCTGTGCACTTATTCACGTGTCCCCCGCCGAGTTGGATTGCTATCTCTTTTTTCGGATATTGTTGGTAATGTGTTGTGTTCTCTCCACGTGTTCCTCCCTCTCAACTTTATTATTTCCCAACTTGCCTTGAACTGAAGAAGCATAACGATTTTCAACTCAACTGTAACTGCGAGAGACCAATGACGAGCGTTGTTCAGAATGCAATCAAAAGTGAGGCTTTTGGATACGCCTAGGGGTCGGAGTACTTGCAATCGAATGTTCCAGAAGAGAAACCGAGAGGCGAGGAGACGAAGAGCGAGGTGGAGTCGGAGCCGAGCGAGTACTCGCAGACGAAGAGCAAGAGTGTCATGTCTGCGCCGAGCACCGACGACACTTCGCTCCGTCACGCCTACAGTGTGCTCTTGCGAGTTCTCATGTCCGGAAAAGCCGGCGAGCACACTCTGACTCGAGCCGTCCCGCCGGACGATGTCTTTTCGCTGCTCGATACGGTCAAGTGAGCGACGAAAATAAGAGTCCGTCTCAACACCACATTCAGAAAGGTGTTCATGGAGCAGCCAGTGTGTCTGGAGCTCGACGGTCCGATCCAAGTGTGCGGGGACATTCACGGACAGTTCAGTGATTTGCTGCGCATCTTCGACAAGGCCGGCTTCCCGAACCGCCAAAACTACCTGTTCCTCGGCGACTACGTGGATCGCGGCAAGAACTCGCTGGAGACGATTCTGCTGCTCTTCTGCTACAAAATCGTCATCCCCAAACACTTTTTCCTGCTGCGCGGCAACCACGAGTGTCCGATGATCAACAAGATGTACGGGTTCTACGATGAGTGTCAGCGGCGCTACCGTCTGACGCGTGTCTGGGAGGCATTCCAGGACGTGTTCGCGCACATGCCCTACACTGCGATCATCGGAGGACGCATTCTGTGCATGCACGGTGGGGTCGGACCCAAGGTTCGTTGGGGGGATCAGAACGATCGGAACGGCCTGAAACTTGGGCCTAGAAGCCTGCAAAGCAGACTTGCAACGGGCCGGGCCGGGCCAAAATTGGAAATTTTCCGGCCCGGCCCGGCCCGGTCGGCCCGGGAGGATGCACCTAAAAATTCAAAGCGAACTAGAACTTCGAAACGAATATAATTTTATAGACTTAAAATTTTATAGACTTAAAAAGGCAATGCTATAGCATAAAAACCTGTTAAAAAATAGAAATTGCTGTTTAAAGTCACAAAATTTTCACAAAAATTACAAAAATTTTCTCAAGAGTGGGCGGAGCGATTGATTGCAACTCTGGCACGCTATTTTAGCAATTTTGCCGCACGCGTTTTCCTCTTCCTTCATATTTTTTTTGCATATTTTTTTTGAGGTCTAACTTCCGGGCCGACGGGGCCGGGCCGGGCCGACGATTTGCTAACCCGGCCCGGGATTTGGCAAGTCTGCTGCAAAGTGTGCCAAAACTCCAGCGTTGGCCGGGAAAAAATATCTGAAACTAGATGGAAATGAAATGGATTTCAGTTGACGAGTCTCGACATGCTCCGTCAGTTCAAACGTCCTCAATACCAGCCGGAAACGCAGTCGCTCGAGATGGACATCCTCTGGAGTGACCCGTCGAACTTCCACAAGTCGTGGGCGCCGAACACGCGCGGAGTCTCGGTGGTGTTCGGCGCCGACGCGCTCCGCCGTCTCCTCAACAACGTCGACATTGACATTGTCGTGCGAGCGCATCAGTGCGTCCAGGACGGCTACGAGTTCTTCTGCGGCCGCCGCCTCGTCACGCTCTTCTCGGCGCCCTTCTACTGCGGACAATTCGACAACGCGGCCGCCGTGATGCTCATCAGCGCGCGGCTCGTCTGCTCTTTCAAGGTTACCGAAAACTTTAATTTTTCATTTATTCATATTTCATATAAATGAAAACGCCTCGGGCAACGTTTCACGCTCTCTCCTTTTTTCAGATTCTACGCCCGCGGAAGAAGGTCTCGCCGAGGCAAGAAACAAAAGATTGGAGAAGGGAATGGAAAGAGTGATCGCATTTCTGATATAAACACTTTTCCCTCCAATATTTATGTCTTTTTCTTTTCCCCTTCCCCCCTCTCTCTCTCTCTCTCTCCGGTAGTGCATGGATATTATTATTGTTTATTCAGTTCCCGCTCCCTCTCCTTCCACCCCGTAAACTTGTTGTATTTCGTTCTTCCATGCATGGACTGTGTGTGTGTTTTTCCTGCCCGCCGCCACACGCGCATCATCTCATCCAGCAGTTTTTCGCCCACTCAAATACGTTCGTTTGATGGCCACGTGGCCCCACCGTCGTCTATGTACCAGATTTGAGCGGAAGAATTTTTTATCTTTTTTAGAACATTTTTTCATGAAATGTGATCAACTGACGAAATGTATAGCAAAGTGAACTGTGCTCATAGAAAAATATGTGTAAATTTAGCTCTACATACAAAAAAGATATTCGAGTTGTTACGTGAAAAAGGGGCTAACGAAAGGACATTTTCACGGAACAACTCGAATAACTTTTTTGAATGAAAAGCTAATTTTACAATTATTTTTCTATGAGCACAGTTCACTTTGCTCTACATTTCGTCAGTTGATCACATTTTATAAAAAAAATTTCTAAAAAAGATAAAATTCCGTGATTGGAGATTGGCCCGGTTTCCGATGGGGTGATAGACGAAACTAGACGAAACTAATTGGATTCGGTCCGCCCGTTTCCAATTTCCTGTGTCATGTCGGATTGTGGCAGGCCACTCATATGGCTGGCTATCCGATCTTTTTAAAGTTTTTTAACCTGTCGAAAAACGCCAAAACTTTTTAAATGTTTCTGCGTCGCGCCACGGCCCGCTACAACTTTTTCCTTCTTCTCCACAACATCTTCAGTGCACAAGAGGAGAAAGTTGAGAACATTCGGCCATTTCTCAAATTAACGAGCCTTTCTTCGCGCTTCTTCTCGCGCATGTTCTTTGGCCACAAATCTCATTTGAAACTCTTCTTCTTCTTCTTCTTCTTCTTCTTCTTCTCGAAGCTCCGCCCACTTTCTGCCTGCTCTCCACACACGCCCTTATTTCCGCTCCAATTCGAATCATCGCACGACTCCTAGACACACACACACACACACGCTCTTTTTCACTCTTTTTCACTCGAATTTCATTCGCCTACCCCGTTTTCAAATGAAAATGAATTCGTGAGAACGAGCGGCTAGCTATTTTCATTTCCGGTGTTCAATGACGTCACAGGCGGATGAGCCGGCTCTCCTCTCCCAAAAGGGAAAAGTTGTCGATCAAAAAAAAAAGAAAAAAGTTTCGCTCTCTGATTGATAGGTTTTTGTCCCATTGCTTCGAAAAAAGTGATATATCTCAGCTGCTGGTGCAGCTATTGAAAAACTGTCAACTGAACAAATGAGCACAATGTTTTGATGAACAATTTGTTAGTTGACAACTTTTTGATATCTCTATGGACAACAGAGATACACGGTTTTGAATGTGGCAGCACCGCGCGACAAGCGAACAAAAAACGTTGAGTCAGACTACCTACATATATTATGAATGATTAAAAGCGCAAAATGATAATATAATCCGTATGCCAACTCGTTTTCAAGCCACGATAATCCCTCGATCGTCTTCTTCTTCTCCTTCAATTTGGGATGTGTCTGGAGAAGTTGTGAGCACGCGCGCACGCGCCGGCGTCTCGTCGATTTGGTCGCGCTCTGTCGCTTCGGAAGAAAAAGAAGAAGGCGTCGTTGTGGGGCTGGAGCTCCTCTTTTTCTCGCCGTAGGCTATCGATTTCTCGGCTTCTCTCACTCGCGCCCCTTTCTATGGGCTTCTTCTTCTTCTTCTTCTTCTTCTTCTTCTTCTCCTTCATCATCATCCTGCGAGCGCACGCGCGCATCCGAAAAGCAGAGAGACGCCAGAAAGAGAGAGACAGGCCCCTTCTTCCCATTTCGTTCGCTCTCTCTCTCTCCCTCCCCTTTTTCTATTTCATTTTCGAATTGGAATTGAATTCGATTCAATTCGTCGCCGGTACAACTCCGAATCGTCGTCTCCCGATCTTCCAGAATCTCTCCGGATCCCGCGCGCGCCCTTCTCCGTTCGTCGGCACGCTCGACGAACGACGATGAGCGAAGATCCGACGACGTCGGAACTTTTGACGGAAGACCGACTTGTCGCGAGATGTGTTCAATGTTTTGGTAGGTGCCGAATTGGATATGCAAATAAATTCAAGCCGCCCATTTTGAAGACGTCGACGAGGAGGATGGCGAGGTGGAGAAGGACGTCGAATTCGCCGACGCGCTCTTCCTCAGCCATCAGTGGCTGAGCGACAGTCTCTCGCTCATCACACACTTTGTCAACTATTATCAGGTGCGTTTTGTGCTTGACTCACCAGAAAACGACGTTTTTAGGAGTCGCGAAGTGTGGAACAACGCGAAGCCGTCTGTCGTGCCGTCTCGTTTTGGATCGAAAAGTTTCCGATGCACTTTGACGCTCAACCGCAAGTGTGCGCTCAAGTTGTTCGCCTCAAAACGATTGCGGAAGACGTGAACGAGAGCGTCCGCAGCGGATTGGATGTCAGCGCATTGTAAGCGGTTTTTTCTCTCTCTCAAAACTCGCTGTCTCGTTCCAGACCCTCATTCGCGTGGCTTCGTGCCGTTTCCGTCCGAAATCCGCTCGCCAAACAGGTAAGCGGCGACGCTTTTTTGTGATTTGAGAGCCAATTCAGTTTGGTGCGCTTTTCGTGTGTTCAGCGCGAGTGACGCCTCTTCTCAGTTGCCACGTGGAATGTGCAGATTGCGCGTGTGAACCGAAAAAAGCGAAAACGATTTCAGACGAGCGTGCGCGCCGGTTTCGAGACTCTTCCCACTCCGGGCACTCCGCCGCCATTCCCCATTGCTCACAAGTTGTCACTAGTAGCCACTAAATCCCATATCCGCTCACCTGATCGCTCGAAATTCCATTTGCAGACCGCTTTCTCGCTCTCGTTCGTACAAGCGTCGGCCAGCGACATTTCCACGTCACTTTCTCACATCGACTACAGAGTCTTGTCGCGGATTTCGGTGAGAGAGATTTTGGGATTTCGGCGCGACATAAATCCCCTCTTGCAGATAACCGAACTGAAGCAATACGTCAAAGATGGCAACTTGAAATCGTGCCCTATGCTCGAAAGAAGCATCTCTGTGTTCAATGTAACCGACTGGCCGACCGTATCGCAATATAATTGAAATAGACGATTTCAGAATCTCTCAAACTGGGTACAATGCATGATTCTCAACAAAACGACGCCAAAAGAGCGCGCGGAGATTCTGGTAAAGTTCGTGCACGTCGCCAAACACCTCCGGAAGATCAACAACTTCAACACGCTCATGTCGGTCGTCGGCGGAATAACGCATTCGTCGGTGGCGCGGCTCGCGAAAACGCACGCGGCGCTCTCGAACGACATCAAAAAAGAGCTGAGCCAACTGACGAACCTGCTCTCGGCGCAGCACAATTTCAGCGAATATCGCAAAGCGCTCGCGTCGTGCAACAAAAAGTTTCGCATTCCGATCATGTAAGTTGTAGGAGGTCACGGTCTCCAGAGCTGACAATGGGCGCAAGTGCGCCCCGCCCAATAGAGCGATACATTGGCGCGAAATTCAAATTTTAACAGCAAAATTAGTGTTTTTTGCCAGATTAGCCACGAAAAACCGATAATTTCTCATTTGTCTCTCGATAGACCGATTGTAAAGGCTATTACGAATTTCTTAAGCGCAAGAGCGTTGAATTTGGTCAAGTCACAAATCACATTTATCCGTTTGAAGGTTTTTGGCTAAAACTGCGCGAATTTCAGTTGCTTTTCGGTAATTTTCGCGGTTCGAGCGCTCAAAATGCTTGTATTTACGTGATTTATCATTCTCAAAACCAATTCTGTCTGAAAACGGTCAAGAAAGCGCAAAATGAGAAGTTGAGAAGTGTGGTTTTTAGGCGGCGATCGGCGGCGAAGGTGAAAAAGCCAAATCCGCCAAAAATGCGCCAAAACGTCATTAAATCTGAGAATTAGTGTGTTTTCTTGTCGAACAATCATTTTTCATCGCCTTTGACCAAAAAAAATCAGAGAAAACCTGCTCAATTCATGAAAACGCCATTTGGCCGAGGAGGCCACGCCCATATTGTCAGCTCTGGAGACCGTGCGAGGTGTCGAACTCTCGACCAACCCACCCAGACTCGTTCAGTGGCGTCCATCTCAAAGATCTCGTGGCCATCAACTGTTCGGGCGCGAATTTCGAAAAGACAAAGTGCATCAGTTGTGAAAAGCTGGTGAAACTGGCCACGCTACTCTCGAACTTTTTGGTTTTCAATCAAAAAGGACACAACTTGCCGGAGATGAACATGGATCTGATCAACACGTTAAAAGTTTCACTCGACATCCGCTACAACGACGACGACATCTACGAGTTGTCGCTGAGAAGAGAGCCCAAAACGTTTATGGCGGTAGGCCGCGGAATTTGAATAGTTCTCATGACTTTTTTTCAGTTCGAGCCGTCACGAGGAGTGGTGTTCGCCGAATGGGCGTCTGGAGTGACGGTCGCGCCGGACAGCGCGACAGTCTCCAAACACATCAGTGCGATGGTCGACGCCGTCTTCAAACACTACGACCACGACCGTGACGGCTTCATCTCGCAACAAGAGTTCCTGCTGATCGCCGGCAACTTTCCGTTCATCGACGCCTTCGTCAACATTGACGCCGATCGAGACGGACAGATTTCGAAGGACGAGCTCAAGACGTACTTTATGGCGGCCAACAAGAATACGAAAGATTTGCGGCGAGGTTTTAAGCACAATTTCCACGAGACGACGTTCCTGACGCCGACCACGTGCAGCCATTGCAGCAAACTTTTGTGGGGCATCATCCGGCAGGGCTACAAGTGCAAGGACTGCGGGCTCGCCGTGCACAGCTGCTGCAAATCGAACGCCGTGGCCGAGTGCCGACGGAAGAGCAGCAGCAATCTGACAAAGGCCGCCGAATGGCTCTCGTCGCCACGTGGCAGTGTGCGCAACAAACTGTTCAACACTTGCAAGTGAGTTGAGGGCGTTAGTTTGAGGAAAACGAATTCTTAAAGTTCCCTAACTCTCAGACGGTCTTCCCGTCCGCGCACCGTTTCCGCTGTGGCCACATCTCCAACTGCCGAAGCCGTTCTCGACGAATCGCCGCCAACGTGCTCAACGTCCGCCCGGCTCACCCTTCCGCCGTCTTTGAAGGACATCCGTCACCAGTCGGAGAGCACCGAGTACTAGTGAGTCTAGTGAATCGCCAAAAAAAAGAACGAGATTTAGTTTTAGTCACTCTGGAAGCACTCCCGACGAGGAAATCGGACTGGTTAGCCTCGCATGCGAGGAAGTTTTCGAAGACGACGACGTGCCGGACATCTCCTCAGCTTCATACCGCACTGCGTAGTTTTAGTTCCTCCTGGCCCCCAAATTTACCCGTTTTCTATGTAGACTTTCGCCCCTTTCCCCGTTCGTTTGTATATACGAGTTTGCGATATGCGATATGACTCTTCACACCATATCACTCTGTCCCTTTCTGTCCCCCCACCTGTACACCATTCTCATCACACACTCCGAGCTTTTTCTCACCGTTTATTTGATCTCAACGCGAATATTCTCACGTGTAACTATTTGTTTGTCATTTGTCATCAACCTGAATGAATTTATTTGAACTGTTTTCGAGATTGCACCGATTTTTAGGCAAATTTCGTTTAGAATTGAATGAGAACCCATTCTTACAAGTTTTGAGCCTAAAATAATCGAATTCTCACTTTTTGAGCTCTCCAAATACTCGCAATCTTGAGCTGCATAATTTTTGAATCGATCATTGAAAAATCGCTCTGAAATTTTGTTTTCCGCCTATCGGACGTTCTAAAAACGGTACAATCATATAAAAACAAATGAGTCACCACACCCACGTGAAAATACAAACGTGTCAAACTTAGCTATCAATTTTTCACTCATTATCACTAGGTTCCGTTCTAAAAAGCGCTGAATGCTCTGCGTTAACTTTGGCAAGGTCAGTTTTTTTGTATCAAAAATTCACTGATCATTTATCACCCATTTTTGTTGAAAAACTTTACAAATCGTTGAAATCCGGGCTGAAATCTGAATATTCTCGTGAAAACGGTGCGTCGGCAGGTCGGCAGCCCGTAAATCGACACTAGGTCGCGGCGAGACCCGCCTGCTGATTGGCCCGCCAAACAAAAGCATTCAAATTTTCTGCCCGCGGTGTCGCTCCGTTTTTTGTCATTCTTCATCGCAGTTTTCCATTTTTCGTCTCTTTTTTTCACCTGACCCGATTATCGAACACCTGAGCCAATTTTCAGATGAATCGGTTGCCCGCCATCACGAAACAACCACAAAAGCAGCAGCAGCAGCGAAAGGAGAAGGCGCCGCCAGAGGTGCCAGCGGTCATCGTTGACAAGGTCAGTGGGACGACCTGCTGAATGTCAGGACAAATGTCACTTGCAGGAGCGTAACACGCAGTACGAGAAAGGACGGTTCCTAGGAAAGGGAGGATTCGCTCATTGCTATGAACTCAAGAATCGATCGAATGGGGAGATTGTGGCCGGCAAGGTGGTGCCGAAGAGCATGCTCGTCAAACAGTATCAGAGAGACAAGGTAGGCCAGAACCAGATTCTCTAAACTAATCAACGCTTTCAGATGACGCAAGAAGTGCAAATTCACCGAGAACTATCGCATGCGAACATTGTCAAACTCTTCCACTTTTTTGAAGACAATCTCAACGTCTACATAACTTTGGAGTTGTGCGCGCGACGGTCGCTGATGGAGCTGCACAAGCGAAGAAAGGCGGTAACCGAGCCGGAAGCCCGCTATTTCACACATCAAGTCGTCGAGGGAGTTCTTTACTTGCACGACCTCAAAATTATTCATCGTGACATGAAACTCGGAAATCTCTTCCTCAACGACGACCTCGTCGTCAAAATCGGAGACTTTGGCCTAGCCACCACGGTGGACGGCGACGAGCGGAAGAAGACGTTGTGCGGCACGCCCAACTACATAGCGCCGGAGGTGCTCAACAAACTGGGACACTCGTTCGAGGTGGACATCTGGGCGGTCGGATGCATCCTCTACATCCTGCTCTTCGGACAGCCGCCGTTCGAGTCGAAGTCGCTCGAGGAGACCTACTCGCGCATTCGCCACAACAACTACACGATCCCGTCGATCTCGAGTCAGCCGGCGGCGAGCCTCATTCGCAAGATGCTGGATCCGGAACCGACGCGGCGTCCGACTGCCAAACAGGTAATTTTCACGTCGTTTCCCTTTAGTTCTTCTCACTTTGTGGAGGTGTCTCGCGTGACAGCCGCTCTCGAAGTGTTTCACGTTCGGTTTAGTTGCCCCACATTTACACTACAAAAGAGCTCGGAATCCGCCGGAAATCAGTGTAGTTCGAGTTTTCTGAGCGATGCGATCTCTCCTCTCGCAGGTGCACCGCGACATCTTCTTCAAATCCGGCTTCATGCCGACCCGGCTGCCCGTCTCGTGTCTCACGATGGTGCCAAAGTTCGGCGGACGTGACACGTCGATCATGGAGGAGAATGTGGCGCCGAGAGGAGCCGATGCGCGTGTGCAACGGTTTGTGAAAACTAGTTGGAGACTTCGAAAAAATCAAGATTGCAGACCGCTAAACGGAAGAGCCGGATTGGCGGCTCTCCCGGCACACATCGTCGGCAACAACGCGGATCGCGAACGAGCCCAGCAGCAGGCGTCGGAGGCCACGTTCAGAGAGCCGGAGGACGCCTACTTGTCTCTTCTGTTCCACCAAGTCGCCGTGCTCCTCGAGAAACGCATTCCTGGAGTGAGCGAGCCCGCTCTCTTCTCACCAATAACTAAATTTTGCAGCTCGAAGAGGAGGAAGCGGCCCTCGACGGATACCAATCTCCGGAATGTTTGCCCGTCTTCTGGATCTCGAAGTGGGTCGACTACTCGGACAAGTACGGAATCGGATACCAGCTGTGCGACAACTCGGTCGGTGTGCTCTTCAACGACAACTCGCGCATCATGCTCGATCAGGCGGGCAACGAGTTGACGTACATTGAGAAGAGCAACCGGGAGCACTACTTTTCGATGAGCTCCGGAGAGATGCCGGGCTCGTTGACGAAGAAAGTGACGCTGCTCAAGTACTTCCGCTCGTACATGAACGATCATCTTCTGAAGGCGGGCGAGGGCTCGGAGCAGAGAGCTGGAGACGATTTGGCTCGACTGCCGACCTTGCGCGTCTGGTTCAGAACCAAGTCGGCGATCGTGCTGCACTTGTCGAACGGAACCGTCCAGATCAACTTTTTCACGGTGAGAGAAGATTTCCTTTGGCGCGTGACTTTATCCGTCTCTTTCAGGATCACGTCAAGATGATGATGTGTCCGTTGATGCAGGCGGTCACGTTCATAGATCAAAACAAGCGGATGCTCACCTACAAGTTCAACAATCTCCATCACAATGGTTGTCCGGAGGTTTGTTTGCTCCAGATGATCCTCACCTAATTTTCTTTAATTTCAGAAGTTCCTGCACCGCCTGAAGTACGCGAAAACGATGATCGAGAGACTGATGAGCGACGCGTCGAACGTGGCCTCGTCGCACGGATCCGCCCGTCTGCCGGACATCCACCGACCAATGACGTCGGCGCGTTCCGCTTCGGCCGGTTCGCGGGCTCCGATGCACGCGCCAGGACACCTTCCCCAATCGGCCAGCGGCTCCAACATCCACCCGCGTCGATAAACGGACGGGCGATCCCTTCCCCCTGGTGTCTCCTGGCTGTCTAGTCCCCTCTAATGTTCAAGTAATTATCCCTTTATTCGATACTCTTAACCCACGTTATTCTGGCAGCAGTATTTTTGTTTTTTACGGACAAATCCGCCCTTTCACTTGTGAATACTGATGAATGAGTACCCCCACTCTATCCCGCTCTCCTCGTTTTTAGGCGCACCGATTCGTGTTCCATCATCTCCAATCGTTCTCTTTTTCTTTTGTAGAATGTATTACATTTTTCTTTTTTATGAATTTCTCCGAATGAAGCATTGCTGATGATGCATATAATTTTAATTTATTGAGTGGAAAGCTTTTTTGAAGAGGAGAAAACGCTTGCTTTTCAATTTATCACTTACAAAGAACTGTTTCGCTGCTCTGGAGGGGGCAAGGATTGATAGGGTTTTGATAAGGAGTAGAAGAAGGAGCACGGGGATGGAAGCAACGAATTAGAAAAAAAAAAGAAAAGAACCCGTTGATGAGAAGTAAGTAGAAATGGAGTAAAGATCAACGACGCCACCACTGGATGAGTCGTTTCGACGCCGAAACGGGCTGATCGATGCCGCGCACGAAACGCGTCGCCCGATCGAGAGTCAGGTTTTTGAGGCGGTCCGAGTCTTCTTGGCTGAAAAAGAGCAGACTTTCATCGAAAAGTGTAACCCACTCACATCTCCTCCTCCATCGCGAATATCTTCTGAACTTGATGGCTCTTCTGGTCGAGCGCACTCCGATACTGTTCCATGAGCCGATCCGTCGCCGCCTTCTCCTCCACGCTCCGCGGATAATCGTCGGTGTTCTGCGTGATCTCGTCGAGTCGCTTGCTGAACTCGTTGATTTGCGCCGTCGTCTGCCGAATCGTCTCGATGATGTTGTAGTAGTCCTGGCGGTGGACAAGGGTGTTGCGCTCGTTGGTCAGCTCGAGGTACGAGGCGGTGAGCATCTCCTCTTCCGAACTGCCCACCTCCGTTTGACGGATCTTGTCTTGAATTACCTGAAATGGAAAGAAGCAGAAAAAAGTGAGAGAAAATATGGCTGAGCTCACATCCGCCTGCGCATTGATATCGGCGATGCGTCCGTCGATGCGAATGAGCTCCTCGGCGGTTCCCTCGACGTCGTCCACGTCTTTCTCCCATTGCGACGAGAACTTTTTCGTCGGCGTCGCCATTATGTCTTGCGAAGATGCTTCTGGATCGGTTCCCTGAATTCGAAATAGAATACCCGAGAAATGGCCGAAAAAGTTGTGGGTTACTGGTTACTGTAGAAGCGTTGATGGAAACACATGACAACATTACAAACCAGGTATCCGTACTGCTTCGCCATCACTTGCAACGATTCGCGCAGCTCGGCGCTTCGCATACTACCGTATCGCTTGACACGGTCGAAAGTTGACGAGGAGGAGGAGGAGTGCTGGTCTGTCTGGAAAGTGAGCACAACACGGGTGAGCACAACGAAAAAGAAAGGAAAGGAAGATAGGAGAAGAAGGAAACTGAATAGAATGTTGATGAGTTGACGGTTAATTGACATACAGAGACCGAAAAAGGGGCGGAGTCTCGGCGTACGATCGGAAAGATCAGAAAATGAACGAAATTCCAGTATTTTTAGCTCAAGACTCCAAATTCACGCCCTTTTCTCCATCTCTGACTCTCCGATTCTCCCGACTAACCCGATTTCCATTGGTCCTCGTCCTTCCGATCGCCGGAATGTGTGGCGTGTCGTTCGGATCATCTGCAAAAAGAATTTATGCCATTTTATTGGGAAAAAAAAAGAAAAATGGATGGTTTAGGCACTGCACGATACATTGTTTACGGACGAGCGTCGGCGACGGATCTCGCATTTGGAATTTGCGCACCTCGACAGACGGGCGGACGATTTCTGAAAGAAAACGAGGGAGGCACTGCACAGAGTGATCACTACGGGAGGGCAAACACGGGAGAACGACGAACCACAACGACGGAGATCAGTGTTGGATCCGTGAGGACGTCGGAACGATGAATAGGGCGAGAATGAGGTGGAGGGGACGGCTGAAAGCACACGCTCACGAGAAAGAGAATAACACGACACGGCAGGAGAAGAAGAGAAGAAAGGGAATTCAGAAGAAGCACGACGGAAAAACTGACCTGTCGGCTGCTGTCGATCGTTGTTGAGCAGCTTCCTAGCCTCTTCGCGTCTCCTCTCATCCTCCTCGCCCGCTTTCCGCATGTTCGGAGTGTTCGTCATCGACGAGCTGGCCGACTTTTCGAGCATGTCACGCGCTCTCTGCCTCAGCTCGTCTCGTTTTGATGGCGATGCGCGCGTCTGAAAATGAATAATAGTACGGGGCACACTTCCCGTCGTGATACCGATGAACGAATAGTGCCGACTCCCGGAGTGACCATCGTGATGCTCACGTTGCTCCGCTCGAAGCGCATGTTCGACGTCTCCGCCTCATCGGCTTCCGGCTGATACAGATATTGATTCTGATTCAACGCCGGATTACGACTGGCCAGTTGTGGAGTCACTTGCACGTCTTCTTCCTCCCGAACATGTGTGTAATCCACCGCATCCTCGAGATGTTGCCGATTCCGAAGCTCCGCAATCGCGGCGACCACGTGTTCTTCGGTCTCTGTGATGCCGAACGTCATCGAAATGCGATGATCCGATGCGCTGGCGGGTGTGGAGCCGTCCTCGCAGCCCTCGAACACTCGACGCATTCTCTGGAGGAGCAGATCAATCTGTTTGCGGTCCGGAGTGAGAATGTCGTCGATCGCCGGCACGTCGTTGATTCCCATCACGGAGAGCACGTCGAGCGCCTTCCGGATGTTCGATTTGCGTCCGTCGATCCTTTCCGAGAAGTCGAGCGCCTCGTAATCACCGATCAGATCCGATCGATAAGTGTGGAGAATTGCGCAGAGAGCCAGCCCATTTCTCCAGGATTTTCTAAAGAATCGGAATTGCTGAGAGCACAAACAGAACAGAATCTCACGTGAAATCGGTAACTTTGACATTCGAGTATCCATTCGTCACCCTCTGGCACCAGGAGAGCAGGGTTTCGCCAGTGACTGGCGGAGGGACGACATCTCGGGACGGAGCACGTGGCGAGTGGGATCTTCTGGAAGAAAAGGAGGATAATAATGATCAGAAAAAGTGAAAACCCCTTACCCTCTTCCGATCGTTCCACTGTTCAGATGACTTGTCGTCGTCGTCGTCGCAACTGGAATCGGCCGAGAATGGGCATCCACTCGGAATTCGGTCGTCGTCGTCGCGGTCTTCTCTTCAGTCGATGCGCGGCTCGCACGACTGTGTCTCTGTGCGGCGACTGGAACTGCTGCGGGAACGGCGCCGGCCGGCTTCTCCTCTTCTGCCGAAACTCTCCATTGGGGACGGACTGAAACGGCAATAATAGAATTTCGCAGACTTGTCACGGGCAGGGCTGCATGAGCCGATGGCCACATTTTGCCCGGCCTTGGCCAGGGTCGGCCCGGTCAGCCGTAAAACATTAAAAAAAGTTCCGGCGTTTTATACTTTTGTCAGAAATACAGCACGCGATCATTATAGAGCATTGAAAAACACTGAATTTTAGGAACAAGCCGAAATGTTTAATGGTTTGTCATGACCCGGGCCGATCGGGCCGGCAACTCTCACAGTCCTGACTTGCTTTTGATCAGAATCCTTCAGTTTTGCAAAATTTTGCCCTAAAAAGATCTAGATCCATACCTTTTGCAGGTTCTCCCTCTTCGGACGGCTTCCGATGCGCGGGGACTACCGGCGGAGCAGGTTCCTTCTCGTTCCTAGCCCATTCTTGAATGCGATTTGCAGTCTGATCGATCTGCCGTCGTGCTTCTGAAAGCAACATCTTATTTGTAAATACACACATCTCTCTGCTCATTCAATTACCCGCTCGCGTCGAGTCACTCGCCGCCGCCGCGTCCACTTCATCCGTCACTGCCGCTTTCTCGACGAAAGAGGTCGCCGCCGACGAGGTGATGCTCACGTCGTCGCCGCTGTGCTCCGAGACGAGCGTGCTGCCGAGCAAAATTATAAGAGAGCACGATTTCAGCGACGGCGACAGTGGACGGAGCTTCAGTTTCAGCTCGCTCTTGTGCTCCGGCAGGTCGAGAATGAAGAGCCGGACGTTGAGAGGCACCGCCGCAATCGCCTTCCGCTTTCCTTTCGCCGTCACCTCCTCGATGACGATCGTCCATTCCTTGTCCTCGTACTGATCATCATCGGGCACTCGGTAGAGAGTCGTCAGGATGTCGACGTTCTCCGTCATTTGTTCCGGCCACATAATAACGCATTTCGCCGGGTCCGAAAACGATTGCTCCCATTTTCGTTCCTTTGACGACACTTTTCGACGTCTGAAACAATTTGATTCAATTGCAAGCTGTCAGTTTTCAGCCGATTAATTGACATTCTCTCTTTTTTGATAAGGAGAGAACATTCCTCCTGACACCCACCGATGGACGAACGAGACGACAAGATTGTCGGGTTTCCATTTGTCGTCGGTGCAGAGTTGGAGCTCCTGAACGCAAATTTTGCTTTAGGAATCTAGGAATCTAGAAATGCCCACCTGAAGAGTGACTGTGAATCGAAACTTTGCCGCCTTCTTGCTGGACCTCCGCAATCGACGAAGAATACCCGCCATCTGTAACGTAGGAATTTGAGAAATTGGCCCGCCTCGTGTACGGAAATGGATATCTTTCGAAGATGAGAAGAAAGGAAGGAAGCGAAAAAGAGGGAGAGGGAGAGTGGGCGCAGCCATTCGACAACAGCGGCGACGGCGAGAAGATTTGATAAAATGAGCGAAGGGCGATGGAGAGAGGGAGAGAGACGGAGACACGAGACGGAGAGGAGCATGCGGAGCCCGAGAGAAATGTGTTATTTATCTGCCGGTCCGACCCTCTGGCTCGGTATTATTCTCCTTTTTTCTAGCTGAAGCTTCGAAGAACAAGAGGAAGAAGACAATAGCGGGGGAGGGATTTGAGTTGAAAGGAGACAACTATATTATTATTACTTTTGCAGAAACTTGCGCTAAAACCCCACAATAGGTCGCTAGGGACGCCGCCAAGATTTATGCTTTTTCAGGGTCCTCCTCGAGGATCTTTTCGATTCAGCATTCGGTTACAAGTACTCTTTTCGAGTGTTCCGTCTCTGAATATCAGTCAGCTGCCGTTACACTGCTGCGCGTGCCATCATCGCAAAGTTCGAGTTCAAGTGTTCTCGAATAAATAGAGAACACGGGGAGAGGAAGGGGTTTTGGGGATGTAAACAAGAGATTGCGGGTGTGAACCTGTTTCAGAGCCATTGTGGAATCGCGGTCTACCGGACCCTTTTGGTGGGTAATTTGAAATGTTGAACAAAGATTTGCGGTAATTAAACGTGTTTTGTACTTTTGAAGCCAAGGACAGGCGGAATTCATTCAGAAATGAAAACGATGAAATCCGTTCAATTTTTGAACTGAAGTAATTTAAATTTTGGTTATTTTTGCTGCTCTAGGTCTTAAAACAATTTAAACTTTTTGTTGTATCATATTTCTTGCAGATATTGTTCGAAAATCAATCGGATCAGTTTGAATTGAATTATTTTTATGCTTGGCACAAAAATGCTTTATACATTTTATTTCAACGCGCTTTTTGGAACTTCTGCTTGAAACTTAGTTGTTTATTAAAAACGGACACAATTTTAAAAGCAATCGCATGGAAGTCTGATTAAAAACATTTAAATTTGCGAAATTCTTTCTTTCAAAATTTAAAAGGCAAAGGTTTTCAAAGCGCAACAGGTTTTTCACACAATTGGAAACAAAACTTACTGCATTTTTTCAAAGATTCGAACCTTTGAAAACCCGATAAAATTGAGCAGAAAGCATGTGAAACAGGTCACCGCCGCAATTACCCTCCACGGGGACTAGTTTTATAGTGCGTGGCCGAACTCTCGCCGCTTCTCGTCTCTTCCTCTTCCATTCTCTCAATTTGCCACGATTATTTGCATTCCAAATTCTGTCGTCAATTGAGCAACACCAAATCAGTAAAACCATGCAGATTTCAGACGACTTGGAGGAGGAGATGAAAAACCGCGAAAGCCAGACAAAATGGGACAGCTATAAGCAGGTCATCACTGCCGTCTCCGCTTATTGGCAAGTTTTTGAAAGAAATTCTTAGAAATGGCATTAAATTGTGTTTTTAAAGGGTCTTCTCAATTGGATTAGTATTTCTGAACAAGTATCTACTGTCCAGTGTCAAGGTAAGTTCTCAGCTTTTCAATTCAAAGTGCTAAGCTCATAGTTTTGCAGCTCGACGCGCCGCTCTTCATCACCTGGTACCAATGCCTGGTCACCGTTTTTCTCTGTCTTCTCCTCAGTCGAATCTCGAAGACGTACGGAACATTCAAGTTCCCCTCAATGCCACTCGACGCCAAAATCAGTCGCGAAGTTCTGCCGCTCTCCGTCGTCTTCGTCGCCATGATCTCCTTCAACAATCTGTGTCTCAAGTACGTCGGCGTCAGCTTCTACTACGTCGGCCGCAGTCTGACCACCGTCTTCAACGTCGTCTGCACCTATCTGATTCTCGGACAGAGGACGTCGGGAAAAGCGATCGCCTGTTGTGCGCTCATCATTTTTGGATTCTTGTTGGGGGTCGATCAGGAGGGAAGCTCCGGATCTCTATCCTACGTCGGAGTGGTCTTCGGAGTCCTGGCCAGTCTCTCAGTGGCTCTGAATGCGATTTACACCAAGAGGTTTGAGCTTTGAAGCTAAAATGAGCACATCACAAAATAATTTGTTCTTTGCAGAGTGCTCTCCTCCGTCGGTGATTGTTTGTGGCGTCTAACCATGTACAATAACCTGAACGCGCTCGTTCTCTTCCTCCCGCTCATGCTCTTCAACGGCGAGTTCGGAGCCGTCTTCTACTTTGACAATCTCTTCGACGTCACCTTCTGGATTCTGATGACGATCGGCGGCGTGTTTGGCTTCATGATGGGCTACGTAACGGGATGGCAGATTCAGGCGACGTCGCCGCTCACTCACAACATTTCCGGAACCGCGAAGGCGGCCGCACAGACCGTGATGGCTGTCGGCTGGTATTCGGAAGTGAAGACTGGCCTCTGGTGGACCAGCAACTTTGTCGTGCTGTTCGGCTCGGCAATGTATACGTACGTTCAGAAGCAGGTGATGGACAAGAAGAACGCCGGAGCGTCGGCATCCAGTCAGGCCAAATCGGACGAGATCAAGCTCCTCGGAAGGAATGGAGAAGCCGAGGAATCAGTCTGATCAACTCATTCATTTTACTCACTTTCGTGTGCAATTCTGTGTGATAATTCTGGTAGCCGTGGCTTTTAATGTATACAATAATCGAGTGACTGCAATTAATTTCATTTACAGTTTTAGTTATTACTCATTTGACAGCCAGCATCATTGTGTTAATAAGATCATTGTTACAAAGTTATCCACCGAATCCGTAGAGAGTTCTGCCCTGGCGCTTGAGGGCGTAGACGACGTCCATGGCGGTGACGGTCTTTCTCTTGGCGTGCTCACAGTAGGTGACGGCGTCGCGGATCACGTTCTCGAGGAAGACCTTCAGAACTCCACGGGTCTCTTCGTAGATGAGTCCGGAGATGCGCTTGACTCCACCACGACGGGCGAGACGGCGGATGGCCGGCTGAAAGGAACAATCAATAGTTTTGACTTGAAAAAAGAACAATTTTGGCGTAAATTTGTTAAATTTCCTATTTAAGCTACAATTTTTCTGAAATTGCTCACCTTGGTGATTCCCTGAATATTGTCGCGAAGGACTTTGCGATGGCGCTTGGCTCCTCCCTTTCCGAGTCCTTTTCCTCCCTTTCCACGTCCGGACATTGTCAGAATTCGACGGTTTTTTGTTTTTACACCGAAAATTTAGAAAAAAGCGAGCAAAACGGGTAAACAGCGTCAATTCCGGCGCCCTTCTTATACGAGAGAAGTGGGGCGGAGTCAGATTGAACCACCCTGCGGGGACACCTACCGGAAACACGCAAGCGAATCGAGAAACGCGCGAAGACACTTTTTGACGTGTTTCTGGAGACTGCACCTCAACCAACGATTTACGATGTTTCCGAAAATGTAATGGCGATGGCGAGCGAGTCGCCTGCGGCCAGTAAGCATGCGCCAAAAATACAAAGTTGAACGAAAAATTCACAGAAATAGGTAATTTATATATTTAAAAATGGGAGATCTTTAAGAAAATTAAATAAAATTGGTTTGAGAGCTTAAATTAGGAGTTTTTCGAGCTGCTCGGCTGCTGCTCCTGCTCCTTCGGCTCCTCTTTCGTCTCCTTTTGCTCGGAAGAATCTTCCTCTTCCATTTCTTTCTCCTCGTCGCCGTCCTCGTTGTCGGTTCCCTCTGGAATCACTCCGTACTTCTCGACGGCCACCTTGTTGAACTGTTCGTCCGTGGCCTGACGGAGAGCCGCGAGAAGCGACGGATCGAGAGCCAGTCCTTCCGGAAGACCGCCGCCAATCTAAGATGAACAATTTTTCGAATTGTATGGAATTGATTAAAATTTACTTACCTCCTTGAGCAGATCGTCGAATTGCTTGTTGCTCAGCTTCAACTTCTGCTGGCTCTTCTTTCCCTGGATCTTTCTGGTGTTCTTCGGCATGTTTAGATGAATTTCGCGAATAAACGATGGATTGATGAGTGTAAATATGAGTGCGTGAGTGAGCAAAGGGGTAAACTGACCAACATCCATTCTTTTAGTGCTGGCTGCGGTGAGGGGGCGGAGTAAGCGGTCATCTGCCGGCGACGTCGCGCCATCTCGCGCAGTTAGGCAAGGCTAAATATCTACGAAAGGATAAATAAATTTTTATTATTCAGATGGAACGATGCGAATGAGTGGATAATTAAATATTATGTGCAGGAGATCATCATCTTTTCAAATTGCTTTATTTGCTGGAGGTGTACTTGGTGACAGCCTTGGTTCCTTCGGAGACGGCGTGCTTGGCGAGCTCTCCCGGAAGAATCAGACGGACGGCCGTCTGGATTTCGCGGGACGAGATCGTCGAGCGCTTGTTGTAGTGGGCCAGACGAGAAGCTTCGGCGGCGATGCGCTCGAAGACGTCGTTGACGAACGAGTTCATAATGGACATGGCCTTCGAGGAGACTCCAGTGTCTGGGTGAACCTGGAAACGTTTGATAGATTGCGAAACTATTGGGAAAGTAGAAAGAACTGACCTGCTTGAGAACACGGTAGATGTAGACCGAGTAGGACTCTTTGCGCGAGTGCTTTCTCTTCTTGTCGACCTTCGGCTTCACAGCCTTCGCGGCCTTCTTGGCTCCTTTGGCTGACGGTTTTGGCGGCATTGAAATACGAAAACGAGACGATCGATGTGTCGGAGAGAGTGCGACGGCGAGCTTATGTACACTGCGTGCGGTGTCTCCTCCCTCTCGGTTCCGCAGAACGGGCGAGGCGGGGACACCACGCGAAGCGTATAAAACGAGACGCGCGCGCGTGTGCGTGCAGCGTATTTTCCATCGATTCTTGTTCGCTTTCACCCTTTTTTCTCTCGTTTTTCGCTCGCCGATTTTTCATCCTTAAACCTTTTTCAGCTAGTCAATCATGTCTGGACGCGGAAAGGGAGGAAAAGCCAAGACCGGAGGAAAGGCCAAGTCGCGTTCGACGCGTGCCGGGCTCCAATTCCCGGTCGGACGTCTCCATCGTCTTCTTCGCAAAGGAAACTACGCCCAGCGCGTCGGAGCCGGAGCGCCAGTCTACTTGGCCGCCGTGCTCGAATACCTCGCCGCCGAAGTGCTCGAGTTGGCCGGAAACGCCGCCCGTGACAACAAAAAGACCCGAATCGCGCCGAGACATCTCCAACTGGCCGTTCGCAACGACGAAGAGCTCAACAAGCTGCTGGCCGGAGTGACCATCGCGCAGGGAGGAGTTCTGCCGAACATCCAGGCCGTCCTTCTGCCGAAGAAGTCCGCCGGAGACAAGGAATAGGCGCACACGTCCGGAACGTTCTGATCCTCGAAGATACTCTGTCATAATGCTAATTTATAAATCTGTCGGTCCATTACAATGATTCCACTGTACAACCATCTTTAATCTTGACATTAAAATGAAAATAAAACGATAAAATTTAGAGGAAACGAGTCATCACCGCTACAAGCGCCTCTTTTTCCTTCTTGTCCTCTTTTCGTTCGGAACGATCTGAAGATTTATTCCAGCTTTTACAAATTTTTCGTTTGAAGAATGCGCTGAAAAATCAAATTCTGTGTACATTTCAATGTGAATTCACTGAAAACCTCTCGTCGCCGCCTCTTTTCTTCATGCTAGCACTCCAATTCGTCTGCTTGTACTCCTCCTTCCGTCGCCCATTTGTCCTGCACATTCCTCTTCCGTTCCGCATCTCTTTCCCGAGCTTTTCGGATTCTAATTATGGAATGTCTCCTTTAGGGGGACAAAGTATCTGAAAGTAGAAAAATCGGATGTGAATTGATGGAGGTATGCCAATGATTTGGGATCAGGGCAAGGATTTTACGTTTACGGTGGTTTTTTTAAAAAGTTTTTTGTGATAAAAGAGATTTTTCTCGAATCTATTACTTTTGCACTATTTTTTTTGGCTCGCTGTAATTTCAGAGCCCGGTCGTAGAAAAGGCAAGGAAGCAGGCGGAATGTCTGAAGAACACGTGGAAGGACATTTATATTATCGGCACAGACGGAAAGAAGCCTCTGGGTTGTGAACGCGGGAGACAGCAAGAGACATCATAGAATCTGGAAGAGAATTCAGAGTTCATCGGAAGAAATCGTTCTGAACAACCTTGTTTTTGACCTTTCCGAGTTTATTATTCATATTAGTGAAGGCGAGCAGAGAATTGTGAAGACATCCCGTGAAATCGTTGACGTAGGACTCGAAATGAGGCTCGACGGCGAAGTCCCTCTTCCGTTTGTCGGACAAGCAGAAGGTGATGGTTCTGATGAGCTTCATGAATGCTCGGTGTTCTTTTTGATGGATCCCGATGTATAAACAGCCGGTAGCGCTGGAAAAATATGAGACACTTCAAGATATTATATCACGCCTTACTCTTTAATCAAATTTCTGGCGAACATCTCAACGAGTTCAATATGAGACAATCGGCTCATCAGATCGTGCAGCTTCGCGAGATAAGGACGGCGGATTCTGAATGACCGCAGCACCGTTTCCGCATTGCTTGCGAATGTTTTGTGTCGATCCAAGTTTTTCGGCAATTCTTTTAAATGTTCTACTTTAATCATGCTTAACTGTTGTAGATTCAGATCGACACGTTGCTCTGCCATCGCCAGAATGTCGTGATTTAAGATTAACACGCGTTTTTTTTGCTTTTTGATCAGACTCCAATTGACCGTCGTGCTGAGGAAAGGGCGTTCTAGCGTGAACATTTCTGAGCGTCACGATTCTCAGAACGACGGCTACCGGAGCCACTGAATAGAGCTGCACTCTGTTTTGCATTTAGAAGTATTGACAATGGTCACTCTTTTCGGAAACGAGCACAAAAATCCAAAAATAACATATCTTAAGAGATCTGAGAATATTAGAGCACTAGACTCTTACATTTATTAATTTACGCGTTCAGAATAAATAGTTCCACAACCGAAAAACGGCTAAATATTCGGAAATGGTCGGAAAAAAAAACAAAATTTGCCACACATTGGAAAATAGGGAATCGGGAAAAAAAGCGTGCGGCACACTTGCATTTTGCGGCACGGTTGCCGCCCAGTGTTTTCCCGCGTCATTTTGAAGGTGTTTTCGATGAATGCTGGTCTGTTCTTCTTGTTCTCGCATACTATGTTCTTCTGAATTATATTTTTTACGTCTCTAGATTGTTTGAGATATCGATTTTCGCATTTTAGCCATGAACAACGAAGATGACGACGTTTATGAGGAGGACGACTACGAGCCGTCAGATGCGACCCTTTTGTTCGCGGATGAAGTGAATCGCGAGTTCAAGAAGGCGTTTCCGTTGAAAGCAGAAACGGAGAAGAAGAGACAGCAGGAGATCTTCAGAAGACACGCTCCTCCGATGGCTCGCAAGCTCAACTTCGATCAGACGCTTTCGCCAGAGAGTTAGTTTAGACACGTTCTATTGAAAAACATGCTGTTTTTCAGTGACACCTTCCGGTAGAATGTCTCGCCTCATTGAGCTAAAGTTGAAGAACTCTGAAAAAGAAAACGACCGACTCAAAACGCAGCTGAAGGGCGTTCAGCAAGAAATCGAGCGTGCGAGGCAGATGACAGTGAGCAAGGACCAGAAACTGACAGAACAGATGGAGGAGCTCGATCGCTGCCGAGAGCAAATTCGAGATTTGCAAGAGCAGAAGGCGGTATTGCTAGAGGAGAACAACTCAACAATCCGCGAGTGCAATGACTCTGTCGACATTTGGACTGCGTTCGGAAAGAAATACTACATCTGGCATGCAATCGCGAGCGCTCAATTGGAAGCGGTCAAGCTGTATGTGGACGCCAATGGAAGCTTCGAAGACGAGGAAGAAGTGGCCAGGTTAAATTCGATCGCGCGTCAGATGTTCATGGCGACGCAGCAAATCGATTTTGACGACGACTTCGCGAAGGAGTTCGGGAACGGAAGTCTTCTCGCTTACGATGGAGTCGAGTTCAACACGAGGACGCCCGAAGCAGCACGCGAGGCGGCTCGTGCGGACGTTTCCAGTGCCAACTTCACTCTTCCACGTAAGTCAGTTGATATTCTCTGTCCGCCTCAATAACTTAATTGCAGAGTCCAATCAAACAGTGCTCGATGAGACGAACACGACTCTGGCAGAAGATCGCACAATGATGACCGATGGGCGTCCAGCAAGCCGGCTACTGATCGATTATGAGAAGGACGAAAAGATTCAGCGTCTTCTGCTCGAGAACAGTGTTCTCAAGGATCGTCTGAACGTGTCGATTGGTCGAGCTGAAAAGTCGATGCTGATGGAGGAGAAAAATCGCAATCTCGAATCCGAGAAGGATTTTCTTCAAAAACAATTAGACAGCAGTTTTGTGAGTTGAAGAACATGTTTGAAAAAAATTAGTCAATCGTCTGATTTATAGACCGAGATTCAATCGTTGCGTATCGGACAACAACGGGAGTTGTTCAAGGTTGATGAGTCGGCAGAAATCGACAGTTCTGCCAAACAACTGAAGCTGATCGACCGAATCACTCAGCTCATCACGCAGAACAATCAGCTCGAGAAGGATTTCGCGGCGGCCACGTCGAGAATGACACAAATGGTGCGGAGTAGTGCTGACTGCGAGCGACGCAACGAACGGCTCGAGGATGCGTTCGCGAACGAGCGCGAGAGAAGTCAAATGCTCGAGGCGGAGAAGGCTGAGTTGGTGACGAGTTTAAAGGCGAGCAGCACTCAAATCAGAGAGCTCGAGGAAAAACTGGGACAGATGCACACAGAACTGCAAGAGGCTCTCAACAAAACGGTCACGGTTGCACCGTCCCAACCGCCACAAGCGGCAGCTCCAACTGATGCCGGAAACACCACGCAGATCTTCCACATGGCCTCAAATCCGTTGCAAGCAGCGTATGCCGAGTTCCAGGAAGCTGAGAGCAGAAAGAGAAAGATGGTAGACGCGCCGGAGGGAGACACGACCGCCAAGCACTTTCGCGAGGAGCAGATAGCCGATCTCGAAGAACGTATCGATATTTGCGAGCGGGAGAAGAAGGTCCTCGAGGACAGCTACAATCTGCACAAAGAACTTTCCAGCAAATTCCGCCAAGTGTGTCTCGCACTGACTGGATTGCAGATAAAGCTGAAAGACGCAGACGAGGGAATCATCACTGTGCAGAGCGAGTACGAGGCAGGATCTGAGCGACAGTTCGTCTTTAAATACTTCTACGGCACTTCTCGCGTTGACATGCTCGATGTGAACTCCGAATCGACGACCGAAATGCTTCGTAAATGGGAGCCGCTCATGAAAAAGTATGAGCACGTTGTATCTATCTTAAGTTGCTCATTAATTTTTTCAGGTACATTGGCGAGCGCAACTCGATCCCGGCTTTTCTCGCCGCAATGACACTTCAGCTGGAGAAGGAGCGCGATTTCGATGCGACGATGCTCGAGCGGACGCACACCTTCAGTGTTCTTCATGAAGATTGATTCCCTTACTATTTTTTGATCATTTTGTAAATACTATCGTATTGCCTATTTTACGTGTATTTGTGATCATCGCAAAAAACGTTGCCTTTTACAAAATTATACTGATTTCAGTCAAAGTGTTGAACGGCTTCATTCCGCCATGCCTTATTTAACGAAAACCTGCAGAATATCTTTTTGCCAGAAGTGGCTTTCAGATGGCGTTAAGACTCAGCGATGTCTTGTACGTATCCGACTTCGAATCGGCTTACCAGGAGGGCATGGAGATGGCGTACACTGTCGACGGACAGCCACGCGTCGGCGAGTTCAATCGCAAAATGGGCAGCGTCGCAATTCTGATCTTCCACCGAGAGCTCGACTGCTTCATGCTCGTCCGCCAGTTCCGTCCCGCCATCTTCACGGCGCACGTCTCCCGTTTGCCGGAGAACGTGGGCAAAGATTTAAACGAGATTCAGTGGAGCGACTACGATCCGGAAGTCGGTCACACTGTCGAGTTGTGCGCCGGTCTCATCGACAAAGACGGACTCACGCTGGAGGAAATCGCCGCAGAAGAGATCGCCGAAGAGTGCGGATACCGCGTCGACCCGGACCGTCTTCTCGAGATCTCCACGTTCGTCGTCGGCGCGCACCAATCCGGAAACGCGCAATATCTGTTCTACGTGGAAGTGGACGAGTCAATGAAAATCAGCGAGGGCGGAGGCAACGCTCACGAGGGAGAGTTCATTTCGAAAGTATTTCTGACTGTGCCACAGGCCAAAAGCATCGCCCGTCCAGCCGAACACACGCACGCGGACGTCAAGGGACCACCCGGCGTTCTGTTCGCTCTTCAGTGGTGGTTCTTGGTGCTCGATCCGAGAAAGGTTGGAATTGTGCACATGACGCTGAAAAATCGCAACTATTTAGAAAGGACTGATCGCGACGCCGCCGGTGGCGTACGTCTGGAGACCGAACAACGCGAAACACATTACCGATGTCAAATTCAGCACTGACTTCGATAAGAAGAAATACGGTTATGATCCGAGAAGAATGACGTTCACATTGGTGAGCGTTCTGCAGAGAATTTGAAATTTTCGAACGGAGCGAAGCTTTCAGAACGGAATCACTCGCACGTGGGATATGGCACTGTGTCCGTCGACGACCGCTTGCATTCTCGTGGATCAGGTCAAGAAGCAGCTCGTTCTCTTGCAGACTTTCAGGCCTCGTAAGATCATTGAATTCATTCGAGAATTATCCAAACGGACGTGGCTCTTATTACAGAAGTGCTCATCGGAAAAACCAGAAATGTCGAGGATAACATGGACAAGAACATGAATGAGATCGACTACTCGATTATGGACCCGGAAGAGGCTTATACGGTGAGAAGCCGTCGTCTCCCATCCTCTCCAATACTTTTCTTTTTCTTTTCCAGCTGGAATTGCCTGTGAACCAAGTGCCGAACGGCGACGATCCGCGAAAGTTTGCCCGAATCGCCGCCAAACAAATTGGCTACGATCTTCCGGAGACCGAATTCCGGCTCCTCTCGCAGTGCGTGCCGGGCATCGGACAGTCCGGAGACACCCAGCACATCTACCTGGCCGACGTGAGCAAGGCTCGAATCTGCGAGAAGGAGGAGGACGAGGACGTCGAGGAGCTGCGCGTCGCTTTCTCCAACCTGCCCGCTCTGTACACCCAAGAGTTTGTGGGCCCACCGACGACCTACTACGCCATCGGATACTGTCTCGATGAACTCATTTAAGAGAAACAATGTTCGTGTGTACAGTTTACATTCCCCCTTGTCACTTTGTTTTATTTTTTGCATGATTTCAAATGATAAACAAAAAACTGTTAATAAAGTTTTATTCCCGGGAAATAAAAATCTTGCAGTTTCATTGACTCGGTTGACAAAACCAGCTACTTGAAAAAAAATAGGTAACACTGTTAACAGAGATTAAGCGGATTTCCAGGAAACATGACATTACCATCACAATTTGTCCGCTCTTTTTATCGGTTATCAACCGCGGCACTTCGCAATGTTTCCCTGGTAATCCCAAAAAAAGCGCTCGCGGAAAATGCCGCCCGTTTTGTTTAGGTGACACCCCGAAAACCTCCGGAAATGGTGCCCGAAAAGCAAGTTCAGACGGTCACAGAGCAGAATCTGCAGAATTTGCTGACGGAGGAAGAGGAGACGAATCGGAGCGTCGTGGAGCAGTTCGAGGAGCGATTGCAAGGACGAATCGAGACGGTGATTCCGAATGCGGTGATCGCGGAGGCGAAAAGGATCAAGGTCGAGACGGGTGAGTACTTGATCGGCGGATCAGTCTTGGTTTTGGAGCGTCCACATTGAAAGTCAAATATCAGGGTCAGTTCAGGAAAAGCAACGTACCGAGCGATCGAATACTCGGAAGGCGAGCTGGAGAACTCGAGCCTGACGGACCCCCCGTCGCCCTCGAACCCTCACCCGTTCGACCCGTCCCAACTGCCGCCGGTCCACTCGCACTCGCTCGTTCCGTTCGTCAACCACTCGCCACTCCTCCGGTTTCTCGTCGACATCGGAGTGGATCTGGCGGAGGTCGAGAACACGACGAGCGTCGGAAAACACCTACTCCGACTGCAAATGGACGATGTTCGGCAGAAGATCGAATTGATGCAGAACGAGATCGGATTCGAGAACGAGGCGATCGGAAAGTATCTGACGCGAAATCCGTTTTTTCTGCTGCAAGACGTCAACGATATGCAGACGAGGCTCAACTATTTGGAGCTGAAAAAGTTTACGAAGCCGGAACGGCGGAAGATTGTGGACGAGTACAGGTACTGGCTGAATTGCAACGTGAAACTGATCGACTCGCGGCTCGGATGGCTCCAGCAACAGTTCAAATTGTCGGCGAAATTGACGAGGGAGCTGATTGTGAAAGAGCCGCGCATCATCATGTTCGGCACGGGACCGCTCGAGCGATTGGTGAAAATGTTCACGAAGGAGCTGAATTTCAGTGCGAATCAGCTGAAAACACTGGTTCTCGAGGATCCACGCCTCTTCATGATGGGTTGGTTTTGTTGTTTTGGCTTTTCAGGGAAAATGTTTGTGTACTTGCAGATTCGAAATTGGTTTCGAAGACGTATCGATACGTGCGCGACGTGATGCGAATCAACAACGGAACGATTCTGGAGCACCCGTTCCTGCTCCGCTGCTCGCTTAGCGTCATCAAATCGCGCCACGACTTCCTCTGCCGCCTCGGACGCGCCAATTATCAGTTGTCGACGAAGAAAGAGCTCACCGCGGAAAATCCCATCGAAAGCGTCGATTTCGTTCCTCTCGAGCACTTTTTGCATCCGACAGACGCCGGATTCGCAAGACTCGCCGCCAAAACTTATCCTGTTGCTTATGACAAATTTCTGAGAAACTCATAGTCGTTTTTTTTTGTTTTTGATCTGTTAGTCCTTTCCGCGGGTCAGTTTGTTGAATAATCGTTGATTGTTTTGTTCTGATGTATTTGATACGTAAAAATAATTTATCAGCTCTCCAAAAGGTCGTCCAACGAGGCTTGCACTTTGTTGACTGCCCAGTACAACTTTTCCAGCTCCTGCTGACTGAGCACTACTTCCCGAGCTCCCTGATTGGTGGTTAACGTCAGCACGGCTTCTCGGTCGGACGACGATTGATTATTGCGTGCGACGATCGTCCGAGACGTCCAATCGGTTGAGAAGACACGTGGAATTCCCGAAAAAGAGCACGAAGCGAGCGATTCGGAGACGGCGGAGAAGGCGTTCGACGAATAGGCGTCCAGAATCCCTTTTACCACGGCGTCCGGGTAGTTTGCCCCTCGGAGAAGATCGATAAGAGCTTCGGGCTTCGGTTGGAAGAAAATGACAAACTTCCAGAGTTTCAAAAGAAGTCGGCTCTGTAATCGAGTGAACAATGTTTCTCTTTCGAGAATTTCTTGCTCACCAAGTTGTAAAGAGCTTCCGGATCTCCGCCCGCCATTTCTTCCGCGTCGAAAAGCGAATTCACATCGCTCTCCTCGATCGGATACCTCTCCAGAATCCGGACTGAAGCCTGGAAACATGAAATTCAATATTTAAATGAAAAAGTTGAATAAGTTTGCATTTAAGTCGTTTTAACTCACGCGGCTTGTTATTTTCGATTTCGCAATTGTCTGTCCTTCATTCCAGTGAGTTAGTGTCGGCTCCATTTACTCAAATTTACTGAAAAGGTGCGATTTTTCAAGTTTTAACGAGGAAAAATGAGAAATTCAGCTTGTTCACGAGGACTACACGGCCGTCTGTTTTGTCGGATTCTAGGCCAGGTGAAGGGAGGCTCTCACGCAACAAATTCATTGAAAAACAGTAAATCAACAGAGATTTATTATTGAATCAAAGCAGTAATTGCTCTCGACTCAATCTGACACCAATTGATTCCACGTGCGACACGAGCGTAACCCCCCTCTCCCCAATCGGTCGCCCACGAGTTCTTGATGATCCAGTAGTCAACATTTCTGCCTTTGCGGGTCCGAGTTCTCCCATAGCCCACAATAGTCAGAGAATGCCATTCGGCCTCTTCCGTCTTGTAGCAGTCCTCCATCTCGAGCACACCGCTTTCCAGAACACGAAACGACTCGCCGACGCGGAATGCGACGGCCACCGGCGCCGAGTAGTGCACCAGACTCATCATTATCTGGTACTCGGCGTTGAACGGATCGATCGCCTGCAACGTGAGCACCAACGGATCGAGCTCTCGTTCGTAGACGCTCGCGGCGCACGAGTCCATCGCGTACGAGCGGTTCTGCTCGTACGGGTACTCGATCTCGGACGCCTGGCCGGCTCTGGCAATGTACTTGAGGCCTTCGGTCGGGTCTCCGCCTTTGCAGCCGGGAATCGAGCCGTGGCCACAGTCGCAGACCTCTTGGTCGGATAGGTGCTGAAAGAAAGAGTGCGCGGGCGCGACCGGACCCCCAATACCTACCACAACTTTTTTCTTATGTAGAGAATGCGCAAACTCGGCGACGGCGGTGGCTGCGAATGCCCAGCAACACGCGCATTGTTCTGGGAAACAGAAAGACCAATTTGAACGGTTCGAACGAATCGCAACCTTGATTTTTGATAGAATTGAGCACGTATCGCGCGCCGATCTTCTTGTCGCGCAGGTCGAAAGTGACGGGAAGGTTGTCCAACTGTCTCTTGGAACGGGAACGTTTGCGGGTCGTGTTGAAGATCGGAACGTCGGAGTGGTTGCCGGGAGCGATGCTCGAAAGACGAATCTGAAAAGATATTGAGTAGTTGACCTCAATTTCCACCCACTTTGAACTCTTCTGTGCTGAGATCGGCAAAATGATTGATGCCGAACTGTGTGTCCGATCCAGCCGCCTTTGCCTTGGCCGATACTCTGAAATGTACCAATGATGTCTCGGTACCTAACCCCCTCGTACTTTCCAATCTGATTGTGAGTTTGCACGAAATTATTGAATCTCAGCTTCTTCTCCGTCTCATCTGCGTACGTTTTCTTGTACTTTATCACAAAGTTCTCAAACTCTTTGTACAACTTTTGCGGGTTCGATCGATCGATTTGAATGTCGAAGAACTCGGGCTCGAGCGGCGACGCAAAAAGGTCTTTGTAGGCGGAAACGGACGTTATCGGAAGTAGGAGAAGGAGAAGAATCATGTCCGTTTCGACGATCTCGGACTGACGGAAAGTGGCGCGCAGCGGGCGGAAGCGGCGGGTTATGAGCGGAATAAAAGCGGCGATAAACCACGTTTTTTGTGCAAAAACTGACGAACGAACATTCGGATGGAACAAGCGGTGGGCGGACGACTGCACCGTAACACGAAGCAGAAAAGAGTTTGCTGAAAAAGGGAACGGAAACAAAGTGTCGGGGGGCGAAACAAAAATTGTCGCAGCCGCACGGTCTCCCAGAGCGCTAATGCTAAACACAGTGCACTCGTGAATTGCGGAGTGTCGTTGTAACTTTTGAAAATTTGCAGGTCTGAAAATGCAGTTCAATTCGAGTTTACGACCTTTATTTATTTCTTTTTGACTTGAAAAACGTCCTGAAAACAATATTTTACTGATTGGAAACCGTTCTTTACAGAATTTCGAGTTTTTCATGTTTTTAGCGTCTTCTTCGCATTTCGCAAAAACTTCAAACCTTTATATTTCAGCTCATTTTGCATTTCATGAGCCCAACGAACGATAAAAATGTTCGCTGAATCTTTCTTTACAAAATTCAGGTTTCGGCGGTTGGTTTTCTTGAGCAGTTTTCAAAACCTATTCGAAAAACATCAAAATCCAGGCCAGTACCTTCAAATCGAAATAACTCGGCTAATTCTCAACGAAATACGAGATTTCTGTTACCAAAATGTAGCTAGTGCTCTAGTTATTCGAATCCAGGTTCCAGGCGTACGAAAAAATAGGTGTATTGTACAGAAAACATACAAAGAACGCAAACTCCCGTTGAAAATTAATTAATCGGCCGCCGCGTAAATCGACACAGCCCGCCTGTTGCAAGTGCGCCCCATTGAAATCGCCCTGGGTTCCATTTACAAACTGGACGACTTCATGGCGAGAGTTTTGTCGAACATCCTGCAAATTACGTTTTCAGGAACGTTTTTATGGAAAAAAAAGCGATTTTTCGAGTAACTTTTTCCGGGCTCACAACCAAAAGAGACATGTTGACACGTTTGTACAAAAAACGTTGACAATAGCTGTTTTTCATATTTTTCCCAGAACACGCGGTTGTTTTGCAGATTTAACTGCGCAACAGGTAACATCCCGACTGATTGTGTTTCCTTTTTCAGTATGCCGACCCTCAATGTCGTCACGAGATTCGATTTCGTCGAGGCCATTCGTCATTGTGAGCCGCGGGGAGCCGCGGGGAGCCAAACGAAGAGCAAGCCATTTATTATTCTCATACTATATGTATTCGCATAAATTTCATTTCTCCTCCTCCTCTTCATCGTCCTTTTTCTGCGCGAGGAACACATGCTCGTCGTCGCTCACGTAGTTGCCGGTGATGAAATCGACGGCGTCGTTCAGCACGGACTCCCATCGTCGTGCGGATTCTCTCTTCAGCTCAAAGTCCGACGATTCGGAGAGCGTCAGCAGAAGGCCCTCGATTCCGTTCACAACGAGCTCGGCCTGATGCTCGAGGAACCAGCGCTTCAGATCCGGCAGCTGGTAGTTGGGCGGTCGGAGATCGATGAGTGTGTAGAAGTACACGGAGAACACCTTCAAAAGAATTTTTGTCGGAGCACATCTGGACACTCACTTTCATGAACTTTCTCCGGATTTCGCCGCTCGCGGATGTGATGATGATGTTTGCGAGGTCTTCCACTGGATTTCCGAGGTGGATGTTCTAGAATTTACAACAAAAAAAAGCTCACAACGCTCAAACACATTTGCAAACCGACCTCCCATTCGGTGAGCTCCACCAGCTTCCCCTGCTCGTCGAATCGGCACGTGTCGGCAGTGAGGCGGCCGTGTGTGATCACATGCTCCGCTTCGCGCTCTTCTTCGACCGGCGCATGCTCCAGGTGGTGTGTCAAAATGCCAACTTTCTGCAGAATCCTGGTGGGTTCGGCGAAAAACTGCGAAATCTCGTTGGTCAGCGCCAATTCCAACACCTCCACAATCTCCTTTCTGATCTTCTTGCGGAACACTTTGATGTTCTCGTAGTTCTCCTGCACGGCCGTCTCGAATTCTGCCGTGTTGAGGCGCGCGGTGACCGCATGCAGCAGAGCAATCTGCCGAGCCACTTGCTCCAATTGCGGAAGCGCCAATCGAGGAAGCGCCCGTCCCGTCTTCTCGATTTGCGTGATGAACACCGAGTGCTTGACGTCGCCGTCGCTCACGCGGAACGACGTCTTGAAGCGCGCGCTCGGCACGCCAATCTTGTTGGCCGTCGAGATCTCGTGCCAGAACAGCGAATTGTAGTAGGCCGCCAGTTTCGAGCCCTCCTCCAGTTTCACGTTCAAATATTGCGAATCGCGCACCAAATGCACTCGGAAGTGGCCCTCAGCCGCCTGCAATCAGTCTCCATTTCTCCTCTTTTGACCTTTTTCAGCTCTTTTGTTTGCTTTCTCGTTTGTAAAACCTAAATCTATGCATTCTTAAGAATTCTTCCTTATATTTGTTTGCAACGCCATGCTTATCATTTTCGAAATGTTTCACAACATGACCCATTCGGCGGCAACGAAATTTTAGCGAAAATTTTGCCGTTTGAGCACTGAAATTCATAGAAAACATGAAAAACCATGTATTTTCAGTGCGAAACGTGCACGGTCTCCCAGGGCGCTAATGCTAAACACAGTGCGCTCGTAAATTGCGGAGTGTCGTTGTAACTTTTGAAAATTTGCAGGTCTGAAAATGCAGTTCAATTCGAGTTTACGACCTTTATTTCTTTCTTTTTGACTTGAAAAACGTCTAGAAAACAATATTTTACTGACTGGAAACCGTTGTTTACAGAATTTAGAGTTTTCATGTTTTTAGCGTCTTTTTAGCATTTCCTCAAAACTTGAAACCTTTATATTTCAGCTCATTTTGCATTTCATGAGCCCAACGAACGATAAAAATGTTCGCTGAATCTTTCTTTACAAAATTCATTTTTCGGCGGTTAGTTTTCTTGAGCAGTATTCGAAAACTATTCGAAAAACATCAAAATCCAGGTCAAAACCTTCAAACCGAAATAACTCGGCTAATTCTCAACGATATGCGAGATTTCTGTTCCCAAAACGTAGCTAGTGCTCTAATTATTCGACCTCAGGCAAATAGTTTCTAATCTAACTAGCTAATTCTCGTTTCTAACTGGACCTAGTTAGATTGCTACAGACTTCTGAATCAAACTAGCTGATTTTGCAATCTAAACATAATCTAGCTAGGTTTGCCTGAAATTTTAATCTAATTAGATAAATTTTGAATCTAATATCAGTGTTTTTGCAATCTAATTAGCTTCGCCAGTCTAATTAGAAAATTTATCAGTCCAGTTAGAAGAATTTGCAATCTAATCGCAGTAAATTAGCAATCTAATTAGGTCCGGTTAGAAACGCGAGTTAGCTAGCTCGATTACAAACGATTTACCTGAGACGCCAGGTTCCAGGCGTACAAAAAAATAGGTGTATTGTGCAGAAAACATGGAAAGAACGCGAACTCCCGTTGAAAATTAATTAATCGGCCGCCGCGTAAATCGACACAGCCCGCCTGTTGCAAGTGCGCCCCATTGAAATCATTCGCGCCGTGGGAGACCGTGATGCATCCTTCCTTATATTTGTTTGCAACGCCATGCTTATCATTTTCGAAATGTTTCACAACATGACCCATTCGGCGGCAACGAAATTTTAGCGAAAATTGTGTCGTTTCAGCACTGAAATTCATAGAAAACATGAAAAACCATGTATTTTCAGTGCGAAACGTGTGACATTGCAATGAGAATGCGCTCAGTGGAAATTGTGATCGAAAATTCTACCAGAATTCAAATGAAAAGCAACTGAAACTCGTTTGCTGCAAATTCAGAGCGCATTCACTTTGAAATATCCCCGTTTTTTTTTCAAATATTTACCACGAAACGCCGAGGCGTCGCGCCGCCTCTTTTCTCACCTCCAACTCGACAACGGTGACGCCATTAACAGTGGCGAACGGCTCGAGCTCTGTGACGTTCGTGAGCTTGAGCTCTTTGACGACGAGCTCGGTGATTCGCATTCTTAAAACACACAAAAGTAATTCGAGACGATCGCTGACTGCAATGCCAAAACGAAAAACCCCAACAAAAAAGGGAGAGAAGCGTGTGCGTGTTATCAGTTTGGCGAGCGGGGGGAAATTCTAATGACGGGAGGGACCGCCGCCTTTATGAGCGTTTCAGGACGGCAGCGCGCTTGTTTCGGAGAGCAAATAACAGTTTGTCTGAAATGGTGAGGCAAACACGAAGGGAAGAGGGAAACGATGCGTCACCGGGGGGTTGCAAGGCACGACAAAAACACAATGGATGCTATTTCTGGAATACAGAACTCATGCAAGACATGGAAATTGGATACGGGTGGAATTACCTGAAATTCTACAATCCGGAAGCAACGCTCATGTCATTTGCCCTCCAGACCTTATCAAAAGTGATCGTGAACTTTTCCATTCGCACTCTTATCACCCTAAATCAGAATTCGTTGCCTCTAGAAGGTTATTAGTAGTTAATCGGCGACCTTCCTCTTCTTCTTCCTCTTTTTCCTGTTTTCCATCGTCATTTTGATACTCTGCACACTGCAGCACAAAAGACGTCACCGCCGCCGCCCACTCAAAACATTAAGGGGAGCCCGTAAAAAGCAGCGATCGTATTTTGCATCGTTTTCTTCCGAATTCCTTATCATCCTGCTCGACCCGTTGTAGTTTCAAGCCTGAACCGACTTAAGTACGAGTAAGCCGCCCGTGCTTCGCATTCCACGCACTCCAACACTCTTTTTGTCGCTTCAAATTGTGCAGCGCTCAGACTTTTTACAACTTTTTGCCAGGTTTGGGCAAAAATTGATTTTCTGGGCTTTTGCGATAGAGCTAGAGAGCAGTGTTGAGCGGAATTCCGTCTGCCGTCTTCCGTGGTTTTTTTTGTTCCGTCTTCCGTCTGCCGTCTTCCGGAAAAAAGGTTTTCTTCCGTCTTCCGTAAAAAAATTTTTCTTCCGTCTCCCGGGATTTTTTGTTCTTACCGTAAAAGAGTAATAGCTTTTCAGAAGCCATTTACTAGCCCCGAAGAACGCGAATTTCCACGGGCAGTGGCCCAGATCCAAATTTTTTGTTGTTTAGTTTTTTTCAAAAAAAAAAACCGGAGAAAAATGTTCTGCATTGACGATTTTTTGTTCCGTCTTCCGTCTGCCGTCTTCCGTGAGAAAAATTTTCTTCCGTCTTCCGTTTTCCGTGTTCCGTAAAATTTTTCTTCCGTCTGCCGTCTGCCGTCTTCCGGATTTCAAAATTCCATTCAACTCTGCTAGAGAGCTTTGCCTCACTTCTGAGAGCACAAAGATTTGACTCTTTTTAGATTACTGAAATGACGTCGTTCTCGGAATACCCTTCAAGTGTTTTCAATTTTCAATTTTCTCCATCTCCATCTTTCCCCACTCAGATTCCCTCGCCAAATGACAAATGTCCTGGCGCACCCTCCATCCCGAAAAGTGGGCGGAGCCATCACATCCGTGGGCTCAATCTCAATTCCCAAAATCTGAGCCGCTGCCTTTCTTCTTTTTCTTTTCGGTCAAAAATAGATTATGCATTATGCGCGCGTTTCTCCCGCCTACGTTCACTTTTCCGAAAGACTTCATACATTTTTTTTTTGGGAGATTCAGATGAACGGCCGTCTTCTCTGTCTTCTCTCCGTTCTCTCCGTCTCCTCTTCGGCGTTGATTGACGATTCGCGAATGGAGGAGATCGAGTGTGAGTTTTACGGAAACTTAAAAAAAAAAAACGATTTGATCGCTACGTTTTTTTTCGAGTTTAAAAGCGTAATAGCAGATTTCAGGCTCAATCGTCGCCATTTTGTCCGATCAAATCGAAGAATCGGCGGCGTGCAATCTGAAACATCTTCTGAAAAACGATCCGCTGTTCAAGCCGCTCATTCAGACGAACGTGCACAAGAAGAGGAGTGCGTACGAGATTGTCGGAGTGCACAGTGAGTACGAGCAGAAAAACTAGCTTTTTCCCTGCAGAATGAGCCTAGAAACGTTAGCCTCACGGTCTCCCACGGCGCGAATGATTTCGATGGGGCGCACTTGCAACAGGCGGGCTGTGTCGATTTACGCGGCGGCCGATTAATTAATTTTCAACGGGAGGCCGCGTTCTTTCCATGTTTTCTGTACAATACACCTATTTTTTGTACGCCTGGAACTTGGTATTGAATAGTTAGAGCACTAGCTACGTTTTGGTTAAAGAAATCTCGCATATCGTTGAGAATTAGCCGAGTTATTTCGATTTGAAGGTTTTCGCCTGGATTTTGATGGTTTTCGAATAGTTTTCGAAAACTGCTCAAGAAAACTAACCGCCGGAACCTGAATTTTGTAAAGAAAGATTCAGCGAACATTTTTATCGTTCGTTGGGCTCATGAAATGCAAAATGAGCGGAAATATAAAGGTTTGAAGTTTTGACGAAATGCGAAAAAGACGCTAAAAACATTGAAAACTCTAAACTCTGTAAAGCACGGTTTCCAATCAGTAAAATATTGTTTTCTAGACGTTTTTCAAGTCAAAAAGATAGAAATAAAGGTCGTAAACTCGAATTTAAGTGCATTTTTAGACCTGCAAATTTTCAAAAGTTACAACGACACTCCGCAATTTACGAGCGCACTGTGTTTAGCATTAGCGCCCTGGGAGACCGTGAGCCTGTAGTTGTTTAAAGGCGCAGCACTCTCAACAATTCACTTTTCCGGAATTATTCAGTTTTGACCATACATCTCCCGAATCGCATTCTTCTGCGTGTTTTGGAAGCCATAAACTTTCAACCACCGCTTGTAATTACACACTTCGAGTCTTGTAAGATGGCCGATCAAGGTTGGCTGAAAAACCAGTTGGCGCGCGCGCGCGCGCGCACGCAAGAATGACGTGGATTGTGCCCTTCTCGTACACTCCGTACTTTCCAGCGTGCGAAGAAAACGAGCCGTGCCGTGTGGGCCGAGCCCGATCGTGCCTCTGCCCGGAAGACTTTGTCTGCGACACGACGCCCGCCAACAAGGACGTTCATTTGTGCGTCAAACTCGGCTACCTTCGGATGTTCGGCCTGTAAACCGAACACAACCGGAAGTGGTCCCCGATTCTGAACAGTATATGAACCGATGACCGTCCTCACTGCAACACGATCTCATCTCCTAGCCACTTCCATCGTCAAAAAGTAATGTGTGTATCACATACCAATGAATATCTCTTCCGCCTCAAATAATAATAATAATAATAAATGCTTCTCTTCCTTCCTCCCTCTTTCTGATTCTTCCAATTGATTCGGTTTAGCTTACACTTTTCGCTTTTCGCTAGCAAACTCGCTTCTTCGATTTTTCCCAATTTTAGTCGAAAAATGTACAGTGCATTTCACAATTTTCAGTAGCCAGAAAGTGTGCAATCGTTCTAAACATTCATGAGCTTATTAAGCAAACCGAAAAATGACTGAATTTAAGTGCAAAAAAGCAAAAACAATGCTCTAGGTTTGCTGCACATTTTCTGGCTTCTGCAATTGGTCCGAAAGTCCGGGTATCCATTGCGATAAAGCGAAAACAGATTAGATGTTTGAGGCTACAAATAAAAGCAGGCGGATGATATTCTCCCACTGATTTCCTTATCATTTGACCTCTTCTCAAGCTGATATTCTCGAACAAACAACGAGTGGCGCGCGCGCGCGCCAATTGGTTGTAACCTTGTCATCGGCGGTGTGTGTCCCCCTCATTACACAATCATCGTCTCTCTTTTCTCGACCATTGTTTCGTCTCCCGGTTTTTGGGGGCGCAGCAAAAAAGGGAAGAAGAAGAAGAAGAAGAAGAAGAAGAAGGGGAAGAAGGAAGGGGGCGTGTGTTCTCGATCAACTTGTAAAATGGGAGGAGGAGGAGAATGGTTTTGTCTTGTCACTCTGTGCACGGCATTCAGACCGCCATGTCCGTCGGCGCCTTCCTCGTGCTCCTCTTCGTCTCCTCCTCCGTCGCCGCCTTCGACGTCGCCTCGCACACCCTTGATCCGGCGATTCCGACCGTCGCGTGAGTTCGATCCGTGCTAGAGCCCCACCTCCGATCCTTGTGCCCTTTCAGACCGCACACCACCGATGCGTCGGCGGATTCGTGCGCCGGACAGTGCGCCTTTCAGTTCATGGACAATATTCGCTCGCAGATCGGACAGGATCGCGCCTCTTCTCTGATGCAGCTCAATTTCAACGATTTTCTCACCTCCTTCTCGAACACCACGTTCTTTGAGAAGTTTTGCACGTGAGTCTGGCGAAGCCGACAAAACATTTTTGCAATATTTGAATTCCGAAAAGGCGCGAAAATCACGTGAAAACATCGCGTTTTTCGCTTTTTTCTTGCAAAATTTTCAAACTTTCCAGAATCTACCACAATTTCAACCATTGCGCCTCGAAGTGCACTCCCGGCTTCTTGCACCAACTGCTCATGCGCAGTTCCGAGATCATCGACCACTATTGCGTGTACAATTACGACGCGATCCGCGCCAAATTTCCGTGTCTATCGAAGATGCGTCCGAACAAGGAGTGCGTGAAGACGTGCACTCCGCACCACGACGCCGTCTCCTCGATGACCGAGCACTTCAAGAACCTCGTGCTCAGCGGCGACACCACTCGCGCCGAGCAGTTTTTGGCGCAGGGCTGCGAGTACATCACGTGCACACTGCACTGCGACGTCCCGACGATCGCGCACGAATGCGACTTCGAGACTGCCCAGCTGGTGATTGATCTGACCCGAAAGTCGTTCGCGTCGATGGAAAAGATGGCGTTGGACACGAACGCAGTGGCCAAATGGCCGCAAGTTTGCGCCGATGTGAAGACGTACCGCATGCCGATGCCGTCCTCTCCGCCACAGAGCAATGACGTTGTGGCGCAGAGTGCCGATGCCGAGCCGATCTCTCATCCGAAACTTGTCCAGGCGCCGCTCGTCCAGGCCTCTTCGCTCGTTTCGATCCTTGTCGCCACGCTTCTGCCAATCTTCTTGCTCTTCTAAGCCCACATTTGCTCATCTCTATTTGTACATAGTCTAGTCACCTAGCTCCCTGCTTCCGATCCTATGTAACTTGAACACTACGGGTAATAACCATTGAATAAATGTTTGTATAAATATTGAAAGAACAGAACGTGATATGGGTGCTGAAAAACGAAAAACGAAAACAAGAAAGAACAGTAGAAATTACAAGTTATGCCATATCGGTGAGAGCCTTCGCTTTGAGCACTCCCGGAGCCGACGTGGGTGTGAGGATTCGTAGATCTGTGACGACTGCAGTCACCAGGTCCGACTTTATAAACTCAATGTCTTGAGTTCCGAGAAGAGCCACTCGCTGATACACTTGGATCTGAAAGAAAACAATCATATTGAGCGGGAGACCATTCGGTTCAATTTCTCTGTTCTCTGTGTGCGTGATATGATAACCTTGCTCGACCAAAGTTTCACTTGATGTTTTCCAACGATCCAATCATCTCTATCATCTGCGATCCGACATGCCATTCCAACGCGCGAAACAGATAGAAACCATGTGACTGCCGAATCATTGAACAAATTGGGAGAATCGAACCACATCACTTCCCGCATTTCGTTTGCGAAGGAAAAAAAAAACGAACCTTGTCGACAAATTTGAAGTGCTCGGCAGCGACAATAACCGGCAGATTGTAGTGATTGGCGACGAGGACGGTGGCGAGTCCTCCTTTTTTAACGGCCACAGCTCCATTTGCAAAGATGGCGGAGCATCCGATGACGAACACGGAGCTCTGAATGGATATTGTGAGTTTCGAGATTTTCGCTGTTGAAACTCACATGAAGAGCAGCCCACGACGCTCCGTTCAAATTGACATATTTCGCTTTGTATCCCCGCTCCACAAAGCTCTCCACGTGTCGAGTTCCCTTGCCTCCTCGCTTCACATCGATCACGTACACCTGAAGATCGGGCATCTGTTCCCTGGCAGCCAGCAGTACGTGGTTGACGACAGGACACCAGTCGAACACCACCACTTTCTTGAACAGCGCAATCTTTTTCACCAAATTCTCGCTGATCGCCTTGAAAGCGGCGGAGAAAATCTGGAGAGTGTCGTCCAGATATGTCTGCAACACTTCCTCGCACTCCTCATTGCTGCTCTCCGACACTCGTTTAATAGTCCGCTTCAACAATCGGACCGTGTTCCCGAGGGCGAACGGCAGGGGCCAGTGGCCGTTTTGAGTGAGATGGGCGAGTTGCGGACGGATCGCCAGGTCGAGATCATGCCCGAAAGTGGTCGGATCGCCGCGATTCTGTTCTCTTTCGGCAGCCCAGTCGCGCAGGAATTGTTTGAAAGCGATGACAAACTCGACGCAGACCGTCTCCACGTCTGGTATCTTGTCCGCTTCCGCTTTCGCCATAAGGGTCAGGAAAGCGGGATGAACGTGCGCGAAACCGGACGCGTCTTCGAGCTGAGTCATTGCGGTCGTCTCCACATCCGAAGCGATAGTTTCATCCGATTCCGATTGATTCGCCACAATCTTTACTTGGTTCTCGGAGACTTCGAAAGTGACGGCCGACGGATGGGCATTGTGCATGTGCCGCACGTTCGACTCCTTCGGCAGCTTTTTTATCGCCGACTTCAGATTCCCGTTGCTCTTCGGCGCTCCTCCGACAGCCATGCTCTCCATCTTCGCCGTCAACTGCTCTGCCGTCTTCGTCAGTCGTTCGTTCTCCTCGACAAGCTTTTCCGCTGTTTCAGATTTCTTTTCGGGCTGTTCTGACTTCTTTTGTGGCGCATTTCCAGTAGCTGCTGCTGCTTTGTTCGCCACTGACTTTTCAGCTGGAAAATTCGATTATCATTGACTTTCTCGAAGATTTGTTCGTCTTAACTGACCTCTTGCCTTCTTTTCAGCCGCTTTTGCCGCTTTTCGAGCTTTTTTGTCTTCTGCACTCACTTCTTTCTGCAAAAACATTGCAATTACTGTATTTTCTTGTTTACCGATAAAATCTTACATGATATTGACTCTTGTCATCTGATTTCGGTGCTTCGTTGTTCACATTCGCAGCAGGCTGCTGACTTTCGTCTTCTTTGACGCCCAGAATCATTCCTAACACTTTGACCTCGTTGTTCAGCTTTTCGAATGTCTCCTGCAAACGTTTAACATGTGCAAAGTGCTCTCTAAAACACATAGATAACCGAAAAGAGTGCGGAAAGACACGACGAGCAAGGCGAGCAAGTGAACACAACAAATCGATGCAAATGCGATGAAAAACTCACTTTCAGCTTGTCAGCCGGATGCTTCTTGCTTTCCTGCCTAGCGTGTCCGCTCATTTGAACAGATCTTGAATAAATTAGACGCTAAATTGGCCGAAAATCAGTAAAAAGGCGAAAATCCGCAGGGAAATATATTCACTACAGTGAGATTTGATGCGTTCGGGCGGAGTGTCGTTGTGCGAATGGTTTAGCAAAACTGCCGAAAGCACATCTCTTCAGCTCAATTGTGCGGATAATTCGGAAATATCGAAGAGAATATGATACTACTGGGAACAGTTGGCCAATCTTCGAGTGTACGAAAATGAAGCGCAGCGGAAAAGGTACTCTTTATTGTTTTAATACAGAAATGCTCAGTTTGTATCTCATTACTTGAAATTCAGAAAAGGTTCTTTAAAGTTAAGCTTCATTTATCCAAGAAAACGGACAACGCACGAAAAACAGGACGTTCAACCCCCTGATTTCCTATGAAAACCCCTGATTTTCTATGAGCGCTGACTGAAAGAGTTGTATCCGTTGAAATGCCGACGGGATCGACCATTCGGAGGGAAATCTGCTAAAATTTAAATTTTGAACACTCTGAAACGACTTGCTCATACGTTATCCGTTTCTTTTTCTTGTCTCTTTCAAAATATCGGCTCCAAAGTGCATGAATCTTATTCGTACTCTGCTTTGGCTCTGTGTTGTGTGGACAGTCGGGATGGATGGATCGGAGGCTGTTTGAGCAGCTATTTCCAACTAGTTTAGCGCTCTGTAAGACTTTGAAAGACGACGACGGATTCCGTTACGAGTACTCTTGATTGTATGGCATTCTCATGTATTTCAGGGAAAAAGATCAAATTGTTAGCTTTGTTCATTTGCACACATTTCTAATTAAAGCTTAGCAGTCGAACGGTCTCTCAAGAATCGTCGGAGAATCTTTCCGGCCGCCGACTTTGGAATCTCCTCGATGAACTCGACCCCGCCCTCCAACTGCTTGTACGACGAAACTTTCGCTGCAAAAAGTTGTAACTCAAAAAAACAGCGAAAAGCTTCCAGCTTACGCTTGACAAAGTCCTTGACGTCCTGCTCGCTGAGGGTCTCGTCAGCTCTCACCACGAACGCCTTCGGAAGCTCTCCGGCCTTGGCGTCGGGAATTCCGATGACCGCGCAGTCTCGGATCTTGGGATGCGAGAGGAGGAGGTCCTCGAGTTCGGCGGGCGGCACTTGCAATCCCTTCACTTTGATCAGCTCCTTGAGTCGGTCCACAATAAACAGGTTGCCGTCCTCGTTTAGGTAGCCGATGTCTCCGGTGTGGAGCCATCCGTCGATGATGGTGCTCGCGGTGGCTTCCGGTCTTCCCAAGTAGCCGAGCATCACAGTCGGTCCTCGCACGCAGATTTCTCCCCTCTGATTGATCGGTTGCTCTCTGTCCGTTCCCGGTTCGATAATCTGCAAGCATCCGCGCTAACTTCTCGCTTTTTCATGGATCCCACTCACTTTCATAACGAGGTTCGGCGCGAGCTTTCCGACAGATCCGTACGGTTGCGGGTTTCTGAGATCGGGGAAGTGGCTGGCCATCGAGCATTCGGTCATTCCGTAACCCTGCTGAATGTACTTGAGGTCCGCGTACTTTCTTTTCAGCTCCTCGATCAAATCTTTTCCGGCCGGAGCTGCTCCCGCCATTATCATCTGGACCGACGTCAGATTGAACTTTGCACAAATCGGATGTTTGGCCAGGAACACCATGATCGGGGGTACGAGGCAGAGAATTCGGATCTGAAAAGAGCAGAAAGTTAGGAATGATTTCGGAATCTGTCAGCCAAACCTTGTAGTTCTGAATGGCCGTCAAGAAGTTGTTCGGCTCGAAGTGGCTCATCACCACTCCAGTCATTCCTTTGAGAAGACAGTGGTTGAGGAGTCCGAATCCGTAGACGTGGTAGAACGGAAGGAAGAGAAGCGCCTTCTCCTTGTAGCTGTCCCAGTTGGGGTCCAATACGTCCAGGTTGTGGCTCTTATCGATTCTGCAATACACATTCCATCAGACATTGCACTTCGCCCCCCTTCTAATCAGTGATCACTTACGAGAGATACATGGAGATCATCGAAGCAAAGTTGTAGTGGGACAGCATGACTCCCTTCGGCGGTCCGGTGGTTCCGCTAGAGTACGGCAGGACCAGCAGGTCGTTGTGCACGTCGATGGGCACTTGTGGAAGAGCCGTGACGGGAGTGGCGATCACTTGCGCCCAGGAGACGACTCCTGGCGGAAGGGACGAGCCGCTCGGCTTCGGGATCACAATGATCTTCTGGATGTTTGGCGACTGTTTCACCGCGAGCAGCACTTTCGGGAGGAAATCTTCGTAGGTGAGCACCACTTTGGCACGCGAGTCCACGAATTGACGTTGGAGTTCATCTGGAAACGGAAAAATGGAAAAATGATTGTTTTCCGTTTTTTCCCCAATTCAGCGATGTCAAAAAATGAAAAAAAAACAGCGTTTTTTTTCCGGCGGGTCTCGCAGCGATTTCCCGGACGCGACGCATGCATGCGGCTACTGTGAGAGACGTTTTATGAGTGGATTTACGAGAAGGGGGAATTTTTTTCTAATTTTTCAGCGAAATTTCCACGTTTTCCCGCTATTTTCAACCGATTTTCAACGGAATTTCAGTTCTTATTCATCTGTTATAGTAACTGATGCGAAATTGCCACGTTTACCGCTATTTCCGACCGATTTCGCTTGAATTCTTTTTTTTTTGGATAGTTTCGAGTGCCTCGTCATATCGTTCAAAACATTGAGCTTTTCGGTGAAAATCGGTTTAAAATCGCGGGAAAACGTGGAAATTTCGCTGAAAAATTAGAAAAATTTTCGTAAATCCACTCATAACACATCTCTCACACGGGGAAATCGCTGCGAGACCCGCCGGAAAAAAACGCTGCGAGCGATGCATTTCTTTCCGTTTTTTTTCTATTTTTTGCAATCATTTTTTCATCCCCTGAATAGCCCCATTAGTTTGCAAGAACACCTTCAAAACTGACAATCAGTGAAAAGAGCGCTGGCTCCCGAGACGGCTCCTCCGTTAATGGCGCATCCGATGAAGAAGGAGACGTAGTGCCACACGTTTGGGAGCACCACCGCGGCGACGTCTTTCTGAAGAAGATCTATGTACACTCAATTGAATAATAATCATTTTGTTGCCTTGAAGCCGATGCTATGCAGGTAGACGGCGACTGCGTAGGCGTCTTTGCGGAGCTGCTCGAAAGAGAGTGTGTAGTTCGGATTGTCGCCGCTCACAAACGCAATCTTGTTCTTGCCCTCCGCAATCGTCTTATCGATGGCGTCAAGAAGGAGTTCATGGTACGGACGGACCGGAATCTCGACCGGCGGGTAGGGAGAATCGTGCGGCATGGCGGCTGGAAGGAGATGGAAATGTTGGGAGTTGGGTCAAAAGAAGATGAAGGAAAGAGAGGACACGAGCGGGGGGAGCCTACAGTGTAGCCGATGATCAAATTAGGAGAAGTGATAAGCGAGTGATACGGCGAGGAGAAGATGCCCAGACATTGGGAATGGTCCTTTCGTTTGGTCGGTTACCCGTAGCCACGTCTAGTGTTTGACAATCTTGTGACACGTTTCTTATCGAAAACGGCTTGTAATCCAGAGCTATTTCAATTTCCGTTAAGACTTTAAACTGACTGACAGACCAGACAGTCTAAAAAAGAGTGTCAATAAAAAAGGACAAGGCACTGATAAGGCTGAAAGAATACGAGCTCAACATCAAAAAAACACTCAAGACTTGTGTGCGCCTTTAATTTTATCAAAGGTGGTACAGGGTAAGATAAAATTTAAAGGCGCATCGCTGTTTTTGCCGAAGTATGATTGCTGCGTCTTTAATGTTACCGGAAGTAGAATACGGTAAGTTTAAAGGCACAGCGATGCAGTTTTAGTGCTGCGCCTTGAATGTTACCGTAAGACAGTGAAGCGGTAAATTTAAAGGCTTAAAAGGAAATTTGAGTTTCCGGAATCGAAACTCGATACCAGAGTACATAAATCATCGAAAAGGATGAGGAAAACGAAGAGAAGGCGTGTGTCGCACGAGACGATCGACCGAAACTGACAGAGATGATAACGAAACGGAATTGTGTTATCAGCGGTACTGCCGCAAGACGTGTCGTCGTCGTTTGTTGTAAATCAAAAAAATGTTTATTGAAATTGACATCTAAAAGGTTGAATTGGAAGATGTTCGCGCACGGGGAAGATGTTATGCTGGCATTCGGATGGTGATTGCGAAGCCGCCTTTCACGTTCAGAAGACATCTGAAACAAGAATGGGTGGAGATGGAAGGTTTTCGTATTTAAAATCTCACTTGGTGCTCGGCTTTATCCGGACCAACGTCTCCGATTTGAGCGCGTACGTGAATCCGCTCTCCTCGATCACCGCGAACGTGTTCTCCTGCAGCCAGATGAGCAGTTCGACTGCTCCGCTCTCCAAGTCGTACGAGCCCTCGCCGAGGAGCATCACTTCCGTCTTGTACTCGGGCGCGCCGTAGATCTTGACCGGTCCGTTCTTCACTTCGCCGATGTGATCGTAGATGAACTCTTTTCTGTTCACCGGCTGCGGCAGGTCGGTCCATCTCGCCTCGTACGGTGCGTTGCACGCGAATGTTCCCTTTCCGGGCTTCCCTGAATGAAAATTCGCTTAAACAGTACACTTGTTTGCGGACAATGTGTCAGAGTTCCCGACGATATATCTTGGTTGCCGGTGGAGATAGCAAAAAATTGTCAACTGACAAATTGATCACCAGAACATTTTGTACATTTTATCAGTTGACAAATTTTTGATATCTCGACACACAGCAGAGATATATCGTTTTGAAAGGGAGGGAGACATTGGGGTGCGGTAGGTAAAACACAATTCCGTTCTTACCAGTCTTGAACTCATTGGAATTGTAGAAATCCTTGATCAGAGGCGGCAAATCCTTGACGACGTCGGTCAAGAAGAACCACCGTTCGAAGAGCGTCACATTCGAAGATCCGACAAGGAATCGGACACAATCAAACTCTGTATTCTTCCGCTCTCGCTCCACAACAAGCCCGATCGAGTTGGCGAAGCGTTGGGGCGAGTGCTCGACTCTCGCGGGGAGCATGAACATCTCGCCCTGCTTGATCACCAAATCCCGTACCTGTCCCTTCTCGATCACCTTCAGAATCATGTCGCCTTTGCGTTGAAAGAAGAACTCCTCGCCCTCCTCCAAATGAAAGTCCTTGCGCTGATTGGGCCCGCCAACGTAGAACACCTTCAGCTGATCCGAGAACATGCACTTGTTGCAGACGGGCGGCACAAACTCGGCCTGATTCTCCTGGATCCATTGCGGAATCTCGACCGCCGTCACTCCTGCCATATCGATCTTCTCCTGGGCTTTTTGGAGTGTTTGAGTAGTGATGACTGCTGAGGAAACGATTTGCTCTTGATGAGAAATGAAAAGTTTGGTCGAGGTGAAACAGCTCATTCGAACGCGTCAGGGGAAGGACAGAAATGGCCGTTTGGCGGGTGGGCCGGAAAAGGAGAATGGCAAGTAAAAGTGACGGATTCGTCTATAATTAAAGCAAGGGGGAAAGTTCAAACAAAACTTGATTTTCTTGAAGAAGTAGACGAAAACGTACCAAATGGATTCGATTTTGGTGGGGAGATGATAATGATTGCGGTGGAGAATCGTCCGATTAAGGCGACGAAATGATAAACGTCTTCTTCTTCTTCTTCTTCTTCTTCTTTTTCTCCCTTCTCCTCTTCTTTTTGTTCCGATTTTTCGTCTCTAAATCTCCCCGCTTCCCGTGCCCTTTTCTCCCAATTAATTCTTCACTTATCAAATGAAACTGGTACCCGTTTACTTTGAAACAGAGACAGAGAGAGAGAGAGAATGATATTGGCAAAACCTGAGATGTCAGACCAATACACACACACAAGAATCTTAGTTAGGGGGTTACATGATCGTCGGCACTGGTGACGCTTTCAGTTCGTTCTTCTTCTTCTTCTCCGTCGGAAACACAAAGAACATTGAGAGCAGCGAGCCGTCCATGCAGAAGAAGATTGTGTTGGCGAGCTGCAAACTTTGATATTTTCTAAAAATCGTGTGGGCCTACAGTAACCTCGGTCGGGTTCTTAAAGGCGCAACACAGAAAAACACCAGAACAAATTCAAATTTCTCGGTTTTTTGTGCTTCTGCCGACTGAATTTTGCGTTATTTCAACAAAAATGGTGAAATTTTCCAACAGAAAATTCAAATTACGCAGTTTCATGTGCGGCCGCTTGGCTAGAATCAGTTTTCTTTTAGAATTTTTTAATTTGGCGGGATGTGCAATAGAGCGCGTTTGCCCATTTCTTCAGTTTGACTTACAAGCATGTAAAAATCGTCGATTCCGATGCTGTAGACAATCGCGTGAAGCTCCATTACCCATGTGAAGACGACGGGCGCGAGAGGCACAAAGTCAATGCATCGGGAGGAGACGGCTTTGTACTGCAAAACGTATTTGGAGGTATGGGGAATTGAACCCCAGACTTCTCGCATGCGAAGCGAGCGCTCTACCCCTGAGCTATACCCCCGTCCGACGGAAAACGAGACAAACACACATACGATGAGGTAGGGACACACGAGAGAACCGGCGATTTGGGCGCTAGACGCGATACGGCCAGTGAACTGCAAAAGGGAGGCGAGAGAGAGAGTGCGGAGAGGGCGGAGACGCAGACACTCACCTCCTTGCCGTCCTCGTCGTTCATGTTGCCGATGTAGAGGAAAAGAAGGAGCATCGCGGCTCCGATGCCCGTCATCAGACGGATTAGCTTTCGCTGCAATTAAAAAATTTCCAGAAAAGTCAACATTTGAAATGTTTTCTCGTGAAACAGAATGAAAACACTTTAAAAAGTGAGCTTGGAACCAGAAAACTAAAGATTCCGTTCAAATTTTGTTATGGTGCTTTTCATTGCAATCGCGCTCTTCTCGGGGTCGAGCACGGTCTCCCAGGGCGCGAATGATTTCAATGGGGCGGAATTGCAACAGGCGGGCTGTGTCGATTTACGTGGCGGCCGATTAATTAATTTTCAACGGGAGTTCGCGTTCTTTCCATGTTTTCTGCACAATACACCTATTTTTTGTACGCCTGGAACCTGGCGTCGAATAATTAGAGCGCTAGCTACATTTTGGTAACAGAAATCTCACATATCGTTGAGAATTTGCCGAGTTATTTCGATTCGAAGGTTTTGGCCTGGATTTTGACGTTTTTCGAGTAGTTTTTGAAAACTACTCAAGAAAACCAACCGCCGGAACCTGAATTTTGTGAAGAAAGATTCAGCGAACATTTTTATCGTTCGTTGGGCTCATGAAATGCAAAATGAGCAGAAATATAAAGGTTTGAAGTTTTGACGAAATGCGAAAAAGACGCTAAAAACATGAAAAACTCGAAATTCTGTAAAGAACGGTTTCCAATCAGTAAAATATTGTTTTCTAGACGTTTTTCAAGTCAAAAAGAAAGAAATAAAGGTCGTAAACTCGAATTGAACTGCTTTTTCAGACCTGCAAATTTTCAAAAGTTACAACGACACTCCGCAATTTACGAGCGCCCTGGGAGATCGTGTCGAGTTTGAAGAAAAATGAGAAGTTCGGCCAGATTAGGCGATTGCAGAGAAATGCCCCGAGATGATATGTACTCTTTTGGTACGGTAGAAGATGAGGGCGGCGACGAAGAAGAGTTGCATCGAGACTGCGTACGTCTGCAGAAGAATCAGCTTCGTGTCTCGCAGGAAAATCGAATAGCGCAGCCATAACGCGGATCTGGAAAATGTCGTTTCTCTTCCACAACTCAAAACTAAGCATTCTAGGCCAGCGAGAGCTCGCGAATTCAAATTCTATGAAAAATTTCGGGCAAGAATTAATTTCCGGGAAAAAGAAACTGTTATTACTCAAAATCGCATTTGAAATCTCTCACACACTGCCACTGGAACCTTTCTGGTTTTTTAAAATGTTTCGTCGCAAAAAATTGTTTGTGTTATTTGGCAACACGATAATATCTTTGAAAAAAAAGAACCCCGGTGGATACGAGTGTGATGTTTGAGGTGTGTGGTCGCGTAGGCTAGACAAGGAAACTCACCCGATGACTGCGCAGACGTACGGAATCGGCGTGTCGCTGTCGCTGCTCTGTCGGCGGACCCATTTGTACACGGCTTGTCTGAAAATGAAAATTAGATATTTATTGACGTTCTACCCGTTCTGAGTGCAATAGAGCGCACAGAGCCCTCGAATTCAAAGCAAAATTGAGAAACTTAAGTCATTTTGAAGGTCGTCGAATGAATGTTTTGTCAGTGAAGTGAAAATCCTGCCGAAATGGACTAAAACTGATAATTTATAACGTTTTCTCATCAAATTCCACTGTTTCTTCGATTATTTAGCACAGAAATCGGGAAATTCGCAAATTTCGCAACGCTCACGTTTGAAAATTACCGTAGTTGTTTAAAGAAAGGCGCAGCACGAAACTTACACTGGACTAGTGATGAGCGCAACCGCGTGGAGTGCGGTCGAAGTGAGAAATAGGGACCAGACGAGGTTGGAGGTGTACATGGCGAAGAGCCGCGAAGGCGTCAACGTGCCCAAGTCGACGTCCATTCTGAAATCGATCGATAAATGAATCAAGGAAGCAAAAAGGAACAGAGAAGGCGATGTACTTCTGCATCGGATCGACGCACGAAGAAGGAGGAGAAGGAGAAGGCTTATTCTCCTTTTTGACGCCCCGTATCTCGGCTTCGCATCTGCATACTTAGCCGCCGAAGACGTCGACGGCGGACTGTGTGAGCGAGCGAATGAAGGTGAACCGGACAGGGCGGGCAGAGGACCCAAAATCGGAATGAAGCTGAAGTGACGTACGATTAAGGTAGAAGTTCATTGGGGGTTGAAGGTTAGCGGAGTTTAAAGTTAACTTTCTCTCTTTCTGTTAATTGACAGAAAGAGAGAAAGCGGTATTGCAAACGCGCTCCGCTGCACTCCTTGCGTTTTTTCAGTTTCGTCGCCAAAAAAATGCATTTTTGCTTGGAAATTCATCGCAATTCTCGTTTTTTCCACTGTTTTTGTTGTAAAATCGTACAGAGAACACATTTCTACACGGTTTTCACGAAAAACTAGTGACAATGAATCGATTTTGCGAAAAATCCGACTTTTTAGAAGCTAAATCGAAAAAACACGATTCTTCGCCAAATCGGTCAATTTCCGCTAGTTTTTCGATGAAACCATATGAAAATGTGTTCAATTTACGATTTCTAAACAAGAAAAGTGAACAATCTGAAAAAAAAATGCAAAAGCGTCCGATCCAATTTGCCACATTTCCTGTATGTACCTTCATGCCCCCAGACCGTATCCGTATCTATCTACCTAGTCAGTTTCAGTCCGTTGTAAACTAGATCTCAATCTGAACATAATGTGTTCTGAACTTTGCCAAGGTCGGCAATGAAGCTCTTGTTTTCACTTTTTGAGAGGGCGAAATGTTTTCACTTTTTCCGACGACGACGAGAATGATGCTTATAGATTGGCATCTCGATGTCTCTCCCTCTCTCGAATATGCAAAGTTTATTGTTCCAAAAATGAAGAAGAAGAGAAACGTAAGTTATTATCAGTTGAAGAGAAGGCGACGCATGTTCTCGACGGAGCGCACTTGCTGAAAACGAATTATGAAAAAAAGACGTCGAAATCCGACTCACATTCTTGAACAAATTCTCATCCCAGGACGGGAAGAATTTCTTGAACGTGGGCGGCTCTTGTCCCTGATAGATCGTGTCGATGGTCGTCTTTTTGTGACGTGGCAGTTTGTCCTTCTCCAGATACTTCTTCGCCGTATTCAACGCCTCCTTCTTCTCGTTCGGATTGGCGTTCGAGCCGACCCACACGTAGATCAAGTTCAACGCGTCAAGGATCATGACGTCGTCGCCGTCGAGGTCCTCCTGCGTGAAGTTGGCGATTTGCTCGACGCGCAGCAGGCCGCTCTCGTCGGAAACCTGGAAGAGCTGCGGATCGAACGTGTTCCGCTTCTTCTCGTCGACCCAATCGCGGAACCACTGCGTGAACTGCGTCGATTCGGTCGATTCGAGCACACGAGTCACCTGGGTCCAGCGGGGGAGATGCTGCAAAAGAGTACGGTCTCATAGGGTAAAGTAGGGGGCGCGTACGTGTTGTTTCAGGTAGTTTTCTCCCCAAATCAGAGCCTTCGAACGCTCATCGAGAGTACATCCATGTCCGATCCACACGAAGATTCCTCCGTTGATCGCGTCGAGAATAAAGGCGTCCTAAACAAACCGTGTCAATGTGAACGCGCTCTGTTGAGAATCGCATCACTTACACTGGAGTCGAGTTGCTCCTTTCTCAGATCTTCTCCCTGCGCCACCATGGTCACTTTCGTGGCTCCAGTCGCATCGGACACCCTACAAATGTTTACTCTCTCCCTCTCTCTCTCTCCTCCCACTCACTTCCACAGAGTGATCTGCTCGGTGAGCCGCTTCCAATAGTTGTCATCGTCGTCGGCCGCCTTCCTCACTTGCTTCACAGCCGCGACGCCGCCAAAGTAGCGCCAGAAGATCGGATCGTTGTCCCACTCGACGTCGTCGAGAATATGGACAGTCGACGCGCCCATTCTCTCGACGTCCGCAATGTTTTTGGCTCTCGCCATTCCCTTGATGCGCTCCAATCTTCCGCTGTCCGGCGGCATCCAGACGTAGATGTCTTTGCCCAGATCCAAGAGGAAAACGTCGCCGAGATTCAAAGAGCTAACCTCGCACTCCACCTCAACTCAATCTTTGTGCTTTCAACCGATCGGCCTCAGTTCTCCCTCACCTCCGTACATCTCACATTACGCTTTCCCTTGCAGTGGAACAAATGCGGTTTCCAGTTCTGGAACTGGTCCTCGACGTGCGTGTATCCGGATTCGTAGCCGCCGGAAACGTAGCGGATGCCGTCGGTGAAGTAGGAGAGGAAGAGCGGCGATTCGTGGAATTGAATCTCGCGGTGTTGCGTTGGAAGGCCTCCGAGAGACTGGAAACGGAAGGACAATTTAGGTGCCGTTTCGAGTTTACCGCCTTCCTACGTCATCAATCTCGACGGTTTTGATGGCGGCCACTCCGATCTCATCAGTTGAGGCCTTTGTTCCGAGCCAAAAGTGCACGTCCCAGCAGCCTTCGTACTTTTGCTTCAGAAAGAAGTGCTCATGTTTGGCTAAAAGTTTCTGCGACTTACATAAAGCGCGATGTAGGCGTCGCCAACGTAGAAGATGCCGTGCTCTCTCTCTGGAACTGGCTCCAACTCGAACTTCTGGAATAGAGATAATGTGTTGCAAGACTGTATGTACTACTAGACCACAAACGCCCCTCACTTACATTGATTCTCCACACCAACAGTCCGTTCTTCTTGCCGATTTCGGCCAACGCCGGGTCAGTCGTCGCCGGTCTCATCTCTGCGGATTGACCACCACCCGAATCAACAAGCAATGAAATGAGCCGGCGGCTCCGCCTGAATCCTCCTGCTCTCGATTGGAAAAGTGTAAAAAACGTGTCGGTGTGTCGGTGGTCTCCGCGATTCGAATGCTCGCTGCTCAATTACTCGACGCGTTTTACAATGCGAATGGGCGAGAGAGCCGAGTGTGTTTGTCTGTTTTGGACGTTGTCGATCCGATGAGATTCGGTGCGAATCTGGCGGAGAATAGTGGAGAACGAAGTGGGAACGAGAATAAAATCACGGGAACTGAATCATTTCACATTTGATCAAACTGCACAATGTGACTGAAGTGACCAGCTTGCATCTAGCGTTGAAAAATGTGTTCCACACCTGTGAAGGGGGTCAAATTACTCGTCCGAAGACATTCAGCTCGGGTTCTAACTGTCCGACTCATGCGCAGTTGTTTCTCGTCTGACAAATGTGTGTGTGTGTGTTCGCAAATGTTTTTTATTTTGAATAAAAGAGAAACCTGTCATGCAAATCATCGATCACAGGTTGTTGTTGAAAATAATAAGCGGTTTCGTGTTCTATTTTAGCATATTTCAGTATTTCATTTACAGCAAAAAAAACGTACTTGCGCTATGCTGTTCAACTTTTCGGCCAGAAAAGCTTGCAAACGCCAATTTTTCGCTACTTCTTGAGTCAATCACGCAGAAAACCGATGTTTTACAAAATATTTAATTTTTTCGTGAATGGCGTACAATAGAAGAGCTACTGCGCACGGTCTCCCACGGCGCGAATGATTTCGATGGGGCGCACTTGCAACAGGCGGGCTGTGTCGATTTACGCGGCGGGCGATTAATTAATTTCAACGGGAGTTCGCGTTCTTTCCATGTTTTCTGTACAATACACCTATTTTTTTGTACGCGTGGAACCTGGATTCGAATAATTAGAGCACTAGCTACGTTTTGGTAACAGAAATCTCGCATATCGTAGAGAATTAGCCGAGTTATTTTGATTTGAAGGTTTTGGCCTGGATTTTGATGTTTTTCGCATAGTCTTCGAAAACTGATCAAGAAAACCAACCGCCGGAACCTGAATTTTGTAAAGAAAGATTCAGCGAACATTTTTATCGTTCGTTGGGCTCATGAAATGCAAAATGAGCTGAAATATAAAGGTTTGAAGTTTTGACGAAATGCGAAAATGACGCTAAAAACATGAAAAACTCGAAATTCTGTAAAGAACGGTTTCCAATCAGTAAAATATTGTTTTCTAGACGTTTTTCAAGTCAAAAAGAAAGAAATAAAGGTCGTAAACTCTAATTGAACTGCATTTTTAGACCTGCAAATTTTTAAAAGTTACAACGACACTCCGCAATTTACGAGCGCACTGTGTTTAGCATTAGCGCCCTGGGAGACCGTACTGCGTGCTAAGCGGTGGAGCTCAATTGCTCCGCAAAAGTTCAGTTAGTGTGATCAAACAATCCACCGAAATGTGTTCACTTTTCGCTCTCTCGCTGATCTTTAGCTTTTCTATGCTTTTCTCACAAAACGTCATCCCAACTTTTCAACATATAAACACTTTTATTTCTTGTTCGAGCGCTTTGAATTTTGTGTACTCGTTCGTCCGTTTTTCGATAAAACCCATTCGGGCGGACCGGTTCTTGTTCTTTCGAACTGCTGACTCATCGGGGGCGTTCGCAGCAGGGGAAAACGATAATTGACAGTGTTTTGAATTTATTTGTTTATTGCCCCACCTACCAACACTCGTCATGTTATTTGTTCATCAACTTTTCTGCCACGTCGGCGCCCCAAATCATTATCGATTCGAATTTCCGCGTAATCGGAGCCTGATGTCACCTTTCGCTTCACCCTTTCTTATCACTTCGCTCTGCTCTTTTTCCGCTATAAAAATGGTCAGATAGAGTCGATCCGATTACAGTTTTCCCCGTTTGACCTCGTGTGGAAAACGGCATGACAGACACGAATACGCGCTTTTTGTGTTCTTGTGAGACACAGTTGCGCAAACACTTCGTTACAACTTTGTGTCCCCCCGCGTGTGTTCTTGATCATTTCATTCATTTTTTTTAGGTCATGCAGCTCTTCTCCCTCGTGCTCGCCCTCTTTCTCGTCATGATGGCGTCGGTTGCGGTGAGTTTCGTCATATTTTTGCTCTCGCTTTTCCATTTTCTGCAATTCTTGGCAAGCCGCCTAAAAGATTCCGGCGAAACTTAAACTTTTGCAAGTTTGTTCGGTTTTTCACACGGAAAATGCAAGTGTTCTTCTATTTTTGAGTTAAGAAGCGACAAAAATTCAAACTACTGGCCTAGAAAATCGGAGAAATGGAATCACGATCGCAACTTGAGCGCGATTGAAAAACTTTAACTTTTCTTCATTTTCAGCACTCATTCAACGTTCCGCCGACCGGCTTGTGCTACGTTCCGTCCGGCGGGGACTGCTATCGATGCGATTGCAAGAAGCCGGCAACTTGCTACAAGGGAACGTGTCGATGAATGGAAATGGAGAATGTGGTCACTGTCTGTATTGTTATGAGACGAAATGAATTGTTGGTTTTGATCTTCAACCCAGATTAGTTTTTTTTTTTTGAAAAATGTTTAACAATGTCCGGATCTGAACGGATTAGGGATTATTTCAAATCAAGAGAGAAACGATCAGTTTGAAAGTGAAAATGAACACCGCCCGTATTCTTCGGCTCCTCTTTTTTCTCTTCTCATCCCTGGTAACCATCAGCTTTTCTTCCGAGTAGCATAGGAGTCTTGTAGGCCGCTGCAAGAGACCGTCCACTTGCTACAAAGGAAAGTGCTGCTGAAAAAAACAGAAAAAACTATTGTATCGTGCTGGATACCGAAAATAGAAACGAATTGAGAACAACAGAAACAACTTGAAACAACAATGATACAGCGAATGAATATTATCGACTTTTGACAGTCTTGTAGATTCCGTAGGCGATTGCAGAGGCGAAGAGTAGCCATCCGAAGTGCTGAAGGTGTTCCAGACGGGAGAGAGTGGGCTCGGCTGGGAGTGGTTGGAGGCACACTTTTTCTTGAACCATGGGGACGACTTTGGACTCTTTCTCGCATGGCACCTCGATCGCGATTTCTTCTTCTTCGTCCTCCTCGCTCGAATATTCCTCGACATCCAGAAGGGCGTCCTCGACAAACGGTTCCGGTTCGAGCATAAACAGACTGCCGATCAATGGTTTCTGCTCCGGATTTTTCTCGATAAGCACGCGGAACGCCTGCAAATCGGATTATCGATAGACTTTTGACCGTTTCTCCTAAGCACCTCATCAAGGGATGACAAAGCGACGACTCGTCCCTCGTTTTCAATGTAAACTCGACCGGAAGACAGCTGGTACAGCTTGTCCGACAGTTCTTTGACCCGAACAACAATTAGAAATCGGTTCGGCGTCGGATCCTCGCCATCACCTTTCGGAGCTCCGAGGACCGGAACGAAGAGCACGTCGATACCAGAAGTCAACTCGGACACGTCCCGTTTCATGGGGCTGACCCCGGTCAGCTGTTTCGGAGGCACTTTGATGAGCGGCGGCTGAAACTCTCCGGCCACGGCTCTCGTGAGCGCCATTCTGAAGACGACGCGGTCGGTGGCCGTCATTTCGACTCCCGTGACCGTATTGTAGGCGTCCACGCCAATGCAGACGATCAGATGGTGCTTCGAGTTGAGTGCCGCACAAATCGACGCTTGCAGTTCGAATGTCGACATGTCGTTGTAGTGCTCTTGGTCGAAAAGAAGAGTCCAGATTCCGGCGATTTTCTGAAATTTTTTATTCGTCAAGAGCCCCAAACTTAACATTTTTACCGGAAACACAGCCCGATACTCGAAGAACTTGGGCATTTGCTCGTCGTACAGTTCACCGAACGTGGCGGGAGGTGATAGGAGTGAATCGCCGCTTCCGTTCAAATGAATCGTGACTTCTGTGGTGATCAGATGAGTATTTTCGTCCTCTGTCACCGTTTCCAGCGTCTCGTCGGCTTCTTCGTCCTTCGCCTTTACCATTTCCAGAACTTGATCCGCCATCTTACCGGTCATCAGATTGTAGCTGGTTCCGCTTGTCACTCTGAACAAATATTGTTGGTTTCTAGTTAAAAACGTTGATTCCACCCACCTTCCATAACGAAAACTGTCCTTTGTCACGTCGTAGAGATCATCTTGAAAGACGACACTGTCATAGTTGGCGCCGGGAGTGTCGAAGTCGCCCCAAACGAATTTCGACTAAAATATGACAGTCTTAAAAATTTATATTTAGTTTTCAACAAATCTCACCTCATCAACAAGTTTTTGAAACGAATCGCTGTTTATCGCGGTCGGAGTCGGCAAATTCAGCGTGAGAAGCTCGTCATCGACCTGATTGCGGAAATCATTAACTGGGCTTTCATTATCCGAAAGTAAATCATTGTCGGACTGGACTTCTTGCAGTTTCTTTTGGAGGTACGAATCTGCAACGGAAAAGAGCAATTTTTATGAAGGAACAGACTGATTTTCGGTTACCTGGAACATCGCCGTCTTGCGAGAAAATCGTGTCGGTTTCATATTGTTCTTCCAGTGGAATCGTCTCCATTTTGAAGTGTTTTGTGCGCGAAAAATCGAAAAGATCGAGAAAGTATTTCGAAATTTAAAGGCGCAGCCGCTTTTGTTTCTAAATGAGTCTCGCCACGAACCAATTACTGTAGTTTTTCTTTCAAAATCTTTAAAAATGCAGAATTTGCAAAAGAAAATGATAAAATAGACCTTCTTGAATCCAAAAACGAGAAAATGATAGAGAAATCACTCTGAAATCCGCGCCAATAATCATGTATTTGTGAGAAGAAAGTTTATTTTTTTCGAACGATTATTCAAATATTGAGATCTCCCAATACAGTATTTGAGTGTCAAAATAGCATTGTAAAGCTGATAGCGAAACGTTTCTAATAAGAACATGAAAAATGGAAAAGATATCGTGTTATGATTATAAAACTATGAGGTTTTGAACTAAAAATGGAAAAGGGGCGCGGGAGAACCCGTTCTGCAACGATGATTCTGGGGGGAAGCATTTAGGCGATTTCAATTTGAACGCTCTCGTCGTTATCGTCGTTTTTGACAGTGAGCACGATGATGGGCGGTCGGGCGTATCCGTGCAATTGCTCGTAGCAACGGAGACGTCGGGTGGTGTGGACGATGAGAAATGAGAGGAGCGCCCAGATGGCGGGCAGCGCGAACTCGCAGATTACAAAGATCTGGAAGAAGAAAAAGATGGGCGGGAATGTCGAATTTTCGACACAAACCTTGTCCTCGTTGGTCGCGTGCACCTTTTCGAGCACCCGATTGTAGCTGCGAACCGACCAGACGGCGGCTCGAATGAGCAGGAAGAGAAGCTGAATTGTGGTGCACGGCAGCGTGAGCAGTGGTTTTCGGGTCCACATGGCGGCGCCCAGGCCCAGAACGCACGTGAAAATGTCGGCGAACATGCGCGCGACCAGGTAGTACAAATCGAAACTTTTGAATTTCTTGTAGAATCGCCACGAGTTTGGGTTCTCGTTCGTGTCGTCTCTGAGCAAATAGGCCCAGTGCATAATGTCCACGAGACACATGAGCACAAAGACGATTTTGAGGAGTCGGAAACGCGTGGACGGGTTGAAGAAGGGCCACGACTGGAAGAGGAACGTACTGGGCAGGCGACGCGTGGGACGCACTCACTACCTGGCTGTTGTCGATCTGTCGGCCGGACGACGCGCCTCCTTCCTCCGCACTCGCTTCCTGATTGTTCTGTTGGTCTTTGGCGCGAACGGAAAGATTCCGCGGGATCCTCGGCGAGTTACTCATATCCTGCAAACGGTCAATTTCGAGTTTCCGAGGTCTCCTCTCCGCATGAAGACTCACGTCGTTACTCGCCGAGTGGCTCACACTCACAACTTCGCCGTTCACCTTGACGAGCGTGTTCTTGCGCGAGCGTCCCTCTCCGATCTGGAGGTCTATCGTGTTGCGGCGACTCGCGTCTCCTCCGTCCTTCACCTGCACATTGACTTTCGACGGCTTTCGCGGATCCGATCCACCGGAGCCTGCTGCCTGAGTCACCACCACTTGCTGCTTCGACGACGACGACGACAGCTCTGTGAGCACGGGAATTAGGAGGAGGATGATGTGAGAGCGGGGCGGCAAGATGTTCCGAGATTTGGTGTTTGCTCTTCTGGCGTCAGAATGCACTAGTTCTCTAGGCGTCATGCTTAAAGACAGCGGCGGAGGAAATTCAAATTTCAAGACGCAACCGAATTTTAACAGTTTTTGGCTCAAAATAACAGAATTGTTTGAAATTGCGGCCGTCGCGCCGCTTTTTTCTCGCATTTGCGCCCCCGAAGAAGAGATTATTCACTTGTTTTTGCCGCCGTCTCGTGACGACAGGAAAATGGAGGGGAAAATGGAGGGGATAAGTAGATGAGATTGATGCAAAACTAATAACGGATGCATGTTTCTGGTTGACTAATTTGCATTCGCCTCCAACTTCCACGCTTCTTCTTCTTCTTCTTCTTCTTCTTCTTCTCCTTCTCGTCATTTTCCATTTTCCATTTTCCATTTCGCTCACAACGCGTCGTCGTTTCATCAGACAAAGGGCAAAAAGTGAGGAAAGGAGCACACTGACAAATTGGAAAAGGAATGAGAATGGGCGGACGGAGAAGAAGAAGAAGGAGAAGAAGGAAAAGCTATGATGGGAAGGAGCCGGAGGATGTGCTCTCAATCTTTCTGTGAAAGTGAGCCGGAGAATTGAGAGAGAGAGAGAGAGAGAGGCACGGATTATTGCCGATGCTCGGATTATTGGCGGACGAAGCGATGGATGAGCGGAGCCGGGCAAGGTATTCGCGAGAAGGGGGAAGATTTGGAAAAGAGCTACAATGCTACGGTGATTTGAATTTCATTGCCGTTGATTCTCCACGGCCGCCGGATTCGAAATTCGTCGACTTTGGCCTAGAATTGTTAGGGCTTAGAGCGAAAGAGCGCGATGGCTCAACCTACAAAACGTTGTTATACACACACACACACAGATTGAGTCTAATCTCTTCTCTCTTCTCAATGACTAATCGCATCCGAATAAAACGAGTCGAAGGGCTTCCCGAGGGAGACGTCTTCATCTCCAAGGCAACTCCTCTCTTCTTCTTCTTCTTCTTCTTCTTTATTACTTGGATGAGGCGGAAACGAAGGGAAAGAAGGAGCAGCACCTGATGATCGCACCTCTTTTCCGTGAATTGGGCTTGAAGTGGAAGAGAAACAAGGTGTTGAGGAGACGTGCACACGGCCAATGACAGCCCGTGCCCTTCCTCTATGAAATGGAAGAGGAAGAAGGAGAGAGAGAGGGAGAGAGAGAGAGAAAGATGCTAATCCGTGGCAAATGGGGGGGGGGGTGATTCTCGCCATGGAAACATAATCGAATGAAGATGTACGTGCGAAACGTAGCCCATCATTAAGTGAAAGTGAACGTTGGGTACAATGTGTTTGCCCAGGCTTGTATGGCCAAATGTGGAAAAAGAAGACTCACCAGATCACACGAGGATCTTCAGACGCCACTCGAAATGAGACGACGACGACGACGACGACAACGTAGTGCAGATAAGTGGGTTGGACGACGACGACGACGAGGCCCAAAATTGGAGTTTAGGGATTGGTGGGGGCGCACAAAAACAGCCGGAGCGGGCAGGATTTGACAAGGATTTGTGTGGTGCGCGGCCCCGAGAATCAAGAGGAGCCAAGAGGGGGGGGCGGAGGCGGCGAGCACGAAAACAACACGGCGGCGAAACCTTGTTACAGCCCGACAGAAACGGGCGGAGCAGAAGAAGAAGAAGAAGAAGAAGAAGAAGGAGAAGAAGAGGAACGACGACAAATCGGGTTATGCATACATCGGAAAACGAGCACCGCGTGCGGGTAGGACGCGAGGCAAGCGGCTTTGAGTGATGCAGAGATGAGGAAGTGTTCGAAGGGGGTGTACGGTAGGAAACCCGAACAAAAACAGATGCCAATTGGACTCAAACTTTGCAGAATTTTTAGGTTCAAGATCCGATTATCCGATCCGATCAGAGGCCATGCCTTAATCCGATCGGTCTGAAACTTGGGCCCAACCAGGGCTGCGCAATTGGCCGGCCCGGGCTTTTTGTTGGCCGGCCCTTGACCTGGACATTTGAACCACTTGCAATATTCCGATCGGACCCAAACTTTGCAGGATTGTTGGACTTGGATTGAGGGCCATTGGGACCAAGTTTCAGCCCGATCGGATCGTTGGCTCCCGAGATATGTGGATCATTGGCCGATTTTTTCCAAAAAGCCCGGGCTTCCGGCCAATTTCGGCCAATGATCCATACATATATCTCGGGCCCAGATGATCCGATCGGACTGAAACTTGGTCAATTCAAGTCGAAGACGTTTGAACAATGCAAAGATGAAAATAATGGAAACGGGCAGCTTTATATACTGCTCGCATCCCTAACAATTTAATTATCGGAAAGTGACGCATTGATAAGCGCCCACGCTGCTTGAGAAAAGGTGCACTGGAATCCGGCCTTTGCCCTGCCGTTGTCCTCTCCATTCCGTTGCCGAACTGCTGCAAACACGGTGCCAAGCCGTCGATGACCAAACGAACACTATTTGGCCTTCAAGATTGGCAAAATTCTTGATGATTTCATGCAAAAAAGATTGAAAACAGATTTGCAACCGAATCTTATCATCCTCCGTTATCGCTGCGAGGGGATTTGGCGTGTTCTGTGATAGCCAGTGTTGAGCGGAATTCCGTCTTCCGTCTTCCGTCTTCCGGATTTCAAAATTCCATTTCCGCTCAAGTCTGGTGATAAAGTGAAATGCTCAGATTGTCAATAGAGCACACGTGATTGCTTAACCGAAGATTCTGGAGAGGATTTTCAATTTAAATAGCTTTATTAATTAAACACATGAGATCGTCACAAAGATCGAATACGAATAAGAGCGAAAGATGATGGGGGGGAGGGGGAGACAATTGAATTCTAGAATCAGGTTATGAACGTCTTCTGCGGAACAAATTGTTCGACTCGATCGCCTTCTTATCGTACAATTCCACGAGACGAGGCGCTTTCTGAAAAGCAAACACGTAATCGAGTTGTGCCTCTCTTATCAAGTTCATTTTGCCGCCTGGCCAAGTTGCAACAAGAACAGGTTCCCGCTTTCCTCTTTTCCCGACCTTCCCCATCACCGTGATTAGGTCTCTTCCGACCGCTTCGCGCATCACTTACCGTAGTAGTGGTGGTCGTGGAAGGCGACGACACTCGGCTGACGACGACCCGATTGCCGCACTTGTACAACGTGTTGATGTGCTGAATGTCGGAAGCCGAGAATCGGTCGCGCTTCTGCCACGGCACACCGCCAAAGTTGTAGTGCATGATGGAGTTGGCGTCGTATCCGCCCATGTAGTACGACTTGGCGCGCTGATAGATCTTGAAGTTGTAGTGGTAGGCCGAGCCGGAGATGCGACGATCACGGTCGTCCCGCTGGTGTTCGTGGTAGAAGCCGAGGATGTGCATGAGCTCGTGCATCACGGTCCCCCGACCATTGTACAGAAGGCAAGACGGGTCGAGCTTCATGCGAGTCTCCACGTTTCCGGCGGCGGTGCCGAAGAGCCAGCGGCTGGTCTGACGGCCAATGTACGAGAAGCAACGCTCGAGCTTGTAGTACTTGTTGATCTGTAGGTAATGACGGTCGGAGGCGTGACGCGGACGGAAGCGGATGCAGGAGACGTCGCGGAACGCGTCCATGGCAGACAGAATGATTGCTCGCTCGGCGGCGGTGTAGTGCGCGGCGATGTCATAGGGCACTTCGGCGTTCGGCCACAGACTGGAAGGAGAGGAGTTTTAGTGAGAAGAGGGGGAAGAGAGAACGGTCACTCACTGTGTCTCCCACTGCCACGGATGGATGGCGATTCCTCGCTTCGCACGCATCGGAATCTTCACCGCCATCTCGTCGTCTTTGGGTGGCTCCGACACTGATCGTTTCGTCGGAATCTGCAAGAGATATAGGTCAACTTTGAAAAGTTTTGGAATTTCTACCTTAACAGCAACCGGCTCATCCTTCTCGGGCTCGCCGACTTTGGCGAGAACTAGTGTGGCTAGCGTAAGCAGCACTACGAATCGGTACATATTGAATAAGGGGATGAAGCACCACACACACTCTGTTTTTTGCAGCCGCCGATCCGATCTTTTGTAGTGGTCATCTCTGCAGACGAGACGCGCCGCCCCTTCCGCCGTTTCCTGAAGATCAGGCGGGCCGTCGGGGCCTCCCCAGGTTGTACTTTGCGAACGGCCATGACCACTACGATCAGGTGGACGTGGGAGGAGTACGGTGGTGGGCGCGGGAGCGTGTTTCGAATGGACAATGCGATGGGGCGAGGCGTTTTTTTATGGGTGCCGCCGCCCCGGGTGAAGAGGACAAATGACACCCACGGAAATGAATCACGCAAGGATCGGATCAGGTGAATCAGTGGGATGGGTGCACTTTGAAGGTTTACGACGCTCTGCCGAGAAACTAATTTTGCCCTTTTAGCAATGATTTCGGCGCCGAGTTCGACGACAAATCGTCCGTACATTTGTCTTTGTCACAAAAGCGCTTCGAGTTATTTCAGTCTTCCAAAGGGGCTTCCATTAATCTTCCCCTCCCGAATCACGTGACCCTTGCACAATCACTCTTTTTTTTTTGCGGTACTTGTCCAAAAAGAACCAGTTCTTTCTTGGTTTCAGTTTCTCAGAGCGCCCGTGTTGCACTTTCGACGCACTTTGCGCGAGACACTTGACAAAAAACGTTGTGAATCGAATGATGAATGAACGAGATGGATGTGGTGCGGGATGTTGCAGAAAAAGGAAAAGAGTTTTATGGCTCCGATTTGGGGTATATGTGTCGGAAAACAGGCGGAAAGTTCGGTCACACTATGATGTAGGTCAGGCACGTCCGGACACAGAACGTGTTGTTATTGTAGACATACTTTTGGACAACAAAGCTTCGTTTCGACAAGGAAAACCTCTAGACGAGACAAGACCGAGTTGGGGTCCAGACGGAAGATTGATGGAAGCACATGGCCGCGCCCTGACTTGAACTTTGCTTCCAGACTGTTCCCATCTTGATACCCTCTCGATTACTGTTCTTCTGTTTTTTGGACTTTGAAGATTGTACGCCACTCGCTCATTTCAGTTTTTCGATCGAGATCTTTTGCTGTAAAGACCAGAAACATTAAGTAGGCACTCGTAAACTTTTTAGTGTTATGTGTCGAAGTTTGGGCTCGGCGTGCCGAGCAAGATCAAAGAATGGATAGATGTCACATTGATCGTTTGAAATTTAAGAGAAAAACTTAAGTCCGATTGGTAAAGTATGAGTTGTTCAATGTGAACGCGCGAAATCCGCTCGGAGACACGAATGGAAGAGAAACACGCACTAGTCCCCCGGCCATGTCGATTTACGTGCATTTTTTCCCTGATTTTGCAAATTTCCCATTAAAACATGGAATTTTTCGCTATTCTAGAGAAAAATGTTCACTTTTTGATGTTTTTTCCAGTAAAACATCATTTGTTTATTAATTCACATCTGCAATCCTCAGGTTAATATGTCGCAAATCAGAAAATTGCTATTTCACTGGGAAAATAGCGAAAAACTCGGTGTTTTATTGGAAACATTTGCAAAAACGAACATACGCGCGTGCGTGCATATTGAAATGGCCCAATAGCAGTTGTGTGAATTCAGAAAAGCAAACTTCTTTGAAGAATTTCAAGTTTTTTTGACAAAAACACTCAATCTTTCTCGAATCGCGCATATTCTGAGTCGACTTTGTCGAAAATATGAGCGCTGAAAATTGCTGAATTTCCGACCAAGTTTGTTGTTGGACCACTCAAAATATCGTGTCTTATCGTTATTGGTCGCACGACCAGCGCTTCTTGAAAGTTGGAATCTGCGAACTTGGACAGTTCCTGCTCCGATCAGGAACAACCAACATTCCGATGTTCTTGCGATTTTCTGCAGTAACAAGCGTGTCATCGACTCGCGCGCCCGGGACATCAGGACATCAATCAGGCGGCGCCGGAAGGCTGGTTCTTATCCCATCGCTTCCTTATCTCTCTTCTTCTTCTTCGTTTTCGACACAATCCATTTGAAAGAAGCGGATAAGAGAGGATAAGAGAAGATAGGCCGATACTGTGTGAAAAACACGGTGCGAAACTTTATTGTCGACGGAAGTGGGGGGAACGAGTGGGAATGGGTAGGACGGAGCATCAACTGGAGGGTGAGTTATTGGAGAAAAAGTAGTAGTGGTGGGGGGGAATTGATAAAAGAGCCGAGAAAGAGCCGAGAATTATCGTCCGAATCGCATGTACGCCGACTTTCTCTTCATCATCTCGTGATCCTCCTCCTCGCCGCCCATCGAACGCTTTCCGAATCTGAGAAATGGAATGGATGCGTCTAGTCGGGGGTGTCGTCGTCATTTGCGACCCATTATGAATGTGTATCAACTCAGAAATTGATGGGCTCTCCCCCCCCCCGTTTTTGCCCCACAACTCAATGTTTACTCACCTCATGTACGCCGACTTTCTCTTGAAGAGGTCATGTGCGGCTTCTCCGTCTCCGAATGCCTCCTCGCCCTGCATTTCCATATCCGATCGTTTGCCGAATCTGCAATGCAACTTTTTTCTTCCGCGTCCTCCTACCACGCATAATTTATACCTCATGTAGGCGCTCTTCCTCTTCTCCGCACTCATCACGTCCTCTTCTTCCGGAGCCTCCGATCGCTTTCCGAATCTGCAAAAAGCGCGAATGATGCACATTTATAAAATAATCTCCTGAAACGGCACCTCATGTACGCCGACTTTCGCTTCTCCATCACGTTGTTGTCGTCGGCGAACTCCTCCTCGCCGCCCGAACTCCGCTTTCCGAAACGCATATAGGCGCTCTTCCGTTTCTCCATTTCCAGCGGGTCCGAACGCCCGAATCGCATGTACGCCGACTTGCGCTTCGCCATTTCTGAAATAAAATGCGGTCTATGGGGATCTATAGTCTTTGTGATGAGTACTAGACACATAGAAGACATACCTCGCTCCAAATCAGTGGCTTGTTGCGCGACGACGGCGAGCACGACGACGCCAAGCAGAAGAATCAACCCACGAGAGTTCATGGTTCTGGAAAAGAGCGATGATACCGTACTTGTATTCTGTTATTAAAGATTAGAATGAGTAAGTGTTAAGAAAAGGTAATCCGCCGACGGAGCCACCAAATAAATCATCTGTTCCGAGGGGGAGGGGCAGGTGAGAAAAAAAACAGATTAGAGAACTTTGTACCACTACTAAATGCCATTACAAAAGAGCGAGAAATGTGAAAGGTCTGGGGCGGGCGGGTGGGTGGAAGAGCCCGTGCCGCCGTCGAATGAGCCGACTTCTCTTCTGGTGCGAGGGGAGGCGCCGCAAAGAAAGTGGGCGGAGCGTCGGGCCCGGGCGGCTCACTTGAAGGTATTCTTCGTTTTTTTTTTGAAGACGCACCGCCCTTCTCTCCTTTCTACCAACCGAGACTAATCCGATTTTGAAAGAGAGAGAGAGAGAGAGCGAAAGAGAAGAAGATGATTATGATTATGAGCATGAGAATGACGTCATTTAGGTTTGATGCCACGTGGCTCACGCGGGGGAGCCGTCGGTAGACGGACATAAAAACGGGGTCACCATGGAAAATCGTAACAAAAAACAAGGGCGGAAGATGGATTGAATTCAAATCGAAATGACTTTCGCATTGTATTCGTTTATTGGGAGAGCCGAAATAAATCGGGGAAGAACTCACAGAATTGAGGTGACAAAAAACTAGAAAGTGGTCGGCGGCGGCTTAAAACCAACATTCTTCGTTGTTTTGCAATTAGTCTCGCCGGCCGGATTGTGAGATCAAATCCGTTCGCAATCTACTTTCCAGTTCCTTCTAATCCGACATCCTAACGTCTTTCCCGGAAGTGCCCCACGTCACAAACGATTATGTAGACGAGACACAAGAGGAAGAAGAATCCCTTTTTTTCTCCCCGGAAGCAAGTACGGTCCTCTTCCGGAAGCCATTCACACTCATTTTCACGTCAACTTTCGAGCCGGATCTAGAGGAACAAAATGTTGGGTTGGAAGGTGAGAATTGAGAAGTGAGTGACGTCCTTTTGTGTACACACATCCACGTCATCATCAACTATGCGAGTACCCGCTGGGACAAAGTGATCTAGAAGATTTGCATGATTTCGGAAGCTCGGAGAGAGAAGCCCATTCCCCATTCGACATTAAAAAACACGCATGTTTTCATGTTTAAACCGGAAAACGCAAGGTTTCAAAGAGCGAAGGCAGAGCAAAGAGACTGAAATCTTCTGATGTTATGTGAATCCACGCTGATCACTCGACTCCTCTAATCCCGTCATCCTCCTCCTCCTCAATATGATGCTCGTAAGACCGATGAATGTGGGAAACGATCGAACACCTTCACAAGAGCAAAGTGTCGGCAAAGTTTGGGTGATCGAAAATGCAAAAATGCGTTTGGGCGCAATTTCTGGCGGTGACAGGAGCACAAAACACGGGGAACACGATTTGAATATTGTCGAATGACATTATAGGTGACTTGATTTGACCTTCCTGGACTTTCTTTCAATTCAACATTTCAATCCAATTCCTGGAGCCATGAAAGTTTAATGGCCTCTTCTTGGAAAAGAACGAGTTTTTTCTTTCCACAAAACTTTTGGATTATTATGTCATAAACGTCTCCGGGGAGCCACACCGTACCCTTTAATCGGTTTCGTGGCGCGCCGCCGCCGCTCGAAAGCAGCTTTAGTCCGTTCGGCTAACTGCTCGACGAGCGCGGGATTATCCCACCGCCGTCTTATGGACCGAGCGCGCCAGTTTCGATTTAAATTCAAAACACTTTTTTTTTTGGGAAAATTGGGTGCGGCTTCTCGCGGTCTGATCTTTTGGTCCAATTGCAGGCTTCTTGGGGCCAGACCGATCACGGTCTCCCAGGGCGGCGCAATAATTTCAATGGGGCACACTTGCAACAGGCGGGCTGTGTCGATTTACGCGGCGGCCGATTAATTAATTTTCAACGGGATGCCGCGTTCTTTCCATGTTTTCTATACATTACACCTTTTTTTGTACGCCTGGAACCTGGATTCGAATAATTAGAGCACTAGCTACATTTTGGTAACAGAAATCTCACATATCGTTGAGAATTAGCCGAGTTATTTCGATTTGAAGGTTTTGCGGCCTGGATTTTGATGTTTTTCGAATAGTTTTTGAAAACTGCTCAAGAAAACCAACCGCCGGAACCTGAATTTTGTAAAGACAGATTCAGCGAACATTTTTATCGTTCGTTCGGCTCATGAAATGCAAAATGAGCTGAAATATAAAGGTTTGAAGTTTTGACGAAATGCGAAAAAGACGCTAAAAACATGAAAAACTCGAAATTCTGTAAAGAACGGTTTCCAATCAATAAAATATTGTTTTCTGGACGTTTTTCAAGTCAAAAAGAAAGAAATAAAGGTCGTAAACTCGAATTGAAGTGCATTTTTAGACCTGCAAATTTTCAAAAGTTACAACGACGCTCCGCAATTTACGAGCGCCCTGGGAGACCGTGTCGATCGGATTGTCCGGCCCTTTGGGTCCGATTGCGATATTTGGGCCAAAAGTTCAGGCAAACACCGTCACACACACACAAACTTTCGAGTCGACGCTAATCCAATGAGGTTCTAAAAATGGAAAAAGGCGCGAGAAGTGTGAATCTTTAGTTTTCGTGTTTCAAACCAAAACGTCTCGAATCCGGATTATGATTATGATTATGATTCAAAGCAGAATCTCGTGAAAAGATTATACCCGTGACGCATTGACGTTTTCGATCGGCTGAAAAGTACAGTAGCCCGTGGTTCGAGATCATTCCGTTCAGAAACTCGGTTCCGCTTGCTCCTCGCCTTCTGTTCTCAATTCTTGAATAGCATTCATAACGAGTTCGATTTCCCAAAAAAAAAACCTCTCCAAAAGTAAGAAGGGAATCCCATCATTTTTCGCACTACGCCCTACTTTCTTTGCCGTCCAAGAGAATCACATGAATAAATTAGGAATGGAGATTTCTCGGCGGCGAAACGACGATGAACTTTGGCACAAGGTTTGGGGCCCGGAAATTGGGGTTAAAGACGGAAAACGGGCAATTAGATTCGGTCTCGATTAGATATGTTTGGCAGGAAGGAAGGAAGGATCTCGTGCTAATAAATGACACTTCCGGCGGTCAGGTGATCGATCGTTTTGGCGGGGGGACTTTTGTACATTCGATGAGTCTTCCTCATCAAAAATATTATCGTCAGTCGCTTTCAATGATTTCATCCTTCTAGCCTTTATCCCCTCAAATCTTGTTATCCACACTTTGTTATCCGCTTATTCAAATGGTGTCCGTATTCAGTAGTATTGATGATAATGCCAAGTGATACAAAAAGATTAGGGAGACGAAGAAGAAGAAGAAGAAGAAGCCGGATAAACGGATGAATTATGAAGTTGGGATGACATAACTGCTAGAAACAGGGGAGAAACTTTCTGGACCTCACGGAGCTTGGGGGGAGTGAATGGGAATGAGCAAGTGGGTAATAGACAATGAAGCGAACAAAAGAAGGCGTGAACACGGTCAGAATTGGGAATTGGTGTCTAGAATCCAGAAACAAGCATCATTTCTAGGGTCTTACTATAAAATAACACTTTTTTAGAAGCTACATAAATGAGTTATTATTACAGTAGTCTTTGTGGTTCACAAGATACTAAAAGAGCGTCAAAAGGTTGCAGGAAACTAGTTTTCTCAAAAAGCATAACTGATTTGGGGTCCTAAAGTACTGATAAACTCCACGTTTTCTGTTTCTCGTCTCCCGAGTGGATACTGTTTAGAAACAAGACCATAACTCGAGAATGACTGATTTTGGAGTAAAATGATCAACTACAAAGTTGTTGGGCACAAAAATTCCAACAACTTTTCAGTTTACCACTTTTTGAAATAATGCTTGTATCGCGAGATCTAGGTTTCCAAAGATGAGGGATCTAACTTTTGGTGCTTTATCCAATGATACGAGTAGTTTAGACCACCTTCAAGTTGTCGAAAATGTGCTGACATTGCTCACAAATGTGTGGGGACGAAAAGGAGGGAAAGAAGGTACGAAATCGAATTGAACGAACACGTTTATGAATGTGGGGTGGAGTCACGGATGACGAGCGCTGCCCAATTTTCTTTGGGCCCAGAAAAAATGACGACGACGACGACGATCCATCTCGTCTCTTTTTTTTCGTCTCAAGACGTCCTTCTTCAAGCACAATTTCGCCATTATTATATGGGGCAAAGAGAGAAGGAGAGAGAGAGAGAGAGAGAGAGAGAGAGAGAGAGAGAGAGAGACGTCGAGCACACACACTTATCGTTGAAATTATCACGATTTGGAAGAGGAAGAAGATGATGTGATGGAAGGATACGCTCGATTGAACAAAAGCGGGAAGTGGTCGGCGATCGAAAAGTTTCGGAGAAGCGGAAAAAGTTCGAAACAAAGAGAGGAGGTTTGCTCATTGGACCAGAAGACCTGAACAAGTGCCGGTGGAGCGCGTTTGCCACAAGTTTGTACTTTTTACAGAAAGGGTCTCTCTCTCTCTCTGGAATAATTAGTTATTGGAAAGTAGGAGCTGCTTTCGGTGGCCTCACACAAACGCAATTATGAAAACGAAATCGAGTTAACCGTGTGCCTGCCCGTTTCCCTTCGCGTCATCCATCTGTTACGGTGGTTTGAAGGAAACTGAGATGAGTGGGGGGATGGGAAACTGGAGAACATGGATGGAGTTGAGTGCTCCGCGGCACGCGATACTAGTTGATGTTTAGGGGCACCTCGCTTACCGTACTCTTAGGGCTGGGCAATGGTCTTGGACATTTGGATCACCCGCAGTATTGGACTTTGATTGAATTACTTAAGTATCTTGGGTCCAAGTAAGTACCCATCCCACCAGAAAACTATGGCCCAGGTTTTCTAGACCATGCATTTCGGGGATCCGAGAATTCGACGTGACCCTTCCTAGATCCATCTCAACGTGTCGATCTTCTCTCATGAATCCAATCAATTCCCGCCCGAATGGATAGCACTAAACGTGCTCCGAGCAATGAGCCGACTCTGATGATGGGCGACTTGGTACTGACGCTCGACTGCTCTCCGATCGACGCGCTCGTCTGTGTAGGACTGACTCCGTTGCGAAGTCGATTTCTAACTGTTCTCTTTCAGAACACGTTTCCGTGTCCAGTTGAGAAGAGAAAAGGACTCACTAAGAATGAGGTTGGTCGTGAAGAGACAATATGATTTGTGAATGCGACTTTCAGAAAAAGCAAAACGTCTTCTATCAGTACGCCTCGTTCGAAGAGGCGCGTGTCGCGTGGAAAGCGTTGAACGGCATCCGGATTCCGGCAGTCGAGCCAGATTTCCGACTCGATCTGACGTTCGCAAAGCAGGAGACGGAGGTGTGCACCTTCTTCGCCATTCCGAACGTCTTCTTCACACGCTTCGAGGTCTACAAACTCGTGTCCCGCTACCAGTCGGTGCTCGGACTCGCCTATTATCAGTACGCTCCGTGGCAGCGCAGAGTGAAGAGAACGTCGTGTTTTGTGCGATTCGCCGACCCGGACGAGTGTATGGACGCGGCCAGGGTGAGGCGGAAATTTCAGGCGAAACCATAGTTGTCATATATGACGGTCTCCAGAGCTGACAATATGGGCGTGGCCTCGGCGAAATGGCATTTTCATGAATTGAGCAGGTTTTCTCTGATCTTTGTGGTCAAATGCGATGAAAAATGATTGCTCGACATGAAAACACACTAATTCTCACAGAATTAATGACGTTTTGGCGCATTTTTCGCTTACTTTGCTTTTTCGCCTTCGCCGCCGATCGCCGCCTAAAAACCGCACTTTTCATTTTGCGCTTTTTTGACCGTTTTCAGACAGAATTGATTTTAAGAATGATAAATCACGTAAATACAAGCATTTTGAGCGCTCAAACCGCGAAAATTACCGAAAAGCAACTGAAATTCACGCAGTTTTAGCCAAAAAACCTTCAAACTGATAAATTTGATTTGCGACTTGACCAAATTTAACGCTCTTGCGCTTAAAAAATTCGTAATAGCCTATACAATCGGTCTATCGAGAGACAAATGAGAAATTATCGGTTTTTCGTGGCTAATCTGGCAAAAAACACAAATTTAGCTGTTAAAATTTGAATTTCGCGCCAATGTATCGCTCTATTGGGCGGGGCGCACTTGCGCCCATTGTCAGCCGTGCTAGATACAAAATAAATGTACTCGTAACTTTGTTTTTGGAAGTCAGTATGCAAGAAATGAGTTTCAGGAGATGCACGGGATGCTCGTCGAAGGCCATCCGGTCACAATGACCATCTCGGCGCGGCACATTGACGAGCTGAAGGAGTACGTGCAGCACCGAGAGGCGGACAATTTGTTGAGGGGAATCCCTCCGTTCCACAACTTTTGTGAGACTTTTTAGGATCGCACAGAGCCACTGAAATTTGTTGCTGAACCAACAAGGAAAACGGGCGGGGAGAGCGCAAAGATTGATGGATGCGGATGCGAGAATGACGTGCCGTAGGGCGCATACCAATTTGTCGACAAGTCATTTTGAATCTGGAGCAGTCTGGGGAGACCAATTCCGCCGAAAAAAACACGCCGGCGAATAAAAGCGAAAAGAGAAAACGAGTCTATTTTTTTGCATTTTCAGACGAGAAGAGACGTGTCGGACGCGACGAGTTCAACACGATCACCATCGACGCCGCCGACTTTTTCGACGATCTCGAGGCTTCGCGATGGACGGATCTTGTGTTTCGGACAGACGTGAAGGATACGGCCTACGCGCGACAGATGACTATCAACTATTTTGAGCATTTTTGAGCACTTGTGTTCTACTTTTTAATTTCTGTCATCATCATCATTGTTATTAAATAAAAACAAGCAGAATCGTCATGAAAAGTGAAAACGAAGGCATTTCGTAGGTGTATGTGTGTGATGAGCGCAAATGAACCGGATAGGATATGGGTGTTCTAATACAAGTTTGATATCAGTCAGTTTCGTTCGTTTAAATTCTCAGAATAGGTTAATCTAATCTTGGGGGGGGGGGGGTACTATCACAGAATAATGATAATGATATTCATTGTCGCGAGGAGAGGTTCTCTTTGAGGATTCCGTAGATGTTCGCTCCTTTCGGAGTGTAGTCGTTTCCATTTGATGGTTTACTGAAAACGACTGCATTGGAATTGTCGGGCGGTCCATTCGGGCGCGCGTACCTGAGGCTCGGCGGCGCGAGTTTTTCGATCATTCGCTCGATGGATCGATCGATTTCACACATAACTATCTTCTTTTGTTCCATAGCCAAAGTCGTATCGTCCTCCACCTGAAAATGTTCGTTCGACAATGTGGCTAACTTGAAGGCAGGGCCGGCCTTGGCGTGGACTTTTGAACCACTTGCGATATTCCCCAAATTTTGCGGGCTTCTTGGAATTGGATTGTAGAATATTGGGACCAAGATTCAGACCGATAGGGTTATGGGCCGGCCCTTGAAAAGCCCAGTTGCCCAGCCCTGATTTGAAGGGACTACGAAAGAAAAGCAGTTAGGAAGGTAGAAGCGACGATCACAAAGGATTGTTGGGAGTGGAGCTTACCAGTTTCTTGGCTTGAAGACTCTTGTCGACGTGGATTCGCAGCTGCTCCATACAGTCTTGAACGTGGCAAATGAGCGCTGTAAAACGGAGAACAAAGGATGGTGGTTCGAGCGAGGGGGAGAATTGCGTGAAAACAAGGGATCGCTGATTTTTCTCGAACTTACGATTTCTGGTTCCGTCCTGCGAGTTCTCCATCAGGTTCTGCCACTCTTGCGAGTTGACCGAACTACGCGGCGACTCGTCGCTGCCGAGATCCGGACCCTCCATCGACTTGTTCATTTGTTCGCTCAACTTGGTGACCAGGTAGTTGTTGCCGGTTCTTCGGGGCGTCGAGGTAGCGGAGAGACCGCTCCTTTGCTGGTCGTACATGCGACGGCTCGATGGAAGACCGCTTCCGATCGCTGAAATCTTTTTGGGTCATCTGACGTTTGTCACATCTTGATCCGAAAACTTACGTCCACTTGCGAGCGACGACGATCCGCGCGAGGATACCGGCGAGCATTCGGAGGCGGTCGTCGAGCGGTTGCCGGCCGCGAGAGCTCGCTTGTTGATGCTCAACGGCATCATGTCCGAGTTGTTCGAGTCGCTCTCCTCGGAGGTCTGATTGCGTCCGCCCGCCAGTCCGCTCTTGTTCTTCGCCCGATACCTGTCCATCTTCTTCTGAACGGCGCCTCGGTGCATTCGCATTGCGAACGGACTTCCCGTATCTTCAAATTGCTCGGGGGCGGTGAGGTCCGGGTTGCTCGCCTTCTTCATCATTTGAATCGTGTTGGCGAGTCGTTTGCTCGGCGAGTCGTAGTTGTTGCTCATAGAGCCCTCCATCGCGAGGCTGTCGTTCAGGTTTCCGATGCTTCGCGCCATCATTCGAGAGTGTGCGAGTGAACTTGTCGAGCTGAAATCGAATGAAAAGGTCTTATCAGTTCCGAAGCGGCCGCGCCCTTTTTCGTCGCCAAATTTCGCGGTCAACAACTCACCCAGACTTCATTCTCGAGTCGGCGTCAAAAGTTCCGAACGACTCCATGTTGCCGAGCGCCTCCGCATTCCTCAGATTGCTACTGCTTCTGGTCCTCGTCTTCGGCGTGCCCTGACTCGCCGCCGCTTCCTCCAGATTCTTGAGAAGCGCCAAGTTCTCCGTTGACTTTCGCAGGTTCTCGCTCGACTGGTGCAACTTGCTGCGCACCGCCATAAGTTTGTTCAGCGCGTCCGTGCTCTTGCGCATCTCGTCTCTGCCACGCGTCGCCGATCGAACGTAGGAGACGTCCGAGTCGCGACGACGTTGTTGGATGCCACGCGCGGCGCCGACGATCGAACCGCCGGTCGACGAGGGACTGGAGGGTGTGTCGCCGCGCGAGCCGATCATCTGGCTCAGCGCCAATTTGTTCGGACTTTGACTCCGACTCCGAAGTGCCGAATTGACATTGAGATTGAGATTGAGATCATCGGCTGAAAAACGAAATGAATCTTTACAAGCAGCCTAGGAACCAAAAAATGATTTGAAAGGTGGAAGTGTGGGAGCCCAAATATTAGGAAGGACAGAGTTAGACGGACGAAGAAATCATGCGACGAAGGACGAGGAGGAGGAGGAGGAGGAGGAGGAGGAGGAGGAGGAGGAGGAGGAGTTGACCGTGTGACAGTGTGTGTGTGTGTGCTTCTGCTCTATTCAGTTTTCACCTCTTTCCTGCACTTTCACACGTCTTCGTGCCACGTCGGCGTCGCGGGTGTCGACGGTTACCGTACTCGGCCGTCGGTACGCCATTCGTGTACGCGACTTGGGTCCGAACGACGGTGTCGTCGAACTAACGACATCGTCGTCATCGTCATCGAGAAAAATCTCGCGCGTTTGAACGGTGGTCGTAAAACGCAGTTTCTGCTGTTGCCTATCTGTGTCTGAAACGGGAAAATCGGGGAGGAATCGGAGACGCAGAGAATCAGAGAATCGGACGATTAGTCGGGAGAGCGAGGGAGAGAGATATTTGACTTGTTTTCATAACGATAACGACTTACGCCTTCTGGAGAGATTCGTCATCGGCGTGGCCGTTTCCGAGTTGACGGCGGCGAACAGGTTCGAGTTGCTGCGGCGCGGAGCTCCCGCGTTGGCGAGCGACGACGGACTCCAGACGGTCTTCGGCTGGGCGCCTCCGTTCTCGAGAAACTTCTTCGACAGACTGTTCCGATCCATTGACTTGCGACGGAACGGACTGCTGTTCGCCTGGATTTGTTGGAGAGCCTGGTGGGACGGAGCAGTCGAGAGCACCACGCGGGAAGTTGTGCGGGGCGCCAGCGGAGGGGGATGGGTCGAGTCGGGTAGGTTGTACGGAGAGGCTGAATTTGAAAATTTTCCCATTTGAAATTGGTCATTTGTCAAATTAAGTCAGTTGGGGACACCTGTCTGGCAGGTGCTATGTCGCAAAACAGTTTGGCGATCGTGCTCTATTGCTCTTCCATTGTTTTGCAAATTCTAGGCCACGAAAGCCCGTCAGAAATCTTACTTTGCCAAAGGTTTGATTTGTGCAAAAAAGCGCATGTGCATCGCTTTTTTGTCGGAAACGAGTTTTTTCGCAAGAAACTCACCATGGTGCTCATTTCGGTAGGCGTACGGCTGAATCGAGGTTGCCATGACGGGCGAGACGTGATGAATGTCGATTGTTGTGGAAGAAGGGTGCCAGTCTGAAAAAAAAAGGGCGCTTATTTGCAATTCATAGAAACGTGACACTTTTCGGCAGAATGTGTGTGTGTGTGATGGATGGATGAATGCGCGAAAAAAGGAGTGAGGTGTGAGAAGTTGTGCGGAAAGTTTGTATAAGGAGACGATGTCGAAAAGGAGGAGGTGGAAAGCCTCCGAGGGGGACGAAATCGGACACCTGACGAGAGAGTGTGCGGAATCGGGGAGACGGGCGGCGGCTGATTGAAAAGGACACACAGTTTGAATTGGTCGCCTTCTTCCTCCTTCTCCGGTCAAGACATTCGACTGTATACAGGAATAATAATACGCGCGAGCATAGCGAGGGTAATCAATATTTGTGTGCATTCGCCCGTCTGGGAACACCTGCGCTTGTTTATGACAACACTAGGCACTGACCGTTGTTGTTCGTGGAGGAGGAAAGGGGCGTCATGTCCCCCCACTTCATGCGTCCAGATGTGTTCGGCGTCAAGTTGGAGGAGGATCCTGAACGAAACACATCATAAAATCGCCCGATCATCATAAAAAGGAGATAAGACTACTCACCAGACTGCGAGTTTCTTTGCGACGCAATGTGCGAAAGCATCAGTTCTTTGGCCGTCTGCACGCGAACCCCGCCACCACCCGTCACATCCCTGGAACCAAAAGATGAAAATAAAGGGCCTAAAAATCAATGATACCGTAGATTCATCATCGACTTGCTGCTCTGGTAGCCTCTCAGCTGATCGTTGTTCGGCACGTACAGAGAGGGCGACGCGGATCGACGCGCTTCGGTCAGTGGTGCGGCCAGGTACTGACCGCTGCCGTGGCTCGAGTCCTGCTCGTCGTCGTCCGAGAACAGACGGTTCTTTCTTCTCGAGGACACAAAATCCGACTGTGTCTCGGAGATGTCGGTTTCTGAAAAGTGTTATTTGATGATTTTTCACTTTTCACTTTTTCGATGCTAACCGGGTGAGCGAATGCGCTTCGCTAGTCTCTGGTATTCCGATTGGGCCCAAATTTTGCGGGCTTTTCAGTCTTGGATTAAAGTATTTCGGGCCCAAGTTTCAGAACGATATCAGGTCCAGAGATTAATGATCATATAATCAAAGGCTGAAAAGCCCGGGTTTTTGTGAAAATTGGGGACTAGTCGGGTAAACAATCTGATTGGTCTGAAACTCGCTGCTTCTAAGAAATTTAGAAATTTATGCATCCAAGCAAGGAATGTGGGAAAGGTCCCAAATTTCGATTTCCTCTACAATTTCGTTCTAATTTTCAGTTCCTGTGTTCAGTTCAAAAACGCGCTTCACTAGACCCTCAACTTACCGTACTGATCGTGCGAGAATAGGTTGGTGTGCGTTCGTCGTTCGACTGCCGGCGCCGACTGAACCGCCGGAGAGAAGGAGCTGAAAAGTTGCAATTGCAGGTTAACGTCCTTAAGATTTGATAAAAGTTGGTACCAACCGAGCACAGATGATCATGGGCATAGCGAGGGGAGGGAAAGTGAGAAGAAGAAGAAGTGAGAGGAGGGAGGGGGAGGCAGGTTCTCGCCTGGTTTTTGAGTGTCTGAGTCTATCGGAGACAAGAGAGAAATACTAATGAAAAGAGATAGAGAGAAGAAGAAAAATAAGAAGAAGAAGCTTTTGATTTTATCACTTTATCAATCGTTTTTGCATGGACATGGAAACAGCTGATGGAAGAAGAAGAAGAAGAAGATTGGAAGAGAAATGATTATGACGAGTGGCGCGGCAAGAAGTGGACAATATCTTTTCGTTATCTCGTCGGGATTGCGTGTACGCATTGTTTACGTTGATCATTTTGAAATATCGGAAGCAAGGAAACGGTTTCAAGGTCGGCAATTATGCAAACGCGCATTCCGTTGCCCAAATTCGAAGGTCTTTGTTCGTTTATCGGTTCTCTGAGAAGTTGTGCAAACTCTCATTCTAGTTCCCACACCCGGAGAGGTGTGACGTGGCAAATCGAATCTAGCATTGAGAAACACTTCCATTCCGTTTCACATTTGCAAGAAAGTGAGCGAAAAACGATTCGATTCGATTAATGCAAATGTGTAAGTGCAAAAGAGAGATGGGAATGGGAAGGGAAGGTATTCGAATTAGACACCCCCTCTCTTTCTTGGCAACATGCCGATCGAACATTGTTCACAGAAAATAGGGTCTTCTCGACAGTTTCTCGAAGAAATCGTGAAAAGCGAGAATAATTCGAATTTCGGGGGCTTTTGTAGAGGTGCTCGCCTAGAATTCGCCGGGAATGGAAGAGCGACGGCAATTGAGCGATAGAGCGCGGTTGCTTCGCTTTTTTTGCATGATTTATACAAAAAACGGAACGTTTGGACAAGTTTCTCAAAAAAATTTGAATGGTAAACTGACTAGGAAGAGCAGAGCAAAGTACAATATTTGAATGAGTTAATGTTGTTCCGATATCATTGTTTCCCCCACAAATGTTCCATTAGTGATTAGGTAGGTCAACCTCCGAGTGAGTGATCAAACATGACCCCAGTGACAAGCGGACAAGCGATAACAGCTGCGTTCTTTCCGCTGTTTTTTTTGTGTCAATGTTCAAATGATAAATGAGTAAGAGCAGTGTAAGAAAGTCAAGAAAAGCGAGAAAACGAGTGAATTGCGTGGGCGGGGGGGACACGGAATCATGGACGGATGTTGTTTGCGCGTCCGTCTTCTCCGGTTATCATTAATTGACCTGCCCCGGAACCTCAACGGAAGAAAGTGCCCCGAGAAGCAAACAATTCGAAATGGAATTCGATTCGTACAGAGAAAGGGTCCACTTCTTTGACAGTTCACGAGAAAGGAAAACAAAGCGAGGTGATTGGCCATGTGAATCGTTCGCTTTTCATGGCTGAATCCCAGAGCTGGGCAGAAAGCCTGTAGGCCGGGAAGGTAGCCTGTAGGCCGGGAAGAAAGCTTGGGTAGAAGGCCTGGGCCCAAATCATCCGTGAATGATCGCAATAAAGACGCCCACTACTACTGACTTGCGGTTCATTGAACACGAACAGTTGTGGCGTGAAAAGAAAGACTTTTGTAATACGAAATCCTTTTCTTTCAATTCAAAAGTTTCGGTTACAAGCACTGAAGCACTGAATGATTTGACGGGAAAGGTGTGCAAACGTATCGAGAAAGAGCGTCGGATCAGAGGAGGAGCAGAGAGCGAAAGAAGATGGAGAGGGAGCCCAAAAACGGAAAGTGTAAATAGAGATCGAAATGGAACACCGGGCGGCCGGCCTCTAGCTTCTATTGGAGGGGACGGAAGGGCGGAAAGGAGGGGAGGATGACTCTCGCGAGTACAAACAAACGTTCACGTTCCAATGGGAACACAATGTTTTGATGGTGACACAGGTTCGGGGCGCTCCAGCGACATTTCGAATGGAAATGAAATTGTTTCAGCATGTTTTTATGCTTCTTCCATCTGTTGTACATCGGTGAGAAGGGCTAGTCACGCGAGCTAGAGTTCTGCGCCTTTAAATTTTAAGCGGATACGGTAGGTCACGATGAAAACAGTCTTCCACTCATTTTGATAATATTTCTAACAAAAATCCCTGTGGAATCGGTGAAACGCGCAGATTTAAAGCCGCATAAATCTAGCGCGCGCTTGTCCAAGTTTCGGGGAAAGAACTTTAGAACTTTGATCCAGTTCCCAAGTCGGCGAAAAAGTTGTGCACGATGGAAGAAAAGAGAGCGGAGGGGTTTAACGGTGAGCCGATGATGGCATTGCCGGAGGGCCGCAAAACAACGGCGAAACCAAATCGGCCGGAAAGAGAAGAAGCGGCAAAGTCCGTTTCTCGAGCATTTGGACAAATAGATCAGTGCGTCTCGGCGGCGCTCTCCGATCCGCGTGCTCTCTCCGGCCCGTCAAAGTGTTAATTTGCATAAATAGCGGTAGAGTTTGGAGGAGGGTGACCAGTGGTCAGTGATCTACAGGACCGGACTCGACTGCAATGAGGTCGATCGAGATTCGAGTGGATCGAGGTCAGCAGAGGATTACAAAAATCAGAGAGGAGCCAGTGGATACGTCGGGACCGGGGGAAATGTGCATTGCTTGCTGCTGGCCATCATCAAAATTTTATGGGGCAAATACGAGAAAACCGCCGCATCAAGTTTATTGGAGCAGCTCAGTATACTCATAAATTGACAGCCGGAAGGAGAACGGAGAGTACTATGAGTATCAAGAAATCCGGGTGGGCTATGCGTCGTTAAAAGTTCAATTTTTTTTAAAATTCGATGAACTCGTGATCGTCAAGGGTTTATGCCAATTCCCAAAAAATTCCATGGGTCCGTGACCGTCAAGGGTTCATGCCAATTTTCAAAAAATGCGATGGACTCGTGACCGTCAAGGGTTCATGCCAATTTTCAAAAAATGCAATGGACTCGTGACCGTCAAGGGTTCATGCCAATTTTCAAAAAATGCAATGGACCCGTGACCGTCATGAGTCCGGGTGGGCTACGCGCTTTCAAAAAGGTACTGGTTTGCGATGTTTCGTTAGAACCGTCTGAAATCGACATGTTCGCAAATCTACCGCTGTTCGCGTGGTTAGAATAGGGTGGCGATGAAGTACAGAATGACATCAAAAGTATAATCGGAGCGGGGGATTCGAGAGAGTACTGTAGAATGGGGGAAACTGGATTATGGACAGAAGATGAGAAGACCTAATCGGATTAATCGAGTCTCTCAAAACTCTTGAAATCCGCGCCGGGCGTGTCGAGTGGAACAAACTGTTGCAGAGTCGTCGTCTTCTGGCACGCCCCCCCACACACATTTACATGCAAGAATAATGGTCGTATTGTGACAACAATACACGTACACACACACTTTTTATGTGATTGGTTTTGGCACCAGGTGTGGCGGGAAAAGTGTAAAACGTACCTATCGCCGACGCGTGCGTAGCTCGAACTGCCGATCGGATGGCCGCCGTTCGGATGGCTTCGTTTCGTGCGGCTACTTCGGACCGACGAGGAGAAGCGGGTCGAGTCGTCGTCCGAGTAGAGAGAGGCGGAGCTTCCCGAGAATTCTGGAGCTCCGAGCGGACGGGCAAACGAGCTCGAGTCGCCGCTGATTGTCTCACTTCCGCTGCCGAGTAGGCTGTCCGGAGTGGCAGTTCTGAAAAAGGTGAAAAGAATTTGGAAGAGTGAGGAATGAGAAGGCGAATTATTGTTATGAAAAAGCGGGGAGAAGCGAGCGAAAGTCGAAATAGATGCGAATCTCGGGCACCCCCGACAGAGCGATACACATCTTTTTGTGTGTCGCCTCCGCGGATCGATGTTGGCCCACTTACCTCATGGTTACTTCTTCCATGAGTCGAACTTGTGCCGAGATCATTCGTTCCGTCACGTTTTTCGCGAGCTGCCAAATAAAGATGGCGCCGTTCGCGGTCGTCACCAGCACCGTTTTGAAGTCGTCGGAGAACGTGGCGTCCGTCGGCGGCGCTCCGAATCCACACAAAACCGCCAGACACGCGCCGGTTCGCAGGTCGGTCACGTAGACAAACTTGTCGGAGCACACGGAGATGGCGTAGGAGCCCGACGCGTCGACGGCTACCTTCTGGATCTTTCCAGTGTGTGCCACGTCATCGTCGGTCCCCTTCACCTCTCGAATCGGTTTTCCGTTGATGTCAAACTGTCGGAGCATCCTGTCATGGCCAGCGACGACGAGTGAATCCACGTACTTTACGAATTCCATGTCTCCTATGCTCGAGGGAACGGAGATCTGCTGCGCTCGCGTGAACTGACAATGCTGCTCGGAGAACGAGTCGAGCTTCCAGATGATCAGACTGCGATCGGTGGCCGCCGTGTACAGATGAAGTTGTCCGTTCACCGCCGCGAACTTGATCGACTTTATCGACGCCTGATGTCCGTCGAGCACGGCACAATGTACGAATTTACTGCTGTAGGGGATGCGTCTGAAGACGTGAACGAAGCGGTCACGTCCCCCGGACGCCAGAAACATTGGCTGATCACGGGACGTTGTGTGTGCGTGATCGGAGAAGTCAATGGAGGCGACTTCGGTGTCGTGCGCGTTGATGACGTCGATGATCGGAGTATCCGAGAAGGAGAGGTCGATGAGACTGAAATAAGCAGAGAACAAATGAACACAAATGACGTTGAATACTCACTAAAGCATCCCGGTAGCTGTTCCGGCGATCATCATCCGTCCGTCATGGGTCACACGTGTGCACAAAACTCCCGACGTCGCCGATGACTGCTCTTCGTTCGAAGGACCGATCGATTCTACTGAAATTAAAAACAACATGTGCATCTGAATTTGTTAAACTCACAATTTCGTTTGTCGATGAGTAACTCTGGCGTCTCGTCCAAGTAGATAACTTTGAGAAGTGACGGGCAGAGAATGTTCGCAATGTCCTTCTTGTCGTCGGTCTCTCCGCCAAAGTTCCAGAACCTGACGGTCCCGTCGGCACCGCCGGTGATCACTGTTCCGGCTGGAAGGCACGGCGAGGAAGAGGGGAACGATTCGATGCAGTTCACGGATCCAGTGTGTCCGAGGCTGGCCCTTCGGAACGACCACGTCTTGTTCTCACGGGCAAACTCGATGAGCGAACGATCGGAGTAGCCGACGACGAACGAGGAGCTCGAGGAAGAGGCGACGAGGCAACGGGGCTCCGGGAATATCGCATCTTCCGGATGATTCTGCAGCTGCTCCGGCTCGTAAACGTTCGAAGGATCCAGAAAAAGATGCGTGGGCGGAGCAAGATCTGCCAGAAAGTCCAAATCGTCGCCGATGAGACAGAAGAGTCGGACGAGGCCGTCGGAGCAGCCGACGAGAAGACCCTCCGGGATTCTGGCCAGACATACCGCCTTGAAGTCCCCACTTTCCTTCCAAGAATAGCACTTCACGTACTGAAATGATAAGCGATAATCAAACACGGAAAATATCAATGAGAGAGAAAAACGACATACTTTTTTGTTGCCGTTAAACTCGAGAATCTCTCCGTTCGACGTCACCGCCACCATTCGATTCGTTGTGTCGCAGAATGCCACATCCACAAAGTTCACGTTTCTCTTATCAGCCAGGATAGCTGATCGACTCTGAAATCGTTGTATTTCCGAAAATTCCCCTCCTGCTCTCTTCCCTACCGTCAACCCTGTTCGCTTGCTGACTCCGTCGGACGCCATCGGCAGGAACCAATACTTGACGGACTTGCTGCCGACGGTCACGCACATGCTGCTGTCGAACGAGATCGTCATCGCGTTCACCGGCGACATCAGCTTGCCGACTCCAAGATCGTGTCCGTTCCTCCAGTCCCACGTTATGATTTGCGCGTCGTGCTGGCAGCCGACCGAGATGAGTGTGCTGTCGTCGGGCGTGAATCGGACGATGGTCACAGAGACTGTGTGCGCCTGCATCGTCCGCACGAGCCGGCCCACAAAGTTGCCCTGATCGTCACGGAGCTGCCAGAGACGGACCGCCGGCTGGTGGCCCGTTTCGCCGGTGGCCGCATACTTTCCGCACGCGGTGACTGCCACACACGTGAACTGTTGTTTCGTCGCCGAGATGAGATGTCCCTCGAATCGGTCGGTGGTGGCCGTCGAGCTGACGATGATCGAGCTGCCGGCCACCTGAAGCAGGGTGTCGGACGCGTGGTGAAGAGCGATTCCGTTGACGGTCACGCCGCTCCGACCCACCACATTTTTCAGTCGGGCCTGCAAAATACTCATTCTCATTCGCATTCTGATCCTAATTCTCCCATGTTTCTCCCCGATCAAAACTGGTTCCTAAATACTAATTACAATGACTTGCCATCCAAACATGGACAGTCGAAGAGTGTATATGCAAATCAGTTCGTCTTGAAGGACGCGTCGCGCCTGGGAAAAGGAGGAAGGACGGACACACCCGTTTTAGACGTAATTGCACTTTTTATTCGTCATCCGTCGCCGCCGGAGACTAATTTGATTTTGCGGTAAAGTTTGTGTCAAAAGACGGTGGAGAAGTGGAAAGCGGTGACGAATCATCGAATTGTTTGCACTTCCCCGTCATCTAATCTATTTTCAGATAATTCCAGGTCAGCGGCGGGTGAGGTGCGTGTAAATTTCGCAAAAAACCTAAAGGACAGCGAGATCAGCAGAACTTCAAGATATTTTCCGAGAGAATACAATGCAATCGCGCTAGCTCTAAATTTTCAGAAGTTTACGCGTAAATTCAGCAAAAAAGTGACGGAAACGTAAATTATCGTTTTTGAACAGTTTTTCCAGGAAAAAACAAAGCAAGCGCTCTACTGTCAATTCAAGGCAAAAAAAAACGCGCGAAAGTGGCTGAAAACTCTATTTTGCAGGTTTTTACATGTAAATTCAGCAAAAAAAGAGGCGAGAAGAGGATAAAATGCGCGACGAACTGTTTTTTCCACGAGAATACAATGCAAGCGCGCTCTACCGCCAAAAAGACGGTCGAAATTTGAATTTTCAGGATTTTCACGAAATTCGTACGAAATGTCGTCAGAATTTCGGGAACAACCGACAATTATTTTAAATTTCGCGAAATTCTTCCAATTTTCCCGGTCTCTCGCACAAAATTGAAGCGATTGAGCGCGGCGGCGGCACAACAAAAGAAAGCAGTAGCGTCACGTCATTTCACATCAGAATCACTTTCGCCCTTTCGGAATGTCTCGGATTCCCTTCTGTAGCATAGTTAGCATATATTTCCCGATTCATATCATTCGGGCGGCGGCGATATCACCTTCAAATGGCGCGTGCGACGGGCGGCTGTGAGACGAAGCGTGAAAAGATCGCGCGTTCTTCTTCTTTCTCATAGTACTACTATTACTAGTACAGTGCCAACTGCTATCATCGTTTTTATCAAAAAGGTCACCACCACCGCCACTCTATTATCAGTCATCACAAACCGCCGTAACCCCCCCTTTTCGCACCTCGCAAGAGTGGGGCGAACGGACGGAAATTAGCACGTTTCTTTTTCTACTTCTTTTCTCGGCCGACGAGGGGGGTCGGTCAAGGAAAAGAGGAACAATCAACAGGTTATGAACAGCCATTCCGAATGACCTGGTTCAAAGGGAATCGACGTTTTTTGACTCTCTCATCAATTTAACGGTTCGCAGACATGTCTTTTGTCGTCGGACGGCGATTAAGACGACGACGACGGGTAATAACGATGGAGCGAGGACACGTGGCAGCCATGAAAGGATTATGTTACATGGCCAACCTTGGAATCGGTACTTATACGTCTTGTGCCATTCAATAGTGCAATTTTTGGATGATGACGAGAACTAACGAGAGCCTTGAAACGGGTTTTTCAGCGCATTTTGTCGAGAATTGGTGTGAATCGAGCAGAAAATGAGGTTTTTGCGAAGAAATGACAAAGTCTCGCGTTTTTGGTTTGCTCTTTTCGTGAATTACACCAAAAAACGGGCTGGGAAGTGAAAAATTACGTTTTTCTGGATATTTTGAGGGAAAGGTTGCAATCGCGCTCTACTGCAGTCGGTTCGCAAAATTCGAAGGCGAGTCTTGAATTGTTCGCAGAAAACAGGCGAATTACAGCGAATATTTCGAGAAATTGAGCATTTTGAAGCGAAAGTTGGAATTTTGCGGGCTTTGGCGGCCTAGAATTCGCAGAAAAATGGAAGAGCGACTGCGAGTTCACACCATAAATTTACACCGTCGTCGCGACTCGCGCCCCAACGCGATTTCTATCGCTTTTCGTCTAATTAATGGGCTCCACTCGATGCGTGCCAACTGTCGTTTTCGAACAAAAGTCACAGGAAAGAGGAAAATTTCGATGGAAAAACTCACATAGGAAAGCGTTTCATTTTGCATGGCTTCTGAATTTGTGATCGTCTTCGGCTTCTTTTAAAGGGAGGTGTGAACCCCTTGCGCAACCAGGAGTACGGTAGCTTTTGGGTGTGGTTTTTGGGAGAAAAAGAGAGGGAAGAGTCAGAGAAGAGAGAAGAAGACGCCGATGTTAGAATGGCATCGAGATCTGAATTTGAGATAGTTTCGGCGCGGCAGACGATTTATGAAGGTTATGCGTGAAAAAAGAGAGGGAGAACAGAGAAGGTGTGAAACTGACAGAGTTTGTAAATGTTTGATATCGACAACAAAACGAAGAGTGAGGAAGTGGGGCGATAAAACGGTGAAACGGTCCGCCCGGAGACGCAGACCGTCGTTCTTATCGCTGATAAATACGGCAAATGACAAACACACGGCTCTTCGCCTACAAACAACGTGGATTGTAGTGAGAAAGTGTCGTTTTACAAATTGTGGTGGATGATGTTGTGAAATTGGAATGATCGACGAGGTGGGAGAGAAAAAAAAGAGAGAGAGAGGGAGAGGGAGGAAAGTGAATTCGAAACCAACAACCATCAAAAAAGGGGGAGTACCCCGTGTCTCGGCGGCACGGAGAAGGGGGTGATGGACGCGGAGACGCAGCACGCAAAAGTTCGAAAATGGGCGGGGCGTCCGGGCGCCAACTGATCTCCATGGAGACTCCTCGATGGGTTTGCGCTTAAACGTGTCGTGCAGCACAAAATTTGAGATTTTCTTCGGTAAAAGTTTGCGGTAAAACGGAAACTCGAAAATCAATTACCTTTGAGATGTTTTGCGCTGTGCGGTAGGTCAAATACACGGGTCTCGCAGCGAACATTGTGACCGGGCCCGGGACCGTTCGAGAATTTCACACCTGTCGCAGAGATCAAAAGGTGTTAACGAGGGGTTTGAGTGACAAGGAAACACGTGTTCGTGTTTTTGGAAAGATTTTGGAAAAAGTTGGTGAAAATTGAAAAGAAAAACGCGAAAAGAGTGAAATCATCGGAGCTTTTTGCCCAGCGCGGGGGGTGATAATCATTTGTCACACCGCCACCCCAAGACGACTAAATAAACCGATAGGTGGGCACACACGCACACACACAAACCGCTCCTTCCTCTCTCTCTCTCTCTCATTCATTCGGTATACATATGAAATGCAAAGGTGCATGCGCTTTCCGCGCGCGCGGAATGAACAAGAAGAAGAAGAAGAAGAAGAAGAAAAGAGATGGATTATGATTATATGGGGGGAGGCAAGAAAGTTGGAGGAAGCTGGACGCGGAGGACGGTAATTTCGGTGTGTGTGGACGGAAGATGACAAGATGATTGAGGCCGAGTGAAAGTGAGAGCGCTAGAATGCCACGTCACTCACACACACACACACATTCATACTAAATGAAGTTTTTGAAGTACACAACAAAGAAAGCAGCAAAGGTGAAGGTTTTCGAAACATTTTGGAAGAAATGAAATGTGTGACAGAGTTGACTAACTGCAATTCTCTGTCAGATTTGGGATAATCCAGATGAACGTGTAGTCGTGTCGAGTGGAATAAAAAGGGTGGCAACAACCAAGCGCCAACCGCGAATTATTCATTCGGTTAGAGTGCCGTCCGAAAGGTACTTATTTGTGCAGCATCCGCTTATTTTTAGAAAGTTATGCGCCTTTAATACATACCGTACCGCAGCAGTTTTGCAAGGTTTGGCTCGGAGCAGTCGGAAAATGTTTCCTTTTTAGAGATTTAATGAAATTGAGGTAACTTTCATGCGATTTTCTTTTTACCTCTTAAAAATGCGAGTGTTTCTTCAATATTTCGTTGAGAAATCCCGGGAAAACCGTTTTCACCCGTTTCGGTTTAATTTTTCGGAATTCCTTTTTCCGCTGCGCCTTTAAAGTCACCGTATCGCCTTTTCTTTCGGTTTTTCAATGCACTTCTCGCGTCTTCTGCACGGAAATCTTAAAAGAGCAACACTAAAACGGTGTGAAATGGGAAATTGATCCGCCAGAACTTTTTAGAGTACGGTATTAAAGGCGCAGCACAAAAATTGAGAAGTTTGGTTCCTCTTCGCCGGGGCGAGTTTTCGTAAAATTTGGATGCAAGAATGGCTAGAAAGTGAAGCGATAATCACAGAGAGAAGTAGAGGGAAAGCAAGAGAAGGTGATACCGCCGCTTCGCTCTGGCAAAGGTGTCAAATGACCGAACGGCGGGCGGGGAAGACTCTGGATAACAATTGCGAAAATAAGGGAGAGCAAGAAAGAGAAAGAAAGAAAGAGAGAGAAAGAAAGAGAGAGAGAGAGATCGATTAGACAACAAAAAAAACCCGACACTTTCTTCGTCGAATTTGGAGGTGCGGGGAGCGAGCAGAGAGTGTGCACTTGCGCCGGCGCCGAGTGCAAACAGACCGGACCTGAAGAAGAAGAGAGGGAGAGAAGGAGGTGGGTGCGCACGGATTATGCGACGAGCATTCGGGAAGAAGAAGAAGAAGAAGGAGATGAAGAGTGACCGGAAAGGATGAGAGAGCGAACAGGCGGACAGCGTACAGTCGGCGAAGCATTCGAGCGAGACCAGTTGAGAACCCATTCATTTTTTGTGCAGTAGTGGAGAAATCGCGCTCTAACGGGTCAAAATCCCGGGAAAATCGTTTTTTTTTTAATACAAAACTCGAATTTCGCAGTGTTTTTCTTTGTCGCTGACCTAGTAGAATTGACTAAAAATGGAGGAACGACTAAAAAACCACTTGGCGACAGTTTGCCAATAGAGCGCACTTCACTTGAACGACGAAACAACAACAGGTTCCTCCTCTGTTTTCAGTCAGTTTCCTCGCCATTTCCCTTCCGAATACTACTAGTTCCGTCAAAGTTGGCAGCATAACAAATTGTCGAGTTCACTTCAAGTGAAGGCGCGCAAACACGGATCAAAAACTGGTGGCAAAGAGCAGGGGGGAAAGGGGGAAAAGGCATGGAGAGAAAGACACTTCACTGATCATTTGCACTATCTGCGGGAGTGGGTTCGCATGATTGCTTTCGTTTTTTTTAGAAATGTTTTCAACTTGTGATGATTTTCTAGGTGTCGGTTGTTGATTTTTGAGAAAAAGTGACCATAAAGCTTCCTGGAGAGCTTCTTCTCCACCTTTCAACACGAAAAACTACAGAATTCGCTCAAAAACGCAATGTTCGCCTAGGCTCCGCCCATTTCGCCCGCAAAGCATAGCGATGCGCGGAACCCGCGAGGTGTCGGCACATGGGCACACGTAAGATGCGGCCGCCCGCTGCTTTCGTTGGTTTATACCCAGTTACCAAGGTACGCTGGAGTTCTGACCTTTCGAAAGAAAGTGTTAAACATATCTAATTTTTGGATACGCTCTGCTGGGGATTTCCGGCGGGGCAAAAATACAGAAAATTAGATGAGCAATGTCTCTAAAAGTCTGTCCAGTTGCGATCTATCGATCCGCCAACTTTTCAACAAAATTTCAGAAAATCTTAAACCCGTTGCAAGTTTGATAGTTAACACACTTGCGACGGCCATGTAAAGTCACTTCCGCCTTCTTCTTGATGATTTACACCTCGCTTCGTTAGGACTGCATTTTATGGCCCTAACATTCCCCAAATTCCGAACACTCACCGCGTACTTTTGACCTTCTTCTTCTTCTTCTTTTCCTTTGCTTCTCGCCACACTGACATCGCAGACTCGGACGGTGCTTCGTTTGCGGAGAAGGGCTCCGCGTCGTCGGATTCTCGAGGACATTTCGTCTGCAAAATGAAAATGACGACGGACGAGGAAGACGGAGGGGGAATGAATTATTGAGGAAGGGTTCGCGGGACATGGATCCCATTAGTTGTGAATGAGAACGACGACTTTGGCTGCAAGCTTTGATGGGGAAAGTGAAGAACAAATCGGCAGAAGCATGGGAAAATATGCAAATTCCCATCCACGACTGCCTTGATTCGTGGCAGACCGGAATCGATATGTGATAATGAAGCGGCGCGGAAATAGGCCCTCAGGACAGGGAATCTAATTAAAAGGAGAGTGGAAATGAGACGGGACGAGAAGGAAGGGAGCACGCGGAAAGGAAGCGGACGAGTTACACTCGTTGGGGCGAATGGGCACTGGCGACTCGACTCGACGGACCACTCGTATCATGTTTCAATATGGAGCATATTACGAGCTGCCAATGCTCAGCCGACAACACATGTGTGCGCGCTTTTGAGATGTTCACGGACGCTTTGCATTCACCGACTACACTTCAGAGTTACAAGCTGTCGAAATCGAGACGATTCGCCCTCAAAAATCTGCAGAATTCAGAGAAAAACGGCCAAAAACGCAAAAGGTCCCGCCCATTTCGCCCGCAAAGCATAGCGGGACGCGGAACCCGCGAGGTGTCGGGACATGTGCGCATATAAGAATTGGCTGCCCGCAAACGTTGTTGGTTTTTACCCAGTTACCAAGGTATGCTGGAGTTCTGACCTTTCGAAAGAAAGTGTTAAACGAATCTAATTTTTGGATTCGCTCTGCTGGGGTTATCCGGCAGGGCAAAATATTACGGTTTTCGCAGTTGAGGCAGATTAATCTGTTTGGAACAAATTGCTGGAATGTCTTTAAGGGGCAGAAATCTGGACATTTCCGATGCGCTCCGACGTGCTCCGTCGCAATGGAGTTGAACTGAATAGAAAAAAGGTTAACAGACGATTGTTGTTAAACAACGCCACGTATTGTGATGGCCGATGGAATCTCTCTCTCGCTAACTGTGACTGCCTGTTCCGAGGGTCAATGACTTCTTTCCGTGTTCCCTCTCATTTTCGGATGTGATATTGATCCCATCGCTTCCGTTCGGAATACCTCCGTCGGGTTCTAAAAGAGCAGGAGACCTGGACACAAAAGCGACTTTCAATGTATTCATTTCCCTGCATAATCTGAAAACATCGGATTGGCGTCGGTACGATGAGTAGCGAAGATCCTGAAGCTTCGCGAGAGTTCTACTCCGCGCAGTTCTATTACGTTGTACCGCCAAGAATTCCAGACAATTTTCGCGAAAGGCTGTTATAACACGTATGCATTTCCCTTCGTTTGACGACAATGCACTGACTTCAACCCTCGGAATACTCGAGGGAGCCGCCGCTCTTCTTTTCTTTTTTTTCGTCTTCGTACCCCTCTTGAATGGCCCTTCAAAGTTCATTTCACTTCATCAGTGTATTCTGTACTAACTGATGCCCTCCGACAATTCTCTTCGCTCTTTCACTTTTCAAAACTCCTCCTCGTTCTCGCTCCCATCCCGCATTCATTGATCACCGTTTTCTCGTGTGTCGCGACTAAATGCAGGTCTTCTGGTGAACCTTTGTGCGTTTTTATGTGAAAAAACAAGATATTCCTAGAATTTTCACTCAATTACACTCAATTTTCGATTTCGCAACGCTGTTCGAGAGCCTTGAATTTTCACTTTTCCGCGTCGTTTCTGCTGTTTGCGTACAATGCACACATTTCAAATTTCAAGGAAAAAAAAGGAAATTGTTTATTTCCGACGAAATTTTGCATTCTTCTACCCATGCTGTAAGTTTTTCGCCTTTTTCTCTCCATTTTTCGTTTCTCCGATGCCAAAATGTACGAATTTCGAAAAAAAAACACGTTTGTTCGGAGATTTTAATCTAAAAATTATCGTTTTGCCCATCTCTTTCTTAATTCCGCCCATTTTCCAGCTGTTTCCATCCCGTTCTCTTACGTTAGCTCTAATAAACAAATTTTCGATGCAAATACGCATGAAAACAAACTAAAAATGAACTATTCGTTTATTTTCCGAGACTTTCATCGTAATCTGACCCTCTCTCAAAGAATTGTTTATTATTGAATCCCTTTTCGAAAAGAAACAATGGAATGAGAGTGAGGGGAGCAGAATAAGAAGGAGAAGACGTGCATTTAATTGAATCAGCGAAAAAGATGGCCAGCGGAGGTCTTCATTTCTTTTTTCTCCGTCTCTCCATCACCACGACTTCATTTATACGTCCTGAAACCATGTGATGCAATTTCAGAGTTTTCTTTATTTTTTGCTAGTGCTATTCTGAAACCGCAAATTTACTTTCACATGAAGAAGGTAAAAACGCTGGAAAATTAGCAAAAGTACAGCGTATGACAGTTTAGAACTCAAAAAATGGGAGGAAAAGCTTGCACATGCCTTTTGTTTTTCTGTTTTCAAATGTGTCCATTTGCAGGATACTGCGTCCTAACTTGTTTTGATCTTTTTCCCCCGCCAATTCAGTAGTTCCCTTTTCTTTCTTTCTCTCTCGTTCGTCATGCGTCCAAATTGCAAGTTAATCGGAGCGTTCACTCTCTCTCTTCCTCTCCTCATTCCGCTCGGTCCACTGGCGTAATTTGAGCTGAATAGAGGGGCCGCCCGTGGTCCCTTCCGGCCGCCCTTCTCTCTTACTTATTACACTTGACGTGTGTTCAACCCGACCGATCGATCATTCGCACTTTTCCGCTCTTTCATCAGCTGATTCTCACATTTCTCACACGCCTACATCACAGTTTTCGCGTCTGTATCCGTCTCTCTCTCCCTCTCTCTCTTTCTTCGATCGATGCGAATCAAATCGAATCGAATCGAAGTGCGTACAGTTCTGAGGGGAGCGCGCGCGTGGCCCCGCGCCGACGCATCGAAGTGTGCTCCTCTGCTTCTCTCGGCGCTCTCCGATCGTCGCACTGTCTCGACAATGCTGCTTCCGGTGGCGAGACGCAAAAAAGTGCGGCGGTGAGGCCTGTGTGAGGCAGCAAAGTTGGGTTCAAACAGCCGACAGAGAGCATTCCTGAACCTTCCTTCCTGTCTGTCTGCCTCAAGTGTTTAGATTTCGGCCCCTCGTGACAGCTCTCCCCCCTGATCTTTCATTTCATTCTGTAATCCTTTGCCTGTCACTTTTTCACATTCATTTCAAAGTTTTTTTTTGAATCAATTATCTCTTGTTCTCTTCTGTTTATTTACCGTAGGATCGCTCGCCCACTGCCACTGTACAGTTGTTGTTTTTCCGCCTCCAAACACAACAATCTGTCCTTCCAAATATTATTATCGTCCCAATTTTCTCTATATAATTGTGATTTCGGCGCCCCAATTACCACTTCCAGTTTCGCCCGCCCGTACAGTGTCATCTGACTGAAAAAAGATAGCGTGCATTCAAAAATAGATGGAAATCCCTGATAATCGCATTTCCTTTAAATATTTAATCACTAAAATCTTTAGCAAATATTTTTCCTGCTTGGACTCAAACGATGTCCTCGTAGACTCCCCAGAGACCTTGCAGAACATGAAGAAATAAGTAGAAACGCCGATTTCGGGCCGGCAAGGCAAAAAGTTAACGAAAGCGTAGGCAAAGCTTTTGGAAAAATGAGTGATGGACGAAGATGGACCTAGTGGCTCTCCTTTTCATTGCCGGAAATATACACATTCTGGTGCAGAGTGCTCTCTCGAGTGGAGTGACGAGTGTTTATGCTCCGGATGATTCATATATGCATAAAGATTGCCGCCCCCTACTTGTAGTACTAGTACTAGTCGATCCTCTCCAAAGTCATTCTCTCACACCTGTCCTTCTGCTGCCGCACCTCGTCCTTGAGAAGCCTTATTCTCTTCGCAACCAGTTCATTTACTTCTTCCTCTTCTTCGTCTTCGTATTCTGCAGTAATCCTCTGATCTACGAACGGTGTGCGGGATAAACAATTAGGAGCGGAGGCTCCTGTTGGCAGATGTCGTCTCGGATATAATCCTTTTGCCATTCCTTCCATCTTCTTCTTCTCATTCGTCTTCTTCCTCTCCTCTCTCCGATATTTTCAAATTTCCTCTTATCATAGCTAGTTGATTTCTTCCGAATTGCGTCGAGTCAGCACAGCACTCATTCTGGAAATGTTCTAGAAGCGACTAGCCCTCGTGCTCATTGAGCATCGCCTCCCACTCGCGCTCATGTTTCAATTAGTTTAGCGATCTATCCATGTTTCCACAGCTTTCTTCCGGCCCCCGAGACCCCACAAGCAGTCGTTTTCCAGTTTCGTGCTCTCTCTCTCTCTTTCTCTTTCTGTTCGTAACCTTGCTCCCATCCGCATTGTGTAATTCGGTGGTGCAGCAGACACGGGGCTCACGTCTCTCCTTCTACTCCTGCTGCTGCTGCTGCTGCTTTTGCTGCCATCCTCCGATTCGCCCTGTACACGGCGAAAACGTGAAGCTTTTGTCAATATTTGAGCCCTTTCCGCAAGACCGAAATACAGTCAGTTTTGGCGACACGCAGACAGAAGCAGACGAAACCAGCGCGGGGGCAAGCGCCGCGCGGAAATCTCTCTTCCGCGCGCGGACGTGTTTGCCGCCTGCCGTCGCGCTCCGACGTGAGACTGGAACTGCCTAGGAGGGGATCACACGGAAAGTGAAGGCAAACTTTGCGAAACGAGGAGAGAAAGATGAGTAGTAGTGTTCACATAAGAGGGTGCGTCGAGACAGAGAAAGAGTGTGTGTGTGTGTGCATTCGACATTGACATTTGTAGTTGGAATGGAATGGAAAGGAGGCGGAGAGAGTTGCCCTTCGGGTGTCAAGGAGGTTAGAGCACACGACCTGGAGTCTTTTCCGGCACACACACACACACCCGCAGATGCATTCGTTCGTCAATTCTGCTTGATTTCCGAAAAAGTCGTTGCCTTGTACAGTACGATCGTCTTCACTCGATCAGGTGACTAACTGTCTGCCATTTCGAAATCGACCCTTTTGTCTTCTGACTCATCAGTCAAAAGACGTTGGAATTCGAAAAGAGACCGGGCGAAACCATCGCGTTTCTCTAGATTTATGTGATTTTTTCGAAATCTTCCCACCGTCATTGGGGGCGACAGTTCGATCCCACTCCTCCGGAATTCAGCACAACGTCATTCGCTCGAACCCCAAGTTATTGTGGTCGTAGTCGTTGTCAAACATTCTATGTATGGCTACGAGTACCCCCACTCTTGTCGACGTGTATCGACCCGACACGGGGTAATAATCGTTCATCGCGAGCGGTTCTTGACCGTTGACCCGTCTTCCTTTTCTCCTCTCTTTTTTGGTCGTTTTCCTACCGATATCGGTTGTTTTTAGACCGTAATTAAGCGGTACCGATCAATCCAGAAATGTTTTCGACTTTTCGACACGTTGTTCGTCAAGTTGAGAGAAAACGAAAGACGACACAAATAAGAGAATTATTCGAAGATGGATGGGATGAGGCGCCGACTACAAATTATTCATACGTAGTAAAACGAGAGAGTATTTTCTGCCCAGTCTTTTTCTTTGTTTGTCCTTCTCCAGTGAGACTCCTCATCTGCCCCGTGTTATCCCCCTTCTTTTTTGGTCCTCTCATTCCAATATTAAAATAGCGGATTTCAAAGGCTTCTCAATTCATTCGAGCACTTTGTTGGCGCAGTGCCAACCATTACATTTTCCTCATCTTCTTCTTCTTCTTCTTCTTTTTGCTGTCAATTTCGGGATAATCCGACGGCTTCTCGTCGACTTACTCGATGACGTTCTTGCTGCCTTAAACATGCATTTCAATCCGTCTCGTCTAGTTATTTTCGATCCGTCTCCTCTCCGGCCCGTCATAATAATCATACTTTCGTTTCGTTTTCAGCACTGACTTGTTCTACTCGACGTTCGGCTGCATCTACTCGACTGATCATCCGACGTTCACGATGGAAGTGATGGGAACAGCGAGAAGAAAAACGCCGGTCAGGCTCAACGTGTACGACATGTACTGGCTCAACGACTACGCCTCCAACATTGGCGTCGGAATTTTTCACTCCGGCATCGAAATCTTTGGCGTTGGTAAGTCTGAAAAGCAAAGTTGGTGCTGACAACCAATGAATCATTTAGAATACGCGTACGGCGGTCATCCGTATCAATTCTCGGGAGTCTTTGAGAACTCGCCGCAGGACGCCGAAGAGCTCGGCGAGACGTTCAAGTTCAGAGAGTCGATCGTCGTCGGAGAGACGGATCACACGTCCACAGATGTCCGCAAACTGATCAAGGCGCTCGGCGAGGAGTTCCGCGGCGACCGTTACCATCTGATCTCGCGCAACTGCAACCACTTCAGCTCCGTCCTCGCACGTCATCTGACCGGAAAAGAGATTCCCGGATGGATCAATCGTTTGGCGAACCTGAGCGGAAGCATTCCGTTCCTCGAGAAGTGCATCCCGCAGGAATGGCTCACTCCGATCGTGCTGCAGGCGTCCGTCGACGAGAAGAAGAGAGGGTCGGTCGATTCGGCCGAGGAGGCGACTGAGAAGTTTATCGAAACTTGCCGCTCGCTGAATGGTAAGCTTTTAGATGAAAAAATAAAATGCAGAAATCTCAATTTTTACAGATTCGCGCACCACAATCCTCGACAACCGAACTGCCAGCGGAAACATCGTCATGTCGGCATCGTCCTCTAACTCGGACCGCGTCTGCATGTCTCCCTCCTCCTCGTCTTCGGCTTCTTCGTGCGATACCCTGGACTACGACGAGCTGATTGTCCGCTCGCCCAACTATTCGAGTGAAAAGAAGTCGCGCAGCAACTCGCCGCCAATCTTCCGCTTCTGGAACACGATCAAGGCGACGATCAACGGCACTCCGCAGAGCGCGCCGACCGGAACCGCCGCCGTCATTCCCGCTTCGGCGGCCTCGAGCATTGGTAAAGCGAACAACGTGCCGACGAACGCGTCGGCGAGCAACGGACTCGCCAAGCCCACGTATTCTGAGTGCTAGAGAGGTTGGTGCCGTCAGAACTTTGGGCTCTTCACAATAAATCTCTTTATTTTCAGGTTCACCGTCGAGAAGCCGTTCTTTCAGTGTTTTGTGCTGAAATCGACCTCCTCGTCGCTTCTTTCTATTCCTCCTCGATAAACTCCTTTCAAAATTGCCTTATCTGTTTGATCCGAGGTATTTTAATGTATGAAATGACCCACCAGCCCCCAGCCAACTCAAAGGTTTTTTTTGTGTAATATCGGATAGTGTATTCGGCGTCTTCTTGCCCTTTTCGGTAAAACGGCTTTCCTAGAAGATTATATGACTCCTGTTCCCTTTTCCGTTCCGCCTCTGTCTGTATGTTTCTCTCCCTCCGCTCATCATCGCTCCTTTCCAAATCACCTCTCTCTCTCTCTCTCTCTCCTTTTCTCTGCCTTATTATGTCTCATTTGCATTTTCCAGACATTTCTCGGTTCTTTTCAACAGCTTTGATCCACTTATCGAAAATGTCCTCTTTATTTATATGTATCTATTCGTGAACGTTTATATGAAAAATGTGATATTCTCATCGAGAGTCCTTCTCCATTTCGTCGCCCTTCAGAAGCTTGAGCCAAATTGCGAATCGACGGGAATTTGTGCCCCGCAAGCATTTCGGCGTTTCCGATGACACGCATTTAAACCTCGGATTGGCCATCTTTTAAAAACAAATTTATGAAACAGCAACAACAGTTAACAACAAAAAAAGTTCTTAAATTCAATCAATCCGTCACACGTTCCTTCATCTCCTCTCCCTTCACAAACCTGAAAACGAACAAAGTGAAACTGGGTGTATAAAGGAAAAGTTACTTGAGAACGTTTCTAACACTGAGCCACTTGTGCTCCGCGAGCATTTCGCTATTGCCGATCCAAATCAGTTTTGCGTGCGCGCGTGTGAACACGCTCGTCCACGACACCAAATTCGGCAGGTAGTGGTTCCATTTTCCTCAACAGCAATGATATTGTAGGAGATTAAAACGATGAAGATTGGCTATTACCTCCTTCTCGCGACACTGTCATCGTGTATATCACGTTTCGTACCATCGGAGTCCACCGGAAATCGAACGGACTTCCGACTCGCACCTCCTTACAGATCTTGGATTCGTCGACGAGACGACGGATCAGCTCGATCTGCAATACGACGGTCTAGTATTGATCGGGAACGTTGTCGATACCTGATGTTCGAAGTCGGCGATCATGATGATGTTGTGAGCAGATGTCCCCTCTTTCATCAGCTCCTCGGCCTTCTCGACAGCAATCCTCGCTTCTCCTTCGTTGATCGCGGTGAGTTTTTCAATTGGTTTATTTGGTTTCGAGAGCGATCGATTGTCGATTAGCTCGATGGTCCCTTGCGCACGATCCGTTCTTCCGATCAGACCGCCAGAATAGACGAACTCTCTGGTCCACTTGAGAAGAGAGTCCGGACGATTCGAGTGGATCATGTGGACCATCCAAACGGTCGGAACGCCCCGGCACCAGCAGAACTTACTCTTCCGATTCGGAGTCTTTTCGTGGACCGCCTCTCCCAGACTCTTGTGCACTTTGAAATGCCTGTCTTGCAGCCAATCGTAGGCGGCGACAAGGACAAAGTCTCGCTTTCTTCTGGCGCATACCGTCGAGTAATAGCGATTGTGGCTCAGGAACAGAATGTCGTCTGGAAGAGAAATTGTCAAGAGAGAGGGAGAAAAAGTGTTTACCGATGACCACGGCATCGTATTGCCAGTTCTTGAGTTCGAGGATGTTCGCGAAAAACTGATGACCCAGGTGTCCGATCAGAAGACGACATCCTTCGAGAACATTTGCCTGCAAACATGATTTTGTACTTGACAAGTGTTTCTCGTGTCATCTCACCGGCTCTTCCGCCAACTTGGCATCCAGATCTTCCAGCGTGACGATGATTCCCGGCTCATTCAAACACTGCGGCCACTCCGAATCCATCCTTCTTTTCCCGAACTCTCGAAGGAGTGCCTTGTAGATCTTCTCGTTGGGCATCACGCACAGCACGTTCTTCTCCATGCTCTTTGCAAATTTGACGGCCGACTGGGTGAGAAGACGTGTTTTTCCAGTTCCCGGACCGCCCTGAAAAAAAGAGAAAAGGAAAAGATAGGTGGTAATCGAGAAAAAGTACTCACAACAACGAAAAGTTTGCTGAAATGCTCTTCGTCCAGCCGCAAAAGAGCATCTTTCCCCAATGTTTTATGATATTCCGTGCATTTTCGAGTGCTCGGATCGTCTATTTTCAGATCGGCAAGCTCCGCGACCGGGAGATTTTCAATCGAATCGGAAGGACTCATAAATACCGAAAAGTGGAAAGAGAACTGAATGAAGCCAACGGCGAACGAGAGAACGGAATAGAGGCGCAGGCGTGCAGAGGAAAAAAGTGAAAGCGAGAAGAGCGGATGGCAGATTTATGTGTCTGTGAGGATACCGTACAAATGTTTATGACACAAGAAAGACAATACTTATAAACAATTAAATGAACATTATAAATTATAATCTACTTTCTTCCTCGTTTCCGTTTGTTCTCCTCCATCTCCTCGCCATTGAGAAACCTGCGAAAAAAAAGAAGAATAAAACCATATTTAGGCAGGTGCATTTTGAAGGTTACTTCAGAAAGTTTCGAACTGAGAGCCAATTGTGCTCCGCCAGCATCTCGCTGTTTCCGATCCAAATGACGCGTCCGTAGGCGCGCGTGAGCACACTGATCCACGCACCGATCGCCGGTTTGAAGCACCCCCAGCATCCTTTAATAGTAAAACTGGTTTATATGTGCGGGCACTCATCTTGTTACCTAATCTCCGCGACACTGTGTTGGTGTATATCACGTTTCGTACCATCGGAGTCCACCGGAAATCGAACGGACTTCCGACTCGCACCTCCTTACAGATCTTGGATTCGTGGACGAGACGACGGATCAGCTCGATCTGCAATACGACGGTTTACTATTGATCGGGAACGTTGACGATACCTGTGGCTCGAAGTCTGCGATTATGAAAATGTTATCGGCAGACGTTCCCTCCTTCAAAAGCTCCTCGGCCATCCCGACAGCGATCTTCGCTTCTCCTTGATTCCACGCAGTCATTAGACTACCCGCCTGCTCGCGACTGGGTGCTTCCGCGAAGAGCTGAACGTCGACGAACTGAATAGTCGCCTGCGGTCGATCGGTTCGGCCCTTCAACTGGCGGACGTAGTGAGACAGACTGATCCATTTGAGTGAAGCGTCCGGACGATTCGAATGGTTCATGTGCGTCGTCCAAATAGCCGGCTTTCCCGTACACGTCGAATGATCGCACTTGTTCGTCCTCTCTGTTTGGACGAACTCCGCGAAACTCGGCGGACTATTCCGCTCTTTGAACTCTTTGTCCTGGTGCCAATCGTAGGCAGCGACAAGCACGAATTCACGTTTTCTTCCGGCGCAAAGCATTGCGTAGTAACGATCTTTGCTAATGAAGACAATGTCATCTGAAAGCATAATATTTGAGAAGAGAAAAGAGATATTGTTCGTTCTTACCAATCACCACGACATCGTAATGCCAGTTCGAGAGTTCGAGGATCTTCTGGAAGAACTGATGACCCAGGTGTCCGATCAGAAGACGACATCTTTTGAGAACATTTGTCTTCAAACAGGATCTTGTACTTGACAAGTGTTTCTCGTGTCATCTCACCGGCTCTTCCGCCAAATTTGCATCCAGATCTTCCAGCGTCACGATGACTCCCGGCTCATTGAAACACTGCGGCCACTCCGAATCCATCCTTCTTTTCCCGAACTCTCGAAGGAATGCCTTGTAGATCTTCTCGTTGGGCATCACGCACAGCACGTTCTTCTCCATGCTTTTCGCAAATTTGACGGCGGATCGAGTCAGAAATCGTGTTTTTCCCGTTCCCGGACCGCCCTGAAAAAAAGAAAAAGAAAAATTGGTGATAATAGTGAGAAACAAGTAAGTACTCACAACGACGTAAAGCTTGCTGAAGTGCGGATCGTCCAGAAGAGAGAAAAGTGTCTCGTTCCCATTTGTCAGATGATATTTCTGGCATACTTCTTGAGAAGACTTCTCGATCGATATCTCCGGCTTCTTCTCCGAATGATCCATTTGTGTCTGTGAAAAGAAGAAAGGCGTTTGAATGCTCAGAAAAATGAAGAAAAGTGGATAGAGAATGAAAGGCAACGTAAAAACACTATTGAGGATACAAAGGACATTGTGTAATAATAACAGTCAAAGTGAGTGAGAGAGAGCAAAAGAAACGACGCAGACACAAAAAATAACAAATATTTAGGTCCAAATTGATTCAAAAGGGTATTTTGATGACTTTCTCGTACTTCTTCGTTTGAGTGACGCGTCTGCAACGTTTTTGAACGACCAAAATAATTGCGGGCAGAAAGAGGTATCTTATTGGTCGTAATTATTCACTATCGGCGCAAACGAGTGGCTTGAAACATTCAAAACAAGTATTATCACTGCAATCGCGCTCTATTGAGAAACTCTTTTTGCAGTGCAAACTGCAATGATAACGGGGCCGAAAATCGAAAAAGTTCGACCATTTTTCGAGTGAGAAAGAACGGAAATTTAAACAATGAATGCGTGCGAAATGCTCGATAGGCCTTTCAAAAGTTAGAACCAACTGGCATTTCATCTTGTCATCTTTCGACGTTTTTGTCTTTTTCGCCTTTTTCAGGGCTCTTTCAGACCTTACCAGATTTAAATATAAATTTAAATATAAATTAATTGCAATATAACGTTTACTCTATAAAATCATTGTGATAACATCTTTCAATAAATAGACAATTATAATCTTTTCTAGTTTACTTCATCCTGACATTCATATCTTCTAAGCATTTTCGAAGTCGCATTTTGAATGCTGGCAAGTGTCGCGTGAAATGCTTCAATCATACTATCGATTGCTTTCTTATTTAGCACTTTTGGAGCAGATGGACAAAGCTCTTCGAAGGCTCTCCTGAAAACGGTTTGTATCGAGGGCAGGCGCTTGTTCAAATATGCGATGGCGGTAGCGACATTATGCTCAAATAAATATTCGCTATCAAGACTTCTCATTTTTGAGCGAGGCTCCCTCAATTTGTAGTACTCCTCAATTGTGGATGCAGACGCCAGCTCATGTTCTGTCGGTTCTGTTCGGTTACGTGGTTGCCAGGGTGCAGGTGGGGCCAATTTGAGTGCCGTACGTAACTCTCGAAGACCTATCGCCTCTACACTTTCCTCGATCAAAGTGTGGATAAACATTCGTACTACGCCGTGTCTAAGAACATTGCCAGTTAACAATTCGAAATCTTCTCGGCTCAGACATGTTGTAGCAATCTTGACTAGCTCTTCCTTCACATCAATCAGGGAAGATGACGAAGTGATCGCGTCCGCAGAAGAGAAGCTGCTGCTTTCTAGAGCAGTCTTTGTTGATGTTGAGGTCGAAGAAGCGCTGTTCGAGCGGGTGCCGATATGCTCTGAAAGTTATGAACATGTGTAGGCACTTATTTCAGCTGACACATAATATGTTCATCGGTCCAACCATCTATTCTAACAAGCATATCATCACTTCACCGCTCCTGCCCCCTGAGAAAAGCCCGCAAAGTTCAAATGGGGCCCCGCCCCTTCAGCGTTCAATTCTTGCAAATAGCGCGCGCAGTTTTTGCAACGGTGCCGCACACATTGCTCTGAACACCGAATTCTTGAAAATTAAAGCAGAAAATTATTTTTTTTGTTATCAAAACGTATTCTGTCGCCTTGTTGCATCTTCTTTTCGGAAAAATTACACGAAAAACCGACAACGAACGTTTTTTCGCTTGTTTTTTCACTGTCGAAGTGAAGAGCGAAATGCGTGCGGTACCTTTGCGAAAACTGCGCGCGCGACTTGCAAGAATTGAACGCTGAAGGGGCGGGGCCCCATTTGAACTTGGCGGGCTTTTCTCAGGGGGCAGGAGCGGTGAAGTGATGATACCTGCATGTAAATTGATCGAAAGGCAGAGATAGACGATGAGTGAAATCAACATTCCTTCGCCTGCAAGCGTACTTTAATGCATTTGCGTTAAAAAAATATATAAACCGAGAAAACAACAGCGATATATAAATATTTGTGTATTATAATAATCGCTTCTAATATGAAAATATAATATGAGTGGTTATTGTGAAACAAGATTAAAATAAAGGAAGCAAGGAAAAAGAAGGCGGCATTCGATCGATTGATTTCTCGCTCACAACCCGACCCAAATCTAGATGGAAAGTGAAAGTCTTCTGTCACAATCGGAGAGAGACGACACGACTATTTCAGATGAACATTATCTTCGTTTAGTGATAGCCATCGGTCATGAAAAGAATGAGATTAATACAATATTCACTAGAAAATTAAATTAAAGTAAAGGCAATACAACTTTTTGAAACTCACAAGTTTCAAGCATTTTCAAAACCAGAAGACAGAAATAACCACAAATATATGTGTACCAAATTCTTGTATTTGAAATGTCGAACATTCAATTATATTATCTATCTTGATTCTTGATTTACCATTATTTTCTAGATAATTGATAACTTCATGAGGTGGATCTATTGTAGCAACATTGCCGCACGCTTTATGGTTCTTCGTCTTTGTCTTTATTTTTCGGCTGCTTGTTCGACTTTTACGTAGGTGGAAATCCTGAAAATTCTCAAATTCAGCGAAATCGAAAGGAGAAAAACACAAAATCAAGAAATGTTCGGAAATTCAAGCTAAAAATCGATAAATCTGTTTTCAAAGTTGGTTTTTTTATAGCAAAAAACGGTTGAAATGAATAAATACGGGTAAAAAATAGGAAAACCCGGAGTTTCTGCTGATTTTTAGCCGAAAAATAAAGACAAAGACGAAGAACAGTAAAGCGTGCGGCAATGTTGCAACAATCGCGCGCAGCATATGCGTTTGGGAGGCCGGGCCTTGGCACGCTGCCAACTCCGATTCCAATGTCGAACCTTTTTTTTAACAGTAGACTTGGTAAATCTCTTCGGAGACTAATAGTTGTCATTTATAACAAAAAAAACAAAAAAAACGGAAAAAAAATCATTTTTTTCACAGCCTGAATAACCCTATCAGAGTTGAACGGAAATGGAATTATGAAATCCGGAAGACGGTAGACGGCAGACGGAAGAAATTTTTTTACGGAACACGGAAAACGGAAGACGGAAGAAACATTTTTTTACGGAAGACGGAACAAAAAAATCGTCAATGCAGAACCTTCTTCTCCGGTTTTTTTTGAAAAAAATAACTAAGCAACAAAAAACTTGCATCTGGGTCACTGCCCGTGGAAATTCGCGTTCTTCGGGGCTATTAAATGGCTTCTGAAAAGCTATTACTCTTTTACGGTAAGAAGAAAAAATCCCGGAAGACGGCAGACGGAAGACGGAAGACGGCAGACGGAAGACGGAAGAAAACCTTTTTTCCGGAAGACGGAATTCCGCTCAACACTGAACCCTATTATATACTACTCTTTTTCAGGGCTCTCTCAGACTTTACCACATAAGATTATCCCTTTCAGGACAACATTCCGAGCCTTTTTCAGGGCTCTCAAGACCGTACGAGACGGTGCAAATGTCATGTTTCGGCGACATTATATACCTTCGTGGGCGTGGCTTTCCGCCAGGGCAGATCCGACTTTGTGGGCGTGGCCAACTGTTTGGGATCACCGTCAGGGCGGGGCGTAAAATTTATTTTTAACGGATCCGTAAAAACACAAATTTACGGTTTCAAGAAGCCGTAAATCCGTAAAATCCATGAAGCGTACTGTTTTTATCAGGATCTCACAGAAAAAATGAAAACTAGCATACAATTCAATATAATTCTAACTTTTCTGTAGTTCACGGTCTCCAGAGCTGACAAAATGGGCGTGGCCTCGCCAAATGGCATTTTCATGAATTGAGCAGGTTTTCTCTGATTTTTGTGGTCAACGGCAATGGAAAATGATTGTTCGACATGAAAACACACTAATTCCCAGAATTAATGACGTTTTGGCGCATTTTTCGCGGACTTTGCTTTTTCGCCTTCGCCGCCGATCGCCGCCAAAAAACCGCAATTCTCATTTTGCGCTTTCTTGACCGTTTTCAGACAGAATTGGTTTTGAGAATGATAAATCACGTAAATACAAGCACTTTGAACGCTCGAACCACGAAAATTACCGAAAAGCAACTGAAATTCACGCAGTTTTAGCCAAAAACTTTCAAACGGATAAATGTGATTTGCGACTTGACCAAATTTAACGCTCTTGCGCTTAAAAAATTCGTAATAGCCTATACAATCGGTCCATCGAGAGACAAATGAGAAATTATCAGTTTTTTGTGGCTAATCTGGCAAAAAACACTAATTTTGCTGTTAAAATTTGAATTTCGCGCCAATGTAGCGCTCTATTGGGCGGGGCGCACTTGCGCCCATTGACAGCTCTAGAGACCGCGGTAGTTCCTATCGTTTTTTTAACCTTTTGGTGTCTATTGATGCCTAATCTTGTTCTTAATGATCAAAATTTCTTATATCACAGCGAACATTCTACGTAAACGGAAGACGCGTAATACATTTATTCCGGCACACACACACACACAACCTGAACACGTTCGTTTCGTTCTCCCGGTGCTTCACTTGGTCCTCTCCTCGGCCGCGGCCATCTCGTTGCTCGGATTGTCGACGACACTCACCGACTTCTCCATCTTGTCGACCATCATCTCGCACACCTTCGCCATCGTCGAGTAGTGTTCCATCAACTTGCGGATCTCCTGCTTCAGACCCTCGTTCGGATCCTCGCACACCTTTTTGAGGGTGTCGATGGCGGGCGCCAGATGCGTGTGTAGATGCGTGACGTTCTCGCGCACCTCGACCGACCCGAACAGCTTTCCGATTTCATTCGTCCACTCCGCCACGTGTTGCTTGTTCGCCAGCGAGTCTGCAAAAGTCCATTGTTCGCCCGCATTTCATATCAAAAGAGGGTGTGGTTCCGTCGCGGAGCGGCACGAATCAAAGACAAGTTGTATAGTCATTCAATTAGTGCGCGTCCTCAATTAGTCACATTACCATCGATGGGCTCGAGCGTTTTCGTGTGGTTCACTGGACGCACTGGCGGCAAAATGAACTTTTCGATGGACGACGAGACGCCGGAAGACGCCAAGGATTCGGAAGACGTCGACGAGTCGGTGGACATCCTGCAATTTATTATTCCCTTTCTTTCTACTTTCTCTGCCCGATTTTCCTCACACACAAACGTTTTCAACTTTGTTCTTGCTCGAAAACTGTGAAAATTTGCAACTATGTGCTGCGCCTTTGATACCGTACCCGGTTCTTTCCAAATTTTCGTACTGCGCCTTTAATGCTACCGTATCCGCGCATCAAAAAAGGAAGAGCAAGTGTCGAAAAGCGTTGTTTGTTTGCGCCTGAAAGTGCATTCCCAGTATCTGTCCGATGTCTTCCATTTTCCCGAAATTTCCGGTAGATCAAGTGGGGCGCACAAATCTCGAAAACAAGTGCCGAAATGGAGAGAGAGAGAAGCGACAGCATCGTGATGAATATCTTCGTCTTAAAAATTGCTACTCCTCGAACCAACTACTACTACTACTACTTCTTCTTCTTCTTCTTCTCTTCTCCGCAACACCCCCCTTCTACTCACTCACCAAAACTTTTTATTAATCGAACAGCTCAAAGTTTACCCAACGCTCGTGTCCAATGTGGAAATGGAAGCTTCCGGAGGTCCCACAGGTTTCCACGTAGAAATGAATGGGGAAAAAAACACGCTCTCGTCCCCCCCCCCCTTTTCTCTTCTCAACTTCGTGTCAATTCTTATTTCGGAAATGGCTCGCACCTCACTAGACATTGCGTATTTCCGTCGTCGCTCGACAAAAAAAAAAGTTGTCACTTTTAGACGGGCGGGAATTTGAAATTTTCGCCGCGTTCCGTGCATAGCAAAAATGTTTGTGCACACACACGTCCGAGTTTACTGAAAAATTCGAAGCGACGATTTCCAGTACGTTTTCCGGTTCGTTCTAGCTAATTTCAATGGGAAAAGCAAGTTTTTGCGAGTAAGAATGGCCTGAACTCTAACGGAGCGCGTTTGCTGACCCGAAAATCACAAATCACGACGGCTCTCGTCTTAAGAGAGCGTTTATCTATGCAAATGACCCATCCGCCTCAATTATCCGATTCTCAGTGCCCTTTCGCCTCCGTTTTCTCATTTCATCGCTCCCCCAATATGTGTGTGTGTGTATCTCGGGGCACCAGCAGCTTCTTCTTCTCTCATTTTGAGAGCCTTTTTTTGTCGTTTCTTGATGAACCCCCAGTTCGTGCTGCTAAGTGCGTTTTGTGCAGAAAGCTGCTCTTCATCTAATCGCATTTCGAGCGAAAATGAAACGAAATGAAACGAAATGAAATGAGAAGACATTCCCACTGTTCGAACATGTCCCAGACCCCTCTTAGTTCTTCGACACACTCCACCACCACTCAATCTACTTCTTTTTTTTCGTTGCTCTCGGCTCTCATCTCATAATCGAATGACTAGTCACAGATCGCCCGGGGGCACACCAAGTCAGTCATCACGAGCGAAAGAGGGACCCTCGCCCACTGATCCGTCCGTCCGTTTTCTTCCCTTCCCCGGCTCATCTGCAAATCGTCGCGGAATGGAGGCGATTCTGTCGAATATCAGTCTGCACGAGGTAAGCCGCCGACGACCCACTTCAAAACTCATCTTCCTCTTCCTGATCGTCCCCCCCCCCCGCCCGTGCCCTCAATGGTACGGGGGTGTATGGGGCATGACACGGGGCGAAAAAAGAGGAGTGGTTGCTCCTTCTCCCTCTTCTCCTTTTCCTCCTCGGCTAATCACATTTTCATTCGCCGAAAAGGATTTCCGGCCCCATACTTTGTCGAGTTTCAGGCGGTTACCGATCCGCTCATTGTCGCCATGCTCCAAGAGCACAATGAGGAGCCGGCGGCCGTGCTCAACGATACCGTATTCCTGGTGAGTTGTGGCCCAGTTTTTCCGCCGCGCTGGTTAATGCAAACGCGCTCCATTGAGAAATCACTGGGATTTTGGTTGCGCGCGCACTTTGAAACCTCTCGAATTGTGTCTAATGACGAGCAAAAGCCCACAAAATACTGGCAACGCGTCATAAAATTAAAATGGGCAAAAGTTCAATAAAACATTGGTCGGTTTCATGTCGTTTGACTGACAAATTAGAAAAAAAAACGTTCGAGCGGCACTGAAAACAATTGTAATTGGGTGAGAGCATTTTGCAAGACGCTCATGAAATATGGATGCATTTTTGGTATAAGTTTGCCGGACGGCACACTTTCTTTTACACCCATTCTCTTCGCACACTTCCGCCTAGAATGCGAACGCGCTCCGCTGCACTTTTACAGGTAAACGCGGGTTTTTCTTCGACTAAAAGTGACTTTCAGAACTTGACGAACATGTCCGACTACCAGCTGATTCGACGTGTGCCGTACTACGAAAACTACAGCCAAGAGTCGGTGAGTGTAGTGTTCTTGTTCCCTCTCTTTTAGACCACCATTTATAAATATTTCTTGGCTCCAGGATGCGATTATGTGCTCGCAAATCGTCGTGCACCGCACTCATTGTCCACCGGTTTTCTTTGAGTCCGAATTCGAATACTTTTCCATTTCCGGTTCGTGTTGCGGCGTCCGACACGCCACAATGTGTAGGCCGGCGCGGCGGCGCTCGTCCGGCCCGTCGATAGCTCAGTTGGTAGAGCGGAGGACTGTAGAGTGCAGGTGGTTATCCTTAGGTCGCTGGTTCGAATCCGGCTCGACGGATTTCTTTTTGTTTTCTTCTTCTGCCAACGGAATCAAAAATTTGAAGTCACCAGGACGACTGACACATATGTATATATAAAACTAATTTGGGTGGAGGAGGAGAAAGAGCAAAGAGGGGCACACAAAAGGAAGGAAGGAAGAGGAGGAGTGAAGAAAAGAAGAAGGAAGAAGGCGTCAAAGTTCGAGACGTGAAGTGCCCTCTATCTTTTCCCTTTTTGATAGGTCTCATTGCTTTGACTATGAGACTACAATTTCGCCTAGAAAACAAAAAAGTTCTGACTCTGGATATTGTGTTTATATTGCAGCTACAGTATGTTCTTGCTCAAAGACCTTTCCCCTCAAATCCTTTTCCGTTTCCCTTGACGCTCTCATCCCATTAAACCGCCAACACTCCGCCCATTTTTTTCCCTTTCCTCCCGTCTTTTCATTGTTTTTATTTCCAGGGCGGTCAAAAACATTTCAGTTCGGCTTTTATGAGTTCATCCAAAAGGATTACCCAGGAATATGACGAAAAATGGGTTCAACTTAATCCTCCACCTCATTTCCTGACGATTCGAGTCTAGTCATCGAATCAGTCGCAAATCTAATCTGTTCTTTGAATAGATTTTGGTACAGACATTTGGCAGGCTTCTCTTTTTTTGTTTTCCTTTTTGACATTTCGCCGAACGCACTGAAATTGTTCGACGACGACGCGGTGTTTTCGGAAATTGACAAATCGCGCTCTATTCTCCATTTTTCGCTGAAACGCCCGCCGAATTCGATTTTTTCGCAACTTTTTGTGTGAAACCCCGCAAAAAATGTATTCGAATGCGGCGAAACCCGTATTTCTGCGAATATTTCCACGAAATTTGAATATTCGCCTGTTTTTGACTGCAATTTGAGCGATAAAGCGTGATTTTCTCATTTTCGAAGCTTCTCGCCAAGATTATTCGGAAAAGTTTCTGAAATGTTTGCCCTGCGCCTTTAATGTTACCGTATGCCGCGCATAATCGACTTTTCAAATTTTCTACTCGAAAAACTACTTTTTCCATTGAAATAAGCTAGTACAGGCCGGCAAACCATTGAAATAAGCTAGTACAGGCCGGCAAACGCACGATTTTGGGGAAAAAATTGCCCTAGAAATCATGCTCTCAAAGTTTAGTTTTAAAACCGGGAAGGATCGGACCGTGACAAGTCTGGACTGCTCTCCAAACAAAAATTGTAGTCCGAACTCTCCACAACCACATTTTCAGTCGTCGACAATATTTTTGTAGCACGTGGAAATGCGTCGAATACGGAACTCGCGGAAAATCCGTGTGAACCGTCAAATCATGTCCAAAAAATAAACAGCAACGAATTCTCACGATTTCTCTCCATTCACACCTCTTTCTTTTGCATGTATCAACACTTTCTTTGCCGCTGCATTTCTCCCGCTCGACTCGGCTCAATCTCGTTTGCTCACAGGTCCCGCCCATTTTGTGCTGGCGCCCGAACATCATCCACTCTTCTTCTTCTTCTTCTTCTTCTTCTTCTCCTTCTTCGGGTGGGCAACATGCCATCGGTTAGTTGCGCATTTGCCACGTCACACAATCAGGTTAAGTGCACACACACACACACAGAATCTCGCGCCTGACCCACCTAAATTCGATTGTTTCTTCGTCTTCTTCTTAGGGTTTTTCCTTTGCTTTTCTTGTCTGAATAACAGGGACCATATCGAAGAGAAATTAGCGTTTTTATTTGTTTTCAGTGTTTAGAAATTATTTATTCGATTGACCGAGAGAAGTCTTCGCAATTCCTCTTCCTGCCTATAAAACAGAGTGCGCATTTTTTATTAATAAAAACACATTTTATAAGTGCATGCTCCACTTTGAGCGATTTTACGAGCGTGCGTTCTCGGTTTTTGAGAACTAATGCAAATGCGCTCTATTGCGAACAAAACTGCATGAGCATTTTTTACAAAAATTCAGCGTTTCGCGATAAAAACTGAAGATGCATTCCTCGATTGATGTCAGAATGCGAGAGACTTTTGAAATTCAAAAGCGTTTTCCGGGGAACTATTTCGTTGAAGCACTCCTCATCGAGTTCTCCGACGACACAACGAGTCACGTCTTCTTTTTTTATCTTGAAAAGAGATGGACACAAATCCGATATATATCACTCTCTCTCTCTCTCTCTCTTCCCCGATGCCCTCCGGCTACTGTTTCCCGCATCAAAATTGGCTTACTTACTACTACTCCGTCAGCGGAAAACACGATCCGCACATTTTTTCCTGGCGCGCACACGTTTCAAGTGATCGCCGCTGCTTCGATTCCAGCCTGAGGCACCACAACGTTTTGGGGCATTTTGCTTTCGTGCTCACTTTCATTTTACTTCCGGAACGAACTACCTCTCCCCAAATTTTGCCGCTTCATCGAAACTTGACGTTAAAGTTGACAAACTTGGGATATATAGGCTCGACGGAATCAAAGAAAGAAAAAGAAAGAGTTTGCGGCCATCAGAAACCATTCCATCAATTATTCGTTTCGGTCCGATTCATCATGCTTCAGTATCCGATTACAATGTCTCGAGGGACCGCCAAACTTTCCTTTTTCACAGCTCATCATACGTGCGCCACTTGCTCTTTTTTTCCAAGTGTGTGTGTGTGTGTGTGTGTGTGTGCATACACCGAAACTTTTTTCCGGGAAGAAATGCCGAAAGTGCACGTCTTTTTAATTATTACTCCCCACCACCACCACCGCCGCCCGAATCTCATCAATGATGGCGACGACAAAACAAACAGCGGTCCGGTGTACGATCATTTCCTACAACTCACTAGACGCGGGTCCGAGGTTCACTCAAAACTTTTCCAAAGAGCCGTGTTGTTTCCGGCGTACCACCCAGCCCAGCCCAGCCCAACCCGAAATCCAATTTTGGTCACTTCATCCACTTTTTTATGCAGATGGCGACGACGGCGGTGTTCCTGTGCGGACATCTCGGCGCGCTCTCCGTCATTCTCAACCTCTTCGTCATCATTGCGCTCATGCGACACCGCCATCGGGTCCTTTCCAACGTCTTCTACGTCATCGTGCTTCACTGCGCCATTCTCGACGTCGTTCGAGGAATTTGTCTTATTGTGAGTCTAGCCGTCTTCTTTTTTTTTGTCAATTTGTCTTACCTGTGGCTCTACTAGAAATCTCTCATTTCAGATGTACGGTCTTCCATACTTTGCGAATTCGATTTACAAAATCAATCTCGACATCACCACGCGAATCAGTTTGTTCCGAGTGAGTTCACTTTACGTTCATCTGGGTGCATCCCAAACTTGTCATTCATCAATTATGGATTCGTAATAGCTTTCCAAAAAAAATGACGAGAAACTCGTCTACAGGCGTCGACATTCGCGCTGGTGGTTCTGCGCATCTGTAACCTCCTCACCATCTTCAATCTGCTCGTCTTCACCACCAACGAGTACATCGTCATCCGCTATCCGCTTCATTACCGCCGTTACTTCCGACGCAAGTTTGTCCTCATCATCCTCGCAATCTGGTGAGCCCCCGCGCGCGCGCTTCGAGAAACGAGGGAGTAGAGTCGTGATTTCAGTTGGATTGTGAGCACAGTGATGGGCTGCGGACTGCTCATTCCGTCCTCCAACTCGGCCTATCTCAGAAGCCATTCGGATTATGAGCACGAGGAGAGAGGCATCGATTTGGCGACGCTCACGCTCGTCCTCATTTCGGTGCTCTGCTTCGTCACTCTGGGCATTGTTGTGGTTAGTCAGATTTAGGTGGTGGCCTCAAAAAACACGATCGATACAGGTTTGCTACTTGTCAATTCTGCGAACGATTCGAAAGTTCAAAGACGAAGGATGTCTGAACAACGACGAGTCGCACCGCATTCACAATCGTTCGATACACCGTCCGATCAACGGACAGGGCTCGAATTGCTCCACGGGCAGCAGGTGAGTCGTCGCCATCACGCGACCGTACCCGAAGAACGACTTCCAGTCTCAGGGGTTCAAAGTGGCGGAGTGTGCAGGCGATGTCGCGTCACAAGTACATCTACGTGATCGGCTCGGTGCTCATCGTCGACCTGCTCTTTCTGTGCCCCTACTCGGGCATCCAGATGGTCGCCTTCCTGCACATCAACAATCTCATCGAGATCACGCACGGCAGCACGCTGATCCGCTGGTGGCTCCAGGTGCTCATCGGCGTGCATTCGGTGTGTCAGCCGTTGTGCTACTTCCGAATGACCGAGTTCCGGCGGCTCGCGTGCTGCAATCCGCGCCGGCCCTGGAATCGATCCAAGAGCTTTTCGCAGATGAATAAGAGTTTTGGTAAGGAGGACGGAGAGGGGGGGTTCAGTTTAATAAATTATTATTTTCAGCCAACACTCGCTCCAATATCAAGGAAGAGGAGATCGGAATGAATGCGAACGGAGGTGGTGACGTGGCGCCCAGTGAGCCGTTACTCAGAAACGGCGATACAACGCCGGTTCGTCCAATACAAATCCTTGTTAGGCCTTCCAGAGATGTTCTGATTTACAGTCCCGACGCTCGCCAACCATCGCGTGGACCCGTGGCGAATCCGTTCGCTTCCGCACCTACGGAAATGATTTTGCACATGTAGGCTCGCCAACAAAATGTGCATTCATAGTCTGCTCGAACTTTCAGCACACTCCAACAAAACCGAACGGAGGAGCCAAGGAGAGTTCGCCGATCGAAATGGAGCTTTTCCCGATTTCGACGGGCTCCGCGAGCACCAGTGATGTCGGAGAGCCGACTTTTGTCGATGACACTCCTCTCGTTCAGGAACTTTAACCGTTTTATGCTATTCTCGTTCGCATCCCGGTCTCAATGATACCGATCTCGCTTCCACCAATCTATGTGATTGATTTCAAATTTCCCCCTCTCTCTCTCTCTTCCCTTTCCGATTCTCATTGTCCATATATGCATAAACAAAAAACTATCGCTTTTTCACAAAACCCGTATATCTTTAATAAATTATCATTATAACATAAGTGTGCTTAGAAAGTGATTGCTCCGTTGCTCTTCTCGGCTCGCTCCAACAGCGCTTTGATGGCCTCGTCAAACTTTTGCGCGCGGATCGGCATGTCGATCGAGTAGAACGGATTCTTGAGCGCAAAGTCCGTGTAGAGCTCGTACATTTTCGAGAGCAACGAGTCGGCGGCGATGTTCGATGCGGCCGAGGTGATCACGACGAATTTGACGCCTGCGAAATCGGAGTTTTAGAATAGGGGCCACAAAGTGGAGGGGGCGGGGCGTCGAAATTTTTCAGTGGATTTCATTTTTCCGTCTTTCTGAGCCTGTGGTGCGGACTCAGAATGATAAATGATTGTACTAACAACATTACTTTATGTAATCAACCACGTAGAATCCATTGGTTAAGTCAGTTTGAGCCTAACTGTCATAGTTTTTGCGAACAAGCGCGAAAACAGCAAAATGTTCGGACAGTGTCAGTTCGAGGAACTTTTTGGGGTCAATATAAGTCCGGCACCGGGGTTCCCAATATGCATTCCGATAATTCTTGACATGCTGAATCCGTTTTTGAAGTCAGAATTGAAGATTTACTTGGCGAAACATCAATTTCAGACAGTTCAATTGCCACTTAAAACTGAAAAAAATTTTCAGCGGTGACCCCCGATTTTTATTTTCGGAATGTGTTAAGAAACTCGTATAGTATCCCTGTACAAAATTTCAGATCACTTGGACACCTATAAGATACTTTTTAACTTCGTCAAACATACCGTGTTCGCCCGAAAAATCAGTTTTTTGGAGTTTTCGGGTTGACACTGGTCCGGCACCGGGATTTTGACGGCAGAATCGGATTCAGCACAAAAAACTACACCAGATTTCTTTTAGGGAACATCCGTTTTACTTGGCGAAATGTCACAAATTACAGTTTCCTGCGCATTTTCAGTAACTTTTTCATGCTAGAAAGTGACTGCGAACACCGCGCACATCAACTGAACGGAGCAGCGGGCGCGCTCGCGCCCGGGTGGTAAAGTGGCAAGTGCTGAAACCACTAATCGAGAGGTCGCGGGTTCGAACCCACTTCCAAAATTTTTCGTTGTTTACTTTTGGATTCGATAAAGACAACATTTTTACTGAAAAAAAGTTAATTTTTGTGATAAAACTGTCCGCGCTCTCCATTTTGTTCCCCGAGTGGGAGCGCGCCGCCGCCACCAAATAGACTCCGCCCCTTTCGCTCACTGAATTTTCAGTGCAAACGCGCAAACTAAAAACGTTCATAACTCGAGAAGTACCGAACATTTTTCAAAAAAAAATTGGGAATGTACTATTTTTAAGCACTAGAACACATTCCGATAAGTGTTTTCCCGACATTCACAAGTTTGTTAATCACTTTGTGGCCCCTATTTTAGAAGATCAAAACTTGACAATTGGATAAAACTAACCTGTCCGGCTTTGTAAACAGAAAAGTTTGAACTGCGTCGTCTCGAGCACCTCCACTCCCGAACTTTTAGGACACGGCGACAGTTGAACGGCGATCGTGAAGAGCGAATGGAACATTGACGACAGAATGATCTTCTCGTTCGTTGACACTGTCGGAGCGACGAATTTTACGGTAACCTAAGAGAATCTGGTTCATGTTTTTACAACGTTTAACTGACAAATGTCAGCTTTCCTTGTTTCAAAATTTGGCAATGAAATGCTTGAAACATTGGATATCGTGCTAGCAAATTGTTTGAAAAGAAGCGACTTTGTATTTATCTAGAAAATAATGAAAAACAGAGACTTTTGCCCCGTTTTTCTGATACTGACTTTCTATGAATTCTAAATCCAAAAACCAACCGGATAATTGTCCTCTTCCTGCAGAAATTCGAGCACATTCACTTGCTGTGAGCCAAGTTGGAGTCTCGTCCCGAGCACCGGTTCACCATTCACACTTTTCACGTAATACCTGCAATTCTCGCTTTGAATCCTGAAAAAAAACCGTTCCGAAAGTGTACCTCAACTTGATACCATCTTTTTCTCCGAAAACCACAACCGCTTTCTGGTCGACCTCTTCCAAGTGCACATCGATCGGCCATTCGTACGTTTTCTCAACTTCCGGCTGTAATTTTCGGCGTTCATTTCATTTGAAGAGGGGTTTTTAACGCTTACCGTCTCATTTTTCGATTCCCAGCTATAAATTAGACTTCCTGCTCGATTAATGATAAAAATGTGCTGAATGTGTGTCGACATTTGACTGAAAATACTATTTTTCTCTTACTCATTCCCAAATCAGAAGGAAATTTCCGATAAATAAAACACGTTTTCGGTGGAGCGCACTTGCATTCTGTCGACGAAAGGAACGAGAAATCTGTTGGAGAGAAACCAAGCGAAAAAAGTCAAAATTAAATTGAGAGAAGATTTATTTCAGCACAGAAAAAATGATGAATTGTTCATCTGCGAATGCACTTAGAATCACTTGTGGATGCAATAATAAATAGTGAATAAATGAGTGAGGGGAAGTGAATGATCAAAAAAAAGAAGAGGGACTTAGCATTGCTAAGTTAGCAAGTACAAGTAAAAGGCCGGAGAATCGCGACTAAAAGTGAAATATGCACAATGCGAACGGGGGCTTTTCATCTGAAGACCGACTAGATCATCCAAACGTTCGAGTTAATTATTTAGTGATGTTAAAAGACAGTATGAGACCGGTATTCAATAGGAGGGAATCACGTAAGAGTCGAGATATTATACAAGTCGGCAGACGCCTTGTAAATGCAAACAGCTCGGAAGACTGAGCGTCTCGAGCGGCAGTTCCGAGTAGGAGAAGGGCTCCGTGTTGAATGGAGGCAAGTAGGTGCCCATCATGATGAGCGCGTCCTGCAAAGTATAAACATTGTGTGAATTTGAAATTCCCGGCAGAAAACCCCAATCAATTCTGCATGAAAATCTTTAGATTTTTTCAAAGCATTTTCCTATAATTCGCTATTGCCACACAATTACCTTGTCCTCGATCGGATCCCCGTTCGCAATCGCTCTCTCGTTGAGCTTTCTCTGAATCGCGACAAGGAACTCGGCGGAGAGTCCGTCCTCCATCTCGTCCGAAGGGTCGTAGTGCTGCAGGATGGCAACCACTTGTCGCGGCTTCAGCCGACTCGTCATCTCGCCGCACAACGTGTCCATGTTCGACGCGTCTTTGCGACTCTGCAGCAGATGGCACGCCTGGACGAGCGGCTCGAGGTGCTCGCGGCAGTCGGGCAGTCCTTTCGCGTTCAGCCAGTTCTGGATCTCCATCACGTTGTGCTTGATCTGAATGGCCTTCTCGAAGTTGCACAGCTCGCGCCGGAACATCATGTGATTGAGGGCCAGCGAGCACATCCAGCTGGCCATTTGTCCGATGACCTGCTTGAGCACGAACTCGTCTCCGCCGTACGTCTTCAGCTTCGAGTGCACCATGTCCATAAACTGCAGCAGATCGGCCAGACTCGTCTTTTGCGTCTCCGCGCGCTCCCTCCGATCCTGGCCGGCCGTCATTAGATCGCTGCTGCTCTCGTGCTGCAGAATTCCGGGCACGATCTTCGGACAGAACGCGTGCTCGACAGCCTTCTTCATCAGACTCGCGTAGCACTCTTCGATGCGCAACTTTAGCTGATCTCGGATCGGCGCCACGTCGTACGACTTGAAGCGGTACGCGTTTTGCGTGTCCGTGTTCGCCACGTGCCACTCGGCCGGCTGCTTCTCCTCGCCCGAATACTGACGAAGGAGGTTGAAGAGGCGCCACAGGTTCACGAGCCATAGCGATAGAAGGTCGAGATCGTGCGAACGCGAGATAGTATCCTTGAGCACAAGATGGACCGAAGAAAAGAGACCGGTGAGCGCCGTCTCGTCGCGCCTCTCATCCTGGTTGCGGAAGGCGGCGAGCAGCAGGTACGCCGGCAGATTCTTCGTCAGAAGTCGGGCCAGACTCGGCTTCAGTTCTGAAAACGGACTGCGATTTTGTGGGACGGGAATTTCTTGACAAACCGCAAACAATGATTCGGGCAAACTCGGGCACGTTGTAGACTTCCAAGAACGCGTTGTGTGTGACCGAATCCTTCTGGAACGCCTCCAATCGAATGATCTCCTCGTCGGAGGTGTTTTCTGAAAGAATTGCAACTGTTTGGGGGGTGTCTGGCGCCTGGTGAACACGTGATCGCCGACCGCGAGGGACCAGAGAAGCAGAAAGTGAGGGGCAAAGCTGTCTTTGTACAACACAAATACACCGGTTACTGGCCAATGTTGGCGAATCCGGCCGATTAGCCAGTGACCGTCGTTCTGTTCTGTTCGAAACGGCCTAATACGATTAACCATTTCCATTTGGGGGCACACACTCAATCTATCAATTCTCACGTTTCTTCTCATTAGCGTGGTTTGTTGTGACGTGGCAAAACGAGGGGGGAAAACAATCGTGAAGCAAGCAGAAACCAATCACCACACACAGACACATGACAATCAATGCTAAAACTTTATATCCAGAGAGCAACAAAAAATGACACGCACAGATGAACCCAAAAGAAAGAAAAGGAAAAAATGGAAGGATAAGAGCTCAAACTGAGGAACATATATATATGTAAATATATGTGGTAAGGAGAGCGGTCAGGGAAAAAAGAAGAAAAAGAAACACAAAATACTATTATCAGGAAAGAAGGAAATACGGTTTACATCGGGACGGCGTGTGCGTGCGCGAGATCTGAAAGATAGGCGGAACAGAGGAAAAGTGGGGGGGGGCAGAACATGTGATAACAGGGTGGAACAAGTGAAGAAGAAGAGAAGCGGGTATGAGGTGGGTGAAGGAGAAGAAGAACAAGCCAAGGGTAAATACAGGCGGGTCGGGGTATGGTGGTCTTGGGCGCTAGTGCACATACAACTACCCGGGTTTGCCACGTCACAAATGTTTTGTACGAACATGTAAATTATTATCGCTTAACAGTACGCCAGAACTCAAAACCACCATCCCGGACCATGTTTTTTCAAGGGGAGTCGGCAGAAGAGAGTCCTAAACTACGCGCCAACTGCGAGAGGAACGTGCCCATCGCATCGCGCAGACTGTAGAACGCGTTCACGTTCGGCGGATAGACAAACTCGGCGTTCGCCGACGGACTGCCGATCGGCACATTCGGCGTCGAAGCGTGCGACCAGTGCCATTGCGAGGCGAGCGACGTGTTCAGCGAGTGATAGACACTGCTGGCGCCCGACGAACTCGCCGACGATGAGGACGGCGGATCCAGGTCGATCGGACGGAATCGACGATGCGCACGGTCTCCGCCACCGTCGATCGCGTCCGAATCGGTGGTGGCGATCGAGGAGAGCATCGATTTGGCCGGCGACAAACCACGACACACTTCTTGCTCACCTAGTCCCAGTGGTCCACTGTAGCCGCGAAGTTGAGCGCGTGCTTCGGCAAGTTCTTCCGATTGTCGAGTCAGCTTGTCGTTGAGGTCCTGAAAAGAAGTCGTTCTGCATAGAATGCCCACTAGGGATGCAAAACAGGTGATTTTAGGCGCCTGCGAAGACAGACGTTTTTGCGTTGAAAAACAGGCGCCTGTTCTGCATCTCTGCTCTCACACGACGAGCCTACCATATTCTGCTGGGCCAACATCTGAGTCTGTTTGTGAGCACCTCGAACGGCCTCATCCAACGAGCAGTCGGATGGTCTCTGAAAATTTAAAATTGGCTACTAATTCGGCAAAATCCATAATTTCAGTTCCATTCTTCCCATTCTTGCCTTGCTCGTGGCCGAACTGCTCAACGTGACATCGTCCATCTCTTCGGGTTCGTCAAAAGTCATACAGTAATAGTCAGAAGACGATGACGTCATCCGACTTTGAAGGCTCGGCGGAGGCGCAGAAGTGCCGACCTCGTCGAATTCCAGCATTTTAAAAAGTGTGCTCACAGAGGGAAAAGCCCTACCTGCAAGCGGAAACTAGGTCTAGAAGCCGAGAAAGAGAGAGAGAGAGAGAAAAGAAAGAAAAGAAATTGGCGGTAATTCATGAATACCAAATGAAGCGGGTGGAATCGATGCCAGAAACAAAGAAAATGGAGCAGCAGCAGTAGCTTCATGGGCCAAAAGAGGGAATTTTGAGCCGATGGAGATGTAGAGAGAGAGAAAGAGGGAGACTCACTCATTCATCATCCCAAAACCGACGCAGAATGCACAATTTCGCGCCCCCCCCCCTCCCGCAAAAAAAAGTCAATGCGAAAGAACAAAATTGGAGGCGAGAGAAGACAAAAACAGAACGGAAAACCGGAAACGAAGAGAGGAGAAGGCTGTCGTTTTAATTTCTGCCTAATACTTTCAAATAGTTACAGGCATGCCTTTCATTCATTTTCGCGCCGATAATGACTGTTTTGAACATGTAGATCAGGCACGCTTTGCAAGTCAAATATGTACAATCGACTTCCTGGTTCAATTCTACTCTCTAGGGACCTCAGGTGCTCCATTTGAAAAATGGAAAAGGAAGGAAGCAAAAAAAAGCATGAGGGGCAGGGCGGAAAAGAGCAGCACTTTGCCAAAATTGGAAACACTGCGCGCTCGAAAAGAGAATCTCATCAAAAAACGTCATTTCGGCTCGCTCGTGTTCCGGCTCTTCTTTTAATGAGATTTCTGCTGTTTTTGTTGTGGCGGCCTGCCCCAAGCACTCTTTTGGGCCAAAAAGAGAAACAATAACAGTTATAGAGAAAGAAAAATTGCGGAGGATGGAAATGGAGCCAATTGACCGTTTGCTCGTGTGATCCGTAATGAAAGAGCAAAACAACGTTCGCGGTGAAACACCCCAATTGTGGAGAGGTACCTTTTAGGCGAATAACGAAAAGGGGTCCGAGAAAGGAAGGCTTCTGGCTGGCAGGCAGGCAGGGTGTGGACCAAAACATTCCCTCTTCCGAATGTCTGCGCTTCTCAATAAGTAACACTGTCTTCTAGCGCGAATGTATAAATAAAAACGAGCGCAAGAGTCGAGGAGATTATCTCCATGGCGATGCGGAGGGAAATGAAAAGGACAGGTCAGGATGGGATGAGGAAATGAACGAACAAACTTCATCGAACTAATGCCACAAAATAGTTATAATTCGCGCTAACAAGCGGTTGCAGTAGCAGGTGTGCGCGACGCGGCAAAAGCGACGACGACGACGACGACGGCGGAATGGAAATGAAAGAAGAGAAAGAGACGCAGTGCGGGAAAGATGAATCCAACTGGTTGGCCGTGTTCACACCACTTCTCGCCAATACTTTCGAAAAGTGGAAAAGACGAAGAGAAAGAGGTCAATACATCTACAATCCGATGGAATATGTGGGAAAGAGAAAGGAAGAGAGGAAAGGTGTTCAAACAGTGCCGACTGCAAACACAATGATTCAGTCTGTATTGATGACTGTGTGATGGCGCCGAATCGATTCGAGTGGCGGCTGATGGGCACCAACCGGTCACCAAAACTTGTTTTTCTGCCGAGAAAGAAAGAGCTGCCGGCCGTGGCTGTTACGGACGGAACGCACAACACCTGCTGCCAATTCGGGCGGGGAAACGAGGACCCGGAAAACAACACGCGTACAAACAATTGAAGAGAACTCCATGAAATCCAGACAATGTTACTGGTGTATCGAAGGAAAGTAGGCCACTGAACACATACATCCGATCAGTGTGTATGTAAAGTATTATAATCTGCTTTTCGCCGCACCGACCTACACAAAATTGGCAAAAAAACGCGACCGCAGATGATAATGACCATCGGAAAGAGGAAGGAAGAAGCGAACGGCCTGTTCGCAAACATAGGAAGGGCTTCTCGACTCGTATCACGTTTCTTCCGAAGGTGCTGGTAGCGAGAACTCGAGTAGACTCGAATTTCAATCTTCCAAAGACGAAACACAAAATCGCAAGTAAATAAACAATCCGAGAATGGGAAACTGGCGGGGAGATCGAGAAGACGGTCGGTTTCGGCGAGAAAATGGACGGTTTACGAGCATAATTGTGGATGAACTGGGTCGAAATGACACGCTAAATGAGATTTGAATGAAGCGCAGAGGAAGAGCGAGAGAGAGAGAGGAATAAAAAGCACACGTGTCCTACTCAGTCGTCTTTTCGACGCAAAGAAAGTCACTTCTTCTTCTTAGGCGGTGTCTCTTTCAACCCGACCCAACCGCCATCGAAAACCAGATTCGATATCATCTGTGAGTAACAGTCATCGCGGTTTTTTCGGTCGGAGAACAGAAGCGTTTGGGAGAGAATGGAACGAAGCGAACAAGAGAACTTACAAAGACAGACTGAGATTCGCTGTAGCGGAGCTGTTGTTGCAGTCGCTCGATTTCCAGATTCTGGTTGGTGAGCATTCGAGTCAGATTTCTAAAAAGGTAAAAATAAAATAGTGAGCAATGTAATGCTCCACTCACTCGGCAAGATTCTTGAGATGTCTGCACTGCCGTTCGATGCACAAATCTTCCTCCAGATCAGCACTGCTACTGCCATCTTCCGAATCGGTACCAGAGCAGTGTCCGGAGTCTGGTCGCGGCGAACGTCTGTATCCGCTGCTTCCGGCGACAGATTGTCGCTCAAAGTGGCTGGAGAGCATCGATCTCAGCTCGACAGACTCCTCGCGCAGACGCTCGTTCTCCTCCATGATTCGCTCGAACACCGAGTGCATCGAGCGATCGCTTCCGCCCGAAATCAGCCTTTCCATGTCGCTCTTCAGCCGATTGTACGCTCCTTCCAACTCGCTCATCCGAATCGATTCGAACGCCTTCAACGACGTCTTCTTGTCGAGCGTGTCGATCAGCGTCGACGCCTCGAGGATCACCTTCATCCGCTCCGTCTCGCGTTGACAGTGCTCGTTGCGCTGTCGCAGATCGTTGATCATCTTGAGTTGGTCGAAAATCATAGCCATATCGTTGAGCTGAGCTTCTGGAGATCCGCGCGACGTTAACGTCAACGGGACGGGCACGGCGTTCAACGATTCGGCGCTGAGTTGCGACAGGTTGGAGGTGGTTCGCGAAACGTCTGAAATCACAAAAGGATTGGTTATTGACCCGAGAAAGTGAACAGACCCAGTTCGTCCTTTTTCGGACTCGCTTTTCTCTGGAACGCACTCGATTCGAACAGATCCACGTTCTTCATCAGCTGCTCCCGCATCGCCGCCACGTCAGCATCCAGAGCGAGTCGCGTCGATCGCTCCGAATTCAGCTCCGCTTCCATTTTCCGTCGTTCCTCCTCCCACGTCTCCTGATCGGCTTTCGCCTTCTCCAGTTGCTCGGTGAGCTCGGCGATTTTCAGTCCGGATTCGGATTGCATCTGCAACTTGAAAAGGGTTAAAATGGCGCTTTGTTTTCGAGACAATGATGCTGCCCACTGCTGCTGACAATTGCTGACAATTAAGCGAGCGAGAAAAGGGGGTTGACTAGTATGGCGCCTTGGGTGTCATCAACGGGTCAAAACACAGTCGACACGGAAAACAGATGGAAAACAGCTGAGCGGAATTCATACGAAATGAGGCAAATTTCAAATGTTGAAAGGGAAAGAAGACATGAGAGTAGAGCGTCGTGTGGCATCTAATCCCACTTTCTTCCTTCCTGTTCATCATTTATGTATTTACTCGTTGCTTTGCGGCGGCACCGGCGGCTCAAGTACAACTTGGTCACAAGAAAACAAAGGAGCTCTACGCGGGGGCACGGGGGCACGGGCGGCGCAACAAACACCACAATCGAATGCGTCTAATGAGAATGTGGACGCCGTCGCGCCGCAAGTGATGAGGGCACCCTTTACGAGCGGAAAGGGACCGCATGCAGCTCATGTGCTTTGCCGTCACTCTTTTGACTTTGAGTCTAAAAGGGGGCTTACCTGCTCAAGACGGCTCTGCAGGTCGACGACTTTCGTCTCCATGCCACCACGTTGAGCTTCTTTCAGATCGCATTCCGTTTCGAGTCGTTCCACTTCTTCCTGGAGCACTTCCACACGATGACGTGCCTCCAGAAGCGTCAGTCTGAAATGAATAAAGTACAAATGAGAACAGGTAACCAACTGAGACTCACCTCTCCGCTTCCATCATGGCCAACTCGGCCTTTGTCTTCTCGAGATCCTTGCTCACCGTCGTCAACTTCTCCTTTTCGTCTTTCGTTCGTCCGTTCTGTAATCAAACAATGAGATGGCGCCGTGATTTGCATGCATTCGTGCGCCCAGGTTATCAAATCAAAATGTTATCCGGCAACAAGTTTTCTTCTAAACGCCCCACCCCAATTCTTCAAATTGAAGACCGTGGAAAACATGACTGCAAGGCAAGAACAATGCGAATAACACTGGTAATTAACGAACAATCCCAAAAACAGATGACATTTCCACCTAGATCGTTCGGAATACAGTTTCGAAGATCGACACTATCCAAGTTTTGGATAAAGTGTGATAAAGCCGAACGCTCGGTTTCGACTACGAACTACATTTTCGAAAGATCGTGTCTAAAGGATTCTGTAATGTAAATGTGCCGCGGATTTCTCAAATTTGTGAACACCTCATATAGAGTTGCAATTCTACACATTCATGGGTTTCGGTTTTCTCCAGTTTCAGAGGTTTACAGCCAACATTTGTGTGGAACAAATTTCTAACGGCTCGAAATCTAGCCCGCAAAACTTTTAGATGGTTTCGAGAAAGAGGAAGAGAAAGAGAACGTGGGAAATTGGTGGAACGAAGTGAATAGCCAAGAGATATGGGCAGAATCCCATGACAATCAATCTTCGGGCGCGACGGAGGGCATCTTCTTCGAGCGGACACGGCAGGAGCGAACGAAAAAACGATGGACGGACGGACACGAAGGATACGGAGTGCGTGTTCGTCACGAACGGGATCTCAAGGAGACGTCCAAACAATGAGAGGCGGAAGAAGTAAGAAGAAGAAGAAGAAGAAAAAGAGATATCACATCATCAGCGTCCTCATGAAGACGACAATGCGATGGAGGGCGCGGGAGGGCAATGAGGCAATCAAACGGGAACTAGGCGAAGCCAACTCGAATACTAATTCTGATAAGTACGCCGTTTGGAAGGTTACCATGAAAAGCTTCAGAAAGGTTTTTCCAATTTAATTCGAGTGAAACCAGGTGAATGACAGGTTTGCGTGCGTGCCTTCCCTAGGCCGTAATCATCCACATCGCTTTCGCGCATAAAAAAGCGGGCGTTTTCACCTTTGCCGTCATCAATTAATCGTCTTCTGTCCGGCCTTTCCGATAACTACGCTCGAAGGTTAATTCTGATTGCTTCGTGTGAGAAGTCAGCCATAAGAACACGAAGAATCAAGAGAAAACACGCTCATCGTTCGCACGAGCTAAGGCTTGTCGCATTGACCCCTGGGGAAGAATATTCGACAAAAAAAGGAGGAAGAAGAAGAAGTCGAGCTATTCGGCCGTGCAAAACTGTGTGAAACAAGGAAGAATGGGCGCGAGGGCGCTGGCCACCCACACTCTGATCGTTTCTCACTCAATTTTTAATCAAATAAACTGTCATCTCGGGCCGCCAGAGGGCGCGAGAAGCCGAATCAACCTGCTCCTCTCCCGCATATCCGTTTTTTGCGACAGTTTCCGGCCTCCGGTGCTAACGATACCCTCGAACACTCACGTGTGGACCGTTAGGCGACCACGTGAGAGCATACGTCAGGAACGGCGGCGGAGGTGATCGAGTTGAACGGAATGATCAGACGAAAAGAAAGGTGTTCTCACCGCCATCCCTCGCATTCTTCATCTGATTAGGGTTACGGTAGTGGGAACAAGTAACCAGACGCAAACAAACTGCGGGCGGAGTATTTCGAAAATGAAGAAAGCGAACTTCAAGTGCAGAAAGGAGAAAAGAGAAGGGCTATCCGTCCACTTGCGTGCATAATATCATCAAAAAACAGAGTTTGCGGATGAAAAAACGACGCCATCTTGCTTCCCGAATATGGGGAATAACGAGGCAGGGTTCTCGACCACAAAGCACAGAATTGAGAGAAGGAGAGAGAGAGAGCATATTTGCAAGACGCCAACGTTTTCTTGCTCGTGTTCTGTTCTAAACTGTTCTAACATACTGTCTAAAGAGCGAAACTGGTTTCTCGCGCTCCGTGAGCTGCAGCAACTGAGAAACAAACAAGACAGTTGATTGAGGCGACTATTAGAGTGGGCGGAACGGAGGAGAAAGAGGAAGGGATGAAAACAAGTGATGATAAATGATATCAAGGGGACCACAGAGGCCCGGAGCAACTGGTCATCGAGCATGTTCAGCGATTAATCACTCACAAGTTGACATGAAATTCTGTCAAATGTGGCCGCGCCGAATATTCACACGACGGCACGAGAAGCGACGGGGAAGAAAGAGCGGCCCATTGGGAGTTCACACAACTAAATATTCACAAAAATACTCGAGTTGCTGCTGCTTCGGGTGAATGAGAAGACGTCGAAAACACAACGGACGAAACCGAATCGACTGACTGACAATTTGACTGACTCACCGCATTCTGGATTCGTCAGCGGCAAGGTGAGAATGGAATTGCGCGGGAGAATGCGGCGCGACGACTAATGACAAAAGAATGTTGCAAAACAGACGACGGAAAAGTTGCCGAAACTCAATCGAATATTCCGAAAAGAGCAAATAAAACAGATCGTAAAAGAAAGGGGTCATGCTCTCTTTCTGTGCTGTGCATGTTGCCATTTTGACGCCAACTCGGCTCTTTACTGCTCTGAGCAAGATGAAAGAACAAAAAAGTGTAATTTGTTTGGAAGTTTTCAAATTTTGATCGCCAACGCAAACGAGAAAAGACAAAAACACGGTAAGCTGATTGTGTGCCTTTGCGTGCTTGCAAATATTGAAATTCCGGCCACACTATACTTACGGCAATATCCAGTCGCATCTGCAACTCGATAATCTTGTTCTCCAATCCTGTATTCAGCTTCTGGAGGTGTCCAACGGATCGGGCTTCTATCTGAAATTAGAGGGGAATTGAAGAATGAGGACTGAAGGTCACTGGTCACCTTGAGCTCGCGGAGACGGCGTTTGGCAAGCCACTTTCTGACGGCGCACTGGACCATGACCACCTTCTTGCGACGGGCAATCTGCTCTCGACGCATCGAGTATCCACGCCACGCCGCTTGAATCTTGATGGCTGATTTCTCGTAGCGGATCTGAAACATTTCAATTTTTTTTTAAAGATTTTGATAGATGTAGTTACCCTACCTTTTCAACGTTTCTTCTGACACGAGTCGCCTTGAACGCCGCCTGAATTCCGATGACCGCCTTGCGAATCTTTTCGTATCTTCGTTTTGCGAGGAATCCACGTACGGCCGCCTGCATTGTGATGGCCGCGCGGTGCATTTGCAGGTACTTGATGCGTCGGAATGCGAGGAACGCCTTCAGCGAAGCCTGCACAATGAGCAGTGATCGTCGCATCGTCTCGTACTTTCTTCGCGCCACGAATCCCTTCCACGTCTTCTGAATCATGACGGCAGCTGCGGCCAGTGTGTCGAGACGGACTCGCTCGAGCACAGCGACTTGTCCGGTGCGCAAGAAGATCTTCGTCTTTCCGACCGCATACTTTCCTTCCTCGAGGCACTGCTCACAGGCGAGCTTTGCGAACTTCTTCGGATTGTCTCTCCAAAGCGCCGCATCTTTCGTGTAGAGTACTCGATATCGGCGGGCGAACTCTTCGTACGGATACCGCGACGGGAAGCCGGCCGCCGAAATGCGAACCGTCTCGAGGACTCCGCACGCTCGCAGCTGCTGTATCGCTCGTTTTGGCTCAAAGTCGAAACTGATCTTGCTGTCGTTCGGCTTGATGCATCTGACGTAATGCGGGCGAGTCGAGCACAACACTTGCATGAGCTCTCTCAGCGAATCACGGAACTGACTGGCCACCGTCTTCTTCGTCGTTCTCTTTCCGGGAGTGGATCCGGCTGGAGTGACGACTGCCGGGCCGATCACTTTCCGAATGAACTCAAATCTGCTGGCAACGACGACGTCGAGGAGCTGCTCTCCGATCGCATCTCGGTTCTTCTCAACGAATCCATCGGTCGTGTAGGTGACGTCGGCGGCAAAGTGTCGAACGATAAAGTCATTGCTGCGAACCTTCGGGAACGTCAACTGCGGGTTCTTCTTCAGTTCGGCACTGTTGCTCAGCTGACTCAACCAATCGGAATCGGTTCCGTTCAGCCGTTTGCACTGCTCGTCGAGCAGGTTTATCATTCCGACAGGTCCTTCGATCAAGTCAATGGCCGGCTGATTGTCATGGAAATCCACACGGACCCATTCGATCTCCTCTCGCACGTACTCCTCCTGTTCCAACTTGAAGACGTGCTGATTGAACTGCTGCTGGAGTTTTTCATTGGCGTAGTTGATGGAGAATTGCTCGAACGAGTTGATGTCGAACGTCTCGAATCCGTAAATATCGAGAACTCCAATGAATCGATCGACCCGTTTCCGGCGGTTCGCCTCTGAACTTTGTTGATTCTCGTTCAGAGCACTGTTGATCTTGTCGACGAGCCATCCAAAGAGGTGCGCGTAGAGCATTTTGGTGAGGGCATCTCGCGATCGGACGGATTCGTTCTTCGTCAACGGCTTCGTGACCACCTCGTTCACAGCTCGAATCTCTCGTCTCGTCAGCCAAATGCGCAAATCATTCTCGTCGATTTCCCAAATTTCTGCGCACAATCTCGCGATTTCCTGTGAACTCGCGGGCGAAACGGCGGAACACGTCTCTCCGTTCTCAAAGTGCACATTGCCGAGAAGAAGGAGTCCGGCGAGAAGTCGGAAGACGTCGCCAATCTGTTTCTCGTCGAATCCGAGCAATTGGAGCGCCTTCAGCAAGTCCTCAAAGTCCGCTTTATCGTCGACTCCCGGAATGCGACTGTCTCCTCCCTGCGTCAAATAGGCGTACGATTCGCATGCGCCGAGATGCAGATCCTTGAGTGCCGGGTGATTTCGGGCGGCGCACAGTTGGTAGAAGATGTGATAGTTCCGTTCGCCGGGCGCCTGGAACACGAGCCGACTCTTCTCCAGCAGATACGTCTTCATTTCGGCGCCCACAATCCGTCGTCCGCGCTCGCAAAAGTTGATTTGTATGAACTTTCCGAAGCGCGACGAGTTGTCATTTCTAATTGTTTTCGCGTTTCCGATCGACTCCATGATTGGGTTGCTCGCCAGCACGCGTGCTTCGATGCTTGTCGTCGTGCCGCTTTCCCGACGTGATCCGCTCGCAGCAACCGATGCCAGATATCTCATCACAAACTTGGCAGACACTGTCTTTCCGGCGCCCGACTCTCCGCTCACAATGATCGACTGGGACTTGCCGAACGCGCCCATATCGAAGTGCGCCTCTTCGGCGACGGCGAAAATGTGCGGATCCATTTCTCGAGCAGACTTTCCGGCTCCCCGGTACACTTGAATGATCTCCTCGCGGTAAATGTGCGAGCAGTCGGCGTAGGGGTTGATGGCGACGAGCACGATGCCGCAGTACGTGTAGATCGAGTTGTTGTTCACGAAACGCACTTGTAGATTGTGCAGGACGGCCGGCTCATGCAGGTACGACAACAGCGTCAGGTCGTCTTTTCCGACGAGAAACGCCGGATTTCTGAGGAACGGCAGCTGTTCCAGCGATGTGATGTCGTATTGGACGGTCTGAAATGAACAGGTTAGGTAGAATTATAAGAGCAACTCGCATTACCGTGTCATCTTCGAGTCGGATTCGTACTTGTCGCGTCTGGAAGCTGATATCATCTTCGAGCGTTCCGCCGATCCAGATCAGGTGCGGGTGTCTGTGCCATACTCTTGCTCCTTTCTGAAAAAAATTGCATTTTTATATGCTTTTCCTAGTTTTCCACTCACTTTATAGTTTTGGACGGGGAATACGTGGCCGCGGCCTAAAGTGGCGCCTCCATCCATTGGGGCGAACTGTTCGGATCCACTGATTGCGCTGGGGTCCTTTGGATTAATGTCTGAAAAAAAGAAATTTTTTTGGTTTGTGTGATAATGAGAGACGGATCGGACCATCACTTTGCACAATTTTCAATCTTGCTCTGGAGGACTTTCAAACTAGATATCCAATGCCAAGCCTGATAAACGGGCAAAGTTCGGTTCCAGTCGAACGATAGAAAATAACGAGTGGGTCAAAAGTCGATGGCCTAAAAAGCCGGACAAGGAAGTGTGACTCAGCGTTGCTGATAAGGAGGGAACAAGGAGAAAGAGCCGAGTGAATGGGAGCAACACACACAAAAAAAAACGTGTAATATTTATTTACGTACGCATATCACATATCGCCGTGCGACGACGACGACGTGTGTTTGCCCTTCCCTCTTTCCGGTTATCAGGTTCGGAAACGCAAAAATAAACATTTCGAGCGGAGAGAAAATTGGATGAAACGAGGAAGAAGAAGAAGAGGAAATCTGCGGTTTCGCCTTTGGCGCCTCGTAAAAATTTAGTGTCGCCGCCGGTGCGAGGTGCCGATACATTCCTCAATCCACTCAACGCTTATGAAAAACAAAAAGCGGGAGAGGTGCTTGGCGTGCAACTTGTCGAGGACACTTGGTGTTCCTCCTCTCTCCGACGCGATGCCGATGCGCAGAAAAGAGGGAAGCAAGCTTGTTCTATTCATTCTTTCGTTCTCCGCCGTTGAAACTTGTGATTTATCACCTTTTTAGGACTACTTTATGTCTCTCAAAGACTAGTTCTCTTTCTTTTTGCATGTATTACTACTATTAAATCAATGAAAACAAAGCGCCGTGGCGCAACATTCAAATTTCAAAACTGGCGCCGTGCGAAACTGTTATCGGCAGAGCAGATCTGCATACTCGGTCGAAGGACACCGGAGCGGATGAAAAAGAGAAAAGTAGTGGGGGAAACCTGTAGAGAAGTGGCTGAGAAGCAATCGGCAATGAGTAGGGGATACCAATAAACCTGTATTTACCACTCGTCTTCTTCGTCCACTGACAAGGATGCCAGAAAATTGGAATTAATTTTCGGAAGAAGGCTTATTTCTTGCATAAATCTACTAAATAGCCGAGCGACAAGGAGAAAGTTTCGAAAGAGGGCAGAAATTTGAGAACGGTATACTGCTACTTCTACTAAACGCTGATGATCGAAAGAGATTAAAACGAACATTTGCGTAAGCGCGGCTGAGTCTCTTCACTTTCCGTGCTTCCGACAAGTGACGAGCTGCCGACACACACGGTCAGCATGAGACGAAAATGGCCGGAACAAGGCAAAAACGAGCGGATTTCAGAGAGCTTTTAAACGGTTTTCTAATGAGGAAAAGTGCATTTCTCGGGGCGTTTGGGCCAAAAGAGGATTTGAAAGGGCAAACGTGATGAAAAGTGTGTCTGTTTTACGACGCGTCATTAGTCAAAGATTTTGAGCGATGCTTGTGTGGATCATGCCTAAAAGTGGCCACTCAATCTCAATAAATGCCATCGAAACGGGAGAAAATGACGCAAAATGAACTTTATCTTGAAGGCGCAGCAAAACGTTTTGTGAGTGGGGTCTCGACACGGTTACAGTAAGTTTTTGAAGAAATGTTCAATTTCTTTTAAAAACGTGGAAAATGTTCAGTTTGAAAGGTAATTCTTTACATTTCTGGTTATGAATTTCGACAAATTTAGGGGCTTTCGTGTTTCAACAAAAAACTACTGAAAGTAACTTTTTTCGAAGGTAGGCAAAAGTAATCTGATGTTACTAAAGCAGATCGAATGGCTGCGGAATGAGATAATGACCAGAACTGATGATCAATCACAGACACAGTCAATGGCAAAATAAACACGGATGACAAGCGGGGCGCGCATGTTTTTATCTTGCGTAAGCGCAAGCGGAAATTCTGGATTGAACGGAATTCAATTCTCGACGTGTTCGTTCGATCGTGCGAGGAAGCGGAAAAGAAAAAAAGGAAAGGAGAAAAGAGAAAAGGCGATAAAAGTTCCAATTAAGGTTATATCAATAAAAAGAGAAAGGGAGAAGAAGTGAAGTGTCGACTAAAAACGGGTTAATCGTTTGCTGGTGATTTATTTGTGACGAATGCGAATCTAGAATAGAGAATAGAACCCCAAACATGGTTGGGTCGAACGGTGGTGTATTCTCTCCAGAAACGGTAAAAAGAGAAACCGGCGGGCGGAAACAGAGCAAAAAATACACCAGATCGTAGAACCTGACCGGGCCCCCGGAGAGATCGAACGATTCGCGGCGCCGCAGACAGAGGTGGGGGCGCGAGCCGTTCGATCGGAGGGATGAGCTCCAGTGTTTGTGTACCGAATAAGGAGAGCGAGAGGGGAAGAGTCGGCACGGTGTTTGCTGCTCAAGCCGGTCTCCCATTCGGCTGTTTGTGCACCGACGACGAATATGCGAAATGAGTCGGCGTCTCCCGAGGAACCGAACACTCTCTCGTCGGTCGGCGGAGTACTGTGCAGTTGGAAACTCTCGTGAAGGGCCAGTTTTGTATGAATGGGAACATCGGATAGGTGAGAAAGGAGGGACAACGGAAACTAGAGACCTAGCGAGTCGGAACGACTAGTGAGCAGTGGACTTTGAAAGGCGGAAAAAAAAATCACAGAAAGAGCTTGTTTTCTTTTTGAAGGAGGGAAACATAAAAATTTCGCGCCGTAACATAGATCTGATCAAAATTTTTCCATTACGATCACTTTGAGAGCACTAGAATTACTGAAATTGGCTTTTTGAACGAATTCCGTTCGCCGTCCGCTCGAAAAGGGCGAGTTTTTGCGTAAAATTCAAGTTTCCCACTCGAAGTCTTATTCAGAACAGAGCAAAAACCGAGAAAGCGCAGTGATCGAACGATGAAAATGTACAAGCCAACGAACTATATTTACCTATTCGCTCACTTATCAAACGGGGTGTGACTCATAGTTTTTGCTTGTGCGAAGAGTCATCTGGCGGTCACACACACACACACTCACACTGGCTGAAGCACTACTTAGGCACACAGTGTCTTCATTCAAACTTGACGCGCATTTTGTTCCGTTTCTCAAAAGAGTCTGGCCGGTGGTGACCCGAAAACGGACAAACGGACGGACAGGGTCAAACGATTGGAGGCGGAAGAGGCGGAAGACGGTTGCCACCTGGCATTTAACCCGCAATTATTCATGCGCTCCGGAGGTTTTCCGCCATGGAAACGAAAAGGACATTTCGCAACACGTGTTGGTGTTTCGAAACAGAAATGAGGCGTGTGTGTGTGGTGTGCTTCGTTCCTATTCATCCTCAATTACTCGCGACTACCTGTCATTCATTCTCTTTCTTTTCTATTTCTTCTTCCTCCTCATTTTCTCGTCCACATACATACATAATTACCAACAAAAGCGAGACAGTTTTGATGATCGATTTTCAGATTTTCAAAAAGTGACAGCGGAAAGCGATGACGAAGGCGATGAAGCGAGTAGAACTGGGTCACACATGGTTGTTTGCCGGAATGGGGAAAAGAGGAGGCAGTCATAAAGTTGGTGCGGTGACGTGGCTAAGAAAGTCCGTTCAACGGCTGCAATACATCTGGAAGAGCGACTTATAAAAGTACAAAGTGACAAGAAAAATGGCGAAATTAGTCAACAGTATAGTTTGTTTTTACGTTACGGGACTAATCTACAGAAACAAAACAAAAAACTGACACTCTAAGAAAACCGGCGGAGATGCAATGTTCCGCGTTCCGAGCAGTAGGTCGAACGGGTCTCGCAGCGAATTGACAGAAAAAAATCGATGCGCCTTTAAAGAGATTGCGCGCGGCGCGGCATTTGCCCAAACAAAGAGGATCGTCTTGGCCAATAATTAGTGTAGAGACCCTCATTGACAGTCGGCTGTGCGGCTCTGCCGCGAACATTGTGACCGGGCCAGGGACCGTTCGAGAATTTCACGCCTGTCGCAGAGATCAAAAGGTGTTAACGAGGGGTAAAGAGGGGCCATTCGGACGAATCTCTTTTTTTCGCTCTGCCCAGACTGCCTTCCCAGACGCTATTCCTACGGACGCAGTGTCGTTGACAGAAAAATTTACCGTTTTCGAGTTATTTTTGAATAGTCGAATAGTAAAAATGAACGTTTTTCGAACACGAGAAGTTTAAAAAAAGTTTGATTTCAAAGTTTGAGCCAAGCGTGCCACGTCTTTACATTTCAATTGTAGCTGTTCACAGGCGCAAGTGCGGTCAACAGCTGAACTTTGCCAGGTCAATTTACCGCGGTCAGTGGACTTCTCGACAAATGCGACCGTAAATCGACACTAGTTTAAAGGCGCACGAGGCGGCAACATTTGATGAAAAAGTTTACTTTTCTGCATTGAATAATTCATTTGACACGAGAAACATCAGACCTTCTTCACATTCCGCCCGTACTTTTTGAACATCTCGTCGACAGTCATGCAGTATCCGTCGTCGCACACCGAATCCGTCGGACACTGAGCCTCGCGTTGGCAGCGAACACGCCCGGCCACTGTCGGATGGAATACGACGGAGAGAAGGAAGAAGAAGACGAAGAGCAAGTTCATGTTTTTGTTCTTGTTTTGTGAATCGACTCGAACACTTTTATACTGAAATGAACGGGAAGAGGCTCGTTTGGTTTTTCAGATAATATGGTGGGCATGAATCATAGTTTTATGAAAATAAGAAGAAGATACCACGATTGTTCAACATTTTAAATTGCACACGGTTACATTGGAGCAAAACTAATATCACCTAGAAAGGGAAATGTTAATATTATTAGGGTTATTATAAATGAGCGTAGAATTAGCAAAGGCTCGAAGTTACATTAATATTATCGATGGCGAGCCACTTGAATCGTCTCCATTGGATAGCTCGAATGAAGACTTTGAGTGTTCCCTTTGGAATTAAAAACATCTCTCCCTCCTTCCAACCCGTCTCCTTCTCGTATGGAGTCAACGTGTACGGACAGTAGAACGGGGTGTCTAAGCAGATTTGCAGAGTGATATCGTTGGATCGGCGGTAAATGTCCATGGTCAGATGGAAGTCCTCCTCGACCGAAAGATCCGGAGACTCGAGAATGTAGTTGACGATCTTCGAGTCGGCAGGACTATCGGTGCCCACGTACAAGAAGCCTGGAAATATATTTATTTATGAAAAATGCTTGGCACTTACCGCTTCCCTCTCTCACTCCTGTATGCGGATTTCCGACTCGTTGACTGCCGACGTGCCACGGCGAGACGCTCATACTCTCGTTCACATAGTTGTTGTACTCGCACATGTTGTCGTCAAAGTTACAGTTCAAAAGTTTACAGACAGTTTGTGGAGCGTCTCGAGTTTCGGTTTCAGCCTCCTCGCTCAACTCGGATATCAACTTTTCCACTGCAAACAAAAAAACAATGAGTCTATTGGCAAAGTTCTGGCAATGGCGCTCGCCACGGTCTCCAGAGCTTACAATGGGCGCAAGTGCGCCCCGCTCAATAGAGCGATACATTGGCGCGAAATTCAAATTTTAACAGCAAAATTTGTATTTTTTGGCAGATTAGCCACGAAAAACCGATAATTTCTCATTTGTCGCTCGATAGACCGATTGTATAGTCTATTACGAATTTTTTAAGCGCAAGAGCGTTAAATTTGGTCAAGTCACAAATCACATTTATCCGTTTGAAGGTTTTTGGCTAAAACTGCGTGAATTTCAGTTGCTTTTCGGTAATTTTCGCGGTTCGAGCGCTCAAAATGCTTGTATTTACGTGATTTATAATTCTCAAAACCAATTCTGTCTGAAAACGGTCAAGAACGCGCAAAATGAGAAGTGTGGTGTTTAGGCGGCGATCGGCGGCGAAGGCGAAAAAGCAAAATCCGCGAAAAATGCGCTAAAACGTCATTAATTCTGAGAATTAGTGTGTTTTCCTGTCGAACAATCATTTTTCATCGCCTTTGGCCAAAAAAATCAGAGAAAACCTGCTCAATTCATGAAAATGTCATTTGGCCGAGGCCACGCCCATTTTATCAGCTCTGGAGACCGTGGCGCGCTCTACCGCAATCCCACGCGAAACTTTTCAGAAACTAGAATAACTTACTGTCAGCTCTCCTCGGAGACAATCTGATCGGTCTGGTCGGAACGGGAACAGAGGACAGCGAGTCGTCCTTCTCCCCAGACGGATCCTCCTCTTCCGCGTCGAAGAACGAGTCAACGGCGGCCACCGGCTTCTCATCGAGCACATCTTCTTCGGCCGCCGGTTTCTCATCCCATTCGCACAGCTCCGTCTTGTACTCAATGTTGTCATAGACAATGACAGTCGGCTCGACAATGTTCGAAGCGACGATTTCCAGCTCGAAGAACGTCGAGTTCGGATGAACCACCTCGATGGCGATTGTGGAAGCGGCGGTGTTGTAGGCGATGGATTGGGTGCAGGAGCGGGAAAGATGGTTCTGGGTGCACACTCGCAGCATCACCTCGTTGTGCTTGCCGACAATCCAGTAGTCGAACTTGAGCACTCCGTTGCCTTTCTGACATGTGATCGGGGTTGACATGATGAACTCGTCTTCCGGGTCCGTTCCCTGTAAACAAGTACGTTTCGAGTTGCTTGTCGATCGCTGCTTACCCGATGTTCGATGAAAAACACAAAGTTTCCGGTGGGCTTCTCTTCCTCGGGCCGCGACGCCAACGCCGCGAACGTACGGTAGTGATCGGCGGTCGGAAAGTTGCCGACGCTCAACGGACTCGAGATGGACTTGAAGCGACAGCCCGAGTCCTTTTCAAAGTCGCACGATACGTTGTGCTCGTCGAGAGTGACCGTCGAGAGCCGACGAATGCAGGTGAGAAAGTCGGTGATGGAGGTCAGCTCGGCCGGACAAGCGAAGCTGTTCCGCGTGTCCGGTGAGAGTAGTTGGAGGGGAGTCTCCGATCGGAACGTGTTCGAAGACTGCTGGTTGATGTGATTTTGAGGCTGGGCGACGACTTCTCGTTCACTGTCGATCAGGGTGGGGAACGAAGGCGCCGGCGGTGGGGGTATGTACCCCGGGTACGGAGTGAAATCCGCTCTCTTTCCGTTCTCCGGCGCGTTGATCATCTCCAACTGATCATTGCCAGCAGCGAGTTCCGATTGGCTGATGGGCGGCGGTGGAGGCGGCGGGGGAACGGGACCGGACTGGTCAAGAGGGGATCCGCTCGCCGGAACGTACTGCGGAGACGAAGGGACCGTCATCGGGAGACCGTTGGATTGGAACGAAGAAGCGGGCATCGGGGGCTGACATGCTTCTCCGGGTTGCAGAAGAAATACGAGCAGCAGGAGACGAGTCATTTGGGAATCTGCAAGACGAGTTCGAATGACGACAGAAACAAAAGGAACGAAGGAAACGCCCTCCAAGGACGGCGGACTTCATATGTCAATTTGCACGCTTCGAAGATTTGCAAGAGCGGGCTGCTACAGTTATCAAAGCAATGGGACGGAAAGGCAAGGAGCAAAAGGGAAAGTGAGGCGGCGACGAAGAAGAACGAGGAACGAATTCGCCCCGAGTGAGTGTTGACCATTTGAAACCGCGTCAGGTGTCGTTTCGTTGTTTTGCTACTACGAAATCCGACACCGCCTTCTTCCTCCCGTCCACTTCCACCATCCAGTCATATCAGCGACGGACCGCATCGGGGCGAAAATGGGTGGTGCAAACAAACACGCGAAATCTGGGGCGATCAAACAATTCCAACCATCTCGAATGCTAATTTCATGTGAGTTTCGAAAGTCAAAAGGCGCTACTGTGGAAGATAGAAAATGTGTGCCACGTTCACTGTTCGTCTCCCAACTCTCACAAATGCTCATGAACGGAGCAACGTGTGCATCGTCTTTTTAATCGTTTTCTCAGTTGACAACTGCTTGAAATTGTCACTGGCAGCAGAGAAACATCGTTTTGAATGGACAATATTAGAGTATTTACGGTATGTCTGGATCTTCTTCAATAAGAAACGTAGAAGTTAACCGGTACTGTACTATAAGGAAGCCCGAAGTGTGACTTCATAGATGAGCCAGCTAAAACTATGAGATTGTGGAGGAGCTATGAAACACTGGAGTTCTTGAGGAATGGCAATTCGGACAGAAGTACAATATTGGGGGAAGAGAAAGCGATCGAATGATCATCGATAAAATGACTTTGAAAGAAACGTGTCGAGTGACCGAGTGAATGACGAGAAGCAGAAGCCGAAAAAAGTTTCCGGAGGCGAAAGCAACGACCGGTCCGTCGGGGCGACACTCACTGGACACTGCTAATTGTGAGGCGAAGACAAAACTGTGCGAGAAGGGGATATAGGACAAGCGGGTGCCGTGCCGGATAAGCCGATAATCTGCGCTTTCTTTTCTTCGCTCCCCCCGCGAGACGACCGGCTATTCAGGCGATCGGCATCCGTTTGGCATTCCTCGACTTTGTTGGAAAGGAACGGACACAAAAGTCGGATTTAGCCAGAATAGTCATGGTTACCAGCACGGAAAAGGCACTGGACGGTACGGGTTCACGGCCTACGTGTTGTCGATCTGGTATCTTTCAGAACTACACGTCCGCTTCTTGGCCAGAGGAATTGCAAGAGGAGCCAATGGTGAAGGTCGGAAGAAGCAACGCGGCGGCTGAAACAATTGGTTAGAATTACATTTCAGGTTTTCGATGATCATGACAATTTTGGCCAATAAAGCAATTGGATCGAATCATTTGTTCGGATAAAATTGCCGAGCAGAAGGAGCGCCACCAGAAGGAAGAGGCGAAGAACCAGTCCTTGTATTGCAACACTCTCAAAGAGCAATTGCGGCACAGAGGCGTCAAGAAGTGAATTTTATCGACGGATCGGAAGTAATTTTTTGTATTATACTTATTTCAATATGATCTTGTGTAGACTTTTTCAAACTGGGCTCGCTGCGCTTGTTTAAGAACAAGATTAGGCATCAGAAGACACCAAAACGTTCAAAAACCAATAGGGGCTATAGAAAAGTTAGAATTATATTGAATTGTATGCTAGTTTTCATTCATTTTTTCCGTGAGATCCTGACAAAAACAGTACGCTTTACGGATTTTACGGATTTTACGGCTTTTTGAAACCGTAAATTTGCGTTTTTACGGATCCGTTAAGAAAAATTTTACGCCCAGCCCTGACGGTGATCTCAAACAGTTGGCCACGCCCACGAAGGTATATAAGGTCGCCGAAAGGTCTGAGAGAGCCCTGAAAAAGGCTCGGAAGGTTTCCTGAAAAGGATAATCTTATCTGATAAGGTCTGAGAGAGTTTTCACTAATTTTTCGTTGTTAATTCGCTTTTTCCGGCATAAAATTGAGTTGCCGTTGAAATTCGTATTCCTACAATCGATCTACAATCGAAAGTACATAACACTTCATAACATAGCATTTTTATTCAGCAGCTCGTTCGCAAATTATTAGTCACAGAATAGTATCTAAAGGCACGAGTGCTCCACGCAGAATTTTTCTGAACTCCGTGCCGCTGTTTCAGGTCATTTTTCAGTCTATTCGTGCAGAAATGGAGACTCGAGAATAGGTGAGTAGAGTTTTTTTTCCGAGACTTGAGCTCAATCGCCAACCAACCCATTTTCTATTATGAAACGCTTTGTAAATCCTTAATCAGTGTATTCGAAAGTCACGTGAGAAATGGAATGGTGGAATGTTCGGGGGCAATTATGGCTTGTTCGAAGAGTTGGCGGGGGCGGTGGCGGCTGCTAACGCTGCTGCCTTTTTCGCTTTCAGACGGGCGATCTGAAACACTGGCACCAATTAGTGTTGAGTTCGCTTTTCCGCCAACTACCTCCTGTTTGAGGCGCTCGTTGCGCGCCTGCTCCTCGGCCACTCCGAGTGCCAAAGAGGCGTTGTCCGCCTGTCCCTTTTCGATCGTCTCGATCGCCTTCCGCAGAATGACCGCCCGTGACGCCTGAACTCGCTCTCCGCCCGCGTCCGGAATCACCTCGCGCAGACTCGTGTACATGTCCTTTATATTGTCTCTGCGCCGTCTTTCCAGCGCGTTGTGCTGCTCCCGAGCGTGCCGTTTCGGATCGAACTGTGATCCGGCGGCACCGGGAGCCGCCGCTGCTTGTGAGGAGTTGTCGTCTTCGTAGTCGCTCATGTCAGACATCTGGAGAGAATGTAGAGAGAATAGGAGAAGAAGGATTCAATGAGAAATGTGTAAGGTAACAGGATCCTTTCCATTATCAGCAAGGCAAGAAAAGTGGAGTTCGATTTCATTTTCACATACTTTGAGATCGGGGGAGGATGAATATACCAGTTTCAATACACATAACAGCATAGAAATAATAAAGCAAGTCATACAAAATATACAGAAACGTTAGATTGAGGTGGTTATGAGATGAGTGGGACCACTTCTAGTCCATCTTCTCCTTCAGCTGATACTCCCTTTCCAGTGCTTCCAGATCGATACAATCCTTGCTGAGAATCGACGGCGTGTAGTTTCTTGTGTGTTTGTTGACGATGAGCAGGAAGAGAGCGAAATTGTAATGGTACTCGAGTGGCGAATGGACCATGTAGGCCTGCACGACGAACACGCAGCCGGTGAGGATGTAGAGGTGAGAGCGTTTGAGGAGCACTTCGACCCTTTCAAAAATGTATTCGAAGGCGAGCAGGCCAAAGAGAGCGGCGTGTTGCGTGCCCACTTCGTACTGGCTGCCAACGTCGACCCATTCAATTTTGCCGACTTTTGAGGCCAACTGAAGCATCGGGAGGATCCAGATGGGGTAGAGGAAGATGCGATTGCTGACAATGAACATGCACGTGGTGAAGAGCAGGCTGATGTAGGTGTTTGCGCACATGAACGCGAGCGACAACAGGTGCATCACCTCGAAGTTAAAATTGTTGCCTGTATTGAACGGACGGTAGTAGTCGACACTTCTGAAATGATTGTAATTAGTGGAGGAGACATGGTGCCACGACGTACGTGTAGAAAAGTTGAATGGACAACGAATTGACGGCGCTGGAGATAAAGTAGGTGATCATAGTGAGCCCGATTCCGACAATCTGTCCGGCGAACGGTGTGCCAAGTGTGTGGTATCCGTGATAGATTGTTACGCTCGAGAAGAGCACAAGTATGTCGAAGAGATGATCGTACAGAATCTTGCGTTTCTCGCCTTCGAGCACCGTAAGCAGCGTGGCGGTCATGATCGTGAAGACGAGCATCTGATGACCGTCTCGCGACCAGCCCTGAAGATAAAATGTTGTTTGCATTTACAATAGCTGAATAGGTTTACCTCAAAGAATCGGTGACCGTACACCAACCACCACGGATTCGTGCTGATCGTAATGTAGCAATCGGCTTCTGACTCGAGAAGTAGGCGGATGTCTTCGAAGGGCTTCGCATCCAACACGCTGAACTCGAACCGACGTCCGTCCATCAGATCATCTTTGCGACGGATGAATTGACGGCCACGAATGATAGTGGCGGCAGTCACTGAGAATAGGGAGTGGTTCGAAGAAGGTCAAAAATATGGTACACTCACAGCACTCTCCTGTGATGTTCAGATGAATAAACTCGGATCTCTGCAGCTTCACAGTCAGCCACTGTTTCCCGCGCATGATAAAATGGTGATTGAAACCCGTTCGAATGGTTTTCACTGCCGGCAATCGGTCACTTTTCCACTCGGCGGGAAGCTTAGCAATCTTCTCCTGCTGCCACCTGTCGAAGAATCCCTCGACAATCTCCTTGCCCGACTTGTGCTCGTAATTCAAGCCATACTCGATGAGAAGATCTTTGTTTTGGTCCAAAAGCGAGACGCACTGGAACACTTCCTTCTCGTTGACTCCGCAATCGGAGATCTTGTCGAGCGTCCACATCGGCACCTGGGTCATTCCTTTTTTGTAGTTTCCGGCCGGATGGAAAACGTCCGACTTCATTCCGACTCCGTACGCGGCGACACCGTAGTCACCCGTCTCCACTTTTCGATTCCAGTGGGCATCCAATCCTCGGTAAAACCTGTATATGCGCTCATCCACGTAGTACCACGCTTGAAATCCCGAGGACTGGGCGATCAGCATATTCGTCACGTTTATGCTTTCCGGCAGAGGACTCGTCCAATCGTAAACCGACATCGACGCCAGTCCGATGATTCCTCCGTACGTGTGCCCGATCAGTACCGTCTTCTTTCGCGGATACATTTTACTCAGAATCTCGTTAGCTCTGACCACAAACCTATGCTCCGTGGTGAGGATGTCGCCCGACTCGTGTGGTTCTCGTCGATTAAAGTCGACGGCGAACCAGCGGTACCGGAACGGCATGCCTCTCGTTTGCTCGTGCACGAGACGAGCCAACACTTGCTGGCTGTCCACCGAGTCGCCGGCGCCCGGAATAAACAAAATCGGAATCTCGTCGTACTCGGACTTTGTCTGATCTCGATACATTCGCTCCGCGCTCTTCTCGTGCAAAATGTACTCGACGAGCGCGTACTTGAACAACTGCTTGTCTTTCGTCCATCCCGCGTGGAAGTTGATCGCCTCGATGTTCATCGGCGCGTCCGATCTGTACATCTCACAATCGCCGACCGGACGGTACACTCCATCGTAGATCATCCACGTGCCAATGATCGCTTGCCACATCACAAATATGTAGAAGCCCGTGCGACGAACTGCCGCCACCTTCTCGGCGTCCGTGTAGTACATTGGTCTCCATGGCTCCTCAGGCCCCAGCACTCGCGGAACTGCGTGCATAGCACCTGCAAAATGGAGGTGATAATGAAGCGGATAAAGATAGATAGAGAAAAGTAAATAGATATGAGTATGAATCCTTCAAGAATCATTATGAACACAGCAATATCATACTTTCTTCTTCAAACTTATGGCACTAATGAACACGAATTGCATATGATGAGCACCGAATTGAGAATAGAATGAAAGAAAGATAACCGTTAGATGAATCAATCACAAACCAGAATCACAATAGGCACGAAATATAACATGAATAATCGAAGTGTTTTCAGTTTCTTTCGCCTCTTCTCTGCCTCAAATTGTACTTCGTGTGTCCGCCGCGCCGATTCGCTTCCGGAGCACTCGGCGGCGACGGAGCAGCTGGCGAATGAGAATGATTGTGGCCGCCACCGCCGCCCATGATGATCTTTCTCGACGAGTAGGGCACAAAACGGGCGGCCGAGAGCACGATGAGCGCGTATCCAGAGTAGAGCTCGAGCGGCGCGCTCAGAAGGTACAGGAGACACGGAGTGATGCCGTAGATGAGCATTCGCATCGACACTTGGGACACTTGACGGTTTGAAATCAGTCCGTAGATGTAGATGCACGCCGCGTAGAACGCCGGATGGTACTGAATGTCGTAGAAGGCGAGCGCGTCGACGGAGAACAACGGCACGGCGACCAGTTTGAGAAAGTGAGGGACGAGAGCAGGAATTGTGAGCAGCACTGCCTTCGGATGATGGCGCTGAAAGTGGGAGACTTGATGATTGATGAGAACTAGACACTCACATAGGCCAGGACGAGGAGGAGGAAGATGGATCCCTCGTTGCTCGCAGTTATCGTCAGCGCGCCGCCGACCAGGAACAGTCCGTTGATGAGGCGTGGATTGCGAAGTGCCTTGTGTCCTCTCGAGATGAAAGTGAGTCGCGAGACGATTAGCTCGTCGACGATGTAGCAGACGAGTCGCCAGATGAGCGACATAAAGTATCCGATGGCCATCGGAAGTGCCAAAGTGTCGTCCGTGTGCTGAACACCGTAGACGACGGCAAAGATGGCCGCGAAATTGACTGCAGCGACGACGCCGTTTCGTTCGAAAAACGGTTCACGGACGAGAATGGCAAAGAAGACGCATCCGGTGATGAAAGTGCCGCCGACTTCCAGAAGATGAGAGAACATGATCTCGTAGAATCTCCATGCGCCCACGTTCATCGTATTCGACATCTGTATATCGATACTGCACGGAGGTGTGACGTCGAGCAGCAGACGAACGCGTTCGCCGGTCACCGCTCTGTAGATCCACGTCTCGACGACTCCGTCCGTCGCGTTCTTGAAATGCATCATCGTCTCGTCGTAGCGCACCGTTGTCATTGTGTTCACTGCAAAAAAGGGCATTTCCAGTGTCGACTCCTAATTAACTCACAACACGAGGCGTTCACCCGCACTTGAAACACTTGGAATCGTTCGGGTTTGATGAGAAGCGTATGCTGTGTGTTGTTCACCAGCAATCCCTTGTGCCGCTCTCCCAATCGGATCGTCGTCGACGAAATCGAGGTGACGTGCTTCGTCAGATTGGCTCGTTTGATGTTGCGCTCGGTTTCGTCGCGATAAAACTTCTGAACAACTTCCCGTCCGGTCATCTTTCCCACGTTTTCTCCATAAGCCCAAAGAACGCGCGAGACGTGGCGGACGAACTCGTTGCACCAGAGAATCGCCAAGTGATCGGCGCCAAGATCGGAGACGCCTTCGATGGCCCAAAGCGGACGGTGTGTGATCTGAAGGTTCGTCTTCAGTAGAGTAGACAACAAAAACTGGCTCACATTTTTCATAACCGACCACTCGTCGGGAATCAGATAGTCTCGGAGACCGCCAGTGTACGCGACGACGCCGACGTGCTTCAGTTCTTTCACCTGAATTGCATTCCACTGATTCACCAAGAACATACTGAGACGCATTGAGAGCCAATCGATTAGGATCGCTGAAACATATCTGATTTAGAGTAACATTGGGAAAAGTGCCGAACGTTGTTTGTTGACGGGCGCTCCCTTCACAATCACCAGCTCGACGTCGTTCTGATGGTCCTTGTGGATCGTGGTCAGTAGCGCGGTCATTCCGCCGTACGAGTGTCCGACGAGCACAATCTTCTGCTTCCGGTTGTGTTTCATCAACGACTTAATCTTTCGGATCGCGTGCATCACGTAATCCAGCTGTCGATTGCCGATATTTCCATTCAAAAACGTAATCTCCTCGTCGAAATCGACGGCGAAAAAGCGGAAAGAGAACGGCGCCCGGCGACTTTCCGTCTTGTTTTGCATGAGGGAGGCGAGCGAACGCGCTTGTTTCGCCGATCCCTGACTGCCCGGAATGAATAGGACCGGGATCTGGCCGGGCTCAATTCCGCTGTGATTCCGCCATCGCACGCCTTCGTTGTACACCGAAAGGCTGTACTTTTTCGTCGGCGGATACGGCATCGCAATGTTCTGCAACTATTTGGGCTTTGTAACATTAATTGTTTCATCTATCTTTACCTGAAACTCGAGCCGCCGATACATGTACGTCATCTGGCACGTGTTCGAGCCGTGCACCGTCGTGTGCAAGTACGCTCCAAACGCGGCGACGACGACGATGATGACGATGACGGCGGTGAACGAGACGATCTCGAAGAACTCGCAGCACTCATTCCGCCTGCGGACCTCCGTCCTACCCGTGCACATAATGGACTAGAATCTGGAATCGAATGGGAGGCGATTAGTGAAATACAGAGAAATGAAGAAATGAAGCAGAGATATTAGTGGAATCCGCAACCGAGGCGAAAGTAAAACAGAAAAAGAGTGAGAAGAGAAGGTGGAAAAATGGCGACGGAACATTTCATTTCGATTAGACTCTATTCGATTCGCTGTAAAGTTTTGTCGCAAAATAGGCGGATACAACTGAAAAGTGAAATTAAAACATGAATATGTGAATAACCGGGGGCGAAGGGAAAGCGAGCAGCATCCAGTGCGCGAGTGTATTGTACAAATAAAGGCGAGCAGCGGGGTGTGTAGAAACCGGAGAGAGAGAGCAACTAGACGGAAAGATTGACTAGGCAGACTAGGCGAAGACTACGAAGATTCGGAAGAGGGCACGGGGACGGGCGGCGACGTGTTTTGATTCACATAATTCAGAATCGTATCTATTGTATCGTCGATCGATTGATGCGCGAGGTTCATGTCGATCGCCGGCGTTTCATCTTCGTTCTCGAAGTAACTGAAATATCAAGCTCTAAAATTCTCAAAACATTTCAATTCTGCTCAAAATGTGCGCAGTAAAACCTTTCGAGCATTGTGTACGCTTTAGCGTGTATGTCGACGCATTGACTTTCGCATAGGAAATTGAGCTTCTCGCGACATCCAATTTCCTCGAGTTTCACCACGACCGGATTCGAGGCGGGCACCGAATTAAAGTAAAGTAGACCGAAATCGAGAAGTGCTTGAAGAGCGTCGAGAATCTGAAAGCAACGGAATATTCGACGAAGGCGACATTATCTGGCGTACAAAGGAGACGAGTGAAGCGTCCATGCAAGTGAGCAAATCCGTGAGTGGCGCGAGCATTCCGTTTTCGAGCATGTACTGCAAATGTGCGGGCTTCGTAGACAGACAGCAGTGGCACATGACGTAGGCGGCTTCCTTACGCACGCGATACTCGGACGTCTCCATCACTCGCGCCACTTCTCGCAGAACTCCCGACTCGATGAGCTTCTGAAACAATCTTTATGTTGGCGAGCAGATTTTCGGAGGATTACGTCTATATTGTGCACTCCTTCCACACAAATGTTCGATATAATGAAGCACACTTCTTGCGACATGTAGCTGACGTTGATGAAGCTCCTGAGCACAGTCAAAAGACCGGCGTCTATCATTTCTTCGGTGAAGTGTGACGTCGTCTGAATAATCGAGCTGATGCCCCATTTGACGGTCGGACGTGCGTTTCCCGAACTGTTGCGTAGATTCTGCACGAGCATCGAACACAATCGGTAGCAGGAGATGTGCTCGAGGATTGGCCGCCAGTCGGAGAGGGCCACTAGCGTCGCGGTGGCGTCGTTGCGGATCATTGAGTCGCTCGACTGAATTCCGTCGGCGATCATATCCAGTAAGGGAAGAATCTCGGTGACGTCCGGACTGTAATTGTAGAGTCGCTCGCAGAACACGGCCGTAATCCACATGAGCGAGCGATTCATGTGGAGGCTGAGTTTCCGATCGTACAACGCCAAAAGGTCCGGAATAAATGTAAAGTCGAGGGCGAGGTTTCGAAAAGCGACGCTGCGAGCGAAGAAACACGCGAACGCTTGAAGGGTGTCGCAGAGAATTTCTTCGTTATCATTATAACTGCTGAGATTCTGAGAGAGCGCCTGCATGCACTTCTCGTCGCTCTTCTCTCTGTCCGTTGTCTCGTGTCCCGACAGTTTCAGGAGTATTCGGGAGACCACATCGCGCGCTTCGCCGTTTATCGGTCGGTTACAGTAGACGTCGGCCAGTTTATTCAGAATTTCGACTTTGATGAGAAGGGGAAGAGTCCACGTGCCGTTGCTCACATTCTCGTAAACCTCGAGGATGGCGCTGTTGACCTCTTTTGCCTGCATGCTCTGCAGTTTCTCCACTGTCGTCCTCACTAGTTCCGAAGTTTGCTCGTCGCTCATCATCGGCCGTTCCACGGTGATTTTGCGGTTTCTGTCGAACTTCTCCTCTAATTTAACTTTCCGAATCTGCACTTCGTCTTCTCTTCGTTTCCGTCGCAGCTCATTCTGATCGCGGCCTGAAACGTACACGAATTAATCGAGGGAATGCGTGAAAACAATAAAATTATTCTCACCATTCGACTTATACATTCGAGATCGACTCTCATGAGAGGGCCTTAAATCTTCGTCCATTCGAAAGGCGAGCTGAAAACGAAAAAGAACATGGGAGCGAAAGGAAGAAAACAAAGAGACACTCTCAAGATTACGGCGGGAAATGCGCGCGAGATGAAAAAAGCGCCAATTCTAGAAATGTCGACAAGAACAAAATGTTTCATTTCGAGCCAATTTTGGAGGGCACACACAAATTCAATTTAGGTCATGACCCGCGAGAAAAATAAAATCTTGTTTGTATTAAGTCTCGCGCGGCGTGCTTGCGAAAACGCGTGCGGCGGTGGCGGGTCGATTTACGTGACTCCGCCCCTTCTTTTTGTTTTTGTTTTTTTGTTTATTCGCGAATATATTCTTTCAAATACGATTCAGAAATGGAATGTTTATTCGAAAACATTTTTTTAAAAATTAACTGAACTTGAAGCCCTGGCACATGCTCTCCTCGTCCTCCTCTCTAATCGTTGTCAATCTGCAGTACTCGACTCCTCTGCCACCGTTTCTCCATCTGAGTCGCAGCCACGCAGAATGAGCCACGGCTCGCTCGTAGATCCGTCGTTTGAGCTTATCGACCCGTGCCCGGATATTCATGCACTGTTTGTGCAATTCGACGACAGGTTGGCGAACTTGAGAGTTAGAAAAGTAGAAAGTTACCAAAAGATTTGCAGATTCTTCGGCGGAGCGCTCTCGTGTTGCGAAGTGAAATGGAGCCCTCGCATGTACTCGTGAGTGACTGCATGGCATTACGACGTTGCCCGACAACCGAGCCGTTCGCATTTAGTGTTTTTATTCGTTTCGCAGATGCGCCGGAATTTGCTCGTACGAAGTGCGCGGCGGTCGTGGAGGTCTCTGCTCGATTCGACTCAGCAAACCGCTTCTGACCCTCAGACCACGCAAAGATCTCGTTGAGACGCTTCTGGTAGGTTTTGAAAACACCTTCAAAATGTCAAATTTGAATTTAAATTGCAGCACGAGATGATCCACGCATTCCTGTTCGTCAAAGAGCGAAACCGAGATCGCGACGGACACGGACCACAATTTCAGGCGCACATGCACCGCATCAACCAGTCGAGCGGCACCAACATCACCATCTATCACAGTTTCCACGACGAAGTCCGTCTCTACAAGCAGCACTGGTGGAGGTGTGCCGGGCCGTGCAGGGACCGCCGTCCGTTCTTCGGCTATGTGAAACGATCCTGTAACAGAGCGCCCGGACCCAACGACCGATGGTGGAAGCAGCACCAGGAAACTTGTGGAGGTAGTATACGGCTGAATCTTGAATCAAAAAACATTGAATTACAGGTCGATTTGAAAAAGTAAAAGAACCAGAGGGTTACGGTCAGAAGAAGTCGAAGAAGAAGAGAGAGGAGACCGGAAAGAATGCGCCGGCAGCCAAAAAAGCGAACACCTCGCCGCCCAAAGACAACAAGACGCTTGATGATTACTTTAAAAAACCCTCGAAAAAAGGCGCCTCTCCTGTCAAGCCTAGCACTTCCTCGCCAATCAAAGTCTTCGGAGGAACTGGCCAGAAACTCGGCGGATCATCGGCCACCTCGACCCTCCTCAACTCATTTCCGGGATCTTCCCGTCCTGCTCTGCCGAAAGTGGAAGTGGAAGTGATCTGCCTGTCGGACAGCGACGGCGACGACGAGGACATTCTGGAAATCTCGTTCGTCGCCTCGCCCACCACCGTCATCTGTCCGTCGTGCAACGAAGAGCTGCTAGAAGCGTTCATACACTCGCATCTCGACGAGTGTCTCGCATAAATATACTTATAAGTACTCACTTCATCTGTAACCTAGACTAGTTCGTGTAAAAGCTTTACGGATCCATCACATCACTGTCATAAATCAATGCTCTCTGACGAATAATTTATCTTCTTTTTTTTCAGTTCGCGAAAGTTGTACAACTGTACAGATTGACGAGAAGGGCAAGAGTAAGTGCACTTGTGTCTATGATCGGAAATCGGAAGAGGCTCCACCACTGCTTCATAACACTCCCAACTTCTTCAGCTCCTCTCGTTGCCTCTCCAACTCCGCGTCGTTCGCCATCAACCGATCACGCTTCTCGCGCGTCAGTGTACCGTACCTGAATCGCTTCGTTTAACACTGTGTTTTGCGCGCGGAAAGCTCACTTTTCATTGTCTGTACTCGCTGATTTCGTTGCGGGCGCGGCGGCGGATATACTGTTGGAGCGAGAAGGCGTCGGAATTGCGGAGATGTGGGCCGTTGGGGGTGAGGAGACGTCTCGCGTCTTCCTCAACTGACCCTTCTTCTCTTGGTATAACCGACTCCACACATTATCATTCTGAAATTAATCACTTTTTTTTCAGCTTTCTCTGCCTGCGAAACCTTGTCCGCACTGTGACTTCTCTGCGTCACACTCTTCGGCAGCGCCGGCAGCTTCCTCTCCACCACGGGCGTCTTGATACTGTCGGCTCGCTTCGGAATCCGCGAGATCCTCGCCTCGGTGATCTCCGGACCCTTCGGCGTCTCCTCCTTCGTCTCCGGTCCCATTTCCACTACAGTCTCCACAAATGTCTGCACTGGCGACGGTGTTTTCGTCTGCGTCTGCGTCTCCGACTCCTTCCGCACCGGAATCGAGCTGATCGGCGGTGGAATCGGCGCCTTCGGCTGCTCGGTCTGCGTCGGTTTGGTGTCCGAGGACTGTCTCGGCGTCTGTGTGGAGTCTTCGACCTGCTGACCCTTCTGCGGACTCGTCGCCCGATTCACTTTCGGCGACGGCGGCGGCTTGTGCATTGGGGACGGCGACTGAAATTCAGAATTTTCGAAATAGTTCAACGTCTCCACTCACTCTCGACACCATCTTCCGTGGCTTCGGCGGCAGTTCGGTGCACTGTTCGAGTTTTCTGGCCGGCGGCGGTGTGGGCGACTTGACCTTGTCGAAAATAATGTCGGTAATCTCGATTCGCTCGCTCAACGTCTTCTGGGTGCCATCGCTGGCGGTGCTCTCGCGGCAGTCGGACACTCCGTCGCTTCCGTAGTCACTGCTCTCCATCCGACTGCTGTCGTCCGCCACCGTCGAGTCTGGCTCCGGTACAACCTTCGCGGGCAGCGCGTGCTTTTGTTTCGAGTCGGCAGACGTGCATCTTTGGGGAGTCGTGGCGACCGATGGGGTCGAAAAGGTGGTGCCCAGGGGGTTGAAGTGCACGTGGGTCAGCGTGTTGCTTCGGAACAATGGGTGGTATCGCATTTCTTTTTCTGTAATCAAGAGCACTTTAGAGTCATTCATTGACACTGATTAGAAGTGGATACCGTCATCGCTGTCGCTCGTCGACGCCGTTTCCGTTAACTTCCGCTCTAGCTCCAGTTTCACCTGAACAAACTTTGATTTTCATTGATCGATGTGCTCTCTAGTCCCCTACCTTATAGGGCGACGAGTAGCTGAGCAGAGTGACCGCATCCTCGTAGACCATATTCTCAAAGTTGATGGTCAGCGACTTGATCTTGTCGCCAACGAGAATGTTGCCGCACTGCTCGGCGATGCCCTTCGAAATGATCTCCTTCACGAAAATGCCCTCGTTCATGTTGCCCTGGATGTTGAATCCGAGGCCGCCGATGTCCTCTCCGCGCAGCTGCACGCCCACCTTGCCCTCGACCTCGTTGAGGAACTCCATCGAGTAGGCCTTCTGCGTGCCGGCGTCTTCGACCTTCCGCTTCAGTTTGAACGAGTCGATCATCGTCATTTTGTCCTTGTTCAGCGATTTCGGAGCATCGCAGCCCTTGTCCTCGACGTCACACGCGTCGTTTGCGTAGGCGGACTTCTCGTCCGTCTCTCGCACCGCGCCTAAACATCGACTACTTGCCGAGAGTTGGAAGCGGAAAACACAAAACTCACTTGCTCTTCTGAACCAGACGAACAGAATCATGGCGAACGCGGCCGAGATGAGAAACGCGGCGGCGACGCTTCCGAAGATGACTCCGAAAAGTTGGCCACGACTGAGACACGTCTCATCGGCCACCACGCCGACCGGCAGAAGAAGGGCCAGAAAGAGGAGAAGCAGAGGTGGACCACCCATGTTGTGAGTGTACGGAATGTGTCTGAAGAATAGTGGGGGGGTTGAAAAGAGAAAAAAAGGGAGACGAATCGGCGGCGGCGGGGGTTGCGGTTCGGCGGTTTCTTTCGAATAACGACGACTTTCCGAGATATTATCTGCGCTAAATCTGTGAGGAAAAGAGAGTGACTGGCGGGAAAACTGAGGAAAAATAGGTGAGACGTTGCAATAACGACGCAAAAAGTCGCTGCAAAGATTTGGATTTTTCAGTGCGAATTCTGCACAAGCTCCACTTCTAAAAGCACAATCGACAAAATAGTACTGTATCACCCGGAAAGAACAGAAATTGGCGACCTCTAAACTTCACAATTCGGGCGGTCTTTCGTCACTTTCTCTTATCCGCCGTCGTTTGCAGGCGCTTATCAACAAATTCCGAAATTAGGCAACACGGAAAGCGTCAAAACATTCCGCAACATGATGAACGAATGATTGATAAACGGAGACGGCGGTTATCAGTGAATCAGAAGGACATTTCAGTCCTAGGCTTCTCTAAATACACGATTTACCACTTTCTAGCCGAATTTGTAGTCGAGACAAAACTCGAGAGTGTGAGCAAAGTGATGAAATAAGAGAAGAGAACTAGACTAGAGTGGAGAACGAAAGTAAAGTGATTTGAGGAGGATTGAGGACATGGGGGATAATTGAGTCCGTTACTTTCGCCCATCCGGACCTATAGGCCTTGCCTTTCGTTTTTCGGAAATTGTACGATATCGAAAAAGAGAGAAAGAGAGAGAGCGCGAGAGAGGAGATATGTTCATGCAAATGAAGATATTCGGAAGACACCCCACACACACGACCTTGAGTACGGAAAGCAGAAGGGGGAGGAGAAGAGGAAGACAGAGTGATAAATATTCGAACAGAGGTGTTCCGTGCTGATGAATCTTCTGAAGAAGAAAAAGAAGAAGAAGAAGGAGTTGTTGATTTATGGGTGGGGAGGTCTGAGAAACCAGTGATAAGGGTTCTGTGACTTTTCCTGAAGCCTTCAAAACTTGGCCTAGTTTGTTGGAAGCGAAAAGAAAGAGCTCGAGCTTCAAACTCTAGTGAATGAGGCTTCTAAGAATTAGAATCTGTCTCGAGAAGCCGTGTGGGTAAAAGTTGAAAAGGCACGGATTCAATGTATCAACGAAGCGTGATGAATGCGCGGGATCCCCGTCGAGAAAGAGATCGCTCGCGCGGCTGGACGCAATAATCCTATTACACAATCGACCATACATGTTCCAATTTCCCAGATACCTACTTTCCATTGTCCTCGCCACCGCATCCTCCGACACGGCGACGACAAGCTCTGATCGAAACGGTAAGCGTGCACAGTCGACCGCGCGCAAAAGTCGCTTTTTTTTAAAGAAACGTCGTTAAAACGCCCAATTTTCACGTAGAAAATGTGGTTTTGCCGAATTTTTTCGAGAAGACTGAGCATTCGCGCTTTACCGCTCGCTCGAGATGCGGCGAATTCTAGCCCAGCGACCTAACAAAAACGCGGTTTGAAACGCAAGCAAAACACGAGTAGAACTTGACATTTTACAGGTTTCTGGCCTAGAACTCGTCGAATTCGATGAAGATAATAGAGAATTTGAGCGTTACATAAGAAAAATTCAGCTCCGTAGCGGTAGAGCGTGTTTACCGCATTTTTGTAGGCAAAATAGGCGCAAGACAACTTATCAAAAGGGTTTAGAAGAGAAAAAGTTGATGAAAAAGTGTCAAGAGACATGATGAATGAAGTCTATCATCGCCGTCGTCATAAGGAAACGAAACACGGGGGTGGGTGGGTCTGAAGACGTCTTCTTTTCCTTCGCAACGGAAACTTGTTGGAAACAAAACAGAGAAGGACAAACGTTCGGCGGTCTTCTCACTGATAAAAACTGTTATCTTATGATAATCTCCGATGGCAGAGGAAGCGTCGGTCGACCGCAAAAACTCGCTTTTTTCATAATACGCCAAATAATAAACTATTTATACGTATAAATTTTGTTGCGCGCCTTGCACTTTTGAACGCGTTTGACGACGAGGACGAGTCCATTCGGATATGATGTGGATATTAAACGGAATGTGATCGATACCAGTATTTGGGAGAGAATAGTGAAAAAGGAGTGAATGAAAGACCGAAATGGAATGCAAATGAAAATGAGCTGCGAATTTTCATAGACTTTCGATTGTTTGTTGCAAAGTGAAGAGAAAGAGAGACCTGTTCGATGCTTTTTATCAGTGCTGTACAGATTTCGACGTGAAAAAGATGAAGAAGTTGGAAAAAAACTCGTCTGCGCGGGCCGAAAGTGATAGATGATGATGCCGATTGAACTTTGGAACGAATGGATTTTGCAGCTAGTGCGAACACCCGCACAACTTTCATCGCCGGCCAAAAAGTGATGGGTGTGTTGCGGGGGACGGGGCTTCCGCTCTGTTAACATATCTCTGTGCGCCCCCGCTCGATCACATGCTCTCTCGCCGGCTTCTCCGTATGATTTCAAGTGCGCACACGGTAGGACACGCGGCCGGAGCAGGAAGAGAAATCGCGGAGGGCTGGGTGAGAATAGGGAACGCTGGAAATCTGGAAATTTTTAGTTTCGAATTCGGGCCGATTTTTGACAAGTCTGTTTTTGCCAAAGAAGCATATTCTAAGCTTTGTCACTAAATTTTGTCGAGTTTGCATTTAAATCAAAGGAACATTTAGCCGTAGCGCGCATAGGTCTCGCAACGATTACCGCGTCTTATAGTAGTTCATCCCGCGCAAATTCGAATTTTTTAGGATTCCAGTGTTTTCTTTTTTTCTTCTCCCGGTTTCTCGAACATTTTGTTCACGAAATTTCTGAAAATTTCAGTAATTTTCAAGTTGTCAAGCTGTCAACTATGGACTCGAACAAACGAGAGATCGTGACGTTCGGCGGAATCCGAACCTACCTCTTCCCGAATCTCGCGCTTTATGCTATCAAAAACGAAGAAACGCTTGCGAACGATCCTAAATCGGTGAGCAAATAATTTTGAGGTGTTGTTTTGTACATGAGAGTTATGTTTCAGGCGAATAAGTTTGCCGCCTACGTCTTCGGAGGCATCACCGATGAGCCGAGCGAGGAGGATATCATTTCGATGATTGCTCCCGAGAATGCCGACGGAGATGCACTCTTCACAGGCCTCGATGCTTGCATCGCTCTTTTCGCAACGGTAAGACAATGCGTTTTTCCCGCTATAATTCATTTTTTTTCAGGGTGCTCCCAGCAAAGTGGTTGCGAATCGTCTGGCTGCTCTGGGTCGTTCTCACGAGTTTACGCCTGTTTTGGAGAACAGCGTGGACACCAAGAAGAATATTACCGTGATTTCTCGCAGAGCCAAACTTCAGAAGACTGAATCCTCGAAAATCCTCCACATGCTCACTCAGTTCCTTCTCGAGGAGGATGAGAAGTTCGAGAAGCTTGCAGAATTCTCTTCTTTGAATCTCGACTTTGATATCTTAGTCATTATGAAGCTTCTGAAGATGAATTCCGACGAACTTGCTGTAGACTTTGATATTATCAAAGGAACCGTTCAAGACGCGTTGGAAAAACCCAATCCAAAGTTGGCCAGCCTTCTGTAAGAGAAAGTTTGTGTGCTGCTTTAAAACAGATGATTACAGTCGTGATGGTCCGCCGCCTGCGGAAGATACGACCAGTCCCCTCGGGAAACTTCTGCTGGTCCCAATTGCTGAATCTGCCGAAACGCTTGTGAACCACATCGTGGAACATTACCAAGAGGTTCCCCAGAAAGAGGGAGACGCGGCTCTGGCGGAGAGAAGCCGTCTCAGCTATCAACTCTACTCGCTCGTCGTTCGCTCGTTGATTGCAGACAAGCGCGATTTGGCTAAAACTATCCAGTCGCTGATACCAGAGGCAATCAGAGCCGAGGTGTTCGCTGGTATGCAACGCAGTGTCTACAAGAGCTCTGTCTTCCTGGCTCATCACATTATCCAAGTTTTTCTTGGATGTACGTTTCAATTTTTCTGGGCTGTTACTACATTTTATTTTCAGCAAGAAAGTCTTTCGAAGACTGGAAGTTCGTTGGACTCAACGATGATCTGGATTGCGTTTGGAGAAGACGTGCCATCGTCACACTTCTGACCAACTTCCGCACGTCGATCGTTGAGAAACCTTTTGATGAATACGCGCCATTGGTAAAAACACGTTTACATTTAGAACCTTCTAACATTTATTTTCAGTTGCCTGAAGACGACATTGATAACGACGAACTCGTTGGAAAGATGAAGAATGCACTTCGCTTTGCTTCGTGGATCACAGAGTTCTACGGATCTGAAACCGATGAAGAGTCTGTCAACGAGCTGTTCTTCTTGGACGCTCAGACGAGAATGCTTCTCGCGGAGAGCTTGAAAAGTTAGATTTTCTTCGACTTTATTCCTTAATAACGTTGATTTCAGAGTTTGCGCAGGGAGTCGATTCTAAGACCCAAGTTCTTCAAATCGTCAATGCTCTGGAGAGTTTCAAAGGTCCCGCTGTCGCTCAGAAACCGCAGAGTTCCACTGTTGTGACTCAACAAGCGGCTCCAGCTCAAAGAGCGGTGACTCCTCCGGTCTCTTCAGCTGCTCGTGACGTTTTCAACGTGTCGTCGGTTCCTCCCATTCAGCAGTGCCAAGTCAAGAAGCTGACTTATAGCAAGGAAGAGTTGGGCAGTGTACATTTGGAGAACAATTCCAAGGTGATCAGTGAGAAGGTGCTCACCGAGTTGCAAAGAACCGAGTCGACGAACTTGATCAGCAAAAAGATCGATTCTACCATTATTCAAGACTCCGGAGTTGACGAGATCGACGCTTCTCACACTCTCAGCAATGTCAAACAAATCGGACAAGGTGTCAGTGTGGAGGCAAAGGTTTGTGTCATTTATCTGCTTGTTGCGATCAAATTCACTATCTTCTTTGCAGGAACCGATTGTTCAAGAAAGACCAACCGCGCCCGTCTCTCAAACATCCATCACCAACGATGCTACGCCTACCGACGTTACCCAATCCCAGGCATCCCTTGTCGAAGACAGACCATCTCTGGTTGTCGAAGACGACAGGCTTTCTGCTGACGGATGGGAGTCGCCAGTGAAGACGCCGCTTCCGCGCCCGGTAACAAATTTTAACGTGAAAGTATCTGTATAGCTGGTTTCAGGATATCGAGCCATTGACGGAAGAGACCGAGTTCGCTGAACCAGCTACAAATGCTGAGGAGGCCGAAATCGCTGAACCAGCTCCGTCCACTGAGTTCGGCGCTCCGACCACACCTGCCCCCAAGGAACAGCAACAGTTCGCGAGAACAAACGTGTTGGAAACGCCTGAATCTCGCGCAAAATCTTCCTATGGAGCCGGAGATATGACTCCGATTCCGCTCGCTACTCCAACCGTCGCATACAATGTCAGCGGCTTCGGTGCAGCCACATTGGCGAAGAACTTCGGGACTTCGTCCATCGGAAGCGGTTCTGGTGGATTTGGAGGTGGAGGCAACCGTGGAGGATACGGAGGCGACCGTGGAGGCAGCCGTGGAGGACACGGTGGGGACCGTGGAGCCAGCCGTGGTGGATACGGTGGAGATCGTGGAAGCCGTGGTGGCTTCGGAGGTGGCGACCGTGGAGAATACGGAGGACAGCGTAGTGGTGGATTCGGAGGAGACCGTGGAGGCCGTAGCAATTATCGTGGTGGCGGTGGAAACTTCTAAGCCACCTAGAACATGCATTTTTTTTTATAAATAGTAGTTTTATAGTAGTTCGAACAACACGTCTGTCAAAAGAATTATCGTGTATTTTTATCATTTTTCACTAACATTTTTTGTTATAGTAGTTTTAAACTATAATTGTTTTTATTTTATGTATTGCCATTTCTTTTTGCACAATGAACCTCCTGGGCCTTGTATTCACTTGTTCCTTGTCTATGGTCCGATGTCCGTTACAAATATTCGAACATGGGCCATGTTGTATTACATGGCTAAAGGCGCGTTCACTTTCGCCGGCCGCTGGTCTCGCAGCGACGTTGTCTGTTGCCTCTCTGTTTCGCCTTCCTTCTCGTCTCTGTTTGCGCACTCGTCTCGTATCGATCGCTGCTGTTGCGGTGTTCTCGTTCCAACTCGATCATCCTTTTGCTCCTCTTTCACATTATTTTACTTTTTCAGTGATTTCTAAGAATGGGCGCCTCTGGAATGGGAGTCGATGCCAACGGAAAGCCGATCAAAAGACAGGCGCCGGCCACGAATATTAACAAAAAGCCGGGAAACAACCAGAACCAAAAGAAAGGAAATAATAATGTGAGTTTTGAGGCATCAGTTCTCCGATAATCTCGATTGTTTTTTCGTTTCAGAGCAAGAACAACCGTAACCAGCATCGCGGCGGCGGAAATCAGAACCAGCACCGTCCGCAGGGCCATCAGCAGAAGCAGCAGATGGTGCCGCCCCCGCTCATTCCGCCGTTCGCGCCGATTGGCCCCGGAGCATTCATGGGCGGACCGCCGGGAACCAACTTCAACTTTTTCAACGGTCGTCGTAGCGGCGGTGGAAAGGTATACAAAGTCAGCGATTGGCTAACAGTCCTTCCGAATCGACACGATTTTTCCTCATTTTCAAAGAGTATTACCTTACTTACACGCGAACCACCCATGCGAGCCAGATCATTGAAAATTCCAAAATGTTTTCTGGTCAGCTCCACTTTGTTGGTTTTCGAAAGTTCACTTTTCCTGCGGTTTCTGGATGCCGCTGTCGAATGTCGTATCAGTTGAGCTTTCTACAAAAGCACAAAAGTCACTTTTCTCTCCAGTTTTAGCCCTTCCCACGTGTCGGACACATGACTGGCTCGCCGCGTGGATTTATGCGTTGTAAAATCTCGAACGTTCTTTTATACCATTCTTCAGGCATTTTTCGTTATTTGCTTTTGAAGAGCAACGTCATTGGCGATACCTATCCGAAAGGCTTGTGAGGAAATGACTCTTTCCGATTGTTGTGTGATCGAGAAGACATTTATTTTCTGACTTTTTCATTGGCACAACGTCTTCTCGATCACATGTACAACACAAAGCGCAAAAGAACCGAAGTCGTTGGGAATTACAGATACAAAACCAATTTTAAACAATTTGAAAGTTCAGTTTTCTGATTAATCCATTTGGAACGGTACGGGATTCCGAGCATTTTCGGCCGTTTACGGTTTCTCGATTGTTGTACGGATTTTGCGCTGTTCCTCATTGTCTTACAGATGATTTATCACTTTCCAGTATCGGTTTATATCGGAAATGCTATTTCGAGATGTCTTTTTCCCCATTAATCTTGTCAAAGCCCTGAAAAACGCAGGCATATTGCAAAACATGTTTTTTTTTCTCAAAATTGTAATAGTCAGTCATTTGTGACTGCGTTAGTGTCTTCTTTGTCGAAGGCATCGCTACGATCCTTCTCCTGAAAAGGACTTCTTCCCACCCATCGCGTGTGCGTGTCTAAAGAAACAAGAAAGAAGTTTGCAGAACAACGGCAATAGAAACGGAGCGCCGCAGCAAGGTCTAGTTCTGTTTTCCAACGAAACGAGTGCGTTCGTCGCCTCGCTTTTATCCTTTTTTGAGTTCAAATACTGTTTTAAAACACGAGTTTTGTATCGAAATTCTCACGAATGTTGGTTGAAAGGGACACTCGCGGCTTGGCCTAATGCTCCGACTCCATAAAATGGCTGTCAAATGACCCTCTTGACCCCACGGACCGTTTTCTTTTTCGTCTGTCGGCCCTTGTGAGGTGTCCCTGAAACAACTTCCAATACTTGTTTTGTCTGAAAATTTCCGGAACAAAATGTTTTCTAGATCAACTAGGTTTAGCCCACCTTCCTGCCGGTCCCCCTCGTACGTGTTCTTCAACATTTTCTCTTCAGGATACAATGGACCGTCGGCGCACAATGTGGGACAAGGATCCATCGGAAATAGCCTGAATGTAAGTGTTGGGACTGATTCAGAACTTTGAAAACAAAGAAATTCAGATGCACGGACCCGGAATACCCGACCAGTCGGCGATGGAAGTGCCCGGATTCGGCAAGAACAGCAACATTCACGAGCTGTTTGGCAAGATGATATGGAGAAAAATGGAGCAGATTCAGGACCCGGCGGTGGTCGATCAACTCCAGAACCGCATCATGAACCTCATCCACGATGTGCTCGCTGGACAGAACGAGCAGCAACAGGCTCAGCAACGTGAGTAGCGAATATTTGAGGCGTCTTCTAAGTCTATTTTGCAGAAGGATTCAATCAGCAGCGAGGAATGCCGTTCGGAGCGCCGACCAACCAGAAGGGACCCGCGTTCGCCAACAACACCGCCGGATTCCAACGATTCTGAGGCAGCGGACGACGTGCGATTCGATCTCTGATTCTTCCGTTTCCTGAAACGTAGACACTTTATCCATCCTCTCCAATACTCGTACACGCATGTGTGTCTCATTTATCTTGATAATATTTATATTCTCGAAAATAAACAGAATGAAAGCTCGAGAAAGACATCTGGTCGTTTACAAAACCAGATGAGAACCGAACACCAGTTTACAACGGACGGGGAGGCGGAGGCAAATGAGTGACGAAATGATTGGCACTTCTGGAGGCGCCGGACATTTGTTTGCCTTTCTTCTTTTCCCCCATTTGTTTATCATTCCACTATTATCATCTCTTCTTTTTATCACCTCAATTACTTACTTTTGACTACTAGTTACCTTCAGATGCGATTATTACTAGCGATCCTTCCGTTTCTTCTGCTACCGGCTGTCGCGTTGGCAATTCTGCGCACCAGTTATGGAGTCTGGAATTTGGACAGCATTGGCGATAGGTGAATCAATTGAAAACTTCAATTCCTTTTTAGTTTAGCTCAAAAATTGAAAACAGAGCGGCACACCAAAATACCGTTTATTCAAGACGACTTATCTCAGCTGGCTGTAGAGATATCGAAAAGTTGTCAACTGATATATTGTTCGTTGAAATATTGTGCACATTTTATCAGTTGACCACTTTTTGATATCTCTACAGGCATCTGAGATATATCGATTCGGTCAAAACTTTGAATTGAATTATGTTCAGGCTTTTAAGCCGTTTTATAGTCCGCTCGGTCTGAAATCAAGCCCAAGAGGCCTGTGAAGTTTGGGCCCAATAGCACTATTTCAGGCCTAGGCACCCCAAAAAGAGAGGCCTTCAAACCATGAAAAAAGTGAAAACTTTCCAGAAACGCGCCGTCGTTCCTAATCGACGAATCGCGGCGCGAGTTCGTGCTCGACGGCCTTCCGTTCCGCTACATTTCCGGCTCGATCCACTATTTCCGAATTCCGCGCGCGCGATGGGACGAGCGTCTTTCAAAGGTGCGCGCGCTCGGATTCAACGCCATTCAGTACTACATTCCGTGGAATTTGCACGAGTTGGACGAGGGAAAGTGAATATTGTTTTTTTTTTTTTTGGTTTTTCGCAAAAAACGGCCCTCTCTTTCAGTCCTGACTTTTCGGGCCTTTTGGACTTTGCCGAGTTCTCGTCGCTCGCGTTTCAAAAGTACGGATTGTGGACGATACTCAGAATCGGTACATAGTTTATAAAATACCGTACCGTAATTCTCCTCTCGATTCAGGACCGTACATTTGTGGTGAGTGGGAGAACGGCGGACTTCCCGCGTGGCTGCTCACCAAAAACGTGACGAAACAGCGGAGCAGCGATGCAGTGTAAGACGCGTTACGGTAGGACTTTGGATTACGGTAGACGTTGGCACAGGTTCACGCGAGAAGTCGAAAAGTGGTTCGAGACGTTGCTGCCGCGCGTGAAACCGCTGCTCCGCAAGAACGGAGGACCCGTGCTCATGCTTCAAATCGAGAACGAGTACGGCAGTTACGACGCGTGCGACAAGCAGTACTTGCGCTTCTTGAGGGATTTGACGAGGGCCCACGTCGGCGACGATGTCCTGCTTTTCACGAGTAAGAGTCCAGCGGAGCGCATTTGCTCACCTCGCTCTTTCAGCCGACGGAGTATCAGAGTCAATGCTAAAGTGCGGAAGTGTGGAGGGCGTCTTTCCGACCGTCGACTTCGGACCGACGGACAACTCGTCTCAAGTCGAGGCCTTTTTCGATCTGCAAAGACAGTTCGCCCCGAATGGGCCGTCGGTCAACTCGGAATACTATCCCGGATGGCTCGTGCTGTGGGGACAGAAGAGTCAGAGCTTGCCGAGCGCTCAAACCATAATCAATGGCGCGCAGAGCATGTACTCGCTCGGCGCCAGCCTCAACTTTTACATGATCCACGGCGGCACCAACTTTGGCTTCTGGAACGGCGCGGAGACCGACGCGCCGTGCATCACTTCCTACGATTACGGCGCGCCGATCAGCGAGGCCGGCGACGTGACGGCCAATTACCTGGAGATCAGGAAATGGGTGAAGGCACTGCCCGAGTGGACGACGCCGCCGTTGGATGTGCCGGGAAATGCGCCGAAAGGCGCGTTCGGAAAGATCAAGATGAGACTGGTGCATTCGGTCGAGCGGATGAACTCAATGATGGGATTGAGTGCGGGAGACTGTGTCGACTCGGATCGGCCCATCAGTTTTGAGACCCTCAATCATCCACTCGGATTGGTGGCTTATCAGGCGGTGAGTTACTGATCTGAGACTTAAACCTAATATTGCAGGCTTCTTGGACTTGGATTAAAGTTTCAGACCGGTAGAAACCTGGACTTTTCGGCGCTAAATAACTATAGATCCGGACCAGATAGTCTGAAACTTGGACCCAAGATACTTCAATTCAAGTCCAAAAAGCCTGCAAACTTTGAAAGCTTCAGACAATCCAATCGTGCGGCAACCTGACGATTCCGTCGTTCGGCGACTTTGTGTACGTGTATCTGAATGGCAAGTACGTCGACACGTTGACCCGTCACTATTACAACCTGACGCGCAACTCGACCACCCTTGACGGCTGTCAGAGTGACGGTGACGGTGATCGCCGACTCTTTTTGCTCGTCGAAAATCAGGGACGACAGACCTACGAGACGATCAACGACAGAAAAGTGAGAAATAGAAATGAGATCCGTGCATTTAATGAAAGTGTTTAGGGAATCCTCTCCGACGTGTTTCTCAACGGAGAGCCCGTTCGCTTCTGGACCCAGTGTGGCATCAAACTGCCGCTTCAGAGCAACTTTGCCAAGAAGACGAGGCGGATGAAGCAGATGAAACCGAAAAAGTCGTCGTTGTACAACAATCAGAAGCAGGGCGTGTTCGTCGGCGTGCTCGATGTGCCCGCTCCCGCCGACACGTGGCTCGATTCGAGCGGATGGGGCAAGGGAATCGCGATTGTGAACGGGCACAACGTCGGAAGGTTCTGGCCGACGGAGGGACCACAAATCGGACTTTATATCCCTGCGGAGTTTCTGAAAGTCGGCGAGAATTCGGTGATGATTGTCGAGTTGGAGGGCGCGCAGGACGCGTGTCTGAGCACGAACGCGTGCGTCGTCGAGTTTGTCGATCATCCGATCTTCCGTTTTTTGGAATAAAGATTTGGAAATGGTTTTTAGTGAAATTGAAATTGCAATACACGTGGTCAGAAAAGTTAATAAATAGTAATGATAGAGTTGGAGGGGGGCACGAATTTCTATCCCTGAAGGCAGTGGTTTCCACCGCAGAAGCGTCCACTTCTCTGCACCATCGCGTCGATCAGATTGTTGACAAAGTCGAAGCCGGTCTTGAGTTGGCTGGTCGCCGCGCCGGTCGTGTCGGCGATCACCTTGCGGCAGCCGACGTTCAGCAGGGCCTCCATGGCGAGGTTCTGGCCGGCCGGCTTGTTGCGGATGCACGCCGAGAGCGCCGAGTCGATGACGTTGACCCAGTCGTTGACGGGCGTGATCATCTGCTTCTTGATCTGCGACGTGCAGATGTCGACCTTGTTGGCGGATCCGATGGCGAGTCCTCCACGACCTCCGGAGAGCAACTGAAACGGAGGGAATTCAGGAGGAGAACGAAGAGAGGGTGCTTACATCATTGAAGACGTTGGCGATGGATCCGATGCGCTTCTTCAGGTCGTCACGGGCCTCGGTGATGCACTCGCACGTCGCCTTTCTCGTCGCCGGAATCGTTTGGGCGCAGAGTCCGGTGAACTTGGCGTCGCAACTCGCGAGCACCTTGCAATGACCGCTCAGGTAGCCGACGAACGGACTGGCGAGACAGGCACGCGTCGACGAGGCACGCTGTGGCTTGCGTTCGCCGCAGAACGAGAGGCGAGACTGGATAAGGATGTGATCGGAGATGGAGGAGATGCTGAACGGGAAATAGAGAGAGAGAGAGTGAGACTGAGATCAAACAATGTCGTGGATACACTTACACAGACTCCTTGAACTGGAAGGATCCCTCCTCGAGATCCGGAATGTCCGGAACTCCGGCAAAGTTCGGAATCTTCTTTTGCAGGCAGTAGGATGCTTCCCGGGCGATCGCCTTCGAGATCTCGGTCCGAATGCACTTCTGATCCTCGGCCGGCGTCGCCTTGATCGCCTTGATCGCTCCGGCGGCGAACGTTCTGCAGATGGAGCACTCGCGCAGCGGTCCGTTCTTGTCCCACGCGTTGTGGCTGAGGTCGGTGGCGGCGAGCACGCATCGATCTTTGGAGTTGCCCTCCTCGATCGACGAGGCGAAACACGTGGCGGCGGCCTTTTTCGAGTGCTCGCGAATCTCATTCTCGTAGGTGCCGTAGTCCGCGTCGAGGCCCTCTTTGATACACTGCAGGTAGGCGCCGAACGAGGCACGCGTGCCTGTCGCCGATGAACAGTCCTGGGCGACGGCGAGCTGAAAAAGATCATGTGGTTGGGACGGTAGGGGTGGTTGCGGAACTTACCGCCATGGTGGAGGCGACGACGGCGAGGAAGAGCATGTCGACTCTTAACCTGAAAAACGAGAAGAAGTTTCGGATGGAAACGGAAAGAAAATTGCGAGTAGAATAACAGAAGGCGTCAGTCAGTGACGAAGATGACCGATAGTCTGGCCGGCGTGTATCTCTCTCTCTCTCAGTGTGTCCACCAAAATGGGGTTATCGGTGACGACGATTGATACCCGTAGAGATAATAAAGGGGGCATGAAGAAGAAGACATCGAAAACATGAAAGCGGATCTGATATGCGCGCCCCGCACACAACTAATGAACAGCTTCGAAAAGGAAAAGGGTCGAAATGCACCTCAGTCTAGCATTTAAAGCCCGCTTCTCCTTCTTGAGGTGTGTCTGAAAGAACCGGATTTGTATAGATCGGGGTGATATCATCCTATCACACACACACACACACATGAAAGATAGGTATGACTAATCTAATTGTGGCGTTGTAGCCGGATCGAAGAGACACAGAAACCACACAAATTTATGGTCCTTGGAAGACTATTATCGCTCGGAAACTGGTAGCGCGCTGCAAAAGAAATGGAAAACAATCGATTTGAACACAGGCTACAAATGTGCATTCGATAATTTGGTGCTGCGCCTTTAAACAACTACTGTAATTCTCAAAATTGTGAGTCTACACTCGAATCACGAAATTTGCGAATAAAATAGCCAAACAACAGTGAAAATTGCTGTGAAAACCTTATAAATTATCCCTTTTAGTTCATTTCAACAAGATTTTCACTTTATCGACGAAAAATTCAGTTGACGCTCTTCAAAATGCGTCAAGTTTCTTAATTTTTCGTATTTTTTACAGGTGAGCACTTAAATCGAAGCCCCATGGCTCTCAACAAACGAAATGACCATATTTATCAAGCGAACAATAGAAAAATCTGATTTTCAATTGAAAAATAAATTTTGGTCTGCTGATTGATGCAAACGCGCTCCATTGAGAAATCAAGAGCAATAAAGCGAGCGAGAGAATGATCGGAGAAGAAGCGATTCCATTCGTTTTATAGTACACGAGCCGGTCTCCTCGCTTTTTTTGCGCGGACGGCATCCAGTTAAACGGACAGATAATTGGTACTTGTTCTTTTCGAACGGACGGACAATAATCGGGCTGACAGACATGATGATTGTTGGAGAGGGGACGAGGAATCACACACAATAATTACTATGCTCTAGTTCCTGCGTACGAGTCGGACCGGAATGCCCTTCGACGGCTTCGTCACCACTTCCAGACACTGTTTCGTGGCGTGGTACTCGAGGCGCGGCTCGATTCGAAAGTTGCGCACAATGTGCGAGAGCATCACTTTTTCGTTGAGCTGCGCGAACTTTTGGCCGATGCAATTGCGCGGTCCCGCCGAGAACGGAATGAAGTCGTACGGATGTCGTTTGGCCGTTTCGTCGGGCAGGAAACGGTCCGGGTCGAAGAGCTCGGGCTGCTTGAACACTTTTTGGTTGCTGTGAAGGACCATCGGAGATATGGTGATGTTGCCGCCGGATGGGACCATGTGTCCGTCTGAAATCGATATGTTGTTCACTTCAAATCGCGATATTTTCGGTTTCTGATCCATATATCTCTGATACTTCAATCCAAGTCCAGGCCTTTTGCCCATCCCTGATGCTCACCAATCTCCAGATCATTTGTGAGTTTCCTCTGATACGCGGGAATGGGCGGAACGATCCTCTTCGACTCTTTTAGCACTCGATCCAAGTAGTTCAACTTTCCGAGGCTTTCCATGCTTATATCGGTGGCCGCATCATCGCCGAACACTTCGCGCATCTCCTCGTACACTTTCTCTTGAATCTCGGGATGGTGTGCGAGATTCCAGCACGCCCAGGAGGTGGAGGAAGTCGTCGTGTCGTGGCCGGCAAACATGAACGTGTCCACTTCCTGACGAATGTCCTCCGAGGTCAGCTCTTGCGATTCCTCCATACTAAGCATCAGATCCAGAAAGTTCATCATTCGCTTCGACGTCTCCTTCGCCACTTCCCCGGAAGCGATCGCGGACCGTCGCTCCTGGATCACTTTCTCCGTGAACGTCTTCAAAGTGTTCAAGTAGTCGTCGTGCTGCGCCTTGTAGCCTGTGAGCCAGAAGAAGAACGGACTCTTCAGATGAGGATTGAAGGAGACGAGCACGGCGATCTTGTTGAATCCCTCGACGGCCTGCACGTACTTGTGCTCGTGGTTGATCTGTGCGTTTATGCTGATTCCCATCGCTGTTTCACAGATTATATCGAGCGCGCATCGTTTTATGAATGGAAATATGTCGACGGTCTGTTCAGAGTAGGAGTAGTCACTTAGAAGATCCACGAGAATCTGGAAGCGTTCACTTTTGTATAGCATTGAAGAGCTTTTATACCTTTGCTTCATGATTGAAAACCTCAAAGTAGCCGCCGAGTTTAGCAAAATGGAATGCGGGGGTGAGCATCTTTCGATGACTCCTCCACCGCTCTCCGAATCCCTCGAGAAGAAGACCTCCGCCGAGCCAGGGATCGAAGAAACCGTAATCGTCGCCCTTGTTGATCTCGGTCGTCGAGTCGACAATATTGGCGACGGCGTGTCCGTTCAGCGGCCACACGTACACCTTTCCCATGAGCATCAGTCGCATTATCGAGGCGCCCTGCTCGCGCAGCTCGTTCGCCCATTCGATGAACACTGGCGGAAGGTCTGAACAAGAAAAAAAAACGATTCCGTCAGAAAGAAAGACTCACCAAAAACGTAGAAAGGGGCGTGGCCTAGCGTGCACGGTTTATCACCATTTTGGCGCGAAATTCGAAATTTAACCACATTTTTTATGTTTTTCGTAAACGTAAAAAATTCCCCAAATTTTGTTCGATTTCGGCGATCTAATTGCATAACTTTGTTAAACTAATCATCGCGCGCACTTTTTGAGCTTAAAACGAGCAGGTTTCATTCAGAAATGAATCAATTGAATCGATTTTCAAGTTTTGTGCTGAAAATGCGCGAATTTCAGTCATTCGCCGACACTTTTTGCCGTTTGAACGCTTAAAATACTTCTATTAACGTGCTTAATCACTTCCGACACTCACTTCGACTCAAAACTATCCAGATCGGCCGGTATGAAAATTCCGAAATTGCGGCGACGATTGGCCGCGGAGGGCGTATTGCGAAATATGCCAAAAACGTCTCAAACGCGGCGTTTTCACGAAAATTTCGATGTTTTCTCTCTTTAATGTATCTTCTTTCGTCGATATCAAACACAAAAATATCGGAAAAGTGCTGGAATTTTTTTCAGAAAACGCGTCTCAGATTAATCCACGCCCCTTTCTACACTTTTGGTCGCCGTGTCACCCTCGGTGCTGAGGCCGACAATCGGTCCGAGGTTGCCGTAGATTGGGTGTGCGGGCGGGCCGGGCATCTGGAAAGCGATTTTTTGTGGAGAAAAAGTTGAGGTTTGCGCACATTTTGACTCAAAACCCTACATTAGAAAAGGTCGCGGCGGTGGAGCGTCGTTGCAAGAAGCCTCACCTTTTTACCGTACTCCCAATAGCGTTTATACTTCAAAACGGTCGGTATCCACGTGGCCAGGTAGATGAGAACGAGCGCAACGATCATTGGGATGAAAACGGTCATCTCGAGAGGACCGTTTAGGTATTCTGCAACGTTTGACCACTTTCTACTTGTTATCACTCGTATTTGTGATAAGAAACGACGAGCGAGTGACCCGAACTGTGTTGAGAGGAAAATGGATGGGGAAGGAGGCGCCGACTGCCAAACATGCCGAACATGACTACGTTTGAGTAGATTGATTGGTAGGTTTATTGTGTGAAAATGACGTGAAAACGCCAAACAACATGGTTGATATCAAGTAGAGTCTAGACCCTAACAGAGGGGGAGTTAGTCGAAACCCGTAGACGGGCGGGACGGTTTGTGAGAAGAAGCTCGAAAATGGGAATAGGGATCCGGGGGGACTAGAATGAATGATTTGCGGGGGGCGAGAGACCATTTGAATGATATGGGGTGGCGAGGGGAGGGTAGCAGATAGATGGGGAATTTATTGCAGATCGGAAGTGATCATCGACGACGCGTCTTCGGGCGTCGGATCGCAGATTGTCGGATTGTAGTAGAAGAAGGCGAACGAGTACTCGACGTTGCCCTTCTCGACGGTCATGTCGACGTAGCCCTCGCACGGCTCGATCACAAACTCTGTCTTGGCGCCGATCTCGTTGCAGTGTTTTAGAGCGAATTGCATTCCTTGCAGCAGGTAGTTCCGGGCGTTCTCGTCGTTCGGACGGACTTCCGCGCAGCAGATTGAGATCTGGAATGAGGAAATGAGTACGTAGAGTTGATAAGAGAATAGGGAAGGGTCTTACCTGAATGAAAGAGTTGAACTCGGCGATCGAAAGTCGTTCCATCGCAAATCGCAAGTCTTCGACCGGACACGCGAGACAGTAGACGTCCTGAAGGGACTCGACCATGATGTCGACGTGAAGCGACAATTGTCGGAGCTTGAGTTCGGCCGGCGAAATGCACGCGAACAGTTTGTGCAGGTATCCGCCCGGCGTGTATGGTGTGCACTCTGAGAAAATTAGTTTGTGAAGTTTGACGTTGAAAAAAAAACTAACCAGTGATGTGAACCTTCGGGACGACCGATTGTTGGGTGCGCACGTTGACGTCCTTCATGATCACTGTGATCTCACGGAGGTTCGGCAGGATTCGGATGAGCGACGGGGCGTTGTTCGCTTGGAATTTTCGCGTCGGGGCTCGGCCACGCGTGTCGCTGATCGAGCATTCGTCTTCGTCGTCGCTCAGCTGAAAATTGATACATAGAAGAGAGATTCCAAGTGGAAAGCTGGAGACTTACATGAAGTTTATCGTAGTGGTTGAGATTTCCCGCCAACAGACTGTCGATGAGCGGATGGGCGCCCTTGAAGCTGCTCGAGTCCTCGAACGAGAGATGCGAGTCAAAGTGGTTGAAGAGCTCGGCGGGCATGTTCATGAAGCCGGTCGGAGTGCCGCTGCCGCTGGGTGCCGTCGTCTCGGAAGAGCTGGAGCTCATCTGAAATTCGAGAGTCGTTAAATTAAACCAAACGATGGCTTCTTTTGTCTTCTGAAATCTGGTGGCGACGAGCGTTTACGATGACATTAAGCAGTAGAAGACGACGATGGAAAAGAAGAAGAGAAAGAAGAAGAAGAGACTCTTTCTCATAAAATTCAAATGTCCACGCAATAAACAAAGAGAGTTAATGAGCCGACGAGGGATTAGAGAAGCAGAGACCCGCGCGAGCGAATAAAAATACAAAGTCATTAGAGGATGGAAGAAGATGGAAGAAGAAGAAGAAGAAGAACCATTAAATCTGGATGGCGAGAGGATTTTTATGGTCTTCTATCCGCCATTCAGTGTGAAGAAGCCCTGTGGGTAGGGGTCAGGCGCCCCCGGGACATACACACAAAGAAACCGAATGGAAACGAAGGTGAGTGTGATCCAAAGTGACAGTTTGGCAGCGACGACGCTTCAATCGATTCCGACGTCGTGGAATGAAATGGAATCGGCACAGGAAATAATTCGCGGAATGTGTGTATGGGTCTGTTGTCCTCCCCCAATCCAAATGACGATGATGCGGCTAATTTAGACGGACTACTGCCGACGCATCGACCATGTGTTCAAAAATCGCTGCTGCTGCTGCTGCGACTACGGCTGTTTCCGCTCGCACCTTGTCTTATCGGATTAGTCCATCTATGCACTAACTACACACATGGTTCAAGAGATGATGTGACGTGACACTGTGTGATAACGAGGTGATAACGGAAGAGAAGAGCAACGGAAAAGGGATTAGGAAACCTTTCTGCGTGTGCGCACACACACACAGTTAGTCATGATACGACAACACAAAAACAAAAGCAAACGAGAAAGGTCTTCGTTGGGGGTGGAACCAAAAGCCTTGTCAGATTATCAGGCGACAGCTCTACAGCGCGTAATCATTGCGGATATCGTTCCGTCTCGGAAATGAATTTGGGTGCTCATTCACCAAATTCACCGGAAAAAAAAAGATACAGTTCTAAAATTTTTGGGTCAAACACACCCACGCACAGAAGATATCAATATCGTGAGGTGGTGGTGCGCAAGAATTCACTCACTCACAAATTCGATGATCGAATCAATTAGAATATCAAATTTGACGGGGCAGAAAATGATTATCGTCGTGCCCTCCACCCGCCCGGGACGCACACCAGATAACATCTTCCCCACTCACTCCAAAAAGGGCGGTCCGATCCGCAAAAATCCGGCGGCCCGAGTACTAATTTGATTATTGTGGGAACCTTTTGTGCGCCGCTGAACCCGAACTCACATTACAGGCCCACCCACCCCACACGCACAACACAAATCGAATTTCACGGCGTTACGGACGCGCAAGTTTTTGCGCGCTTGAATAATCGAGCAAAAGTTTTGGTGAGGAGGAGAAGAAGAAGGAGGAGGTGGTGTAACTGATGAATATTTATGTGATGAATTAGCAAAAAAGTGAGTGGCGGGTAGTCAACGAACCGCGGTGGCGGTCAGCAAATGCGCTCTACCGCACTCGTCCCGTTTTTCGGGGATTTTCACGAAACGTGCCCGTTTGTTTCACTTTTCTGCGCTAATCTTGCTCAGGACGCTTACCTATACCTAGTTTTATTGAAAATATAACAAAAATTAGCAGAGTTCTCACATTTCCGTCTAATTTTCGTAATTTTCAACAAAAGTTTGACAAATGTCCTTTGTTTCAGCTAATGCGCCCAGAGCAAGCCGAAAATACAGCGAAAATCAGCGAAATCAACGGAAAACCTCACTTTCACGATTTTCAACCAAAATTTGACAACTTTCCTCTGTGTCAGGTGGTACGACCAGAAAAGGCGAAAAACCAGCGAAAGTTAACAGAAATGCCACACTTTCGACTAATTTTCACAATTATCGGCAATATTTGACAAATTTCAGCTAATGCGGCCAGAGAAACTCGGAAAAAAACAGCGAAAAGTGCGTTTGGCGATCAAGAGTGGGGGCCTCTCGATTGATTGAAGAGAGTGAAATGACAGTGTGCCCTTCCCGTACTTCACCACTTTCAATTGCTCACTTGAGCACAGGAGCACAGCACAGAGCATCAAGTGAGAGCCAGAGCGAGAGACAGAGAGAAGGAGAGAGAGAGAGAAAGGGTGTACAGTACAGGAAAGGGAAGAAATGGCATAACAATTTTTGGATGTTTTCCAGGCGCTGGCCTATAAACGTTGTGTTGCGTGTGCGAGACGACTCTAACTCGACTCGATGGATACTAAGGGAATGATGGCCGATAAAGTTTTGATTGGGTACTTTAATTTTATATTCCTCTTCCTCCTTTCTCTCTCCCGCTCGCCTTAAAGCCATTTACCCAAATGGCCGCATAAAAAGTGGGCGGGGCGATCGGGTTCCATGGGGTTCCGAGTCCAATAAACTCGGGAGAAATATTGGAGTATTGCGGGTGGACAAAATGGGGAAAATATCATAGCGCTTGCCTGTCAACTCATTAAAAGTTTTTACGATTATTGCCCCCGGAGAGCAGGTACGGGGTTGAATAATAAAAATACATGGAGACAACACTATCCTATCTATATTACCTTCCTCCCATTACTTTTTATGGCCACTTTCCTTTGGAGGAGGTGTTATAATAAACAGACCAATAATGACTTTCATATCTGACGCTTTTGGGCCGTAAAATGTTGCATTTTGGAAGGAAAAGCACTTACGGTCGGTTGAATTTTCGGGACGAAGAGTGTTGAACGAGTGACGGAAAGGAAGACAGGACGACGTCTGAAAAACGCACGAATAGAAGAAGACAAACAAATACCTGAGCGGGATGGAGCAGTTGTAACGTGAAGGGGCGGGGCGTGGGAGGTGAGCTCTTGTGAGAAAGAAAAGACAGAAAAGGGGCGGAGCTTAGGTGGGGGGGGATTAACGCGGGGCTAAAAGTCAGGAGGTGATGATAACAGCGTCAGCTAATTAGGCGGAGGTGATGAAGATGCTGACGAATTCGGGGGGTGGCGAAAGTGAGTGACACGGGCGGATTATTAGTGTTGGGATTCGCGAGCTAATGAACAACAGCACCCACCACTGATAAGCCGCGACTTGGCAAAAATTTGGGAAAACAAGAGAGGACGGAGAGGTCTGAAAAAATGGGATACTAGTCAAAACAGAGTTGGCGCCAACATCTGATCTCAGAGGGTTTATCAGTGGAAACGGACTGGAATAAGTATTCCAAAGACGAAGGTGTGCCGCGCCGCGCACTTGCATCCTCCATCCATCAATTCCGCAGAGGTCCCGTGTCGCCTTCGTTTAAAAATTGCCCATCTTTCTCTGTCTCACACACACACACAGGCACACGAACCATAAAATTGACGTATTTTTATAGTGATTTTATAGGACACTTGTGTATGTCTCTCTCTCTCTCTGCCGTTTCTCTCTTCTGGCTGTCGCCTTGCATTTGCGCTCCGCGCACGCGGACGCCTCCAAGAAGCCCGGGCGGCCAAAAACTTTTTGAGTTTTACTATCCAGTTCAACCGCCGTCCCATGCCATCGCGTCTCCTCAAATTGCTACTAAAACCGCGCCAGTGGGAGCCAGCCAAACGGGCTCTTCGCTTTATGGTTATGGTTACGGCCGTGCTTCGGCGAGCGATCCTGACGACGACGACGACGACAATGATGATGGGATGGGTGTAGGAAGTAGAAGAAGAAGAAGAAGAAGGAAAGAGGAAGAGAACAAAGAAACGGAAACCCATCGAGAGCGCCAAAGATATATAATAATAATAATAGTTGGAGCTCGAGAAGAAATCCTGGGCGCACCACACCACACCACTCTACCGGACCGGAAGATTACGGGCGACCGAGCCTTATGGAATGCATGACCTGGTCCGTGAAGTGAATACATGCGCTCAGATGAATCCGAAAGAGAGAGAGAGAGAGAGAGTGTCCCGCCGAGCAGAAAAGATGACGGATTCTTCGTCTTCACGAAGGAAACAGTGTTTTGTAATTTGAGTACTAGAACACGGGGTTGGGATTAGCGGGCGAATACGTTTGGCGTCAATCTGATATCACATGAATGATTCATTGCACCTTTGCCATATGTCATCCCGGCGTCCGGATGACCAATTTGCACTTCTAATGAGTTCGCCAACCAATTACGGTAATCCGCGATTGACGACAATCGGCGGGAGGGAGGGAGGAGGAAACAGAAATGAGCTAATCTGTGGCGAGAAGAAGAGGCGAAAAGGCTTCTAGTGTTTGATCAGTCAGACAGAGAGAGAAAAGAAGTGTCAGAAAGAGAGAGAGACGCGAATGTTTTCCTTCTTTTTCCTTCTGCGTTTTTATCGCTCTGTGAGAGAGAGAGAGACCAATTAAAACGGCGGTCCTCCTCCCAAAGTCGTTAATTAGGGAAATAAAGATAAAACTAAACGAGGTCCGAGACGCGCGGCAACACTTTTTCGCTGGTGTCGAATCTTGATTACCGCCCCCCCATTGTTTTGTCTCTTTTCCTTTTTTAGCAATTCAATGATTGGAATGTTGTAGTACTTCGGAAGGGGGGAGGAAACATTTTGATTCAATTATAGGCCCGTATCCGTATCACATGTGTGCGGAGAGTGGTTAAAAGACACTTTACAAAACAATGAGACGCTTTGAAATCGAATCTCGCGGATTATGAAGAGCTCCGATATTACAGTAGTCGAGGCGGAAATTGGATGCTCGCCTGACAGGTGACCCACCTCATTTCCGCCACGGATTACGTTCCGGCTCGGCTCTGACGGCTCACCGGCTTATCTCACGATCTTTGTAATGACTTTTCGGGGGGAGGGGGCGACGACAATAATGGATACCATTTTGAAAGGTGTAAAGTGTGTACAAAACAGATTTTGTACTATGCTCTGCGTAGGGCACTCTAATGTTGTTAAGTTGTTGGATTGTTGGTGGACACCTATCTTTGAAGGGTTATATCTCGAGAACTAGGGACTCTTTCAAAAAGTTGTAAACGCGAAAAATGTAGAAAATCGAATGCCGAACAACTTTGTAATTGATCATTTTGTCTCAAAACCCCGCATTCTCAAGTTATACCCGTCTAAATGGGGTCCGTGTTTGAACAACTGGCTCCCGGGTGTCTCTATATTTGTTGACAGCTGTTTTCCCGCTGTCATTTACCTCATTCGGCCCCCCAATTTGGCGGTCTACTTCAAAAAGGACGGAAAAATGGCGGACGGTGTGTCAAGAAGTCAATTGGGTACAAATAAAGGTGTTCACACACACACACACACACACACATGTCAAAAGAGTCGGTCCCGTCCCGCTCACAGAGGCTACTGCTGCCGAAAAGCCATTTTCCACCTCATTCCCATATTTCAATTTTAATGCGACAATTTTGTGCGGGGCCCACAAATACATGAAGGCTGGTGATGATCGAGGAGTACGCGAGCGAGACTCTTTGTCAAGCCGGAAAATGGATGCGAAAGTCGCGCACGATCTTTATAAAGTACCGACTTGGAGATGGGGAACTGGGGTCTAAATTCAGGCCGAGATGGGCCTTCTTTGAGCCTAGACGAACCCAAGTTGGGACGAAACGGGTCTACTTTGAGCCTAGCAGCATACAACCAAATTTGGGATAATCTGAGACTAGACAGGCCTCGGCGGACCTAAAATGGACCAAGACCTGTCTAGTTTGAGTCTAGAAACTTGGCGAGATGAAGAATAAATGACGGAAAGGATTACTGTAGATCTATGTGTGTGTGTGTCACTCATAATTGTGTACTAGATGAGAAGTGACAGAGCGCATCCTTTCAGATCACATCGACGGATATTATCGGTTTCCGGAACGTATGTAGAGAGACAGAAAGAGAGACAGAAAGAGAGAGAGAGAGAGAGAGAGAGAGAGAGAGAGAGAGAGAGAAACTTTGCACACAAGTAGTTCGTCAAACACTATTTGTGTAATCCGATAAAAAGACAGTTTTGTCATTTTATTTGCCACGGATAAGCGGGTGCTTAGCGCGTTGGAAAGGTGCAAGCCGCTTATATTGCTATTATTTTGGCACTTTTTCTTCTTCTTCTTCACACAGCTTACTGTAAGGCGATGAAATCGAGGTGACGTGGCGAGCAAACCTTGAGGCACCGCCTAATCTTCTTCCAATATGATATAGTGACACCAATCGGCTCGCCGGCCGTTTTGCGCAACAACAGTCATCACACAACGCAAAGACAAGACGGTTGGGACGGGCGGCGCTCGTCTTTCAACTCAAACTCGCCCGATTGCGCAACGCGACCCGGCGAACAACCTGCCAGGTCTCCTCTCGTTTACACCTCATAAAACCATCAACCGTCGGGCGTGCGTGCTCCGCTGGTAATACGATAATTTGAGGAGAATCGGAGGATTTCGTATAGTGGACGTACGAACGCGTCACAGTCTGGGAGAAAAATGCCTAGGGGATGTTTGGCTCAAGCTCTAGATATCGATGAGTTGAGTTACGGCCTGGCTACTTGAAAAATGAAACTCTTCTGAATCCACGCCAGAGTTGAGCGGAAATGGATTTTTTTTTTTTTTTTGAAAATCCGGAAGACGGCAGACGGCAGACGGAACAAAATTTTTTTACGGAAAGCGGAAGACGGAACAAAATTTTCTCACGGAAGACGGCAGACGGAAGAAAATTTTTTTTACGGAACACGGAAAACGGCAGACGGAAGAAATTTTTTTTACGGAACACGGAAAATGAAAGACGGAAAAATAAATTTCTCACGGAAGACGGAAGAAAATTTTTTTACGGAACACGGAAAACGGAAGACGGAAGAACATTTTTCTCACGGAAGACGGAAGAAAATTTTTTTACGGAACACGGAAAACGGAAGACGGAAGAAAATTTTTTTCACGGAACACGGAAAACGGAAGACGGAACACAAAAATCGTCAATGCAGAACCTTTTTTTCTCTGGTTTTTTTGAAAAACTAAAAAAACAAAAATTTTGAATCTGGGTCACTGCCCGTGGAAATTCGCGTTCTTCGGGGCTAGTAAATGGCTTCTTAAACGCTATTACTCTTTTACGGTAAGGAGAAAAAATCGCGGAAGACGGAAGACGGAAGACGGAATTCCGCTCAACACTGATCCACACCGGTCCACAATTTGCTCTCCCAACGTGCACAAAAATGTGGTTTCCTAGAGAAGAAAGTGAGACAGAGGTAGGAATGAAGACGGTCAAAGTTCCAAGTGATAAGTTAATGAGAGTGACGCGAGTCGTGGCTGTGTAACCATAAAAAGTGAGCGAGCGGCGGGTGGGGAGCGGCAATAAAACGTGTGCAGATTGCCTGACACAAAGCTGTCGAATGGTTCAAAGAATCACCGAATAATTACAAGGAAAAGCGGGGGAGGGAGACGAGAAGAAGGGAAGACACCTAATTGGTAGTGGGGGGAGGGGGCTCCTAATCGTTTGATGCTCATAAAAAGGTTGATGGGCGAAAGAAGATGGAGAGAGAGAGAAAAAGCGGGGAGGAGGTCCTAAGCGGATGGGGGGGGAAAGGTCCTCAGAGTGATAGGTAAACAACTAGACTGCATAGTCTTAATGTGCTGAGTAGGGCTTAGGCCCATGATGGTCCAAAATCGTAAAAGTAGCACAAGCGAGTCCGAGTCAAACGTCAAAGCCAAAATAAAAGTATACTTTGCTGACAGCTGGGGGTAACCAATTTGTCTAAAAAAGCATAACTTTTTCCATTCGCGAAAGAGTTAATTTTATCACCGCCGCCACCACACATCCAATCTCGGCGCCCGCGAGCCAATCAAGGCAATAAAATCGGTTGTGTTGGTAATGAGAGTAATTTATGTGTACAACAGTTAATCACGGCGCTTATGCGTCGCTTAGGTGCTCACTTGGGGTTTGGGGAAACGGGGTCGGCGGGCTCGGGTGATAGTTGTCGGTTTATAAACAATGAAATATGAGAATGAGAGCGTTTGGGGGAATTGAGGGAAAGATGAGCCCAGGTATAGAGCACTCTCAATTTGTGATGAAGCTTCAACTTTCCACAGAGATCACGGTCTCCAGAGCTGACAAGTGCGCCCCGCCGAATAGAGCGCTACGCTGGCGCGAAATTCAAATTTTAACAGCAAAATTTGTGTTTTTTGCCAGATTAGCCACGAAAAACCGATAATTTCTCATTTGTCTCTCGATAGACCGATTGTATACGCTATTGCGAATTTTTTAAGCGCAAGAGCGTTAAATTTGGTCAAGTCGCAAATCACATTTATCCGTTTGAAGGTTTTTGGCTAAAACTGCGTGAATTTCAGTTGCTTTTCGGTAATTTTCGCGGTTCGAGCGCTCAAAATGCTTGTATTTACGTGATTTCTCATTCTCAAAACCAATTCTGTCTGAAAACGGTCAAGAAAGCGCAAAATGAAAAACGCGGTTTTTAGGCGGCGATCGGCGGCGAAGGCGAAAAAGCGAAATTCGCGAAAAATGCGCCAAAACGTCATTAATTCTGTGAGAATTCGTGTGTTTTCATGTCGAACAATCATTTTTCATCGCCGGTGACCACAAAAATCAGAGAAAATCTGCTCAATTCATGAAAACGTCATTTGGCCGAGGCCACGCCCATTTTGTCAGCTCTGGAGACCGTGTCTAGAGACCTTACTGGCTCATTCAGCAAAAGCAGAGAAATCAAAGTTGGGTTTCTGAGGAAGATGCATTGTATGAAATGTGGAAGGACGAAGAAGAAGAAAAGTTCGATCCTTGGAAGAACTTTTGTATCAAGGTGTAGGACAAGTGGCACTTGAGTGGAACAAGTGGCAGGTATTAGTGACTTGTTCGAGTGTCTTCTCGAGTACGGTCACTCGCTGTAATCAGACACCGCTCCGAGGTGGGATGAGGGAAAACGAGAAGACCCCGCTGGCGTTTAGGTCAATATCTTCTAGCCTCCAGATAAAGATAAACATCCAAAGTTTTGACAATTAATAACCATATATATATAGCGATAGGATAGGAGGGATCGCCTCACGAGAGTGGTAACTGCACGGGTACCCGTCTTTCTTATCTCGGTTTACAGCAGGCTTGTAAATAAATGAAAATACTATCTATCGCAAAAACCCGATTATAAATTGATACCTCAGCCGACGTCGACTTGTGTTGCGTGCTCAAAAAGGGACGCGACACACTCGAATTTGCATCACAATTGATACCGTGGGAAAAATGGAAATGCAAGAAGTGAAAGTGGGAGAAGAAGAAGAAGAAGGGCAGCTGGGAGAGAGGTTAGGGGATTGCACCTGTACACGTAGAACACGGAATGTGCTCAAGAACAAAGGATCAAAGAGGAGAAAAGCACTTTTCGTCGTTTGAGAGGCCACTGGTTAGGAACTAGACCATAACTCAAGAATGACGGGCTTTGGGATAAAATGATCAACTAGAAAGTTGTTAAGCACAAAAATTGCAACAACTTTTCAGTTGACCACTTTTTGAAATAAGTGTTGAATCTCGAGATATAAGTGTTCAAAGACGAGCGATTCTAGAGGAGGGCCACAAAAACAAAACACATACTTTGAGGCCGCAGACTAGGCCCTAAATATGATTTTTTTGAAGAAACATTATGTACTACACTCTATCCAATGGTATAAGTAACTTTGGTACTAGTTTCTGAGATAGGGATATTTAAAATCGTTTAAAGTGAATTGAATCGAAACTTGCAAAGATCTGCAGGCGTCAACTTCCTTATAAACCCCATTTCTCCTGAAATTCCAGAGAAAATCACTGCCAAAACATTCTGAAAGTGAGTCAGCTTTTCAGCTGTTGCTCACTGCAAGATCTGTGACTCAATCGAATTGTGATCGGGAACTATGAGAGGCAAAGATCAGAATGTTCGAGTTTCAGAGAAAGGAGACTTTATTCGACCAGAATTGCTTGCTTTTAGATGGTCTGGGAGAAGACGGATGTTAGGTTTTGGGTTCGATAGAGCGACTTTGGCTAGACGGAGTCCATTTCAAAATACTTACTTACATAGTTACCAGAGTTGAGCGGAAATGGAATTTTGAAATCCGGAAGACGGAAGAAAACCTTTTTCCCGGAAGACGGAAGACGGAAGACGGAACAAAAAATCGTCAATGCAGAACCTTTTTCTCCGGTTTTTTTTTTGAAAAAAAAATAACTAAGCAACAAAGATTTTGGATCTGGGTCACTGCCCGTGGAAATTCGCGTTTTTCGGGGCTAGTAAATGGCTTTTGAAAAGCTATTACTCTTTTACGGTAAGAAGAAAAAATCCTGGAAGACGGAAGACGGAAGACGGAATTCCGCTCAACACTGATAGTTACTATGTGAGTAAGTATTTCATTGTTTTCCAGCTCTCTTCACCGTGTCAATGGCAAGATGTGTGCTCCATTTCGCGGAATTCCATTGCGATTGTATCATCATCCGGCGATCCGAATCGGCGCGAATCCCTCGTAATGCCCTTTCGGGGGGCGAGGAGGAATGAACGTTTATCACAATACAATCTTGTCTTCACCCTCTTCCTCTGCCTCACAGCACTTTTATCGTTTGGCGTGTTCGCATACTCTACTCCACACCTATCATTACGATACAACACTTTGTGGATCCTTTCCCGGATAGATACCACCCCCGCCAGTAGCAGATGATCGGTCACATCGTCCATCACCGACGCGGTGCGGCGCGACGACCTTCTGATTTTTTTCGCTACCGCCGCTGCTTGCTTGCCATCTCTTTCCATTTCAAGGTCTTCCGATGGCAGAATTCCTCCCCTCCCAAACAGTTTCTCGAAACTGACACCTTTCGGCGTGTGAATGAGTGCACGCACTTGTCGTTGTGAAGTGTGTGTGTGTGTGTTCGCACGACGATTGATTGACACAATGCGAATCGGTTTGATATTAGCTCGAGTTCGAGTTGAGAGTGACCGCGATTTCACTTCTGCGAGAACTTTGCGGGAACGGGTTTTTAGTTCCCATTCCGTCTCTTTTCTGCCTATTTCGTGAACATTTACAGGATTTTTACACGCTGTTTTCAAATTTGTTTTCTCGGCTCTTTGAGTTCTGCGCCTTTAAACTTGCCCTCGGCTACGGTTGCGCACAATTTCTCATTTCCCCATCGATTTTGTTCATGCCAAAACATGCTAAGCACAAAGATATTCAAGTTTTCGGTAAAATTTGCAGAATGTTGACTAAACCGTCACAAATCGATTCGTTTCCACCGCTCGACCCCCTCGCCATCTCATTTAAATCGTCGCACCCCTTGATCAATGACTTCTCCAGTCGCGCGCTCAGTTAGTCACCGCCAGATTTGGATTTCGGAGAATGGAGATTACTATCAAAACTGTTTTGAGGCCGACACCTTCTTTTTTCGCCTCTTTTTTCGCAGATTCTTCTGGTGAAAAACGATAGCGATCGCTTGTTTTTATTCACTAGTGAAAATTGCTCGGAAATGCGCTCCGTCGGTTGTGATACGTAATTATTATTATGAAAAGGCGAAGGGAGGGCTTTCGAATTTCATTGTAATTAATTGTGAGACATGCGCACGCACCTGGAGCGCCTCCGTAACCCAACAACAACCGACGGTCCGGGTGGCATTCGAATTAGGCCTCGCGGGGCAAAAGCAAAGAATAGGGCAGACTGGAAATTGTGAAGCTGTAATTTTATCTCAAAATACAATTGAAAAAACTTTTGTCAAATGTTCGATTTTTGGAGATACATTAAAAATCCGCTAGTTAATCGATAAACGTTTCTAACATGTCCTTGACTTTATAACAGTTTAATTCAAGTACTACTCTCTCACTAATGCGGTCTGTTTCCTCTTCCCCACTTCATTTCGGTTTCGTTTCTGAACGTCCTTAGTCCGTTAGTGTATTTGGTAACAATTTCAACTGTGCCGCCGCCTTCTGCGAAGGTCACTTCGTTGACCTATTTCGGAAGCAGAAACAGCAGCAGCAGCAGCGTCTTCCGAAGATATTATTCAAATTCGTAGCGCACGTCGTCTCCATGCGACAATGGTCGCCTCTCCTTTTCCACTTTCACTTCTCTCCGGACAATGCGGGCCCGTCCTTCTCGCCCCTTCGTTCACAAGTCAATGAGTCATTTATGGAGGTTTACTAACACAACAACATAAGAAGGCGCGCGCACTTTGACGGCAGTTGCGAAACGTGCGCAACGTCTCCATAACAACCGCGAGCAAGCACACAATACGTACGCTTCCGGCCTTTCCTTTCGCTTCCTGCTCTCTCTGTTGCATACGCGTCGCCTCGAATCCCTTTCGTTCCTCTCCATTTCACATCGTCTCCGCGTTGCGAATAACTGTCAACAGAAGACAAATTTCAAGGTAAAACCCTCGCTATGCATCCGCATTCACTCACCCGGTCCAGCCGCTGTTGGGTGGCCATAAAAGTTAATCGCCTCGCTTTTCTTCCTCTCCTTTTTTTTAAAGGCAAAAACGGAGGATTCGGATTAAGCGAACATTGACGTTAACATTCATTCTCGATTCCTGATGCCTGCCAATTGAGAAAAGTAAGCGGTTAGCACTCTTCACTAGTGAGTCGAGTCTGTCCGAAAGAAAAAAACCAGTTTCCTCTCGCCATTCTCGGCCTTTTTCTCTTGCATAACACTCACGTGACATGTGTGTGTGTGTGTTGCGCCGGAAGCTTCTTTTATTATTGATCCACCCCAAACTTTGATGATTGTTTTGTTTCATTTCGTCGCCGGCGCTCCTGGTAGACGACCCCCCATGGCTGCACCTAATTGCCGGTGTAATTGATGCCCTCTCTCTCTCTTTCTCTCTGAACGCTTCGTGAACATGACCCTCGCACTGACATTCAAACATTTTACGAAAACCTTCTTTTCTTACCCTTTTTTCTTCAAACTCATCCACCAACTTTTCACTTCCACACACGCCTGATGACACATTTTCGATGATTATCGCACACATTCAAATATTTGAAAATAGGCGAATCCATTTCATGTTCTTCCGCCGCCATTGTGACGCCTCGATTCCCATGCCCATTCACGTTTATTCAATTCTTCTTGCAGATCATCATGGGTAGCACGATAGTGCAAAAGCTGCTGCTCACGCTCTTCATCGTGCTCGTCCTCATCGGAATCTGTCTGACGTCGGGCGGATGTTTCTCGCCGGCGTGGCAAGTCGTCGACATTCGCGAGTTCCGCGCCGAACACCAACACGGGCTCTGGTGGGATTGTATTCGCGCCGAGAAGCACGTCGTGTCCGTCGGCGACTTTTACGACGAGACGCCGCTTCACTGCATGTACAAGGTAAAGATTATCCGCTGTGATTGGCTCGTAAACTTCACAAACCCATCTTTTTTCTTCGTTATTAATCTGTGTAGCTAGTCAATTCGCTATACATACAATACTGTACCAGAAGGGTACCCCAATATTGTCTCTTCTAGACGATGTAACTCAGCTGCGAGTGGAGATATCAAAAAGTTGTCTACTAATGAATTTTTGCTGAAGACTTTCGCCACATTTTATCCGTTGACAACTTTTTGATATCTCTAGAGACAGCTGAGATAAATTGTCTAGAATAGACGGTGCCTGAGAATACTAAACAAGACCGGTTTCAGTTCGACAACTCTGCCGAGCTGGTCATCGAAAACACTCTGAACAACATTGACGAGGACGGCGCGGCGGGAGAGTCGGAGCATCACAGGTTCTGGGCGTGGCACAAGGCCATCCTCTTCTTCATCATCACCTCCGAGTTCCTCGCCTTCATCGCAATCTGCGCAGGAGTTTGTGCTCCGTGCGTTCCGTCCACCGCGTTCGCCTCTTCCATCGCTCTCTTCATCGCCAGTAAGTCTTTTCCACGTTCAATTCGTGTCAGGCCTGAAAAACCGTACATAACGGAGTTTAAAAGTTAGACTGCGAAGTAATAGAAGGCCTCAAAAGCCGTCCATTCAAGACGATGTATCTCAGTTGCCGGTAGAGAGAGCAAAAAGTTGTTAATAGCTAAAATGTACACAATGTGCTCCTGAATATTTTCTCCGTTGATTCGTTTTTGATAACTCCAACGGCAGCTGAGATATATATCATAAATAAACGGTACTGGGGTACCCTTCTATCACAGTATATACGGAAGATGGAACCTGAAGTTAAAGAGAATTCGCCAGTCAGCCGTTCGTTTTCAGTGCTGTGCTCCCTGCTGGCCGACGGAATCTTCTTCCTCGCCGCCAACCGCGTCGACAACCGCTTCGTGCAGGGAATGGTGGGAACGTACGAGCAGCGCATCGGCTACGCCTTCTACCTCCATCTGATGGGAACGCTCTGCTGGATCGGCGCGTTCGTCTGCTCTCTCCTCACCACCTACAAGTTCGTCTCCGGCGGACAGGACGACGGAAGGTTCGGCTTTTTCTCGGCTCGTTTTCAGTGAAACGCACGTCATTGTGTTCTTTTCCGCCGCCTCCCTCGTTTATTTCTTTCATCCTTTTTTTTGTAGCAAGGAGAACCTATTCACCTGGCAGCAGCAGACGCAACCAGCCACTCTCAGCGTGTAACTTTCCTCTTCCTCTTCTTCTTCTTCTTCTTCTTCTTCTCGGGTGGCTCTAACCGGCTTCTTCTAGTAGTTGTGCATGGACACAGTGCTCTCAAAACTCTAGGTTTTCAGCTAACTGGGCGTGTCTGCTGCTGACCCTTTTCCGTAGTGCTTTTTGTGTCGTTTTCGTTGTTGTGCTTTGTGTGCATCCACGTTAGTTTCAGAGAGTACGAAGACCGTCGACATCATCATCATCATCATCAGCAGCAGCAGCAGCAGTACAGCAGCAGCCGTTCCACGTGGATCAACTAAACTGCCCCTCTATCCCTTTGTTTTGAGAGCACTCATCCCTCTTCTATTAGTTGGTATCGCCCTAGATTCAGTGTATTTTTGAGTTTTTTTTTTTTTTAAGTAAAAAAGCTAAACAGACATACACTGAATAACCCGATGACACGTTTGACTCAGCAAACGCGCTCCACCGCACTCGCGTTTTTCACTCAATTTTCGCAAGTGTTTCGATGAAACCACGTGGAAATGAGTTAAATGTACGATTTTGAAACAAGAAAAGTGCAAAAAGCGAGAACTTTCGTTGCGATTGAAGACGAAAATGAATGAAAGCGCTGTGTGCTGAGCCAAACGGTAGGTACAGTGTGTCGAAAGCTCGGAGATGGACGCAAAGTCTTTGATTAAAGTATCGAACGTTTCAGTGAATTTGAGTGAAAAACAATTTTTCTACTCAACACTTTCCACATGCTGTACCATCAAAATCGTCTTCCCTAACCACCCCCTCTTCCTAACCAATCACCTCGATTCTTGCAGAAATGATCTTCCGTACCGGCGCGAGGAGCCGCTCCTCCAAGACAAATTCGCGCAGTCGGCGTACCGACCGAGCCCCCAAGTACCGTACCGAACAACCAGTATACCCCAATTCCGTGAGACCAGTGCCTAACTATTGCCCTTTTCCTCCTCCTGCTCATTTCAATTTTCCTCTGCATTTTGTCTTGTACATTCTGGTTATCGCCGCCATTCTGTGCTCTCTTTTCGTTTTCCCCCTCGCTTCTTCTTCTTCTTCTTCTCCTTTTCCCACTCGCACTTTCCCCGTATCTCATGTCTTTTAAATACTTTCTATGTTCCAATTCATATTGACATCCCGTTCTCCAATTCCTCTTTGTGCTATAAATGTATGAAATGTTTTCAATCGTAATTGTGCTCACATGTGAGCAAATTCCCTATCAAAGTTTTCGGAGACCAGGAGACCTTTCCTTGTGACACAAAGCAGGTGAAATAAGCAGCCGTATAGCCACGACTTTTGGTATATCATTGGAAATGAACTATAGATGAACATATCCACTATTATTGACGATTTAATAGAAGTCAGTAGAAGTAACGCACTGCTGGTTTCGATCTGTGCGTATCTTTTAACCATTCCTCTGTTCATCCTCACCTTCCCCGCATTTATTTATGTGAGCAGGTTGAATCGAGCACGCGACAAAACGGTTTTGATGGTTTTTTGTGAAAAACTCTTTCTCTAATTGTTCTAGACGGCAATCTACCCAATTATCCATCATTTCTACAAATCGACAATAATCACGTTCATATGTTTCGCATGTCTCTTCTCGGTAAACGTTTTGCCGTACTTTCAAAATCAATTTCTGTAAGTTTGATATGAAAAACTGCTTTGAAAAATGTTCAATTAAAGTCCAGAATCATCATTTTCACCATCATATGCATGGCCGTAATGAATGAAATCTCTCAAGTGCAACGGATAATGTTAACGTTTTTGGGTTTCCAGAGATTTCTATTATATTTCTTCCCGAACACAGACCCTTATGTGAATATATCCAGCCAGAATATGGGATATTTTATTGGATCAGTGTATTTCGTCACTATTTGTAAAGATCTATACGCTTTCATCTCGTTTTTTGTTCGAGACGTCAATTCGAACGTGTTGGTAATGAAATCTGGTGGGTATTCCGGTTATAATGCAATTTTTAGTGGATATATTTGGGCCAACACATACTTCTCTTCGTTTCTTCCCTTCTATACATTCCAATAATTATAAGTCTGCGAAAAAACGCTCATTTACCGTCAATTATGCAAAATAAACCCGAGAAATACATTTTGTATCAGACAATCGCAGTTATGATCTCTAAGCTTGTAAGTTTCGAATCTTGCGCGCCACGGCGACCAAAAACGTAGAAAGGGGCGTGGCCTAGCGTGCACTGTTTATCACCATTTGGGCGCGAAATTCGAAATTTATCCCCATTTTTCATGTTTTTCGTCAAAAATTACCTAAATTTTGTACGATTTCGACGATGTAATTGCATAACTTTGTTAAACTAATCATCGCGCGCACTTTTTGAGCTTAAAACGAGCAGGTTTCATTCGGAAATGAATCAATTGAATCGATTTCAAGTTTTGTGCTGAAAATTCGCGAATTTCAGTCATTCGCCGACACTTTTTGCCGTTTGAACGCTTAAAATACTTGTATTAACGTGCTTAATCACTTCCGACACTCACTTCGTCTCAAAACTGTCCAGATCGGCCGCTATGAAAATTCCGAAATTGCGGCGGCGATTGGCCGCGGAGAGCGTATTGCGAAATATGCCAAAAACGTCTCAAACGCGGCGTTTTCACGAAAATTTCGATGTTTTCTCTCTTTAATGTATCTTCTTTCGTCGATATCAAACACAAAAATATCGGAAAAGTGCTGGAATTGCGGCAATTTTCAGAAAACGCGTCTCAGATTAGGCCACGCCCCTTTCTACACTTTTGATCGCCGTGCGCTTTTGTAAAAACGTTCATGTATTAACAGATAATTTTGCCAAATACTCTAAACAATTTGTGGAGTGGTGATGCAACATACCGCGTAAGCAAACGACTGTGTGTCCAACAAGAACACTTTTTTGCAGATATTGATACTCTCCGTACCGTTTGACATTATTGTCACTCCAGTCGTCATCCAATTCTCGTATCTGTGCGCCAATAAACGGAACGCCCAATCGTTTGATGCAATGCTTTTGGAACCTTTTCGATACGTGTGGAACATGCTCATGCAGCGTACTCGAATTTATCCCAACCACTAAGCTTCACGATTGCACATGTCTATTCCCCATTTTTTTTGTTGCAAATAAATGAAAAAAAAATCGACTCGTTTTTGGCAGTGTTCGAGAAATGAGAGGTTCATAGTTTTCCATTATTTTCCAGTGATCAGTCAGACTATTATCAGAAAAGTTTTGTGGTCCGGTCTTCCATAACTGACGATTTTGATGGTACAGCTCATGTCTTTTAAATACATTTTATGTTCCAATTCATATTGACATCCTGTTCTCCAATTCCTCTTTGTGCTATAAATGAATGAAATGTTTTCAATCGTAATTTTGCTCACATTTGAGCGAATTCCCTATCAAAGTTTTCGGAGACCAGGAGACCTTTCCTTGTGACACACAGCAGGTGAAATAAGCAGCCGTATAGCCACGACTTTTGGTATATCATTGGAAATGAACTATAGATGAACATATCCACTATTATTGACGATTTAATAGAAGTCAGTAAAAGTAACGTACTGCTGGTTTCATTATTTGCGTTTATTTTAACCATTCCTCTGTTCATCCTCACCTTCCCCGCATTTATTTATGTGAGCAGGTTGAATCGAGCACGCGACAAAACGGTTTTGATGATTTTTTGTGAAAAACTCTCTCTCTCTCTCTAATTGTTTTAGACGGCAATCTACCCAATTATCCATCATTTTTACAAATCGACAATAATCACGTTCATATGTTTCGCATGCCTCTTCTCGGTAATCGTTTTGCCGTACTTTCAAGATCGATTTCTGTAAGTTTGATATGAAAAACTGGTTTGAAAAATGTTCAATTAAAGTACAGAATCAACGTTCTCACCATCACGATATGCTCGGCCGTAATGAATGCAATCTCTCAAGTGCAACGGATAATGTTAACGTTTTTGGGTTTCCAGAGATTTCTATTATATTTCTTTCCGGACACAGACCCTTACGTGAATATTACCAGCCAGAATATGGGATATTTTATTAGATCAGTGTATTTCGTCACTATTTGTAAAGATCTATACGCTTTCATCTCGTTTCTTGTTCGAGACATCAATTCGAACGTGTTGGTAATGAAATCTGGTGGGTATGCCGGTTATAATGCAATTTTCAGTGGATATATTTGGGCCAACACATACTTCTCTTCGTTTCTTCCCTTCTATACATTCCAATAATTATAAGTCTTCGAAAAAACGCGCATTTACCGTCAATTATGCAAAATGAACCCGAGAAATACATTTTATATCAGACAATCGCAGTTATGATCTCTAAGCTTGTAAGTTTCGAATCTTGCGCAAGAGGCGACCAAAAACGTAGAAAGGGGCGTGGCCTAGCGTGCACGGTTTATCACCATTTTGGCTCTAAATTCGAAATTTAACCCCATTTTTCATGTTTTCCGTCAAAAATTACCTAAATTTTGTACGATTTCGACGATGTAATTGCGTAACTTTGTTAAACTAATCATCGCGCACTTTTTGAGCTTAAAACGAGCAGGTTTCATTCAGAAATAAATCAATTGATTGGCCGCGGAGAGCGTATTGCGAAATATGCCAAAAACGCGCGGCGCGGCTTTGCGACGTTCACCAAACGTTTGATCGTCAGTCTGTGCATTTTGACACGCCGGTGTTGCTCTGCGTACAGTGCATTTTATGTTACGCACAAAGTTCTTTTTTTTTAGTTGTTGATGAATTTTCTCCAAATATTCATCTTTTTAAAGCGTTTTTATCCACTTTCTACCTCAATTAGACCTTTTTACAGATTCCAGATGAAGTAATACGCGAAAAGAAGTCGATGCGATGAAAAGAAACGCGTAAGTAAGTGAAAGTAAGGTTTTATTCAGAAAATGCACGATTTCTCGAAAAACGTGACTAGATTTTCTAATCTTTTGGTTAAAAAACTTTACTTACATTTCTGAGAATGTTTTGGAACCAAAAAGAAGTAGAGTGACAGCTCGCTTTCGCGGAAAAACCGATAGTTTGCCGGAAGACAATGAAATTTCGTTGAAAAATTTTTTTTTTGCTTCTACGAACTGTCACTCTATTTTTTTTGGTTCGAAAACATTCACAGTCATGTAAGTGAACAATTAAAATAAAAAAGTAGAAAATCTAGAGACGGTTTTTAAGAAAAAATTTTTTTCAACGAAATGTTACTGTTTTCCGGCAAAAAACCAATTTTTACGCAAAAGCGAGCTGTCACTCTGCTTTTTTTTGATTCGAAGACATTCACAGTCATGTTAGTGCACTTTTTAAATCAAAAGATTAGAAGATCTAGAGACGTTTTTCGAGAAATCGTATATTTTCTGAATAAAACATTACTTCCATTTACTTACGCGTTTCTTTTCATCGCATCGACTTCTTTTCGCGTATTACTTCATCTGGAATCTGTAAAAAGGTCTAATTGAGGTAGAAAGTGGAGAAAAACGCTTTAAAGAGGTGAATATCTGAAGAAAATTCATCAAAAACTAAAAAAATGAACGCGTAACATAAAATGCACTGTACGCAGAGCCACACCGACGCGGAAAAATGCATACCATTTGACTGCGTATGTTGCGAGAGCCGCGCCGTGAAACATCTCAAACGCGGCGTTTTCACGAAAATTTCGATGTTTTCTCTCTTTAATGTCTCTTCTTTCGTCGATATCAAACACAAAAACATCGAAAAAGTGCTGGAATTGCGGCCATTTTCAGAAAACGCGTCTCAGATTAGGCCACGCCCCTTTCTACTCTTTTGGTCGCTGTGCGCTCTTGTAAAAACGTTCATGTATTAACAGATAATTTTGCCAAATACTCTAAACTATTTGTGGAGTGGTTATGCAACAAATCAGGTAAGAAAACGACTGTGTGTCCAACAAGAACACTTTTTTGCAGATATTGATACTCTCCGTACCGTTTGACATTATTGTCACTCCAGTCGTCATCCAATTCTCGTATCTGTGCGCCAATAAACGGAACGCCCAATCGTTTGATGCAATGCTTTTGGAACCTTTTCGATACGTGTGGAACATGCTCATGCAGCGTACTCGAATTCATCCCAACCACTAAATTTCACGATTGCACATGTGTATTCCCCAGTTTTTTTGCAAATAAATGAAAAAAAATCGACTCGTTTTGTGCTCGAGAAATGAGAGGTTCATAGTTTCCCATTCTTTTCCAGTGATGACTAATATCAGAATAGTTTTGTGGTCCGGTCTTCCATAACTGATAGTCAACTTGCGGAATGTTTCCTATCAGAGCAATCGTTTCGAGTTCAGATATTGTCGGACTGCTAGCCAAGCGAATAGTGTCAGAAAAAGTGGGGTCTTCCCACGGTCTCCAGAGCTGACAATGGGCGCAAGTGCGCCCCGCCCAATAGAGCGATACATTGGCGCGAAATTCAAATTTTAACAGCAAAATTTGTGTTTTTTGCCAGATTAGCCACGAAAACCCGATAATTTTTTATTTGTCTCTCGATAGACCGATTGTATAGGCTATTACGAATTATTTAAGCGCAAGAGCGCTAAATTTGGCCGAGTCGCAAATCCCGTTTATCCGTTTGAAGGTTTTTGGCTAAAACTGCGTGAATTTCAGTTGCTTTACGGTAATTTTCGCGGTTAGAGCGCTCAAAATGCTCTCAAAACCAATTCTGTCGGAAAACGGTCAAGAAAGCGCAAAATGAGAAGTGCGGTTTTTAGGCGGCGATCGGCGGCGATCGGCGAAAAAGCAAAGTCCGCGAAAAATGCGCCAAAACGTAATTAATTTTGAGAATTCGTGTGTTTTCTTGTCGAACAATCATTTTTCATCGCTTTTGACCACAAAAATCAGAGAAAACCTGCTCAATTCATGAAAAATTGCATGCTAGTTTTCATTTTTTCCGTTAGATCCTAACAAAAACAGTACGCTTCATGGATTTTACAGATTTTACGGAATTAACGGATGTATTTATATCAGTGCAAGACTTTCATTCGGTTCATTATTATCACAATTTACAAAAAAAAACATTGGGACAAAAAATGGGGGGCAAAACGGACAAGAAAACACCCGGATGATGATTGTGAAGGACTTGGCACAGAAAACTTGAGTACACTGCTCGGTTCCTACGATTTCGGTCCCTTTGGAAGGGCATTCGTATCAGCGGAGTTGCGAAAAAGTCAAAGACGATCCTCGTTCAGCTTCATCGCCGCCGCTTTCTCCAACTTTTTGTTGTAATAGTATGACCAGTAGACGATCTGAAATCGCACATTAATTGTGTTTTGAATTGAGAGCGCGGCCGCATGTGTACATTGAAAATGGCAAAGCAGGCGGGGAACATGATCGCCGACAGTCGGTCGATCTTCTCGGGGCTCCAATTCCAGCAGTCCTGGAGCGCTCGCAGTCGGAGAATACCCGCCCATCCGGCGGATCTCCGCTCGACCGGCAGCATGAAGCGCTTCTCGTACCGACACAGTCCTGCCGGCGACGCTTCAAAGTTGTCGATGAGCTTCTTGTGCGGACACTTCTTCTTCGCGCCCTCCTCGTTCTTCGTCTTGTAGCCGACAATCGCCAGTTCTAGAAGCGATAAGAAGATGAAGGTCATCGAGACCAACATCCACACGTCGATCGCTTTGACGTAGGAGACACGTGGCAGGTTGCGCATGATGTTGCCGAATTGGAAGATCATTGCGAGCAGGGCATTCACGCCGAGCATCGTGCGAGCTGGCATCGCTTTCGTGCCCAGCGAGAATGAGATCCAGCTGAAAGAGAAAGAGTTAAGAATCAGAGATTTCTTGACAAACCTGATGAAAATGGTGAGGTAGGTGGGAAGGTACGCTTGCATAAAGTACCAAATGTAGCGACGCTCGAACACCAACTTCACATGCAGCTCGTCCCACATTCCGGCCGGATACGGAGCCGAAACGCGCGTCGGCTCAATCTTGATGAGCTCAAAGTCCGGAAGCCGAATAATATTGGTGACGGAGACGGGCTCGGCGCCCTGCTCGTTCCATCTCATGCGCACTTCCTGATTGTTGTAGTTGAAGCTCTCGTAGATGAGATGGCACTCCTGAATGTCGAGCGGGAACAGCTCCAGCGACAAATCACACGGTCCTTTGACGTTGACGCGCTGAAAAGGAGTCAACGCTCAATGGGCTAGCGCCTTCTCGCTCACATAGTTCACCCAAACTGTTCCATTCGGGTAGAGCATCAGGAAGACATTTCTGGAAATGAGCGAAACAATAAATTTACAAAAGTTGACAGGTTTCCTACTTGAACGGCGAGTCGTGAATCTCGGCAAACTTGCTGTTGATGAAACAACTGTTCGGCGTCCAAAGTCGTTCGAGAACCTGTCGTAAAATGTGGACGCGTGTACAAATTCAATCGGGCCAAAGTGGCGGGGGGTGGCTACTCACTTGATGACTGACCGACAAATTCTGTTTACACGGATTAAGGTGCTCGAAGTTGAGTGCCGGATCCAACCACATTTCGTTAATGTAAATGTCCATCTGTAATCGGGATTCGGTGGAAGGAAGAGTGTATGTCTCGTTGCGCCTAACCTCGAAATCATTGGTAATCTCGTTGATGGACGTGATCGCCTGCACCCAAAACTCGACTTGCACATGCACTCCGTCGTCGTCTAAAATCATACACTTTTCAGGCGGATAACACTTCAAAATTCTCACTCGGTATCCGGAACTTGTTGTATCCGGTCCCGTTGAGCAACTTGTCAATGATGGCCGGCTGGCGCGTGCAGTTTCGTTTGCGCGGCGCCGCTTCCGTCACCGGATCGTCGTCCGAACTGACGTTGTAGTCGTTGTCGATGACGACGGCGCAGGTGATGAGGAACGGCAGAAAGAGGAGGATGTTCGGAGCATGGTTGAGCATCTGAAACAGGGGCAGAAGAATGAGAAGTTTGAATCGAAAGAAAGAAGAGTGAAGTGAACGAAAAGTTCAAACGGATGAGCCGAACTTTGCACCTCTTTGCAGAATCTCGAATTTCATCAAGAGCCAAAAGCGCTCGAGTTGAGAGTGTGCTCACATTCATCGATAAACGAACTAAATCAAAAGTTATCATAAATAATTGACACGGATGGGAGTTTGGAGCCTAGAGGCGACGAATGAGCAAAAAGAAGAAGAAGATGAAGAAGAAGAAGAAGAAGAAGAACATCAGTGAGAGGAAGAGGGAGAGAGAGAGAGGAAACCGGGGGGTGACCGACTGGTGTGAAACGGGAAATGCGAGCAAATCGGGCGGCACAAATCCTTCTCTTTTCGATATCCGAAATGTTGAAACATCAAAAGTACATGCGACTTTTTCGACCTATACTCAAGTGTCGGCCTGGGCCTAGAACCACTTCCTTTACAGGCTTTTTCGACTAAAACATCATGGGCCCAAGTTTCAGACCGATCGGATTATCAGAAAGCCCGGGTTTTCTGCAAAAACGAGGGCTTCTAGGCTCTAGATCAGTATAGCCTTCGAGCAAATGATCGGATCGGACCGAATCTTGAACCCAAACGTGGTACCGATTAGCTAGGGCTGTTGCGGAAAGACAGATCAAAAACTTTGAGCCGACTGACTCATCGGCCGACTTGATGCGACGGGCGAGACAGACACTCTTGCAGGTGTCTAATTAAAGTTGAAAAGTTTAGCCGTCTCTTCCGGCTCCTCCGTCTTCTCCAAAAGATATTGACCGCGCGCGCGCGTCGCTTCTTGCCCCCTAACTTTGTGCGGGGGACGTGAGAAACACGGAAAAACGGCGACGTCATCTTGACCAAAATTAAGGCGAAACTTTCTGATTATCAAAGGCAGGAAGCGAGCAAGACCGGAGTGTTCTGTTTCGGCAACGATTCATATTGAAACAAAGATGTCCCTGAAGAGCGGCGTCAAGGATGACGAATGGCTTGGCACGTCGTGCCGTCAAAAAATAAATAAAGGGGGGGGACGGCGGCCCGGGCGCCAAAAGGGTTCGTGTACAAAAAAAGTTGACGGCTCAAAGGCTCAGCACTTTTGTGCGGCCGCACGCGCGGCACGGCTGCTGTACTAGTCAAAAAGGTCTAGGAGGCGGGGACCTCCAGTTGCCAAGCGGGTGGTCCTTGCTCTCCGCGCAGACTACTGAAGGTGTCGAGAAAAGTCGTTTGCAAGAAGAAGAAGACAGACAGGCTTAAATTGAAGAGGTCAGAGCTCAGGCGGCCGTCAATTCCCTCCGACTTCTATTATTACGATTATATGCGAAGCCAACTGACTCTTTTCTAATGAGCTCCCGACTTAAAACGACCGGGTAAATAGAGGTTCAATAACGGAAATGATGAATATGAACAATACCGAATGGGAAATGTACGAATCGCCTAAAAATTATAATATACCTACCCCCTACTGATAATTTCATGTTTTCCTGGGCTACGACGGAAACCGAAAAAAGAGCAGAAGGAGGAGGAGAAGAAGAAGAAGAAGAGAGAGGTGAGGTGGAAAAGTTTGGCCGGAAGCCGGTGACGTGGTGTCAACGAGGATGGATCAAGAATCGGAAAGTGTCAAAGCGGGAACATGCGCTTCGCGTTTAATTTGAGGCGAGACGCACTTTGCAGGGCAGGTTCGAATCAACTTTGACAGTGTGTTATTAGCAAAAATTGATTTGGCAAAATGGGAAAAAAGGGGTCATCATGATGTGCAGGATTAAAAGTGAAGCGCGCTGGCACTGCGCCACCGCGTTGAACGCTGCAGCTGCTCCCAATGGCAGTGATAAGAGCGCGGGTAGTTTGGCGAGAAATCAGAAATCTAAACTTGAAATTAATCTGGCAAAAACCTAAAATTAAGCGACAGTCGAAACTTGTTCTAGTGACGGAATAAGGTCAGAAATAGGAGAAGAAGAACAACTATTTCTCTTTCTCTCTTTCTTTTTCTCTCACTCGACATCATCTGGAAAAGCGGAAAAGCGCAACACCGCCGCCGCCGCGCGGGCCGAGTGATTTGGCCGTGAGGTGCTCATCTGATCGTAATTGCTTGTGATGCTCCGTCGTCTTCTGCATAAATAAGTTAGGCGGCGGCGGGCGGGCGCGCCCCAATGGCTCGGACTTTTGTGCAGTTCAGCTCCTACAGACTTTTCCAATGAGCTCAAAATAGTTGCGAAAAGGGCGGAGCCGATTGCGTCGTCGTCGACGTCGTCGACGTCGTCGAAAGTTCAGAAAGCGGTGAAGCACGTCGAAACATGTGTGTCGGAAGTGGAAAGGTGTATGAGAAGCGATGAAGAAGGTGGCGAAGAAAGAGAAGGAGAAAAAGAACGAAGAAGAAGAAGAAGAAGAAGAATTTTATCCGTTTTATATTGATATGTGCATATGTATACACACACATAATATTCGGAGCACATTGGCGACCACGGGTATTCTTCTTCTTCTTCTTCTTCTTCTTCTTCTTATCCATTCTCTCTCTCCATTCGGAAGGTTTTATTGGATGTCGACACAGAGAGAGAGAGAGAAAGAGAGAGAAGAATGATGTGAAGGTAGAAAATTGGTATGGGATTCGGAAGGAAAGGTAAGGTAGTCGAATGTCGGAACAATATCATCATTTCTCTGTCGCGAGCACATAATCGGACGACGCGTTCAAACATCTCGCAGAGAATACGGTAGATTAGAGCCCCCGTTTTTTTTCGCGACCGCTGGCCTAGCTTGCGTGGAAGAGCGGCTGCCAACTTCGGTCAAGCCAGCGAAATTTTGTGCGAATTTTGCGCGCTTTTATGGAAAAGACTCCTCCAACTGTAACAATACGTTATCCAAACTTCCGGAACCGCTCCGAAATGAGCTCTTCCGCCGGTGACGTAACTAAAGAGCTCGGCATCAATTGAGTGCGCGCGGACGGAGCGAAAAGAGTTAATTGGGACCGAGTGTGACACTTTAGCCTCTCCCTTTTTCCCCATTTGGAAACAAAACGCGATGAGATAATAATTGAATGGCGGCGGCCGGCGGCGAAGAATGGGCGACTGGGACCGCCGAAAAGGGAACAAGTGGATTGTTTTGAGGGCGCTCTTGAGCCCCCTTCGAACATGGTTCTTTTCGACGAGAAAAGAAGGGGAGGTATGCGCTGTCGGCGGGTGTTCGTACGCACACAAAAACATGATGGCGTGAAGGCGACGGAAGAGGATATCAAAACAAGGTTTTCAAAGTCAACAGGTCGCCTTCAAAGGGTTCGGATTACGACGACGACACAAAGAGACTTTTTCTGGAATCGGAATGTTTTCTCTTTCGCAAGGGTCTAGACTGCTGGCTAAGGTAATGTCACTTTTGTAAAAAGACCAAGAATCAGACTGGCCGCCACATTTTCAGTGAAAAACTCGGCCCGATTAGGAACAGAGCGTGATTGCTGAGAAATGCGGCGACAATATTATAGCGGGAACACCGCACAGAAATGGCGCTCTGTTGAGAAACTCTTTTTGCAGTGCAAATTGAGCAGCGACCTCGGGGCCGAATTTGAAAAGTTAGGCCACGTTCTCAGTGGAAAATTACTTCGCGGCCTAGAAATTCGGCCAGATTGCGAACAGCGCGCCCCTATAATACGCTTACCAACAACCGTTTTTGTGAAGTTTGAAATTCGTGGGCCATGCCTGTGGCCTAGAATTGGAAATTTGTTGTCGTCGTGCGGTAGAAATAATTTGAGCGAAGCCCGTCGTCCGGCCCGATTGTCGGCCACCCGCTCGTCGTGTTTTCGTCGTTATTCTTCGCTAATTTGACTCTCGATTGGTTTTATTCCAATTCCCAATCATCCCGCGCCAAACAAATAACAAGTGCAGTGTTCATTTGTGCTATCTAGACTGCCCCCCTCCACATGCTGTACACTCGGCGGCGAGTGGCATGCCTAGGCATCGAGCCCCCCGTTTCCTCGTCCGTCATTCTGGCCGAGTGGTCTAAGGCGCTGCGTTCAGGTCGCAGTCCTCTCCGGAGGGCGCAGGTTCGAATCCTGCGGATGACATAACTTTTTTTGTAGAAATTTATGTACACGAGATGAGAATCATTGCAGAAGGAACAAAAATAAAGTAGAGCGTTGATTTGATTACTTCTTTCCAATCATAGCACCCATTGCGGCTCCCATAAGTGCTCCGCGCAGCATTCCACCCACTGGATTGTAGCGATACCCATAACCGCCGCCATAAGGATATCCGTAGCCGCCTCCGTAACCACCGTAGCCGCCCGGATATCCGTAACCGCCCGGATATCCACCGTACATCGGAGGGTATCCGTACCCGCCGCCATAGGGCATTCCTAGAATAATAATAATACATTTTAAAAAATTCAAAAAATCTCCTCACGCTTACCGTAACCTCCATAGAACTGTGCAGACGTGGTACAGGTACCAAACGCGAAAACGAACAGTAAGACGGTCAAGAAGTTCATCGTCGAGTGGCGATTGATTCTGAGAAAGAAAATAAATACGAGGGAAGAAGGTAGATGCGGCGTGGCGAATAGTGAACAATTCGACGAATAGAGAGATCGAAAGGAGACGAAGAGGAACGAAACGAAATGATTTCGGAGGCAAATGGTCAGTCGACGGAGGACACGCCTCGACCGACTAGTTGCCAACGGACGGGTTCTTAAGAAGGAGAAGGAGGAGGAGGAGGAGGAGAGATTATGGACTTTGGGTCATCTGAAATACGGGTTTCGCAGATAAAACATAAACAGTTGATCTCGTCTGGCAACATTTCAGCGCGAAATTCATCAACAATCTGTGACGATTTGTGCTCAAAACGGGCGGATTTCAATCAGAATTGGGTTTTATGCTGAAAATGCTCGAATTTCAGACCACTTTTGCTGTTTGCAATGCTTTTTGACTTCCGACACTGAATTCGTCCGAAAACCGCTCATTCGAGGCATCATATCTCAGTTGCCGGTGGAGATATCAGAAAGTAGTCAACGTAAGTTGAAAACTCCACCAATCACCACGAAACGTCCAGTTCAGAATAGACATTCTTCATGCTTTGACCCTTCTCCGTGTGGCCTTCTGTAATCCGACCTTCCACTTCCTTCTCCGTTTCATACATTTTCCACATTCAATTCTGCTCAGCAAGCCCTCAACGACAGCTGCAAAATGTTTCAGAAGTCACATTAGTCATCGCCTTCTTTCTCTCTCTCTCTCCCAATGTTTAATCAACCCTTGCCACACACGTTTACCCCGTAATCCCCTTCTTTTCTTCAAACTTTACGAAAATTGTGAAATGTTTGAGAATTCGAGAGTTCGCCAAAGTTTGACTCACTTTTTAAGACCGTCAAAGTCGCCATTATACACGAGAGAGAGAGACGTCTAAAGTTGACCATTATTTGGCCGGCGACCTTCAGGTTAACACGAGTATTTGCGGGTTGGTGGGGGGGCACGTGAGAAATTGAAATTGAAATGAAAACACAAATAATCACACGTCAACTGGGATTCGACGGAAATAGGCCCAAATTCAGGCCCAAACTTCGCAGGCTTCTTGGGCTTGGGGCCTGGCCCTATCGGCTCGAGTTCTTAACATTGGCCTCAACAATGTAACCCAGTTTGGCATGTTCAAAGCACAAAAAAAAGGTCATTTCCCACACACACAAACTTTACGAAATCCGTTCTCGCCCCGCTGCCGCTTTGTTTGTCCCTGTGTGCCCCACGTGGACGAACGCGAGAGAGAAGGAGCGACCAACTCTGGCGCCGGTCGTCAGCGGCAACCACCCGAAACCCCCTATTTTCCAATTTTACAGCGTCTGGTAGGTGTTTGTTTTTGTTCGTTTCGAATGAATGTGTACACGACCTCGCCGGTCCGTGCCGAACAGATAAAGTATTCGCGAGATCACCTGGCCGGACATTTCTCGAATAAAAAACCTAATTTCTGAATTCAGCTGCTGCTGCTGCTGCTGCGGCGGCGACGGCTGCTCGCTTCGCATTCTTCGCAAACCGCGACAAATTGTGTGACCACGTGTGACGTAGCGTAGAAGAAAAAGCTCATTTTGTTTCGCGGCAATAACATTGTGAGTCGAGAGCACACACACACACACACCATCATGATGATTATTGTTTTCTGCCACTTTTCGGTTTCACCACGTTTTTCTCTCTCTCTCTATTCCCTGTCAGAAACACGAGAATGTTTGACACATTCCCGAGAAAAACCTATTCAAAATCGCTAGCGACAGTGTACGGTAGCGGTTTAAAGGCGCATCAGTAAACTTTAAAAACTCGTTTTCAGTCCAAACGAAAAAAATGCAAAAGCGATGGCAACGTTTGAGTTTTTATTCCGCTTCTTAATGAAGAAAAGAGATTTTTAAGCATTGTCCCATGCGCAAGTTAAAAATTTTTGAAATTTTTCAAGTGCGATGGCGGCGAATGAAATTTGAATTCCAGCCAACGCGATTGCTTATGCCGCGTCCAAAGTCTCGGAAAAACCGGAAAAACCGCAGGTTTTTCTGTCCAAAGTCGGCCGGAATTTGCGTTAAAAACGGGGGTGCGCACAGCTCAACGAATGTAACCGTACCCCTAAAACTACGGTATTTTTTGAAAATTTGCGCAAAAAATTTGAATATTTTCAAATATCCTCAAGAAATTAACAAATGTGCGCACTCCCGTTTTTCACGCAAATTTCGGCCGACTTTGGACAGAAAAACCTGCGGTTTTTTCCGGTTTTTCCGAGACTTTGGACGCGGCATTACTGATGAAGCATTTTCCTCGGCGTTTGGGTTTCGGTAGAGCGCACTTGCTGCCCATACTTGCACCTAATGTACCCTTCCAACTGAACCGATTCGCACCGAACTTCATGGGACCGCTTTCCAAGAAAAGTTGCGTTTGTTTTCTCTCATGTCAAAACACGTTCCCCGAGTATCGTCTTACCGTCCGGTCAACAATATGTTTTCCACTAACTAACCCAAATCTCTTCTCTGCACACTTTTATACAATCCGCAATCCAATTTCCTGCGCCGCGTCGTCATTATGAACCGCGATCAACGCGAAAAAGGGCACGCGCACGGATCGGAGTAATTTCGAGCGAGCGAGCGAGCGAATGAAAGGAAATTGGGTTTTCACCTGCTCTGCTCCACTCCTTCATCTTTCTGTTTCGACGCGGATTCCGATGACGCGCGCCGCCCATCCCACTCACCGATTTCCACGTCATTCTTCGAGCGAAAAGGCAGACAAATGTCTTGTTTACTCATGTGATTCAAATTATATAGTCTAGAGTTCTTCGCGTGCTCTTCAGAACCGATATCAGTCTCCATGACAACTCTTGATGCGGTTCGCGTACTTCTAATTTCTCAATTGTAATCAAATTTCTTCTTCGTCCTCTTCATCCTTTGTCTCTTTGCCCCGAAATCAGTGATATCAAAGATTGAGCTCAAGCGTGAGTGGTGAGTGACAAAACCTAATTAGCGTGTCCGCCAGTGCCTCGTGGTATGTATTTTCGCACACACCACTGCCCGCCTCCTTCTTCTCCACCCCAACTCATTCCTCACTTCCAATCCAAAGCCTCTACGGCTAGTACTCCTTTGAAAGTATTCGATGCTGTTTCGCAGGTGGCGACAGATGGGCAACTGCGACAGCCGCGACATTGCCGAACAGACGAAACAGAACAAGAAGATCAACGCGGAGCTGGCGACGGCCAAGAAGGACGATGAGAGCGTCATCAAGCTGCTGCTGCTGGGCGCTGGCGAGAGCGGAAAGAGTACGGTGTTGAAGCAGATGAAGTGAGTGGCGGATGTGCGCGGCGCGCGAATCCACGTGTCTCTCTTCAGAATCATCCACGACGACGGCTTCTCGCAGGAGGAGTCCATCGAGAAGAGGAACGTCGTCTGCGCGAACACCATACAAGCCATGGGCGCTCTGTTGGACGGCATGAAGCAGCTGAGAGTCGACTTTTCGAATCGAATGTGTAATGTGAGTCACGGTTTTTTTCAATTCATCTCCAGAAATCGAACACAGCCTCTCTGCTTATTTTCAAAATAAAAGTGCAATTTTCCATTTCCCCGTAGACTTTGCCGCTTTTGCACTTTTATAACAAAGTCCATAACCTTCTAAATCTCAACAACCAATGATTATAGGGAAAATTTTTGAGCACAACAACTTTATAATTGATCACTTCCACTCAAAATTCCTCATTCCTCAATCTACAGACATTTTGCTGACCTGTGACGAATAACAAAGACTTCCGAATCAGGAGGCTCTGTGATTGTTCTTAAAATCACGTTTCATCCCCTGTGTTGACTTGCAGGCGCATGAGAAGCTGATTCGCGAGACGTTGACCGACAAAACAGAGTTTGCGCCGTTCAACGACGCCATGTACACGTAGGTGGTCGCCTTCGAACTCAGAATTATACTATTCTACTCTTTTTTGAGTGCTCTCGTCGATTTGTGGGCAGACAAGGGCGTGCAGAGTGTGTACGAGCAGCGGGAGCTCTTCTATCTTCACGATTCGGCTAAATAGTAAGTAATCGGTCGGGCAGTTCAGAGTAAAGGAAACGTCGTTCAGCTTCTTCGACTCGATCGACCGAATGAACGCGGTGGGCTATGTGCCGACCGAGAACGACATTCTGCACACGCGAATCCCGACGATGGGCGTCATCGAGGTGAGGTTCAAAATGAAGGGAAAAGTGTTCCGCGTGTTCGACGTGGGCGGGCAGAGATCGCAGCGCAAGAAGTGGATTCACTGCTTCGACGACGCGAAAGCCCTCATCTACGTGGCATCGCTCTCCGAGTTCGATCAAGTTCTGCTAGAAGACAACACGACCGTAAGCCACGCCCCGCCAGAAGTTTGAACTTTTTCGACGCTTGCTGTTCAGAACCGAATGCTGGAATCGATTCAACTGTTCAAACAAGTGGTCAACAACAAGTACTTTGTCAACACCTCCGTCATTCTTTTTCTCAACAAAAAAGACATTTTCGAGGAGAAAATTGTCACCAAAAAGCGGAGTTTATCGATTGCATTCGATGCCTACACCGGTCAGTTCTCCCCATTTAAAGCGCATTAGACCCATTCCGCTTCCTCCGGCCAATTTTTTGTTCTACAGGACCCGCAGAAGATATGGAGGCGGCGATACAGTTTGTGGAGAAAAAGTACAAAGGAGTGTCGGATAACAAGGAGAAGAACATCTACTGCCATCAGACGTGCGCCACGGACACTCAACAAGTGCAGTACGTGCTCGACGCGGTGCTCGACACGATTCTGTCATCGAAACTGAAAGGATGCGGTTTGTACTGATGACACTGACGTTCTCTTCTTAATCATCGCAGTTCCGGGTGGGCAATAACATAATAATAATTATTATTTTGAAACAATAAACTCAATACTTTTTCGCTATGTACACGTGATATGATTGGCACAAATAAATTATGCGAGAAACTAGACAAATTGAGATTGTTGTTCGTGCGAGAATCGGGCGGACGCCGTCGTCGATTTGTGATGCGCGTGATGATGATCCGCCGTCGGCGGAGCCTCCGAATCGCCGTCGGTGGGCTCTCCGATTTGACACGGAAGTGTGTCGATGCCCAGTTTGCTCATCTCATTTATCAAGAGCTTCTCGAGCTCGTAACCGAATTTGATTTGATTCGCGATAAACGCGGAGAGCACCAGCCACGCTTCTGCGGTTATCGGGCACATCGACTTGACCCCGTCTACTTCGTCTGCAAGGTTTCAAAGTTCGAAGATACGAATCCAAGTGAGAATAAAACTGACGAGAGCACCGTCGACTGTTCACACAACTCGAGCAGAACGACGACTCCTCTTTGAGCGTCTGCATTTGTGATTCCGAGTGTCTTGACGTCAACGGTCGCGGATATCGCTGGACACCGGAGCTTTGCGAGAGGGACGTGCAAGATGTGCACATGTTCGAAGTGTTATCAGTGCTCGACGAGTCCGTCACCTCCTCCATCCGACTTTGCGTCTTCTGAAACACAATGAATTGAAAACTCTGTCTCTCCGCGGCCTCCGGACCAGGCCACGATGTTCTGTGCGGAAGCGATCAGCGCGCAGTTAACGTTGTGGCCTAGGAAACTCTATTTGACGGCCTTCCAATATGTCTGAAGATTGTACCGAACGCGGAAAATCTGGAACAGCCGACATGGCCGATGATTTTCCTAGGCCAAGGCCGCAACTTTGAGCGCGCGCTGTTCCGAACTCGGTTATCTCACCTCCACTTCCAAATGATCGCTCTCCTGCAACTGGCCCGCCGCCTCATTCATGCTATTCGCGAGCCTTTCGAAGTAGAGCGCCGACACTCGCTTCGGAAATCTGAAAGAAAAGGAAATAAGTTTTTGGACCTTGCGCTAAATCGTAAATCTTTTCAGATTTATGCGCACTTCCGTCGGCGCCGAGAGTCTCTCCGGTGGGAGATGAAATGAAGCCGAAAACGAGAACGAAAACGACGTACTTGGCGTAAATGGCGCCGAAATCGCGGAGAATATCGATTGAAGTGGAGGGTTCTTTGAGCCGACGCATCGTTTCGATAAGCACCGTGACGAAGCGCTGAAAACGAAATGCTCGTCAGCAAGTGCGCCTCAGCGACAAACTTGAACGTGAATCTTGAAGTTGATGTGGTTCCACCAGTTGACCTCATTCTTCAGGTCAATGTACGCCAAATATTGTGGATTCTCGGTGAACACGTGCTCGAACATCCGTCGTCCCATCTCGTAGACTGTGCCTGAAACGAGGAGGAGTGTCAGTGGTGACGCGCGCAAGTAAATGGTGTCCCCGGAGATCGACAAATGTTTCCGACGGTCGCAGAAGTTCGCGCGTGTGCCGCCGCCGCCCGAGAGATGGCCGCACGAAAAGAAACGAATTCAATTACCATCTTCTTTTGGCGAAAGTAGAGAGCCGTTTCGGAGGAGTCCACTCTTTTATCGCAAAAACGGGAGGAAAAAGAAGAAGTGGCCCCTCCGATTGACGTCAGCGACCGGCGCAGAAGAGAAGAAGCAAATGCGCTCTACTGCACTGTAATCTCAAAACTAAAAGAGGAGCGCGTTCGCTCACTAATTGTAAGAAGTAGTTTTTACTTTTTTTAGTGGGAAAGTTTGCGAAAAAGTTTCAGAGGTATGCTGGGAGCGCGGAGAAAATTTAGACCCCCCGCGGTTCCACAACCAACCTCTATCCATCCGATTCCACTTCCTCGCCAACAACGCCTTCTGATGCAACGTCAGCCCGGTGACCGGACAAACCGCCCGTCTCAGAGTGTTGCGATCCTTGTGCCGAGTGGTGCGCGACCGTCGGATGCCTCCTCCCTCGACCGGAATGCCGGTCGGCGGCCTCCGCACACTCGCACTTCTCGTCGCCGTCGGACTCTGCGAGACGGTCCGTTTCGGACCGGTTTTGGAAACGTTATTGTTGGACACGTCGGTGCTCGATTCGCTGTTTCCCATCGCTCTGAAGATGAGATGAGATGAGTTTTAAGGGCGAGAAAAAGAGATCACGAAGGTCATGAAACGAAACAGAAGAAGAAGAAGAAGAGAAGAAGAAGAAGGAATGCGGGCTCTCTCTCTCTCTCTCTCTCTCTCTCGCTTGCTCTCTTTGTCGTGAAAAGCCAGGAATGCGGAGCACTTGCCCGGCTCTCGGCGGGAGAAGCCAAGAGAAAAGGGGCGTGGCTTGAGGCATTGGACCCATGGGTTCAGGTGAGAATGTGTGTTCTCTGTTTTCATGTGGACAAGAGATAATGTTTCAGTGAAAAGTTGTGATTTGTGAACTAAACTACATAGTAGCTGGACTCATGGATTACTGTAGCCTCGTTTGCTCATTCTGTAGAACGTGTCGTCACGGTGAGCGCTCTGGAAAACCTTTTAACACGCGCCGAACCTCATTGTTCATTCAACTTTTTGAAAAGGTTTGGCCGAGTGGAAAGAGCCACATTGTTACCCTAATAACTCATAGGCAATAGAAATTTTGTCGAAAAAAAAAAGAGTGCGAGACGAAGGAGAAGAGGACATACATCTTGTTTTATGGTGCATCTTCTGGCCAGCACTGAGAAAAAGTTGGAACAAATTGAAAAGTGAAAACGGAAGGAGAGAGAGGAAGTGGAAGAAAAAGGACCGCTGGGGAGAAATGAAGAGTGGCGACGGAAATAGAATGTTTTGCGGTCTGGAGCAGAAATGAAATGACGGGGATGATAAGGTGACATGTGAAGTTTTTGTCTGCTTGCCACAAGTTAGAAGACAAGCGTTTGTTGTAGCCTCACGAACGAGTTGTGCGCCTTTAAACGCCCACGGTTACTGTAGCGTTAGACTTCCGCGCCACGGTCTCCAGAGCTGACAATATGGGCGTGGCCTCGGCCAAATGGCGTTTTCATGAATTGAGCAGGTTTTCACTGATTTTTGTGCTCAAAGGCGATGAAAAATGATTGTTCGACATGAAAACACACTAATTCTCACAGAATTAATGACGTTTTGGCGCATTTTTCGCGAATTTCGCTTTTTGGCCTTCGCCGCCGATCGCCGCCTAAAAACCGCGCTTTTCATTTTGCGCTTTCTTGACCGTTTTCAGACAGAATTGGTTTTGAGAATGATAAATCTCGTAAAAATAAGCATTTTGAGCGCTCTAACCGCGAAAATTACCGTAAAGCAACTGAAATTCACGCAGTTTTAGCGAAAAACCTTCAAACGGATAAATGTGATTTGCGACTTGACCAAATTTGACGCTCTTGCGCTTAAAAAATTCGTAATAGCCTATACAATCGGTCTATCGAGAGAAAAATGAGAAATTATCGGTTTTTCGTGGCTAATTTGGCGAAAACCACAAATTTTGCTGTTAAAATTTGAATTTCGCGCCAATCTATCGCTCTATTGGGCGCGGCGCACTTGCGCCCATTGTCAGCTCTGGAGACCGTGTTCCGGTACAAAGTGTTCAGAGTAAATGGCAAAGAAAAAGCAAATTGTCGTTGACCTTTCCTCTCCGAACTTGTCATTATTATGCTCTATTCTTGATTTGCGCGGCGCGGCGCAACAATCTTCTTGTCCGGCCGAAACGCCGGAAAAGAGACGAATGAGAAACGTGCGCGGAGCCAAGTGCTCCCGGATTGATGGATGATGCTCAGGGAAGAACAGTGAGAAATTGGAATAGAGTTCAAAGGAGCACACAAACATAAACACACAAAGTGTCTCTCTCTCTCTCTCGGAGTTGAGAGTCACGTGAGACTCGAGGTGGCAGAGGTGATAAACGGGGAAGATTGAGGAGGAAAAGCAAAGAACCACGGAAAACATGTTCGGATAGAAAATGTGAATACAAACACACACACACACACACACAAAACAAGGAGCCCCGAGACATATCAATTGAGAGAGCACAAGACATCTCCGTGGGGGATTCGTTCTCACGGATTTTCTGTGGCCGAGCCGCCTCTTTTCGAGCAAAGACAAAGGCGCGGGTGACATTGTTGCGATGCTGTGCAACTAGTAGGCGAGGGGGTCAAACTCTTGATGCATTATAGTTAAGTTAGTCTATGCACTCGAGTTTTCCTTTGGGGGCGCGTAGAGCAGGACTGTGTGCACCTTTCTGCTCATCTTTGAGCATTTTGCAGACTTTGAGCGGACAACAAATTGGATTTCATCCATAAAATATGTGTATTCATTCATGAAGAGAATCTCTTGCAAGTGAGTATGACAGCAAGAACTTCCGGTTGGGAAAAGTGGAAGAGGAATGGAATGTGAACAACTACTGTAGAGGGAACGTCCTCGGGGGAGCCGGAGCCAGAGCCGGAGCACTTTGTTCCGACTCTGACTCAAAAAGGAAAACATGTGTTCATCAGTCATTCGAGCAAAGATTACGGGTGTCAAAAAACTACCATTTGCTAAAAGAGATATCATTGATTCGATGACGCGTCAAACTCCAATGTGAATACTGTTTGGAAACGTGAGCACAACTCGGGAATGGCTCATTTTGAAGTAAAATAGTCAATTACAAAGTTATTCAACACAAAATTTCCGACAAGTTTTGTCTTAACCACTTTCCGCAAACATAATTGGTTCTTGAGGTATAGGGCTCAGAAGTAAGGATACTTTATGAAGAATGACATCAGTTTCAGCGCCTTCCCAAATCAGTGATAACTCGAAAATGACAAGTTTTAAGATAAAATGATCAATTACAAAGTTGTTCAGCACAACATTTTAAAAATGTTCTCTGTTGACCACTTTTTGAAATAACCTCTGGTTCTCGAGATAGAAGTCTTAGAGCATTGAGGACTAAAACTACATACAAAACAACTTTTATGCACGGCCATCACTGTGAAGAAGTTGAAAACGGAAATGACTGAAAAATGCGAAAATGCGATTGTTCGTGCATTGAGAAGTGACGTGTTCAAAACGAAAAAGAGAGAGAAAGAGGAGGCGGCGGCAATTCAATTTATCCGCCGCTCTTGCTCTCCCAATCTTGACGACGAATCTAGTCATCGGCCATATTTCACGAGAAGAAGGTGATGTCTTCTGAAGAGAAACTATTGCTTTCCGGGCAAGCGAGGATTAGAAATGAGGCTAATGAGGAAAAGGGAAGGACATTTTAGGATCAGAGATTAGTTGGCTTGCGGTTTTACGAATAAACAAGATCTCAGAGCAAATTTCGATCCGGGATCGGAGGTCGGCGCCACCAGACAATCAGAAACAGATTTTCGACTTTGACATGGTAACGGGGTCTACGACGCTTGATTTCAAAACCGCAACACATCATTTTCACCCAAACCTTTTCATAATTTAAATAAAATCAAGGGAAGCAACAAAATTTGTAATTTCAGAACATTTTCACATTCTCCTACATTCAGTTCAATCGGCTCACTGTCATCATTGACTCTATCGTCTACGAGCCGCGGTTAGTATCTCGGCAAAAGTGCGCAACTTTTGGTCTTATCGATAGTTGCATTGACATCTAACCGTTCTTGTAGGTATAGAAAAGCTACAGTTGGATAGCTCTCGCTCGTCCTGCCCACTCCTCGGCAGCTCTCGGCAGCGCTTCTGCCCTTCATAGTCGCCTCCATCGTCCTCTCGCTGTCTCCCAACCTCGCTAGCACGATTTTGACGGCAAAAACTTGTGGGTAAGTCGCACCCTTCTCCGATTTCTCGACACCTGATCGTTTTTTTTCCACTTTACTGAGACGCATTTCCTGAAATTGATAGTCATCACCTGCGCAGTCCAACTTGTGGGCACTGTGTTGACCGTGAGTTCAGTATGGGGGAGGGGTACTTTTAAGAACTTGAGAACTTAACTTCAGACCTTCCTCTCTTCGGCCTCACCGTCCTCGCTCTTCTTCTCAATCGTTCTCCATGCCGTTCCGTTCGTCAGTTTCGTCAGATTCCCTGACTCTCTGCCATCCATGGATCCTTGTCTCGCGCAGCAAAGCAGTCAGAAACACTCTGTTGTGATTCTGACCGCCACGACACCAACTCCAATAGCCAAAACACGAATGGGAACTGGAATGGAACGGCGGGTTTCTAAGTATGACCGATTGCCTTGCGGATCACTGATCTTCAGTTGGTCTCACGTCAGCGATGGTCACTCAGTTCCCGCCCCGCCGGACACCACGAAGAGAACCATTCAGTTCAGAGAATATGTAGGTGCAAAGTACTGAAGTGTGTAGGTCACAAACTCAAATTCACACGTGAAAAGGTTCAACTCACCGCGCTCCTTTTCCAGGTTCACTTTCTTCCGGAATGTCCTCCACAATCACCTTCATAATATCTCTGACCTACGCGATTCCGTCGATCTCACTCTACCTGATCACCATCTTCATCATCTGCAAACACGGAAAAGTGTTCAACTCTTCGTTCTTCAAGATTTACTCCTACGACTGTTTTATGGTAAGTTCACTAAGTTGTATACATTACATGGATTACGGTAGCTTTGAAATGATTACAGAATCTGCTGACCTACTCGAAAACGTTCACAACAATGCGCGTGCCGAGTGTCACCTGCTACAACTGCCTCCTAGCCCCGGTTCTGCTGAGTTCGAGTGAGCTAGAGAGTCAGATGCACAGTTCACGGTGGGCCCGCATTTCAGATGATCACCTTCCGATGCCGTTCATATTTTCGATCGGATATCACATGGCCTACGTACAGTACGCGATGACCACACTCATCTCCGTCAATCGACTCACCGTCCTCCTCAACTTTAACTTTTTTGAGCCGGTGAGAAAATTTTGTGGCGGCGCACGTGACTTTAAACTAATTCCACGAAAAATGGGCTCGAAAAAGCGAGCACGTGAGGGTGAGAAGTGTTATTTTAGGATTAAGACCGGTCAAAAAGATGTGGTACACGTCTGCAATTTCTGAAGCTCTGCTAAAAAGTTGCCGAGGTTTAGCGAGTCAAGACTTTACATGTTCAGATTTGGCGTCGCTACGTCTGGCTGATGATGCTCGCCGTGCTCCTCTTCCCCTTCGTGAGCACCCGTGTCGCTCTCAACTATCATGCCGCTTTCATCTACGTCAACTCCACCGACGCCTACACCCTTTCGTCCCAAGTGCCCACCTGGGATCTGTACACCTATCTCATACCCTTCATGCTCATTTCCATCATCGTTTCTCTGATTGCCAACATCGCCAGCCTCGTCTGCGTCAGAAGTGCGAATCTTGTGAAGGCGAACAGAGCAGGTGACTTTTCCTGGCCACAAAACGAAAGGAAACGAGATGAATTTGAGAATCCAACTTCATTATCATCACCTCAATCACATGTGCAATCCAACTGATCGGTACCGTACTGAGCATCGGACTGCTCACCGTCCAACATGTGCACATCCTCAGTTTCCTCTCGTTCACTCGATTGTTCGTCAGTGACGGTCTGACTCTCGTCCAGCCCTGGTTGCTTTTGTTCTTCAGTTATGCGGTAGCCTCAATGTTAACTTTTCAGCGCGTCTAGTTTTTGTTTCAGATCCGTGACAAGATGAAGCGAATGTTCGGGTTGCGTACCAAGACGCCCATGGCGAGCACAATGTTCAAGAGCCGTTCTATGACTCTTCCATAACCGCTTCTAAATTTGACATCCATGGGAAACGATATTTCATTTTGCACGCTTTGCACCAATTCGAAAAACATCGAAAAAGTCGCCCTTATTCTCTTCTCACGTCTCCGTTTTTGTATGTTTTCGATTTGGCGCCCGATTCATACCTTCACTCAATCCCTCCGATGCCCGTCGCTTGGATCATGTTCCTCGCGTACCTTTCCTACGGAATTCCCTCTGTCCTACTCTACTTTCTCACCTTGTTCATCGTGATTCGTCACCGAAAAACGTTCGACTCTTCGTTCTTCCAACTCTATTGCTTCGACGGGCTCATGAACTTGTTCACCTACACCGTCGGATACTTGAAAACGCGGCTGAGCAGTATCACGTGCTACCATTGCGTACTGGCCCTGTTTTACAGAAACATTGGTGAGATGGATCGTCCAGAACTCTCCGAGTACTGTAGAAAACTTCAGGAAACTGTCCATCGCTCTTGAACTTTGTAATGTGTATGAACTACCACATGGCCTATGTACAGTACGCCATCACTTCGCTAATTTCCCTAAACCGTTTGTCAGTCCTACTCAAGTTCAACACTTGTGAACCGCTCTGGAGAAAGTACACGTGGCTGCTGGTTCTGGCCATTTTTCTATTCCCATTTTGCAATACTCGTTGTGTGTTCATGTACACTGCCGAAATAGTGTACCTGAACGAGTCGGATAGTTATAATCTTGTGTCTAAGCAATTGGTGGGCACGATTTCTTTTTCGTTAGGACATCAATATATGCAATCGTTTAGCCTGCCAGCGACATCTTCTCCGTGCTCATTCCCTTCATGATCGTCATTATTCTGATTTCGGTGGCCGCCAATGTGGCCAGCCTCATAATAGTTGGCAATATAAACAATAGTCAGACGAGGAACAAGGCAGAAGTGAACTTTATCGTTATAATGTCGATCACTTGCCTCGTCCAACTCATCGGCACCGTGCTGAGTGTGGCAACTCTGAAACTTTCGGGAACTCCGGCCGCTCTCGTTCTCGCCAAGATTGTTCCGTTCGTAAGTGACGGATTGACGCTGGTACAGCCCTGGCTCTTGATCGGTTTCAGTCACGCGGTACGGATGAACAACTTGAATTTATAAACGTATGGCATTTAAGGTCAGAGAAAAGGCTAGACTGATGTTCGCATCGAGATGGTCACCAAAGAAGCACAGTGTCAGCGTCGTCGCCCGTTCCGCCACATTCTGAATCTTTTTTTTTGTTGACAAAACATTATGAAAGTTATCCATGCACAACTAATTTGATATTTCGCTTCCTCGAAGGAAGTTCCTTCCCTTTCAGTGATTTTGTCAACGCTGTGGGTCTGTTTCCTCACCTCGCTGACGTACATGTCCCTAAAACTGAAAATTCTTCAATCTCTACATCTCATGAACGGTTTCTTTGTGCTCCGGGTCCCGGTGGCTCTAGGAATTAACATGACCAACGTACAATACTCTTGGAGATTCACGTGGATTCACAATGGCTAATGTAGGTCTTTGATTCACTAATAAAGGAAGTAGAAATCATTCCAGATGAGTGAAGATCTTAGAAAATTATTCAGCTGTCCATCGAGTAAACATTCCAGCCATTCCAGCCAATCTCGCTCACAAACTGACGTTGCTTTCCTTTGGTCAAACTTCAAAGAACCTTCTGACCCGCGTGTTTGTCTCAACGGCTTTCCCACGGCTTTTTTTCAGCGATGAAGTTCATCCGCCCGAATGATAATCTGTGTCTGTCTCATTCCAGTCGAATGAGATGCCTACTGCATGGCTGTACTTTCTGGCCTCTCTTACCTACGGCATTCCTTCCGTCTTACTGTACATCATCACCATGTACATCATTGTCAAACATCGGAAAACATTCGACTCTTCATTTTTCAACCTATACATCTATGATGGTGTCATTAACATCTTCACATATCTCAACACGTTCTGGCTGTCCCGTTTGAGCAGTATCACTTGCGGTGATTGTCTTTTTGCTCCATTCTACAGTGCTATCGGTTAGTTTTTTCAAAGATTATACTTAAAACATCTATAAAACACAGGCAACTTCTCCGGATTGAACTTCTTCATAGCAATGGGAATTCACATGGCCTATGTACAGTACGCCCTGACCACACTAATCTCACTGAACAGATTCTCGGTTTTGGTGAATTTCCACATTGAATTTGTAAGTGCTCTGATTTCATAGTCACAGTAATATTAGACATTTCTAGCTCTGGAAAAAGTACTCGTGGATTCTGATCGTTCTAATCTATGCGCTACCTTTTCTGAGCACTCACATAGTGTTCGAGTACAAAGTTGAGATAAAATACTTCAATACTACAGACAACTTCCGCACATATTATCCTGCCTTGCTAGCCGGTGTAAGTGCCTTGAAAAGTGAACCATGAGCAGAAGTATCGATTGAAGCCTCTCGGGAGCATGTACTCTGTTCTCATCCCCTTCATGCTCATCTCCATAATCACTTCGATCGTAACCAACATCACAAGCACTTGTATCATTCGTCAGTCTAGCGTGCAGATCAAGAGAAAAGCAGAGCTGAACTTCCTGATAATCATGTCGATCACGTGTGCCGTCCAACTTTTCGGCACCATTCTCAGCTGCTTCAACTTCTACTATGCCAACACCTCACTCGCCGCCACATTCCTATCAATCGCTCCGTTCGTTAGCGATGGACTTTCACTCGTTCAGCCCTGGTTGCTCATCTGTTTAAGCAGCTCTGTAGGTTCCTTTAAAACAGACTTGCAACGGGCCGGGCCGGGCCGGGCCGGGCCAAAATTGGAAATTTTCCGGCCCGGCCCGGTCGGCCCGGGGGATGCACCTAAAAATTCAAAGCGAACTAGAACTTCGAAACGAACATAATTTTATAGACTTAAAATTGGCAATGTTATAAAAAGGCAATGTTATAGCATAAAAACCTGTTAAAAAATAGAAATTGCTGTTTAAAGTCGCAAAAAAAAAGGCAAAATTTTCACAAAAATTACGAAAATTTTCTCAAGAGTGGGGGGAGCGATTGATTGCAACTCTGGCACGCCATTTTAGCAATTTTGCCGCACGCGTTTTCCTCTTCCTTCATATTTTTTTTGCATATTTTTTTTTGAGGTCTAACTTCCGGGCCGACGATTTGCTGGCCCGGGATTTGGCAAGTCTGCTTTAAAATACTTAATCTACCTTTTTTCTGGTTTCAGGTGAGAGAACGGGTGAAAATGATGTTGTGCAGGAGACAGAAGAAGGTCGACAGCCAAGTGTTTGTGATGAAATCAACGACTGCTACTTGACTAATAAAGCATTGTTACAAATAATAAAGTGATAATCGCTTTGTGTTTTCCTTCCTTTTTTTCAGCCGTTCTTCGATAAACCATTAATCACATTAATGAAAGCCACAAAGCCATAGCCCGTGTTGTCCAACTCTGAAGTTCATCCAAGCGGACAATAATCTCTGTGTGTTTACACTTCATTCCAGTCGGATGAGATGCCTACTGCATGGCTGTACTTTCTGGCCTCTCTTACCTACGGCATTCCTTCCGTCTTCCTGTACATCATCACCATGTACATCATTGTCAAACATCGGAAGACGTTCAAGTCTTCATTTTTCAATCTATACATCTATGACGGTGTCATTAACATCTTTACGTATCTCAACACCTTCTGGCTGTCCCGTTTGAGCAGTATCACTTGCGGTGATTGTCTTTTTGCTCCATTCTACCGAGCCGTTGGTCAGTGTAGCGTTTTCAAGAGTAGTAGGTGTTTGATAATCTTTTCTAGGCAACTCCTCCGGTCTGAACTTCTTCATAGCAATGGGAATTCACATGGCCTATGTACAGTACGCAGTTACCACTCTCTTCTCACTGAACAGATTCTCAGCCGCCAATTCATACTTCATACACGGAATTGAACGGGTAAGTGGATTGAGAATGCTTCGTAATCAACATGATTTTAGTTTTGGAAAAAGTATTCGTGGATTTTGATACTTCTAATCTACGTTTTACCCTTTATGAGCACGCACATAGTGTTCCTTTACAATGTTGAGATAAAATACTTCGATGATACCGACAACTTCCGAACATATTATCCTGCTTTGGTAAGAGCACGTCTTGAGAAAAGCACGAGAACGTTCTATTTGAGCCTCTGCGGGCCATGTACTCTCTGCTTATTCCGTTCATGATCATCTCCATAATGATATCCGTCGCCACCAATATCACAAGTTATTGGATAATTCATCGAACTACGAGCCGAGTTAAAAACATAATGGAACTAAACTTACTGATAATCATGTCGATCACGTGTGCCGTCCAACTTTTCGGCACCATTCTCAGCTGCTTCAACTACTACTATGCGAACACTTCACTCGCCGCCACGTTCCTACTAATCGCTCCGTTCGTCAGCGACGGACTTTCACTCGTTCAGCCCTGGTTGCTCATCTGTCTTAACGGCGCTGTAGGTCTTTCGCTAATGCGTACACACCACTGCGCACTACTGTGAATTTGAAGTTTCTAAAAAAAGTAAATGAGTGCACGTCAAGCGCGGCGGAGCGTGATTATTGTCTTGTGATGCGCTAACAGGAAACGTACTTACAGATAAGAGAAACGATGAGAATGATGTTGTGCTGGAAACTGACCAAGGTCGACAGTCAAGCAAGCTTTCGAGTGAAGCCAGTGTCTAGTTCATAAACAAGAGTTTGTAAATTGTTGTTGAAATAAAGTGTTTGAAAGCAATTATTGTCTAGAAATTATGTAACATGGGACCTAAAGCTAGGAGAACCGCGCCGAGTTTAACTTCCTCATCATCATGTCGATCACGTGCCACCGTTTTTCAGCGACGGACTGTTTCTCGAAAATTAATGGTATTCCTTCTTTGAGATCCATTATAAGAGGTAAAATGTAGTCGACATTGTGTGGAAAGCGGAAATACAGTCAAGTGTTTGCAATCCGATCCTAACTCTCAGAGATCGAACATTATGAATGAACTGAATAAATGGCTTTCCCACAACTTCAACTTTCCGCTCCGCTCCCTCCCTCCCTCCCTTCCATTTTGAAACCCGTCAGAGCCAGCGCATGCTCTCCGCATGGATATCCTTCGCGGCGTCCGTCTCCTACGGAATCCCCTCAGTTTCCCTCTACCTGCTCACCTCGTACATCATCCTCAAACACCGCAAAACCTTCAACTCCTCCTTTTTCCATTTGTACATTTACGACGGCTTCATGAACCTCTTCACCTACTTCACCGGCTTCTTCTCGATGCGTCTGAGCAGTATCACGTGTCGTGACTGCCTCTTTTCGCCGTTCTACACCAACGTCGGTCGCTTTTTCTCGATGAAGTTCGTGATCGCGATGGGATATCACATGGCCTACGTTCAGTACTCCATCACCACTTTGATCGCACTGAACCGGCTGTCGGTTCTGCTGAAGTTCAACGTCTGCGAGCCCGTGAGAGTGTTCCCATAGCAACAAAACGTTAGAGTATAATTTCAGCTATGGAAAAAGTACACTTGGATCGCGATTCTTCTCATCTATTTCCTTCCGTTCATCAACACTGGCCTCGTGTTCAAGTACAATGCACAAGTGGTTTATCTCGACGAATACGAGTGCTACTCGATTGTCTCTTCGCAATTGGTTAGCTTTTAAAAATTGCCTGACCCAACCTGAAAATGTTAAGCCTGTCCTCGAATTGTACTCGGTGCTAATCCCCTTCATGCTCATCACAATCATCATTTCGGTGTGCTCGAACATCACAAGTGTGTGCATCGTCCGCAATGTGAGCACCCAGAAAAAGAACCGCGCGGACGTCAACTTCCTCATCATCATGTGCATCACTTGCACGGTCCAGGTCGTCGGCACTGTCATCAGTGTCTCGATTCTTCACATGGGCAGTTCCACTCTAATGCTCATACTCGCAATGGTTCTTCCGTACGTCAGCGACGGTCTGTCTCTCGTCCAACCCTGGCTACTCGTCGCCTTCAGTCACACGGTACTATTATAGTTTCAAACAAATCCTAGAAACTCAATTGCAGCTGCGAGAAAAAATGCGATTGATGTTCGGATGGAAGCGAAGAGACAATCCGGCGCAAAATCCAATGTTCGTTCAGCGATCAGTCACAAACTAAGCAAATTCTGTTATAGATTCTGTTATAAACCGTTTTCTGTTTCAATAATAACAAAGAATAGTGAAAGAAATGAAATCAAAGTTTTTTTCCGATCACTTGAGCACGAGCACTAGTGGTGCAAAGTACGCATTGTCCGTGAGCATGGCATTCGGCAGCATCGCTTCAAAAGCTCCGCCTATGAAAGTTGGATGAGTTCGTAAATAAATCTGAAATTACAATAGCACAATGCAAAATATGTTTGATTGTCGCGAACTGCAACTTGCGTGCGCTCAAAATTGAAAAACCAAAACGGACGACGCTCATGTCCCGACTGCAATCGGATTCGTGCACTTCACGGATAGCTCGTCGCGTGTGCTGACGTGCCGTTTAGTCTAGACGAGACTAATTGTGTCACGAGCAGTCCCCGACTTTTTCTTGTTTATGACCAACACCGATCCTCATCAACGGATCCCTCGGGAACATGTGCGCGCGGGCATTTCTACCTGACACTTTGATTTTCATTTTCGCTCTCGTTCTCTCACTCACCTGCTCGTCCACTCGTTGACGTTCGATCGTGAGCGTTGCTGGATCGTTACAGTCCCGCGAGACTTCCGCCACGAAACCGCCCATCTCGGTAAATATTGCCGCCCATTCACAATGTCCGCGCTCACCGCCATCATCCAATTGCTATACACGATTCCCTCGTTCCTACTCTACTTTCTCACCGTCGCCATTGTCATAATCGCGTGGCACAACCTCAAATCGTCGTTCTTCCAATTCTACCTCTTCGAGTTTGTGATGAACATGCTCACCTTCGTGAACGTCGTTCATTCGATCCGATTGCCGAGTAGTGCGTGCGCCGACTGTTTCCTCTTCGAATACTTTCAAGCGGACGGCCGAAGCACTTCTTCGTTCCTCAATCAGTTGCAGTACGCCATGCAGTTCCATATGGCGTGTGTTCAGTACACGACCACTGCGGTCGTCGCCATCAACCGTCTGACAATCACCTGGAACACGGAACTATGGGAGAGGGTTTGTGGAAGCGTTTCATTCTGTTGAAAGTGTGAAACCGTTTTACAGAGGTGGCGCCGAGGAAGTTGGATCGTGATGATCATCATTTTCACGGCTCCATTTGCTCTCACCTACCCGGTGTTCCAACACGAAGCCTTCTTCCGATATGACGTCACCGTTGACCGATTCTCCATCTCCTCTGAATACGTACGTCCTGTCTCAATATTAATTGTCTGAAAAATTGTCTAAACTTTCAGAAAAGCTCCACAATGTTCGCGTGGCTAGTTCCTATAATGGCGATAAGTGCCGGGATCACTATGCTCATTAACATTTTCAACTACTTCAAATTTCGCAAGCTTGAAAACAAGCCACAGGGTTTGGGTGAGTCCCATTCTGGTGCAGTAGAGCGCACTTGCTCACTTGTTCACTGTTTTTAGAGACCAGTCTGCTGACGATCACCTTCTTCGCAAGTCTTCCGCAGATTCTCGGCGCCGCACTTTCAGTCCTGATGACCCAGGCCACCCGGGATTCGATGCTCTTCCGCGGGACCAACATCGCCCTGCCGTACGTTAGCGACTTGCTCACTCTCATCCATCCCTACCTTCTTCTCGTCTTCTGCAAAAAGGTATGAACTTGAAGTGTGCATCTCGAGAAGTGACCTTTCCGACGTTCCAAAATCATTCATTACGTACATCAGAGCTAAACGTAGAACGGTGCGAATTCGATTCTATTTTCATTATCCTCAGAAAAACTATATATTTTTAACGAGATGTACTTGTCACGTAGCATACTCCCGAGAGCATGAATGATCCACTCAGTACATCAGAACTTATCATCAGAGCTACGAAAATACCCGAGCCTTGGCGTAATAGTACTTTCCTTTCCAGATTCGGAAGTGGATCTCAAGGGCGATCATCCTGCTCAACTGCTTCATTCCGCTTCCCGAAAACCGCGTCTGCTCGATCACGTAATCGGCGGCCTCCAGTCTACTCACGCCAGCCAAATAAGTCATAAGACCCCTTCACAATTAGCGCCCCTCACCCGCTTACTCAGCCAATCTCCGGGGACCCGTCCCCGTACGCTGTGCTCACACTGATAAACACCTTTTTGATTCTGGTGAGCTCTCAAGAGCTCATTCTCGTCCGCTTCTCCGCCACAATGTGGTTGTTCTTGTTCATGATGGCCTACTCGATTCCCTCTCTCATACTGTACTTTCTAACCGCGTACGTCGTCATCAAGTTCTGGAAAACACTAAAATCCTCGTTCTTTCTATGGTACATCTTCGACTTTGTCATGAACATTCTGACCACTTGCCTGACGCTCGTCACGCTCAAAGTGTCGTCGGTGACGTGTCACGACTGTCTGCTCGCGCCGTTCTACCGTCTGCTCGAGGGCACGCTCGTCTCCAACTTCCTCTACGCAATGATGTACCACATGTCGTACGTGCAAAACTGCACGACGGCCATCGTCTCGCTCAACCGGCTCACCATCATCCTCAATCACTACACGTTCGAGCCGCTCTGGACCAAGTACTCGTTCCTTCTGATGATCGCTGTCAGTGTACTTCCGTTCTTTCCGACAAGCATCGTCTTTGAGAGCAATTGCACGTGGTACAACCGGAGCGATGACTCGCTTGTGCTCAAATGTGACTTGGTGAGTGCGGTGTTGATTAGACTAATAGTGAAAGTGCTCGACGATTGACTGGCCTGGCTGGCCGACAGAATTTCCGAGTGAAAATCTGATTACAACCATTTGCAGCCTTACGGGACGCTCTTCACTCCGCTCCTCTACTTCCAAGGTCTCTGCATCGCCATCTCCATCATTTCCAACATCACCAGCGCCTTCATGGTGCGTAAAGCGTCGACGGAAATGAGAGTGAAGGCCGAGAAGAACTTTGTGATCCTCATCTCCGTGACCACATTCGTCCAGCTCTCCTCGTCGTCGATCTCGACGATTCTGTCCGCCTACTCGCAGACTCCCTCCTACGCATTCTTCCACACCTACATACTGCCGATCATCAGCGACCTCTTCACAATTATGCACCCGTGGCTGCTCTACATTCTCAGCAAGCCGGTGAGATATTTCAATTGCTGTTTTTTTGTTGTTGAAAACCAAAGGGCGAATGCAGATCAAACGACACATTCTTCGGGACGTTCTGCACGTTGATTCTTCGAGTGTTGACCACTCGGCCACCGCACAACCACTACATCAGCCACACGGAGCAGGAGCCCGCCCAGCAAAGAACGCCTCGACAACGAATAACAGATTTTGAGGAAACGTTTGTATTAGCGCGACTTTTTTGTAGATTTGAGTGAAAACCAATAAATACGATAGATATCAGATGTTTTTGAACGGAAGGGCGTCGGTGCCGTCTTCGAACGCCGCCTTCATGTTGTTGTGCAACTTGATATCGTCGACGGTGCTCATGAGTGCTCCGCCCGTTTTGCAGCCCTGCACGGCCATGTAAAACGCCATGATCGACTGGAGGAGGACGAGGAAACTGAGCACGAGATCCAACCAGATCGGCTCGTTCGGCGACACCAGAAGGTTGCTGTCGACTTTCGGGAAAATGTAGGGGAACAGTGGGAACAGGCCTGGAAAACACTTTTTCAACACCAAAACACCGCAAAAGTAGGCTTTTTGAACAACTGTTTTGAATAAAGCTTAAACGGTAACCCTTACCAATAAGGAATGGAGCAACCGCGAACACAGTTTGAAGAGCATTTGTGGAGAAGCAGAAAAGAGCCGCCGAGTAGCTGCCCTTTCTGACCGCGTAGATTCCGACGAGCGACGGGAACAGCGCGCACGTCGCAAAAATGATCTCGATGCCGATCGCCCAAAGAGAGCCCGACATGATGCGGAGGACGCCGACGAAAAAGATTCCGATGCACACGACCACCTGGAAGCAGCAGAGAATGCTGATGATGTTCCAGTTGAGGTATTGAGATTGGATGGCGAGTTGTGTGGCGACGGCGCGTGGCGACGGCTTCTGCTCGAGCATCGGAGGCACAAATGCTCCCATAGGCACCGCGTGCATTGGCGGAACGGCGGATGAAGGACGAGAGTGAGCGAGCATCTGTAACTTTCTTGTTTTAGAATCGGGTAAGCGGAAAAAAACCTGCGGTGGTCCTGGCGTATAAAACGGAGAAGCATGCATCGTCTCCATTTGATACGGATCGCCTCTCGGAATAGTCTGATACGAGGCGTGCCGTTGCGCGAGCGGATGCATCTGCGGAGAAGCCAACGAGAGCGGCACGAACTCGCTCCCACGCGGCTGTCGTCCGTGGCTCATCGCAGACGCCGATCGGAAGTGAGCGCCGGCCGGATGTGGTTGTGGATGCTGGCGCCCCCACGTCATCTTCTGCTCTCGAGTCATGGTCCCGGCGGCGCTTTCCGGTCGAGCCGCACGAGCCGTCCGCGGAGTCGTCGGCACCGAAGGAACCGACGGCGGCGGCGGCACGTCTGTCGCGTAGAGGAACGGCGACTTTGGCGGTCTGAGCGTGCCGCTGTGCACCGATTCTCGCGTCGGCTTCGGCGTGCGGTTCAGTGTGGCCGCCTTGAACGGCGTGTACGAATAAGTCTGCGCATCGTCGTTCTGCTCGGCGTTCCACAATTTCGTTCCATCTTTGTACTTTTTCGGTTGAAACTGCTTGGAAAGCGTGCCGGTCTTCTCGGGCCCCTCTTCGTTGTACTCGTCGTGCGTCTCGACGTTTTGGAAGTAGCTGTTCGGAGGCTGGCTCATTACTGCAAAAATGGATCGATCAATGAGTGTGGAAAAGAATGGATCGCGACTTTTGTGAAGCCTTTGTTTGTGGATAGTTTACAGAAGAAGAAGAAGAAAAAGAAGAAGAAGAAGGAAAGGGATAGAACATGCATGAGAGATTGGATTGGAAATCGGAGGGGAAGATATAATTAGGTCCGAACGAATAGTAGTAGGTGAAACGAGGAAAGGAATGTGATAACTTGGGGGGGTCTATCCGTCTCTCTCTCTCTCTCTCTCTCTCTCTCCTTCTCCCACTGCCGGCCTTGAAGTGATCCCTCGCAATAATAAGTGAAAGAGTTATCAGTGGGGGGGACGAGAAGAAGAAGAAGAAGAAGAAGAAGAAGAAGAAGAAGAATGCGATATACGATTTGTAACAGAGTGAATAAGGAAAATCGAACAGATTACCAGTTTCCTCTTTCGACGGCTTCCTACTTCCTCGAACCTCCTCCTTTTCCACGACGTCGCCGCCGACCACAACACTTTTCAGGACCAACACGAAATATTTCAGTAGGAAAAGGGGATATCGGACGAGTCCATTGCAGGCGAACATGAACGGAACGTGAGGGATCAGAGAAACGGAGCTCAGCGGCGAACTTCACGGTGTAATACAATACCTATAGCCAGGGGGCGAGGGATTTGGGAACAAACAACCAAACGATTGACACATTATACAGGTTGAAAAAGTGTATTCGCGAAATGAATGTGCTCCTTAGTTGTGCCGAGAGAAGCGCTTGTCTCAAACAAGAGGCCTACCTTCTATGAGCTGTAGGCGTCTTTGAAGTGATTTTACAGAAAACTTGTCAACAACAAAATTACAGTTAAAGATGTGTACTTTAATTTTGTAGTTGACCACTTTTCAGTAAAACTGCTCCAAAACCTACTGTAGGTTCTTAAAGTTGAGCTACAATAGCCTGGCAAAACGGTTCTCTGGGCATATTGTCAATTCAAAAAAATGGAAATGAAAAACATTTTGAAGTAAGGTGTGAATGAAACGAAACGCGATAAAAGATGCTATCGTCTTTTTGCTAGGACACACCCAGAAGGCGTTTGAAAATCAAGGAGGGGGGGGGGGATAATGATGGAATGGGTGGGTGGAAAAACTTGCAAAAAGAGACACGAGAACATGTTCGAACCACTCCATATCTTCTCGCTCGATCCGTCCGGGAAGACTTTCGCCTTCTATCGCCCCGAATTAGTCTAAAGAAGATTGTAACACTGTTGGTGGCGGTGATTGGGATCCATAATGATTTATTGTTGTTTCGGAGAAAGAGGAGAAGGAGAAGGTTAGCAAGTTCGGAGGCAGGTTTGTGACCTGCATTTTGTCTGTCTTATGATCATTTATCACGTAATCAACCTGATTATCGTGAGGCTGTAATAGCATATCTGAAGCTTTGAAAAGATTCAGCAATGCTAGCAAAACTTCATTTTCTATGAGGCATTCATTCCGTTTCGAATAAATACTATGGCAATATGATTCAAAATGTACATTGTCGGCGTCGTCTTCGGTCTCGTCTCACTTTCCGTACCATCCTCCGTACGGGCCACCACCGTATCCTCCCCATGGGCCTCCGCCGTAACGTCTTCTCCATCCGTATCCGCCACCGTATCCTCCGTATGGTCCGCCACCGTATCCGCCCCATGGACCACCGCCGTATCCGCCGTACGGGCCTCCACCGTCTGAACAAGAATATTGGATGATTCGAGAGAAAAAAAAATGAAAGTAAAACTCACATCCCCACTGGGCATCGACGACGGCCAGGATGGCGATGAGAAGCACGGCGAGAAGGAGAGAAGTGGAAATCATCTTAGACGACAATATCGACAGCGGGCAACCAATCCGTTTATATACCACTTCCATACCGCCCTTTTTCTTGTTCCTCGCCCGCCTCCCTCTCTCCGCTTCGTCGTCCCACGTCATCTCTCCGCCGCTTTTGACCTTCTGACCGTTTCTTCAGATGACCTTCCGTCATCGTTGTCTCGATTTCTGCCTATCATCAATCTGATGACCGATGACCCTTAGATGATTCAAAGTTTGGTGAAAAGTTGAGAAAGTCAGTGAATTGATCATTTGAGATCATGACATCATCCGATGCTTCTCCTTCTTCGGCAAACCAACTACGACTTCCGTGTGTCGCCGAAACGTTCTGATTTGATTTGTGTTCTTTGATTACCATTGTTGAGACAGTGTCTCACGGTCACACTATATCTGATCACCAAGCAATAAACTGTGTTTTAATCGCAATCGGATAATCTCAACTCAAACCTCAGACCTCAGACTATAATATAGGGCCCCAGAGACTAGAGGCTAACTTTTCGCAACTGACGGACGTTCTGCAATCATATTTCGAAGCAACCACGTGAACTTTCACAGTGCAATGAGAAAAGTATACGTGGTTGCGAAATGTCCGTCAGTTGCGAAAGTTGTGAGTCGACCACAAAAGACATGGAAAACCAACGAAACGGAAACACACCGCGCATCGAATTCGCTCCAACTTTTTCATAATCATACATGTTTCATTGCGAATAAAATGGTTTTATCGCAGGTTATAATCACTTTCAGCTCCATAGTTTTCATATCAGTTTCAATTTTTAAGGATTTCTCCCTTTTTACTCCGGCGGGAACTCTACCGTTCACAATCCGTTTAGAAGTGAGGCATTCGCGAGCACTATCATCAAATGATCTCTAATGAAGACAATGGAAACGTCTCCCGACATCTTCTCTCTCTCTCTCTCTCTCTCTCTCTCTCTCTCTCTCTCTCTCTTTCTCTCTTTCATTCTTTCATTCTCATTTCCATTTCGGTGCACACTCCTCTCATTATTCTCCCCAAAAGAAGCCAGCCCCTCGTCAAATTAGACGAACGAGTGAGTCTCTTATTTTCGTCCTTTTCAACAACTTTCGAGCCCAGTAACCTATAATCTTGATAGGAAAGGTGGCTCCACACTCTTCATTTTCTTGTTGTTGTTCTGTTCTCGCACATTCTCGAATTGAAAAAGCATGAGCAAAACAGGCATTCGTTTCAGAATCGATCGCCACGATCTGGCGGCCGGCGGCCTGGTTTTCGCGTGGCATTGCGGTAGAGCCGGTATGTGATAGTCTCAAAATGTTGGCGGGACCTGTTTTGATGACAGAACAACATGATCAACACCATATTATTGCACCATTTCCCGCCAACAAACGTCTTTCCATGACTGCGTCTCTCCGCCTTCACCCTCTCTCTCTCTCTCCTCGTTTTCAGCCATGTTGCGCCTGTTAGTCTCCCTCTTCCGAATGGTTTTCGTCAAGCGTGAACGCGTCGATGACGACTCGCTGGCCCGTCGGAAGCCGCTGGAGACGCCGTACGAAGGACCGTGTCAGTTCGGAAAACTTCCCGATGAAATCATCGGACACATTTTCACGCAGGTACCCCTCTCTAGCGCGCCTCAGTTTTCTCAACTTTCCGCCCATTTTGCAGCTCTCTCACTCGGATGCGGTCCGTTTCAGTCAGACCAACTGTCAGATGTTCAACGTGTACGGACGGTTCAGACGGTACATCAGAGGACCACACGTGGCGGTTTACATCAGCATCGCAGCCGACGGAGACGTTGTGGTGAGTCGTGTCTATGGAGATTCAAGAGACATTGCTTCTAGATCCGTGCACGACCCTACCGAGACATTCGCGTCGAGGCTACAGTAATCCCGCGCGAGAATCGCACAAAGTTCTTGCGAAACTCGGTCGTCAACCTGTCGCTCCGACTGGGAACGAACGAGATGAGTGACGAGCGGGCCGCCGACATTCTGGAACTGTTTGCGAGTTCGGTCGTCGAAGAGATCAAGGTGCACGCATCGAGAGTATCGCGGCACACAAAGGACCTCGTGAACAGTCTCGGCGCGCCAAAAGTCTACTTGACCATCGGACGGTACAGTGACGAGGTGGCCGAAGTGCGCAATGTAAGTTTTAGGCGATTGTTACGTCGTGATCCGGATCAATTATTTCAGGTCAACTACCTGAGCATCAAGCACGAGCTCCTCTTCTTCCAACTGACGGCCATCGTCGCCTGCCGACCCAATCTCGAAGCGTTTTCGGCAAAAGTGACGGCCGCCTCGCTGCCGCTCATCTTCGATTGCATATCCGAGTGGCGAGACAGTCGCCGGAACATCGTCAGCTGGTACTTCCGCGTGCCGTTGGTCGAGATCTTTCGCGATTACGGTCAGGTTCCGATCAACTGGCGACGGACCATCACGCGGCGAATCGACGGAAGCGCCCGTCTCGTGATGCAAACGAACGTGTTGCCACGTGAGGAGGGAGAAGCCGTCACCTATCAGTCGGTCAACTGGATCCAAGCTTGATTTTCATGTCAACTCCTCCTGTACCATGTTTTCTTTTGTCTCATCCTCATCCTAGTCACATTTTATCTGTACTCTGCCCGGTTGCCAAGCACTATATTTTGCAAAGTATTTATTGTATTCTCATCATTATTATTATTATTATTATGAAACCAAGTATTCATCATTTTGTGACACCGACTGAGTTGGAACTTTTGCACGTTTTGAGAGCAACGAGATCGCGAAGAACACGGCGAATATGAGGGCGACGAGGGCAAAGTAGCCAGAATAGATGACGAACTGAAGAGAAATAGCGATTGCTTGAATATTTTTGAATCTTCTGACCTGTGTCCGGATATTCAAGTGCAGGAATCGAGAATCGACGACGATCAGCGTGAGGAGCGACTGAAGACAGACGGCGAAGAACGTGTTGCATCCGAAGATCAGGCCATGATTGTTCGACGACAACTCTTTTGCCACATTCGCTCTGAAACTTTTTTAAGATGACAAGGAAAAGCGCGAAACAGCAGACGGAACCATCAAAACCACAGGGCAACAAGTGGACTTGATTGGAAATAATTGTCAATTAGAGACTTACGATGCAGCAGTAATCAACATGTGATATATCGAGCTGATGACGACGTACGAAACATAGGCGACCAGAACTGTTGTCGTTTGAGAGCACACGTAGAGCAAAGCGGCGACGAGAGCCGAAGTGACGAACAGAATGAGCTGTCCGTGGCGTGTCCAGTTTACGGACAGATAATGGATGAAGAAGGAGAGGAATGCTCCGAGAGCCGTGTTCACAAACTCGACCACTCCGTTCGCCACGTCGTCCGCATCCGTCTGCATTTGTTTCCACAGAGATTGCGTGTAATTCTGCACTTGATAGACTCCGCAGCTGGCGAGCGCCCACCACAACGACCATTTCAGCAGCTCATGGTTCTTCGAGCACACTTTCAACTCTTCCAGCGTCTTTTTGAGGTACTCACGCGCATAGCCAACTTCTTCGACACCTCCTTCTATCAACCTGAATTGATAATTTTAGACGCAAAAGAGGTTGCATGGTACTTACTCGTCGTTTTGCTGCTCCTGCTGCCGCTGTCGCTGCTGCTGCTCCAACGCCGTCGTCGAAACTTTGCCCTTCTCCGATTTGACACGTGGCAGGAAGAAGGCGATGAGAGTGACGAGAGAGACTGCACCCAAAGAGATTTGGTTGAGCGTCAGGTAATCGGAGGAATGGGTCGAGATGAGCGTTTGTCCGAGGCCGAAAGCGAGCAGCTTTCCGAAAAGCGCCGAAGCTCGGATGTACGAGGTCGCTCGTTTGTAGTGCTTCCGGTCGACGATCGAGTAGATGTACGAGTAGTAGGCGATCTCGGCGGCCGACGCCACTCCTATAAACACGATGAGATGCGCTCGAGTTGATGACGTATTAAAAGTTCTCACCGAAAGACACTTGCATCATCTGCATCTGCCACACTCCTTTGCCGAAAACCAGCAACGTCCACGTGGCCACCAATCCGATCGCCTCGATCATCACAATCGGTTTGTAGCGGAGAATGTCGGTGAGAATGAACATGGGAATGAGGGCGAACATGTACGAGTACGTCCAATACGGATACACCTGAGAGTAGAGCTCATCGAGCGTCAGGTTCTTCTCCGGAGACGCCAGGAACGGCGTGAGGAACGGTGTCGCCGGACGGAACTCTTTCACGGCGCCGTACAAACAGAGGACGGCCGTGGTGGTACGCCATTCCATGCCCAAGTCTGCAATTTAGACTTGGCCTAGGTTACGTGCAAAAGTTTGGCCACTTTTTACTCAATTCGTGTGCAATACAGTAGCGGCCACTGAAATATCCCCTTTTGGTTTTTCCGCTATTACTTTTTTTAGAGAAGAGCAACCGGGCCAAAATTTTTTATGCGTATTACAGGCATATATAATGTACTTTCTGCAAAGTGTCTTCACTGTGCTGCGAAAGAAATATTTTCTCTAAAAATTTTTTTCAATTTTTCACGATTTTTGCTCGTATTTTTCAATTTTTGGAAGCTACAACGCCAATATTTTTCCAGAGTCTTCAATATTTTTTTGATTTAGATAATGACAAAAACTAAAGGAAAAGTAGATTTGACCCCTAACCAGCAATTTGCAATTGCCAGGAGGCGCGAGCAGGGACGAACTCACAGGCAACTCGCTGAGCAGTTCAATGTCGATCGTTCCACAGTTGGAAAATTTTTGAAGCGCTGGAGAGCTCAAAATGAGCAGCCAGTGAAGAGAAGACACTCAAGGGCTCCCGTTACGAACCATCTAACGGATAGAAACATCGTACGCGCATCGTAAAGCAACCCTAGACTGAGTGCCGCCGAAATCCTCGATCAGGTTTCCCACCGTGGATCACCCGTGGCAAGCGTCAGAACGATCCGACGTCGCCTAAATGATGCTGGACTCTTTGGCAGAAGACCTGTGAAGAAACCATCCATCTCTGACCGCAATAGAGCAGCTCGTGTGGCCTGGGCGCGAGCTCATCTCAACTGGACTCAAAGTCAGTGGGAACGAGTTTTGTGGAGTGATGAGAGCAAGTTCATGTTGTTCGGTTCGGATGGAATTTCTTACGTGAGAGGACCAGTAGGGACCAGATTCGACCCAAAATATCAAACTCCCACCGTAAAACATGATGGCGGCAACGTGATGGTATGGTCCTGCTTCAGCAGTCATGGGGTCAGACCACTACACCGCATCCGAGGTAACATGGATCGCTTTGTTTACGAACAGATCTTGCAAAATGTGATGCTCCCGTTCGCTCGTGCCTCCCCGAGGGTTCGTTACTTGTTTCAGCAAGATAACGACCCAAAACACACCTCCAACCACATCAAAATGAGTTAAATGTCTCAAACGATCAGTACCTTTTTTTGAAGAATTGGTTCGCCACCAACCGTGCGACTGTAATGGAGTGGCCCAGCAAGAGCCCCGACCTCAAACCCATCAAAAACTTGTGGGAAGAGCCTGAGAGACGCGTTTCCGGTATCCGTACAACGAGAAATTCTCTCAGTTGGAGACTGCGTGGGCTCAGATTCCACAGTCTGTTTTGACCAACCTGATCCAGTCGATGCCAAGAAGATGTCAAGCTGTTATCGATTCTCGAGGGTTTGCAACTAAGTATTGATCAATTTTATACTGTTTCTATTGCTTATTGCCTCATTTACAAGTCGTTTCCCGAGTGAAATCGCAATAAACCGGTTTTTGTTGAAAATCGAAAAATCGAATTTTTGGAATTTTTCAAAGAACATTTTTTTTTATCGATAAGAGCTAAACTGGATCATTTTTCTGGCTCATTTTGCAACATTTTCACAGTTGACCTCAAGTTCCTAGCTCTTCTCTAAAAAAAGTTATAGCGGAAAAACCAAAAGGGGATATTTCAGTGGCCGCTACTGTATCAATGACGGTCTCGCACGGAGCGAGATGACGACTCGCGCTACAGTCCTGCGCCTTTAAATTTGAACAGGATATGGTATATCTCGATTTTCCCGTTTTTCTGACAAAAAGCACCAATTTCAGACGGATTTTTGTTGCGCAGAACTCGAAATCATAATAGCAGATGGGAAAACATTTGAATTTCGATAGAGCGCACTTACATTACACACACACACGCACACACATTCTTTTTCAGAGTTTCATCTTTATTTACACATATAAAAGAACAGAGACTGGTGTGGGTGGAAAGGAATGAATGAATGTAAAGTGCAGTGTGCAAAAAACGTCTTTTTTCTCAGAAAAAGAACAGGACGAGCAAAACGCCATGTGCAAGAGCAGCAGAAAAAGCAAAAAAAAAGCAAAAGAGAGAGAGAATGATCGGGCGCACGGGGTGGCCCCGAGATCACAGACGGGCGGGGAGAAAAATGGGGTGAGACGGTGAGAGAGAGAGAGGGAGAAGAAGAAAATGAGTTGATTGAAACGGGGGAAAAAAGTGTTTGTGGTGAGAATGCACGGGAGAACTATCAGTAGAAACGAGGAGATACGCAGGTGGCAAAAGATATGGGGAGAGAGATGGACACAAAAAATGGTATGAAGATGGTTGTGGCAGGTACTTCAGGCGTATGGACCTGAAAGTTGAAATTTTGAGTGGTGTTTAGAAAAACGCTCATAACTCTTGAACAGAGCGTTTTGGAATGAAACGCTCAACTACAAATATGATTAGCATACAATTTTCAGCAACTTTTTAGTTGACCACTTTTTGAAATAAGCGCAGGTTCTCGAGATACTCACATGAACCGCCGGCGGTTGGGTACGGTGGCGGGGCTTGTTGATTACTGCGTCTCTTCTTCGCCCATTCTTCCATGTATCCACTTTTGATGCTGTCGACGACGTACGAAACGACACACATCCAGCTCTTTACGGCCTCGCGCTTCGAACGCACGCACTCCACTTTCGTGATTAGCTACAACAAAACAAAGAGGTCGACGTCTACCGTACTCCCGGTGCGACTTTGAAAACGAACTTGAAAAGCTCTATATCGAAGCCGCACCTTCCTGCCCCGTACCTACCTCGGTGAACACTTCGCCCAACTGATCGAACACCACTCCGCAACACTTTGCGTTCATGTTCACGTGCGCCGCGCCGACGTCTTGGCACTTGGCGAGCACGATCTTCGCCGGCTGATGCAGATCGCTCATGAGCGAGTCGAGCAGCTCGGCGAGCAGCTTTGCGTGCGAGTTCAGATCGCAGACGGCGCCGCTGCTGAAGCCGCCGACGATTGACATCTTTTGAAACATCTCGCGACACACGGGCGAACGTTGCATTAGCATCTTGTAGACTTGCGTGAACAGACTTGTCTGCGTCTTGATGCGCGGCCACGTGGATGAGAGAAGTTGGGTTTGATGTCTGCAAATGATGCGCCATGAATGTGAACGCGTTCGAAAGCGGCTCGGGGGCACTTAATTCATTCATCATGCACAGATGGAAGAGAAACACGCACTAGTCCCCCGGCCACGTCGCCTTTTGCAAGTTTTTTCAATAAAGCATGGAGTTTCTTGTTGTTTTTCTGATTTGCGACTGTAAATCGGCATTGCCGGGGCACTAGGGTTTCGTGTTTCCCTTCCATGACATTTGACTTTTCTCAATTTCGTGTCAGCGAGAATCCATTAGGCCAAAAGATTCAAATTTAGCACTCAGACTCTACAATACTTACCAGACTTGCCAGATTTCGGGCCGGGCCGGTAAAGTGCCGGCCCGGGCCGGGCCGGGTCGGTGAAGTGCCGGCCCGGTTCAAAAGGCGGGAATTCAAATTTTCGCGGAAATTTTTTTTTCGTTATTACAAAAAAAAATTTCGAAATTTCGAATTTCGAAGTCTTAGTGTTTCTTCTTTGTTTTTTTGCTATTATGAATTTTTATGAGAAACACATTTGTTTTTCAATGTTCGATGCTTGCAAAAAACCCCTAATTCTACAAAAAATGGCTTCATGCGATCAATAATTCAAATTTTGAATTCCCGCTTTTTTAACCGGGCCGGAGTTTTGGAAATTTCGGCCCGGCCCGGCCCGGCCCGTGGCAACTATGATACTTACGGTGATAAATGAATGGCGTCGACGAAGGAAATGTTCTCAGCGGCACTGCTGTTCTCCAAATGGATCGTGGCTCGGCTCATTCTTCGCGACGGCACGTTGTTGCCCATTTGCTCGCTGAACGAACGCCGTCTGAAACGCGTTTTTTCGCAACAATCACGTCATTCGATACCATTTTTGCATAGCCAAAAAAGAAAGCAGAATGGGGGTCGAGTTGACTTCCGAACAAACGGAAACCGGGCGCGCGGGGCGGGAAGGGAAGCGGGCGGGCCCCGAGGAAGTTATGCAAAAAGCGAGAGAAATCTTCGCTTTTCTTCAGCACAACGACGAGTTGACAAGAAATCAAACATATTTTGGGGGGGATACTCACGGTGAGGAGGTGCTGGAGAAATCGGCGGAGAGGCGCGGCTGATTCGGCGACGGCGGCGGAAGAGCGACCGACGGACGGGGCGTCGTACACGTGTGCTTCGCCTGAAACACAAATTGTTTCCTTCGTTTCGAGTAGCCGAACGGACGCGGCGGATCAGATTTGCATGGGTGCGCACGAGTAATCAAGTTGAAAGGGGTGTCACGTGCGTTTGCACAGACACACCTCTCTGGTTAACAAGGTTGTGCGGCGGAAAAGAAAATGCGAAAGGACAGCACTATGTGTGTGTGGAAGCCCGAAGGAATCAGAACGAGTATGGCGAGGAGGTGCCCGCTTGCGGAGCACATGCCCATAGCGGTTTATTGTGCCGAGTGAGAGCATCTCTCTCTTTCTCTCTCTCTTTTCATTTGAAGAAGAAGATTTGTTTCGGGTATGATGTGTCTTCTCAGCATCATCTATGAATGTGTTGGCGCCGTCCGTCCGTCAAAGTGGAATGTCGACATTCATATCCGAATACTTTTGTCCGGGCGCGCTCCGCCGCTCCCCGAGACGTAATGGGCTCGTCGTGATGGAGAGGAGCATTTCGGTGGGGGGGAAGAGGAAGAAAAAAACAAGACGGGCGGGGGGCCTCTGACACCAAAACCGCCTCTAATTCTTGCCGCTTCAAAGCCACTTCCTCTGTGTGCGGCTGCCGCCCCACAAAATGTTTCGAATCAAGCAGTGTCAAAGCACAAAACGTGACAAACGGGAAAAGAGTGAGGAGCACTGTTTGGGTTCAACTATGAGCTCATAGGGGCTAACGAGATTAGCATTAGACGTGTTTGTTCCGGATCTGTGGACACCGCCTCAATCGTATTAATATCATATCAACCTGGAAACGGGCGGTGACGTCGACAGCAGTAACCGGACATGCTTCCCTGATGAACTTTCAGGATGCGTCTTTAACGCCACTACCGTAGGAAAGCGTTTAGCCCAACTCGGGCAATTTCTAACAAAAAGTTGCATTTGTACTGTGCAAAGGACGTCAAAGTTTGCGAGCACTTTCTGCAACTTTTGCGCAAACCTTACACAACTTTTATGCAACTTCAGAAGAGAAGTTTCGTAGGATAGCGGACTTTAACCCGAGATTGCCGAGAAATGTCTTAGGATTCGCTAGACCATCCGCTGAGGATCAGGCCTCAATTCGTATACAAATCCACTAGTAATACAGTATACATTTCCGAAAATAGTCAACCGGAAACGGATGAATGGGGGGAACAAGGTGACGCCGTCGCGACGACGGAGCACAAGATGATAAATGAAGCGAAGCGGAATTCGGAAACGACTTTCTCTCTCTCTCTCTCTCTTTCTTTTTTCGAATAAGTGCTCGAGTAGGGGAAGGAGGTGTAAGGCAAGAAGAAGAAGAAGAAGAAGAAGAAGAAAAAGAAGACGTCTATGCAATTTCGATGACAAGTTGTGGACCCACTTTCGGGGGAAAGAGAGAGAGAGGGGGCTCTGATTTCTTCGCAAAATCTCCAAATTTGGCATGAAATCCGATATGGCAATGCCATTAGGCAGTGGAGGTGTGGGAGTGTGCGACAAACTTCGGTGACGTGGCCCTCAACTACCGTACCTTGTTGAACATTCCGGCGTCGAGACTGCGACGCGTCCGCACATCCACGTTCGTCACACTCGACTGATCGTTGCCCATTCCTCACGAAGTGGTGCGCTCCTGCAAGACGCGTTTGTTGTTTTTCATTGATGAACGGACACAAGAAGACCCGGAAAAGCGAGAAGAAATGCGATAAAAGTAATACGAAGACGAGGAGATTACCGAGTGAGCAGCACCCAATCATCTCTTAAAGGAGGAAGAGGTAGGCGCGGAAGGCTTTCGGGGGATTCAAGTGGCAAGCGGGAGGAGCAGGTCATGCGACGAGTGTTTTTCTGTGAGTGCCCCCCATAAGTGGAGTCGATTTCAACGCGTTTCCTTTTGTGTGTCTCTCTTGAAATAGGTGAAAAAGGCCATGTGACAAGTCGCGCAGATTTTCTAAGAATCTATCTAGTACTATCTAGTGTCAAAGTTCTGGCTGGAACTTGCTAGGTTTCAAACTAGGTACTGTTCAAAACGATGTATCTCAGCTGCCAGTGGAGATATCAAAAAGTTGTCAACTGATCAAATACTCATTGAAACATTGTGTACACTTTCCTAGTTGACGACTTTTTGATATCTCTAACGACAGCTCCAATACACGGTATTGGAGTGCGCCGAAATTTCTTGTTTTTTCTCTCAATGTCCCCCGGCCGTTGCCTGGTCTTCTAGTGTCGTACAGTCAGAATGCGGCTGCAATGCCATTTGGCACTCGGCCAAACGACGGCTTCAATTTTCAAATCAAGACGAAATTGAGCGCCACTTGGCAGAAGAATCAACACCATCCAATTGGCGCCTCTCTTTTATTTTATGAGCCAACGGGGCAGCACACAACACAGCGACGAAAGAGTGACAAATAGGGTGTCTCTCCGTCCTCGTTCCGGAAATCACACATCTGGAAGTAATGAGGAATGGACACCTTTTTTGGGGGGCAAAAAAAATGGAAGATGAAGGGAACAGAACGAGGAGGAATGGGAAAAGGATGGACACAATTTACGACTTGGTCGTCAGGGGATACCAGGCCGAAAATAATTGAAGAGTCTCTAACTCTTTCTCTAATTAAAGGCGTAACAGACTAATTGGCGGCAAGCATTTGTCTAGGCGCGAAAAAATCAACAAAACTCTCACTTTTTGTGCTTGGAGTGTAGTTATGGACCTATTCAGGGGATGAAAAAATGATTGTTTTCCGTTTTTTTCCCTATTCAGCGATGTCAAAAAATGGAAAAAAACGGAAAGAAATGCATCGCTCGCAGCGTTTTTTTCCGGCGGGTCTCGCAGCGATTTCCCGGGCGCGAAGCATGCGGCTACTGTAAGTGGCGTTTAATGAGTGGATTTACGAGAAGCGGAGGAGTTTTTTTTCTAATTTTTCAGCGAAATTGCCACGTTTCACCGCTTTTTTCAACCGATTTTCAACGGAATTTCAGTTCTTATTTATCTGTTATGGTAACTGATGCGAAATTGCCAAGTTTACCGCTTTTTCCGACCGATATCGCTTGAATGTTATCGTTTTTAGGCCGTGATTGTAACTCGTTCGAATCTGCCACGTTTTACCGCTGTTTCCGACTGAGTTCGCTTGAAATAAGTTCTTATAGGGTAAACATGGACGACGATGAAGTGCACTCGAATCCCGAGAAGGTTCCCCCTCCGACGCTTTTTGAACGAGAGAGCGCGGAAAGAAGAAGTGGAAGAAAATCAAAGGCGAAGAAAAGCGACTCGTACGAATCGGTAAGAATTATTTGGAAAGGTTGTGGTTGAATTGCTTTTATGCAGTACTCTCCAGCGGACATCATCGCGTTCATCAAAATGATTGAAGCTTACCCTGTTATCTGGGACTCTGGCGAAGAGAACTATCATCGGAAAGAAGTGAAGCTCCGAATTTTCGATCAACTCGAGCAATCGTGCTCCCGTTTTATGCCGCGAGGCCGACAACATGGTGACGATCTACGAAAAATCAATAAAGTAGAACGTTTATTTTGTAGGTGCTTGCGCTATGGAAAGATGGAAGGAGTTGAATGCGGATTACACAAAACACGTGCTTAAAATTCAGAAAGCACCGTCTGGTTCCGGCACTACTTCTTCTACTTTCCCGTACGCGACACACATGGCCTTTTTGGACGTCGCACGGAGCAAAAGAAGTGTTCAGAAGTTGGAATTGTTTCATAAATTCTCTAAAATTAATGGTTTTACAGTTCCTTCGTTGTTGGAACGGATGACGTCCAAATTATCGGAACACCGAAGAGAAAAATGGAGGATTTGTCGATTTCGACTTCAAAAAGAAAGAAGACAGGTAGAGCCCGTGATTTTAGACGGTTTTCTACATTTCACCGTTTCAGGAATGATTGACATAATGCTGGCGGAAATGAAAGCGACAAATGAGCAGATCGCGAGTATTCTCATTGCGGACAGTTCTACGGATAACGGCAACGGTCCCTCGTGCAAATCATCAAGGATTTGTAAAGTGTTCGACCAACACGTGCGCGAGTTGAGCGAGATCGAACGATACGAATCGGAAGCAGCCGTGGTGTCTTTCATTGGTACTCTCTCGAGACGCCACAGACCACGAGCAGATCTCGGACTGAACAGCTTGTCGGACTCGTTTTACGACTCTCCCGCCTCCTTTCCGTCGAGCTCATCGTTCCCTAATAATTACTGATTGTTGTCGCTTCCATTTTTTCACCTGTTCATCTGTTTGTTATAATTTACCCTCCATTCGAAACCTCGTTTATTGTTCAATAGTCTTCAGATATTTCTTAAGGGCGGTACGCTGGTCTTCCGCAGTTTTGTACGGATCGATAAGAATGGGTGTTTCATAATCAAACTGAACAGCCTCACGTTTCGGTACGGTGAGGTTATGAATCACACTAAGAGATAAAATAAGACCTTGAGAAGACGTAGGGCAGAGATTGAGAGCGCGACGGAAGACGCGGAACTTTGTAGTTAGAATTCCAAAAAGATTCTCAATCTTGACGCGCGTTCCGCAAATCTTATCATTGAAGTCCATGTTCTCCGTAGTACGATTGTGGTCTCTATATGGCTGCATCACGTGCTTGGACAAGCCGAATCCGTTGTCAGCGAGAATAAACGGCGGCATGACGATGGAGGAGCCGGGAAGAGTTCTGAGGCCCCCGGCATACGCAGCTCTTTCCAAGAGCTCGCCCAGGGGACCCTCGCGAAAGAGTTGAGCGTCAGAGTTGCCACCGCATTCGGATATCTGGACGTACAGGATTCGGCAGTCGGCCGAGCAGACGAACAGCGAATTAAAGGAACAGTAGGCCTTATAGTTGAAGCTTAGGCTGCCACTGTTCGGAGGGTGCTCAGTTTCCCAGTGTTTTCCATCCAAGACCCCGTAACACGGTACGCAGCGAAGATCTCCATTGCGGTCGAGTTTGTCGAAAAATCCTGACTGCAAATCGAGCACGTCGGCGCGCGATTGCGGGAATCGGATGAATTTTCCGGCAAATCTGTTGATGTCGTCAATAGTCTCGCATAAAATTCGCGAAATGGTGGGCTGCGAGACTCCACAGTTCTTTGATAGCACAGATTGTGTGAGGCCTTAAATAGTCCGGTTTCCTCTAACAAGCTACTAATTATATACCTTCTCTAGCGTATTGGAGAAATATAGTGAGTCTGATTACACTAGTAATCACCGCGTCACGCGGGCGACACATTCCCATAATTTCATCGAAAACGTCTCTCTCGACGCCACATCGGAACTAAATATCGTGATGTTTATGACTTATGAGCACTACCTCACCGAAGTCTCGCCAATTTCGTAAAGTCGCATACTTTGGCTTCGGTAAAACTCGAAACTATCTCGTTTTATAATTCCTACAACATCGACATCATCCGATAAGATATGTTGCATGACCCGCATCGAAATCGTCAGCTTCTTTCTCAGTAGACACTGTAATTAATACACGCATATCTCGCATTACATTTATTATGCTGGATTTTTTATCTTTACCACTAAAATTTTCTTTTGTTTGGATAGTTTCGAGTGCCTCGTCATATCGTTCAAAACGTTGAGCTTTTGGTGAAAATCGGTTCAAAATAGCGGGGAAGCGTGCCAATTTTGCTGAAATTCGCTGAAGAAAGCTGTAATTTCGCTGAAAAATCAGTAAAATTTTCGAAAATCCTCCGCTTCTCGTAAATCCACTCATTAAACGCCACTTACAGTAGCCGCATGCTTCGCGCCCGGGAAATCGCTGCGAGACCCGCCGGAAAAAAACGCTGCGAGCGATGCATTTCTTTCCGTTTTTTTCCATTTTTTGACATCGCTGAATAGGGAAAAAAACGGAAAACAATCATTTTTTCATCCCCTGAATAGGTCCATAAAGGTAAAGAAAAACACAAGTTTTTAGCTGAAATGGGATGAACGCACGAAAAAGTAGCGTTTCCACGAATAAATACGGGAGAAGCAGGAGGGTGGAAAGTGAAATGTGAACACTGAGAAAACAATAGAGTGAGTTGGTCTCTACGCCTTTCAGTTTTTGCGCACGGCCAATAACTAATTCGGAAGAGCATGCCTCTCAATTGAGAGGTCTTTTTCAGAAGACGTCATTTTGAAGGCGGAAGGACGGAAGGACAATTCTTATTTACAGATGTTCAATGAAAAGCAAGATTCGCTGCATGTGCATTATTTACAGGTACGCGCAAGGCGCAATTTAAATATTCTCATCGAGTTGTCCTCTAAAATAATTGAAAACGATGAGGCTTCATCCCGAGAAAATGTCCTGCAATCTGGTCATTTCTGACTTTACCTAGATTTTCTTTCGCTCTTTTGCAGGATATTTTCGAAAGACGTCAAGAAGAAAGACAGTTTCTATTTACAGATGTGAAGCGAAAAAACGAGATTAGCATCATATTACAAATAGGCAATCAATCGAACCAGAATGAGATAGAAACTGAGAACTTTGTGGAGCGGACGTAGTGCCACCACTTGGCCGGAATGAACAGAGCGTCGCCTTCGTTGACGACGGCGTCGAGCACGTGTGCACCGCCAAACTCGGGAAACTCCGAGAGATCCGGATTCTCGACGTCAACCTGCAGTTTTTATGAATTATTTTCAGCATTCCCATGCTTTCCGTAAATACCTGACTAGTATTTGATAGCATGCCCTCGATCGGATAAACAGTCGCCGACTCATCCGGTGACACTAATCGGAACAGTTTCGTTCCGTGCACTTGCACAAACATGTTTTTCCGCGGGTCTGTGTGCAGCGGCGAGATGGTCCCTGCCGGACCGATCCACATGTTCATGTCGACGTCTTGCACGTTCGTCGACTCTCCGAAGCAGATATCCGGGCACACGATGTCCGCATTCAGATGGGGAACTTGATCCAGAAGGCGGTGTTGAGCTAGATAGAGTTGTTCGTTCTGAAAGTCACAATCTCTTTTTCCTTGCGTTTTTTTTTTGTCATTTCGAACCTCTGAATTGGCGACGAACTCGGCGAAAGTCATCATTCTTTGCGACCAATCCTCGTCCGAATAGTTCTTGCCGACCTCCACTGGGAAAGTTCGGGTGTGTAGTTGACTGTACAAGTAGCGCAAATTCCATTTTCCAACGGCAGGCATGTCCGAAGCGAACCGACGGACGAGCAGCGGCTTGTTCTCGACAACCGCCTCCACGAGCCGCACAAATGTCGATTCGTCGTTCTCGCACTCTTCAATTGGCGACGAGTTCTGATTGGGACTCAGCTTTTGCTCTTTTTCAATTGATTTGAAGTAGCGCTCGGGCAAGTGATTGATGGGCAGGTCGGGTTTCGGAAGGCGCTCGTGAATGAGCGCGGCGAGAGCACGGAGCGGAACACGTCTCTCGTCGATGCGGCCCATGCACAGTCCCTTGTCAGCGATTATCACAGCTTTCTGAACTGATTCTATTACGACTCTGGAACGTTTTTGTGGGACCAGGGACAATCGCACTTGGCCGATATCTAATGGGCGAAAAACTCAAACCTTTAAACGATTCTCTTTGAGCAGCACAAATGCTTGCAGATAACTGATCAGAGCGTACAACTTGCGCCAGTTTTCGTCGACTTTACTGAAGTGTCCAGTGTTGAGTCTGGTGTCAGCGAGTCTCAACAAAAAATCGGATTGCTCCACGACCCGCTCGCGATTTTCAAACGACTGCACGTAATCGGCAACACAGCGACAAAGCTTCGCCAATCCTTTTCGAGCGAATTTTGACACGACAACGTCGTCGAGCAGGAGATGAAGACTGAGCACATTGCACTCAGTCACGTCCTGAAAACGGCATTTTCAACTTCGCCACCAACAATGGAATGTTTATCAATCAATGGAATTTGAATCACAGAACTGTATATGCCTTTAAAATAATTTTTAAAACTGATTGACCGTGAGCCTCTCCAGATATGCTTGGACTTTCGGAAGAATTGCAGGCGCCCGGACGTCGTATTCTTCGTAGTTTTGCGCGTTTTTCTTCGATCTGAAGCAGAGAACAATGATAGAAAACAGTACAGAACGACATACTGATGCTTCAAAAACACGTCAATCGTGACGGGAGTTCCCCAGATGATGGTCTGATGCGGAATGAAAGTGCCGTCCTCGATCCACACCTTCGACACGACCGTGAATCCGAGCGAAACGTACGCCTGAATGGCGGAGACCTGTGCGTACGCGTAAATCGACGACTCGGGCGCCTCAGTCTGCGCGTGAATCTGCGCTTCTCGTATCATTTCGGAAGCGATGCCACGACGGCGATGTTCCTAAAATTTGTTGCGCTATTGATTGATAATCACTTGTTTTGTTTTATTCACTTTCAGCACCGCTACTCGTTCCATTTTCAACAAATCCGGCTCAATGTTTCGCAAACGAAGACACCCGACGGCCACTCCACCTGAAAAAAAGAATAGTTTCCTTTGGCGACGTCAAAATGAAAACCTTGAAAAGCGACGAAATAGAGCGAATCCTTCTCCTCGTTCTCGTCCCATTCCATCTCTTCCGGACAGTTTTGCTCTTCGATGAACACTTTTCGGCGAATGCTCGAGACGTCGTCGCGACATTCCTCATACTTCAACCGTCTGTACTCCATTCTTAAATCACAATCGAATGCCAAAAGGTTCAGAGATCAATTCAGAAGGACTGTCGCTGGAAACACGAAACCATTTGTTTTTCCGCAAAGTTTGGGAAGCATGAAAATTCATAAATTCAGGAATATTCTCAACAAACGGTCAATACTATTTACGAAGACACAAATTTAATAATCACAAAACGAAACAGAAAGGAGAAAATGCGCTAAAACTCTACGGGTGGGGGTTGGCTTTCATTATGAAAGAAGGGAAACGTGAATTCAGAATTCATTCAGGCAGTTCGTTGATAGTTCACTTGTTCCGGCTGCAGGACGAACGAATTGGTGGCGGCGGGTCGGGCTTTTTGCGGCTTTGCACACTTCTGGAATTTTCATATGTAGTATCTCATCGGGATTCGGTTTTCTCACCTTCTTCTCCTCGCCTTCGTTTTCCTTCTTCGCCTCCTTCTCCCTCTGCTCCCGCTCCTCCTTCTCCCTAATCAATCTCGAACGTTCCGTGACTCGATCGTTCTTCCTCAGCAGCGCTTTTTCGGTCGCCGATCTCACCTCCCGTCCGCTGCTCTCAATCTCGCGCGCGGCTTTGTGAACCTGTCGCAAAAAGTAGGGACCGCCCTTGTTGACCATCCAATTGTACACGTAGCGCGGGATGTTGGCCTCTGGATTGTCCGAGTACGTCAGTATGTAGTCGACTCCGTGCGATTCCCAGTCGGTGTGCGCGCGAATCGACATTCGAGATGTGTAGGAGCGGACGCGCACGTTCGCGTCGGACGTCGACGGGAACACCTCGGGCTGCACAGATTCGCTGTCGACCACCGCGAACTTCTCGTCTTCGGACACCCACGTACGTCGCACGTACACGTACTCTCTCGGATACAACGGGTACGGGAACTTGGAGACCCATCTGATCAGCTCGTTCTCGTCCTCTTCCCGCACCACTTCGATCGTCTGAATGTTCTCGTCCCACTCCCGGCGATACTTCAAATCGTTCTGTGCATCGAGAAACGTGCGCGGACTAATGTCGTAGTAGGTGCCGACGCATTTGTACTCGTACATTTCGTACGGACCGTCGATGCGCCTTCTGAACGCGAGCATGTCCTTCTCCTCGTAGAGCAGTTCCCATCCGTGTCCGGGCGATTTGCAGTGCGCGAACTCGTCCTCGCAGTTTTCGCATTCGGCGATGCGCTCGTCGGTGATTCCGTGCTCGCGGAACGAGAAACCGACCGTCGAAGCGGCGATCGAGAACGTCGTGAAGCGTCGGTCATTTCGATAAAGGGTGTACGAGTAGTGCACGCTGAAAAGTCTTCAAATCAATACGTCTGAAAGCGATAAAACTTACGCTCTTGATTTGAACCGCGACCATTGCTGTCGAAAATTTCGGAAAAGCGAGACCTGAAGCGCATGTTTTCTATCGAAAACTTCTTGAAATTCTCACTTGTTTGAAGACAAAACCGCTCCAATTTCTGTTGAACATTTCTCTGATCAGCGCGTTCGTCTCAAGACCATTCGAGTAGAAGTCTAGGAAGGAATGATTGAAAAGCTCTTCCAAATGAACTGATCTGCTCTTTTTTCTGTTCTTGTCAGTGTTTCACGCAAAGTATTTGTTAAAGGTGAAAACCTTTATGGGCACTTACAGATAAGCAACGCGCAAAAATAACTCTTTTTTTTCTCGTTGAGACAAATTTCTGGGTTTTTTACAAGAAAATGTAGTTTTTTAAATTGGACAAAAACAAAAGTTGATTAGAACTGGGGTTAGATGAAAAAAACCGTGGAATTATGTTAAGATGAGAATGAGTAGTCCGACTAATTGTGGAAGAACTCCGTTGGTGCCGCAGACGCCGAAGCGACCGACGGTAGTGGCACGAATCCATCTCCGTCGATTGGAGGGCACACGATCAGCAGGTGATCGGCGATGGGCACCAGTTTCTCGCGCATCGCCAGCATCGCTCCAGTGTTCGCGTTCGCTCCGGCGTGCACAATGAAAAAGTACTTGCCGAGCGAGTGCACAGCAATTTGATGCGTCTCGTACAGCGCAAATGTCGTTTTGTGTCCGCCTGTAATTGTTTTAGCTGGTTTCTGACCATATATATTTCTATTTTTACCCAGATGAAGCTTGTGGATTTGCGGAATAGTCGTCAGGTGGCTGACGATCAGCTGCTGTCTGAATCGAGAGTTGTCCAGTGTGGACGGAAGACCTGGAGAATGTATTTTATTAACTTATATGAAAAAGTGCTCAAAAAAAGGCTTACCGACGTTCAAAATAAGTGCTCCGTCGTGATCAGTGATGATTATGGCACAAACTCCCTCGTAGGCGAGCATCAGCTCTTCCAGCTCTTGTTGAACGTTCATATCTTTGCTGAAACATTCCAGTGTTACAAATTGTTATGTAGAAAAACAGATTTTCACACTTTAAAAGAATAATGAGCACACACGTTAAAGATAAGGGATCAAAAATCTGAAACCGTTTCGGTGGCCGAAGTCGTGTGATGGCAGAGAAGAAATGGAAGAGAAATTGGTATAACCGCGCCGCACTCTTGCGTTTTCACGGGCGTTTGACTCCGCCCACCGCAACAGGAAAAGTTCCATTTTTCCAATTTTCAGCTTTGTTCCAGAACTTTTTTGAAATGTTTTGACACCGAAAAATAAAATAATTGTTCTTTTGTCAAATGCGTTTTAATTTTTGCTAATTTGTCTTTGAGAAGTATGTAAAAATTGCCTGCAAACATTCGTGGTTTTTCAATCGATTTATGGGTTCCTTTTTCAAGAATTGAGTCTTCAATGTTTCATTTTCAGGTATGTCCGGAGCCGCCAAGAGGGTAGCTACGTCTTCCGTCAACTGGTCCAAGCTCGGTAAGGTTTTATTCGCAAATGACGACGTAAGAAATGTTTCAGCTGAGCGCTTGGTCCCGGAGCACGCTGCCGAGCTCACCCGCGTCAAGGGAGTCAGTGGAACTTTCCAATCCACCGTCAGCCAGCTCCCGGCCGATCTCCCAAAGGTCGACTTTGCCGCTCTGAAGAAGGCTCTCCCGGCTCACTCTGCCATTCTCGACTCGCTCCAGAAGCAGTACGAGGCTGTCAAGATCCCATATGGAGAGGTTCCATCCGATTACTTGAAGGAGGTTGACCAATGGGTTGATTACAACAACGCCCGCATCAAGCTTCACGACATCAAGGTCGCTGACGGACTCCAGGAGGCCAAGAAGGTATGATATTGGAATATTGAACGAGTCAGTTCATTTTTGTTTTTCTTTCAGGTTGAGGAGAAGTGGGCCAAGGCTCCACCAGTTGAACACTTCGACCGTCAACACTTTGTCGAGTACTTCCCAGCTCACTTCTACGATCTTCGCTATCAGAACAGAATTCCGGATCCATGCAACATCGGACTCAACGAGACTCCGGAGATTGAGAACAGATTCAAGGACTACAAGGTAAGAATGAGTGTTCGCAGCTGATTCATCGTTTTATCAACTTCAGGTTCTCCGACGTGCCGACAAGGTCGACGACCATTAAACGACTCCACCAGAAGCACTATGAAGCAAGCAACGTTAACTAGACCCCACTCCTTTTTCTCTTCGTCACTCTTCAAATCCCTTTTCGTTTATACATCGCCCCTCGGATATGTTTTGTAGTCTTTTAATTTTATGTTTTCATCGAGACTTCGGTGTTCTGCCTCGAAGCTTGTGTAGACCGTAAACTCCCCCAGATTTTGTTCCTCATAAGAGTGGTGGCAAGATAAAGAACTTTTCGATGTTTTTTCCCTCCAAACTCTTTCTTTCCGTCTTCTTGTTCATCGCATGTGCGCGGATACAATCTGTTGGCATCATTGATTACCTTCGATGATCGGATTGGAGATATCAAAACAAGTTTTCTTTCATTTCGTTTCCCATGTATGAAGCGCCCAGTGAGGAATAACATGCATTTAGTTTTCCTATTATTGTTCGATTCTGTTTCCCTTCAAAGATCGAAAATTATGCCAGTCTCGGTATCGGTCGAGAAAAGTGCAGCCGCCATTTGAAACGACCGAGAGAGCTTTCGGAACAGAGAGACTCCAGACGCGTTGTCTCTTATCTTGATTCGATAAATATGCAACAAACAGCCATCCTCCCGGAGGCTGCAAACTTGTTATTTGTCACAAAAAAAATCGCTTTTTTTCTTGTTCATCAGTTCAGTTTTCAGGCCCTTCGATGAGGCACCCCACGGAGGCACGGCGGCGGCAGCGGCAGAATTCAGAAGCGTCAAACGGTTCGATGGCTTCGAGCCGTCGCTCGTCGTTTGCGCAGAACGGAAACTCTTCCAGAAAGAATTCAGAGCCGAAGGGGTGAGTCCTCCTTCTTTTTCCACTCGAAACCACGTCTTCAGACCTTGTGAACGGGTCGTCCACACTCCACAGGACTCGCTTTTCTCGACGAGCTCCGGATGGACAAACTTTCGCGGATTCTTCAATTTGTCCATTTTATTATTGGTCTCGCATTGTTCTTTTCTGAAAAATTTCCTAAAAACGGACAAGTTTCAGGTGCTCTCCAACGGTCGTGTGGCTCTGGAGAATTTGATCAAGTACGGAATACTGATAACTCCGCTCCAATGGGTTTCCACGTTCGCCGCCGATTATTCGATATGGAGTTGGCCGAATCTCGCGCTCATTCTCGGCTCCAACATTCAGATTCTGATCGTTTTGGCCGTGGAGAAGATTCTCGGTAAATACTTGTTTTTCGGTATTGTTATGTAGTTTTTGTGATCAAAATTGATGAAAACACCGAATGTCAAAGTCGATCGCTTCAACAAGCGACCAAACACGGGAATAGGAGTACTTTGAGTGCTCACACAACACAATTCGATCGTTTTCAGCTAATTTCGATAGGGATTTTTCCATTTTGAGCTCAAAATAAGTTCGCAAGGCCACCAAAGCTTATTTGACTTGAAAAAGTGAAAATTTTTCCGAAACAGCTCAATGCAATGTGATGTAAAAACGCAGTGACATTTCGGCATATTTGTGTACCAAAAATGCAAACGCGCCCCCTCGGAAAGTCGGTGCACGGACAGATGTATACCCTCCGATTCAGTCACGTGTTTTGGCAGTCAAACAACAAAAACACCGTCGCGCCTCTCTTTCTCTCTCGTTTCCTTTAATTTCCCTTGTTCTCACTTCAGAACGCGGATGGCTGGGCAACGTCTTCGCCGCCATCTTCTACATTGTTCTCGTGCTCACGCACCTGACCCTTCCAGTTGTCGTCACGCTCCGAACGACGGTATTTGAAATTGAATTAACAATGAAAGGCCCAAAAAACAAACTATTCCAGTCGAAAAACCCGCTATGGTCGGTGGCGATGATGGCGATTTACGTGATCGAATCGCTCAAATTCATCTCGTACGGACACGTCAACTACTGGGCACGAGACGCGCGACGCAAAATCGCCGGGCTCAAGAGTCAGGTCGCCGAGCTCGCGAAGAAAACGTGCGATCCGAAGCACTTTTGGGATCTGAAGGACGAGCTGTCGATGCACCAGATGGCGACGGCCTACCCGTCCAACCTGACCGTCGCCAATATCTACTACTTCATGGCGGCGCCCACGCTCTGCTACGAGTTCAAGTTCCCGCGCGCGCCGAGGATTCGCAAGCACTTTTTAATCAAGAGAATTGTTGAGGTATCAGGGATGGGGGAAAAAGTGTTAGTTCCTTACTTGTTTTCAGCTGATCTTCCTCTCGTTCCTGATCGCCGCCCTCGTGCAACAATGGGTGGTGCCGACAGTCCGTAACAGTCTTCGGCCACTCAGCGAAATGGAGTTCTCCAGATGCCTCGAACGTCTTCTCAAACTGGCGATCCCGAACCACCTCATCTGGCTGCTCTTCTTCTACACCTTCTTCCACTCGTTCCTCAATCTCGTCGCCGAACTGCTCCGCTTCGCCGACCGCGAGTTCTACCGCGATTTCTGGAACGCGGAGACCATCTCCTACTTCTGGAAGTCGTGGAACATTCCCGTGCACCGCTTCGCCGTCCGTCACATTTACTCTCCGATGATGAGGGGCAACTTTTCGCGGATGAGCGCCTTCGTCGTCGTCTTCTTCGTGTCGGCGTTCTTCCACGAGTACCTGGTGTCGGTGCCGTTGAAAATGTTCCGATTGTGGTCGTACTACGGAATGATGGGCCAGATTCCGCTCTCGATCGTCACCGACCGAATCGTGAAAGGCGGCCGTACAGGTGAGTGAGGGCGGCCGAAGTTTTGCAAAGCAAACATATTCTACCGTAACTGTTTTTCAGGAAACATCATCGTGTGGATGTCGTTGATCGTCGGCCAACCGCTCGCCATTCTCATGTACGGCCACGACTGGTACATTCTGAACTACGGAGGAGCCGTCGTCGGAAACCACACCATTTAGACTTCTCTTCTCATAGATTCTATTTATTATTGCATGTTGCTCTCTTTCATTTTTCTCAATTTGCTCAATTTGCTCTTCATGTTCTATTACAGGTCCCCCCTCCCATTGTTTGCCACTTTCTAGAGTGCCATCCCATCCCAAATCTTCCGCTAGCGGATACGGTAATTCAATGACAAATAAACACTATTTCCGATTAGGCACTTAGACACCCATTTAACTGTTTTTTCTCGAGAAATTGTACTGTCTTTGAAGTATCTCACTCGTTCTCCAATTAATTGTGCAATTCTGTCGATCAGATGTCCATCTTGGTCTACGATCGTGAGCACAACTTCAAAAAATGGTTCGTCTATTGGATACCCGCAACGAGGACGCTCGGTAAGTACGCCCACGTACCAAAACGAGTGGAACGGGGTGTTTGAGGTGTGAAAGACGGCAAAGACGTCGTCTACGAGAAGACGGTCACTCTGGCCGAGCGCACCGAACTGCTCAAAGTGAGCAAATCGCTGCTCGAGGAGAAGTGGAGGTATGGAACTCTTTTCCCGAGCTTCGAGTAAAAATCAACGTTTTCTTCAAAACTCATATGAGTTTAGCGAAAAAGTTATCAATAAATGTGTCGGTAAACTTATCGAGAGTTTATTGATAAATTTGTCGATGAAAATTAGGTGCATTCATCGATAATCAATTGATAACATTTGCAGTTCACTCTTCTCGGAAAGTGGTCTTCACATAGAGGAAGTGTGCGAGAAAGAGCTCGTTCTCTCGTTCGCCCTCCAGCGAAACATCACTCTCGAACGTACCGAACTTTCCGGAAAGTTCGACGAATGCCTCTATTTGGAGTATTTGGTAAGTGCGCTTCGTTGGCAATCGACCGCTTCGTTTTGAGCGTCTCAAAACGCTCACGAACTGCTCGCCGACGAAGCGGAAGCGGACTGCCTCGGCCGTCGATCATCCGGTCAGTTCGGAAGATGTGAAGCCGTCGATCGTTCCGAAGAGTGCTCCGATCAAGAAGAGAACGACGAGGATCACGGCGAAGGCCGCCGAGCCAGAGTTCGTGGATCTTGAATGATCCCAACCCGTTTCTTCATGTGTATGATTCATGTAACCTTCATGTAAATGCCACCTAATCTCACTAACCCCCAGAATGCGATTCTCAGTTTATTGCGAAAAACTATCAAAGCAATAAAGTTTAACCTCCAGTCTACTATCATGTTCGCAAAACAGAAACAATACGGACAGGGGGAAGGAAATAAAAAGATATCTACTTTGGTGGTGGGCATACAAATATATATATATTGCCCCTGTTGGAAAATCTGGGGCGAATGCGCTCTATCGTCATCCGTTATTAGACTTTTCGGCACGAGCGAGTGCGATAGAGCGAATATGCCACACATTTTCGGTATACATTTTCGACAGCCGATTTGAGAAAGAAACAGAGTAATCGTGTGTTTTGATTGATTTCGAAGGGAGCACAACTCGGATCCGGGCACGAGAGATGCCAGCACCTGAACCGCTCCAGACGAGTGGCGGAGGCGGAGGAGAAGAGGTAAAGAAAGATAGAATGGGGGTGGGGAAAGGGGGAGGCGCAAAAATAATTTACGAGAAAAAAGAGGAAGTCACCAGAAACAATGGGGAACACACACACAAAGATAAGTCGCGTAGACGAGAAGAAATGGACCCAACAAAGATGTAGTTTTTAAATTAAAATAATCATAAAACAATAAAAGGGCAGCTGCACACCTTTTCGAGAGATAGAGAGGGTGAGAGACAGAGAGAGAGAGAGAGAAGAGATTGCACAGAGAAAAGAAGGAGAAGAGAAGGACGTCTTCAGAAAACGATGATCAGTTCAGAATCCTGATGGCCGCTTCGCTCGTGTGCTGGTTCGGCGACTTGTGATCCAGGCCAATGTACACTTGAGGCACTGAAATTGATCAATTTGCGATGAAATATTGTGTGATAGTACTGTACCTCCGGTGGTGTGGTTGGCCATATCCGCCAGGTTCACCTTGTCGGTATTGTTGAATTCTATGTAACGGCACACCTAGAAGAGTTGATCACATTTAAACAGGTTCTTCATTCTCCCCAACTACAGTACCTTGTCTCTGCTGAGCAATGCAAACTTGTACTTGGCAAATTCGGCGTCCGTCACGTCGGGCAACTTCTTGCGCAACCGCTCGCGCACCTCCGTCATCAGCTCGCCGTTTCGTATTTTGACGACGAACGAGACGCCGAACAGCTTGCTCGGCTCGCGATCGAAGTGGACGACGGGACACAGAAACTCGCCGGGCTTTATTTCGAGCTCGTCAATCGGTATCTCTTCGAGACGGCATTGAAGGTGTTGCTGGAAATGCGGATCATGATTTGGGCGGCACCGTTTGACGCGTTCACAAACATTTACCGTCTTGTACAGAACTCTCTGCTCGACGTCCGAGATCAGCGTGCAGTCGCTGTAGACCTGGTAGACTCGCTGGTTGTTCAGCGGAGAGCTTCCGATTTGAAGAAGTCTGGAAAAAAAATGTTTGAAGAGCATTTCCTGGCTTTGCTCACCTGAACTTGTGAGATCCATTCTCCGAAGGCGTAAAAGTGTGCGAAGCCTCTTTGAACAACTCGGTAATGTAGCCGTCTTTCAGCGGGAACAAGGTGATCTCTTCGATTTGTCCGGACGGCGCCTGATAAAAGAGCTTGCACGTGGCACGGCAACGCGCTATCTCTTCCACGTCAAAGTGCATGATGACGTACGAGGCACGGTACTTTTTGTAGACTCTTGGATCGTGATTCGGTCTCGTCGTCAGACATCGGCACGTCATCTGTTTGTAGTCGTCGAAGCACCATTCGAAGCGAGTGCCCGTCTGTCTCGTGTAGAGAAGCACTCTCTTCGGATCCACGTTCAGCTGCCGTCCGATCTCCTCGCACACGGTGAACAGCTTGTCGTCGAGGCAGAATCGCTTGAAGAAAACGTCGTGCGGCTTGTCGTCGGGCTGTTTGTTGTAGAACGTCTGCACGAATTCAATGTTCACGTCGAGGAACAGCTCCGTCATCTTCTGCTTCGCCGACTTGCCGAGCGACAACTCGGCCTTCTCCACAATCACAATACTTCCGTCCTGATCGTCGACCATCTTGCCGATTGGCATCTTGATCGTCTCGTCGTACGGCTCGACGTAGTTCGGCGCGTGCTCCACGTAGTACTTCAGCTCGGTGTTCTTCGCCAGTCCGATCATCTCGTTGATCTTCTCCTGATAGAACGGGAACTTGCGCTGTCCCTGCAGCATTATGTGTCCGACCATGCACAGTTTGTCGGTCATGTGATTATAGTATTTGATAAAGAACAGAATCTCGTCTGCAACTTTTCATAGATCTATTTAGAACTTCAAATAGCGACACTCACTCTGAATGTCGTACTTCTGGCGTGGAGTCGACGAATCGTTCGAGTACTCGACGTAGAGCGTCTCAAAGTCGCTGTTGAGAAGAGAGTCTAGACGCTGGTCCTTCTTGCATGGGATAAACTGAAAAAAGTGTAATTTTAATTAAAGCCAACCGTCCCATCAATCCACTCACCTCCATCGGTCTCAGTTTGCTCGACAGCTTCTGGTTGAGTCTGTCCAGTCTGTCCAACCCGTAGCCGTCGGTCATGCGCCACAAACGGAATTTGAACGTGTCCGGATTGATGGCACGAATCGAGTTCTTGCGCGCCTGCAGCGTCTCCTCGTCAGAATCGAACATGTCGATCGGCGGCACGTCACTTTTTTGGAACAGTCTGTCCTGCACGAACTGATACAGTTCCGCCGTGTACATGTGCTTCCAGGCGGTCTCGTGCGGCAGACAATCGTGTATGGTGCTGTTGTCGATGAGATCGAACGAGTGATGGTTGCCGATGACGTCGGGCGTGACGAGCGCGATCGTCATGCACAGCTGCTCCTCCTCCAGTTTCTTCTTCTCTCGATTGCGGTGCAGACGCTCCAGCTCGAACGTTCTCGACACCGACTGCGGAATCTGAGTGTTCGGAATCGGCGCGAGCACCTGGTCAATGGCATTGTCGCGCACGTAGACGAGCATGTACGCGGACGAGTTGATCGCCTTCTCTCCTCCAAAGTTCGAAGCGATCGCGTCGTCGGTGGTCGTCCGCGAGACGACGTCATCATCGAACTTGCACCATTTCGACGGCACCGTCGAGTCGACAGTCGACTCGTACAGATTAACGTTGATGTAGGTGACGTAGTGTCCTCCGTGGAATTCTCCGCTGTGCACAAGCACCGCGTGGAGACTGTACACACAATCCTCTTCGGCGAGCATATCGCTCAGCTCGCAACACTTGGCCAGGTTCATCTTCTCCGGAAACGAGAACTTCTCGTTGATCTTCTGCTCGACACCGCAGTACTGGAACCGCATCAGCTGTACATGAAGAATGGGAGGAAGCTCGACGAATTTCACTCCCTTCTCCGCCCTCTGCAATCCGTAGTCGCCGGCGTCATACTTGTTGTCGTCGTCGAGCACTTCGACGGCTGTGTACGCTTCGAACGCCCGCTCGAGACTCTCCATTCCGAGCACGTTGAGCTGCACGTCGTAGAAGGACTCTGTGCGCGAGCTCTCGTAGTTCACGTCTGTACATTTTATGAACGACTTCATGTTGCCCCGGAACAGATTCGGAATAGACTTCTCCTCCGACGTGTTCTTCATCTTCGTCTCCAGATTGTCGAGCAGAACACGGCAGAACTCCTGGACGTCGTGCTGGTTGAAGGCGTCCAGTTTGTCCCATCCGAACGCCCTCGTCAGACTGTTCGTCTCCACTGCATCGTTCGACATCTGAAAGTTTCGAATAAAGTCATTCAAAAAAGACAATTTTCCTTACAACCTGTAGCTCGTAGAAGACTCTCTGCATGGCAAGTACGATGTTGCTCTCCGATGGTTCCGTGCCCACTTCCATGTTGTAGACGGCGCGTCGGAAGCCGGTGGTGAAGTAGAACGCTTGCAATATCGAGTTCATGTAGCACGTGGCACCCTGATTGCGCAGTCCAATGCATCCTGTGTGTCGTTTACTGTCCCACCTGGAAAAAGTTTGAAATTTATAATATTTATTAAGAAAAACGTACATGTAGTTGGCTCCAGACGGCACGTCGGCTGTGAAATGGCAACGAAGCCGAATCGTGTCGTTGACGACGTATCCCTCCTTCTTGTTGACCAGCGTATCGTACGTGTCATAGTTGGAAAAGCCCCAATCGACTTCTGAGTTGTGGAACGAATGATGAATTTTCTTCTGCATGGAAGGCCCGTCTGCGTTGAGCACTTCCAGCGTGGCGGACCCGTAACAGCGCCATATTCCGCGCTTCTGTAGGATGTCATCGTTGTTACACTGCAGGAAGAAGCCAAAGTTGTAATTGGGGCGATTTCTGGAACCCATCGGTTGTCGGTTACCCTGTTGCACTCTGGAAACGCGGTAAAGACACTTTTTAGATGGACTGCGTGTCTTCGTTCACGACGAACTTACCTGCAAATGGCGAGAATACGCCACGGTATTCCGCGCACAATGCACGGCTTCGAAACGATCCGGTTGTCGGTGCGTGACATGAATTTGGAGAAAAAATCAATGTCAAGAGCCAAATGACCTTCCGGTCCGTACGGATCGAGCGCTTCATTGAAGGCGGGTAGGTCGTGCAACGCAACTTGCGTCGTTTCTTCTGGATCCGGTGAGCACTGCATTTTTCTTTGTGATAGCCAACCGTTTCGCGTCTCTGCTTCTTCTCTTGTTTATCCTTACCGCACTACACAAGTTAGCGATAAAACAACCAGAGTGATTCCTATAGGCAATCAACCCAGCGTGTGTCTCTGCAAAATATCGATTTTTGAGAGAAAGGATTCCCCTGCTGCTTTTTGAGGCGATAGTGGACGAGAAAAAAAAATGGAAAAGTGAAAAAGCACACAATTGCGTTATCAGATGAATGCAGAAAACAAGCAGAACTGTTGGAAAGAGTGACGTTTTGGAGAGGGCGTTGCGGGAAGAAGAGAGCGGAAAACAAACGCAAGAGGGCGAGCCGCGCGGAATCGAATTATTGATCAATTCGAATTTGTTATTTAGAGTCTACTAGGAAATGGCAAAAAGACAACAGTGTTGCAAAATTTCACAGAATTTTGAGGAATTTTAGAAGGTTTTTCAGTTTCACATGAGAAAACGAGATTTTTTGGCACAACAGCACAAAAATTGTGTTTTAAAATAAATTCGAGCTAAAAATGGAAAACGAGATTGATGAAGATCAAAAATCGATCGAAAAAACGGAAGATGTAGAGTTTCGCAAGTGTGTGTTCGCATGCAATTTGAAAAAAATAACAATCCAAGATGACCCCATGCAGCGTGCGGCGGTTGTGCGTTTCGGCGCGCCGCACATTGCAAAATTGACTCCGCCCACTGCTTGTGCAATTCCAAGCAATCCTGCTGAATTTTGCATTTTTCTCTGCAACTTTCAGCTGTTTCATGTGTAAAACTCACTCTGGAACGCTGTTCTTGTATCAAAGTCCATAATAATAGCAAATTATTGTGCCCCAAATTCTAATAAATAAAGGTTTTAGGTGAGAAAGTATGAATAGCATCCAAACCCAATATTTGTCAATGTTTCGCCATGTTTTGCAAACTCAGGTTCTTTATTATCGCAAGTCTGTCTGTTTCTATTCATCACATCCCTCCCGTCTTGTCGTATTTGACCACAGCTTCCACGTCACAATGAAAATCAATAGGATTCTATTTAAATCCAACTTGTAGGGGTAAAACAACGAATCGACAATGTCGAACTGGAACGTGAACGCATCCTCGTTCGTTCCCAATGCGAACGCTCGAGCTTTCGTCCCCGGACAGCCGTACGTGCCGGAAACCGCCGCCCCAGAGCCTACTGAAGGTTGAAACATGAAAATTCGTTTCAAAAACGATAGTTTTTCAGATTGGGAAGCCGAAGCCGATCCGTCGCCAGTGCCACCACCACAAGAAACTGCAGCTGCTCCCGATGCGGCTCCAGTAGAAGAAGTGGCGAAAGAAGTTGCCGCTACTTCACAGAAAAAAGAGGTCAGTCCTCCGAATTTTGACACAAGAAGGCTGGGAAATCGTATGAGGGTGTGATATCACCCTTTCAAAACCGCTGCAATAACCAAAACGGTCTTCCGTCTCCCCTTTTCTTCTACTTTTTTCGTAAAATTAGGCTGTCTGCGTCCGCGCTCGTTTCGCTCTCATCGAAAAGTTTGATCGGTCAGTGACCGACGAAGAAGCGCGAGTATTTGCCCCTCATTCGCTCCACCTCAAAGGTGTCGTCGCGCTCGCTGAATGCTACTCCCAAAACATTCCGAATATTACCAACTGGGCATTCCAAAGGCATTTTCTTTTATTCGAAGCTTGTTCTCACAAATCCATGAATTTCAGCCGTCGCCAGAAGACGACGTCATCGCACCGCTCGCCAAGAAGTTCCAGAGAACAGTATACGTGGACGATGGAACTCACAAAGAGCACGTCAACATGGTATTCGTCGGACACGTCGATGCCGGCAAGTCCACGATCGGAGGACAACTAATGTACCTGACGGGAATGGTCGACAAGCGAACGCTCGAGAAATACGAGCGAGAGGCGAAGGAGAAGGGACGCGAGAGTTGGTACCTTTCGTGGTGTATGGACACGAACGACGAGGAGCGAGACAAGGGAAAGACGGTCGAGGTGGGACGCGCGTATTTCGAGACCGAAAAACGTCACTTCACCATCCTCGACGCTCCTGGCCACAAGTCCTTCGTGCCCAACATGATCGCAGGAGCCACACAAGCCGATTTGGCCGTTCTGGTCATCTCTGCCCGGCGTGGAGAGTTCGAGACTGGATTCGATCGCGGAGGTCAGACGCGTGAGCACTCGATGCTCGTCAAGACTGCCGGAGTCAAGCATCTCGTGATTCTCGTCAACAAAATGGACGATCCGACCGTCAAATGGGAGGAGGAGCGATTCAAGGAGATCGAGGGCAAGCTGACGCCGTACCTCCGCAAACTTGGATTCAACCCGAAGACCGACATGACCTACATCCCGTGCTCCGGACTCACCGGCTCTTTCCTCAAAGAACGGCCTTCCGCCACCGACGGCAGCTGGTACACTGGCCCGTGCTTCATCGAATTCATCGACGTCCTTCTTCCGTCCTACAAGCGCGACTTTAACGGACCCGTCAGATGCATCGTCGTCGAGAAGTACTCCGAAATGGGAACAGTCATCATTGGAAAGATGGAGTCCGGATGTGTGCAGAAGGGCGACACGCTCGTCGTCATGCCCAACAAACAGCCCGTTCAAGTGCTCCAGATTTGGGCCGATGACGTGGAAACCGAACGCGTCGTGGCCGGCGACAACATCAAGTTCAAGCTGAAGGGAATCGAAGAAAGCGAGCTGCAGGGCGGATTCATCATCTGCTCGCCAGACTCCCTCGCGAAGACTGGCCGCGTCTTTGACGCCGAAGTTCTCGTCCTCGAGCACAAATCGATCATCGCCTCCGGGTACTCGTGCGTTCTCCACATTCAATCCGCCGTCGAGGAGGTTTCTGTTAGAGTGAGTAAATTGCCTTTTTTCGAAGCTTAAATTTAAGTGTTTCTCTTTTTCTCCAGGGTGTCATTGCCACAATTGACAAGAAGACTGGCGAGAAGAAGCGCGCCAAGTTTGTGAAGCAAGACGAAAAGTGCATTATGCGATTAGAGAGCGCCGAGCCGTTCGTGCTCGAGCCGTTCAAGGAGTATCCGTACCTAGGAAGATTCACTCTCCGAGACGAAGGAAAGACGATTGCCATAGGAAAAGTGCTCAAAGTGATCGAGTAAATCGAGTCCTCTTCTTTCTTTCTTTAAATTCTCCGTTTGATTCCAGCCGGTTCTCCGCTTTCTCTTTTCTTTCTCTTCTATTTCCTGTTTCATCTCACATTTATATCCTGTTTGAAATGTGTGACATCACCCTCCTTTTTTGCAGTCAACCTTTCCTCTTTACAACAAATGAACTACCCCCATCCCGCGTATTTCGCCTATTCTGTTTTCTTGTTTTGACTATTTATTTCTTATTCGATTGATTTGATTCATCCGATTTTCCGACATGAATCTGGGGTTAAGACGCTTGTTGAAGAGGTGTACAAATGGAGGCACCAACCTGAAATCATATCTTTCCGGCCCAGAATTTAAGAAAGCTCTGAATACGGCTGCAGAAATGTCGACGCTGAGAGGTCGGGTCGTCGATTTGTACAAAAGCTTGTACCACATGGGAAAAGAGTATCCGGGCGGCTCGAAATGGTTTCACGATCGGCTCAAATTGGCGTTCGCCAAGAATAAGGTACAAAACTTTATAGTTATCAGTAAATCGTGGCTGTGTTTCGCTAAAAATGACTTTATTCGTTTCGCAATTCAGGAAGTCCGAGAGCCGCAGCAAATCGAGCAGCTGATTGCTCGCGGCGAATTCGTCGTCAAAGAGATCGAGGCGCTCTATTCGCTGCGAAAGTACCGTGCGATGAAGCAGAGGTCAGTTCGGTGGAGCGCACTTTTCATTTCAACTTTTCAGATATTACGAGAAGGACGAGGAGGTGTCGGCGGCCACGCGGAAGTTCGAAGAAACCGTTCAGAAGCTGTAGTGCGGTAGAACGCACTGTTTTTGCAGAATACGAGTAGAATTTATTGCGAATAAAACATGTTTATGTTAATTACGAAATAGTGGGCAGATAATTGCGATTAAGGCCGTTCGCGTTGTTGTTGTTGTTGTTGTTGTTGTTCGACGGCTGAAGACTGAAGTTCTTCGACACCAAATTCGTCGAATTTCCGTTCAAAAGTGGCAGGTAGTTGGGACTCTGAATGGAAAATTATCGAATTTTAAGAGAGCAGCAGCATTAAGATCTCGAAAAAATCTTGTCAACACCATACTCTTTTCGAAGACGGTCCCGTCGGAGTGCTATCGTCGAGTCGTAATCGGAGAGTCCAGTTCTGAACATGAAAAATCGGTGAGAAATTGGTGAAAACCGGGGTAACCTGGAAGATGGCGTGCTGCATGAGCTCACTGCACGACCAACGACGATCCGGCGACATTTCGAAGCATTTCTGACAAAAAAAAAAATGAAATTTAGCGCATTTGCAGCATAATCTTACATATAAAAAATCGAGCTGTCCGCTGCTCGCATTCGGCAATTTCGAGGGAAGCGGCTCCAACTGCTCGGGCTCCGGAATCGACAGCCCGAAAAAGAATTGATTGGTGCGGAAGATGGAGACGTGGCGCGGCAGGAACTCGCCCAACGTCTTTCGGATGTGATACAACTGATCGATGTCGCTCCGGCCCGGCCACAACGCCTCGCCGGTCATCAGTTCCGCGTACACACACCCGACCGCCCAGATGTCGACGGGCGGTCCGTACTGGACGTCGCCGACGAGCAACTCGGGACTTCGGTACCATCGCGTCGCCACGTAGTCTGTGTACATTTCAGTCGTGTCTGCAATTCGGACAATGGGCATAGATGGGGGGCGAATCGGACGAACTTATGATTCTGGCGAACCCGAAATCGCCGAGTTTGACCTGATCGTTGCGCGTCAAAAAGATGTTCTCCGGCTTCACGTCTCGATGAATGCACTTGTGATTGTGGCAGAAGCGCAGCGCCTCCAGAAGCTGATACACAATCTTTTTGGTCAAATCGTCGCTAACGCCATTCGGATTCTTCTCGAGCTCATGGAGCACAGTCCTGTCGCAGAGTTCGAACACGAGGTGCAACTTTCGATTCCGTTTGAACACCTCGATCAGTCCCACCAGGTTCTGATGCTTCAGTTGCTGAAACGAACAAGTGGTCGTCAGAAAACAGAGAGAAACGGACAGACCTTGAGCATTCGGATCTCCCTCAACGCGATCTTCTTGATGTGCGGGTCGTCTTCGGTCTCCACAAACTTTTTGATGGCCACAATCTGTCCGTTCTCCTTGTTGCGACACTTGTAGACGACTCCATAGGAGCCCTCGCCCAATTTTGAAATGCGCTCGTACTTGTCCATCGCCTCCGAGCGACGTTTTGTCGAACTGAAATCAGACCGTCGCCCAACTCTAAAACACCTATATCTCGAGATCCAGTTGTTATTTCAAAACGTGATCAACAGAAAAGTTGTTGTAATTTTTGTGCTTTACAACTTTGTAGTTGATCATTTTATCCCAAAACCCGTCATTCTTGAGTTACGATGTTGTTTCTAAACAGTACCATTGCGGCTTAACAACTAACTTTTTAGTGAGAATAGGCAGAATGTAAAGAGAATGAGAGAGAGCTCACAATCAGATTGATACAATACTATTACAATTTCCGTCTAGCAATTGTTTACCAGACCATATTTTATAACTAGAATTATACGTATTTGTGCCTATGATTATGATTCATAGACTATGAAATTGAGAAAAAAAAATGAAACTTGGCCCAAAAGCGAGTTGCGAAACGTTTGTAGGATGGAAATGAATACAAATCGAGAATTGAGAATTGAGACAAAACGAGCGAGAGAGAGAGAGAGAGAGGCGGATATTTCCGCTGTCGCTGAGCACACATCGCCATGGGAACAAGCGTATGCAATGAGAAATGAGAGCCGACGGCCGGCGATAGCCACAAATTGAGACGCGGACGACGGCGCGTTTTTACGAATCACGGCGGCACGCGCACACAAGTTATTCACAAGCAAAGAAGGGTAGACTTTCAGGGAATTTGTTTTTGGTAGACTGATAGTTTCGGTTAGGAAGAGCCTGGACTTTCGACCGTGGAGTCTAAGGTTATCAGAACTTTCAGACCGATCGTATCCTCTTATCTGGATACCTATTCAAGCTTTTCGCTCCCAAACCTCTACATTTCCAAAGCAGCCAATCTAAGCGGTCTGAAGCTTGGGATCTTGGGCCTCAATTCTGAAAACCATCTCTAGAATATCAGGCACAACTCGAAGCTCTACACCCATTGCCTACGATAGCTGCTGTGGACATTGCGATACTTTGCACAGGGTCCGATATGCTCGAAAAACTCGCGAAGGCTGGAGACTTGCAAACGTGTTTTTATGCGGGAATGCGGGAATGGTTACATGAATTCTGATTTGGGTCACCGTGGGAATGGCTTTGATGTATGCAATCTGGACATTTCCGACTTTACCGCGACTGTGAGAGGTTGTCAGGTTGCTCCAAGTGTCTACATTACTTCTATGGCCTATGTTCGTCTAGTTTTTGTGGAGATGATTTCCGACAATCCAAGTCTAACCGTTTTTGAAAAATTCACAATATCTTTAGCTCGCGGTCCCTTTGAACTTTGCCCTCCATGCACATAAAAGCAAAAGAGAGAGTTTTGCTGCCGAGAGGTACCTTCAGGCTCTATGGAAACTGGCACGACCGCCCAACGGACCCTTTTGAGCGACACATTTCGCAACACGGAAGGATATTGTCTATTTACGGAACAAGGCCACGTCATTAATGGAACTAGGAGACCAACTATTATAAGTTTACAAAAGCCAAACATACTTTCTCAACGAGCAGAACAGATTGTTCTCCATCACCGTCAACGCTTCGATTTCGGCGAATACCATGTCGTCGCTGAAAAAAAAACGGAAAAAGCTAAAGGGAAATTAGGATAATATTCGGAAAAAAGAACGCATTTACTTTACGAAAGTCAGCGAGAAGACGTGTATGAGTCGAGAAGACGACACTTTACATAATTCATGTACACGAGAATACGTGAGACTTCCAACTGGAGACTCGCAAAGATAGCGATGAATGCAATCAGGAAATATGTGTTAGCACTCCAAACGACTTGACTACAAACGACTTGACAAGACAGAAGAATAAGAAAAACGAAAAATTTTGACCCAGGCAGGGGTCGAACCTGCAATCTTCTGATTAGAAGTCAGACGCCTTATCCATTAGGCCACAAGGCCCCGATTACGTAGGCCGCCCGAGTGCATATGTAAATTGCTACAGGCCGATCGCTCGGCCGGAAATGTGGCCTAGTGTGGGTGTGTTTACTTGAGTTGACTTGCTAAGCGGATGAGGATTAGGACTACCTGGTGATGAAAGAAAAAGATGGAAAAAAATTCCGTGAGGACGGACATCGGACAATAGACGGCAAATTCGGTATGAATGCGAGGGGGATTTGACGAAACGAGAGCACCACGTACCTTTTAGTTTTTTCCAGTTTCGGCACGCTCAATTTCTTCCTGTTCAGCGCGTTTGACGGCGATTTTGCGCCGTCAGAAGGCGTCAGCAGAGAGTTCTCCTTCGACGACGCCATTTCGGAAGTGTCGACGCGCAGCAACTCCAGTTTCGAGAGCGCTTCATCGGCCACCGGCTCCTGCAAGTGCACTTTTGGCGGAAAATTCGAAAATTTCAGAGAAATCTCTGACCATCGCGCTCTGCCGCACTTGAGATTTCGGTAGAGCGACATTGCCAGAAATGTGCGGGGGGTAAAACTATAATACCTTGCGCTTGTCCGCGTTTGTGTCCAGTTTGAATGCAGTCAGAAATGAGAGTGCCGTGCGTGCGGGTCCCTTTCTTCCTTTCGCCTCCTCTTCCGGAGCCATGGTTTCCAAGCGCCACTTTTGGAACATTGACTATTTACGGGCGCCGGGGAAGACGCAGAAGAAGCGGCAATTCTGAATTGAAGCAATCGCGCTCTGTCGCACAAGTTCTTGAATCTTGAAACATTTTGAGCTTTCATGGGCTTATTTAGGAGAAAAACTGTATTTTTACCATTTTTCTGCTTTTAATAGCAGTTTTGCGCAAAAAAAAACAGTTTTTCCCCGACCGCACGACGATCTAAAGCGTGTATGCCGCAAAAGCGCTCTATTGAAGCCGCGGAATTTAATTCAAATTTTACATCCGCTTAAGCACGCCGTGCGCGATCTAATGCGCAGAAATGAGGAAAAAAATGGGAAAAACGTGAGGAATATTAGGAAGTGTAACTGAAATCTCTTCAAGTGTTCGAATTTCCGGCCGCGCGAGCCGGAAGCAAATAAGAAAATAAGAAGCAAGCATCGCGAAGGAACGGGCGGTAAACAGGTCGAACCGGGACCCACTTCACCTGGAAAAACGGAAACGAGTGACGAGGGTCCCCCTATTCAACAAGAAGAAGAAGAAGAAGAAGACAAGATCTGCCTGGCACGCCGGGCCCGTCTCCTCCCATTATGCTCCGCTTTTGCTCTTTCCCCTTTCCTTTCTTTTTTCTTCTTTCTTCGAGGCCAATTCATTCACTTTGTATTCTTATATTATTTACACAAATTCGTTGGGGGACGAGGAGAGAGATAACAAACAAGACACGTAATAGGCGTAAGCAGATGGGGAGAGAGTGAGAGAGAAAGAGATCGCGAAGAAGCTTCGAACAGTTTTGTACATGGTACAAGAGGTCACAACGAGGAGATCATCGGTTAGAATTGCAGTTTCTTCATTTCCGCCAGCGCTTCCGAAGCGTTTCCGGCAATGTGAGCGGCGACGGCTTCCCTCCATTCGATCCGTGCCAGGGTTTGGTAGCGTAGTTGGCCGGCGCTTCTGCCGTACTCGCCGAGTGGCTCGACCATTTTATCGAACTGCAAGAGCGGAGAAAATGAGCTTTTCGAGACATTTGGCTCACCTGATCGCACTGCTCTCGCGTGTAAATCTGTCGATGGGCCAATAAGAGAAGAGCGTTCAACTTATTTCCTAGTTTTGTCCTTCTGAAAACGAGCAAAAATCAGACTTGTAGAATACGGATTCCTCTAGCCTGATACGGCCCGGCCCCGTGACAACAATGGCAAAAACGTAATGACTTCGATTGGGATTGAACTTGAACCAAAAGCAAAAGTCGAACCGCTTCGCCACTGCGCCACGCATTTCAGTTCTTGTCGCGGCACCCAGGGCGTACACTTACACTTCAGCCAGCAGACTTGGCCGCTTCACGAAGAAATCCATCATCAACGTTTTCCGGGTCAACTTTTTCGAGCACGCAACCGCTCGCGTGAAGAAGTTCTCTCGCGCCGGATTTTCGACCAAGTAGAGCCACATTCTGAAATAGTAATGTTATAGCGGTCAAGCTGAACGTTTTCAGGGCTCACTTGGCACTATTCTCACGAGAATCTGTGCCGCACATTCCATGAAATATGCGGTCCCTTTCCAGCAGATAGTGCTCTTTTGTGTATTTCTCGAGCAAAAAGTCAAAATCCTCTTGTGTTCCGTGCGCGATCGCCGCCGAGTAGACGTGTTGACGGAGGTACAGCGGGATTCTGGAACGGATATTCTCGGTTTTTCCACGGAAAAAAGGAAAAGAGTACGTGTTGCAGTCGATGCCGCTCAACAATTGATCGGTTCCCGAGCAGTTTCTGCGCAGCTGTCCGAACAACTCCATCGACATTTTGATGCACGGCTCGTAGCCGATGAGACACGCGCGGAACACCACAATCTCGCGGGTGTTACTGTAAATGTAGATGATGACGTGTCAGAAAGAGTAAACGACTTACTAGGAGTCGACGTCTCCGTCCAGGTCCACATCGAGACCCTCTTTGTGGAAGCGATCGAACGGAGCTCCCCAAATGTAACGGAGGTATTCCTGAAAAGACGACAATTCAAAATTCAAATTCGCCTGAAAGCGTGCGGTAGAGCGCACTTGCACAAACCTGATAGACGGGCCAGCGGTCGTCAACAAACATGCGTGGCAGGAAGTAGTCGAGGTAGGCGCTGAACGTCTGGAATGGGCGGTACGACGTCTGAAATGATATGATATCATTCGCGATCTTCTCGTCTACGCGAATTTGCGCTTTGGTTTCTTTTTCGATCGACCAAGAGACGTAGAGAAGAAGGAAACGAAAAGTGTCAGATGGTCTTCGTCTTCTTCTTCTTCCCCTTATCGTCGTCAATCGTCGTCAGTATGTTTTAAAAGGTGTACCTTGTTTGTTGTTTTTTGTTCTCTCTCTCTTTTCTAGGTGCGTACGTTTGCCTATAAAAGTTGGGGCCAAAGTTTTCTTTTTCAGTTATCGACATGAAAACCTTCCGCTCTCTTGCTCTCATCTCGCTCGTTCTTATATCCGTCAACGGCACCTCGGTGCTCGGACGGTATTTCAACGAAGAGGACGGCGTCCCGCTGGCCCGGACCGCACTCGAAGACGCCCGCGTTTCCGATGCGGACGTCGGAATGAAATCGGTAGGTCCGAACCGAAAATCAAACAAAAATTGCGTGTTGCAGGACTTGTTTATCGGAACTTTTGGCGGACGGCCAATTATTACTCGTCAGGAGAACACGTTTATCGACCAGGATGGGTAAGAGATGGATATCACTAACGCGCCTGTCCGTCATCCGATTTTTATTTTCCAGAGTGCCTGTACCAATGCTGCCGTACCACGAAAAGTATCACGGAAAGTTCCACAACGCCGCCGATCATCACACTTCTTACCAACGGTTTATGGAGAGATCACGCGGCGCGCCGCAGCCACTCTAACTAACTGTTGTTGTTGTTTCGGTGATTTTTGACAAGACACGATCTCTCATCTAATCGACTCTTTATATAAAGTCGCTCACCTCTTTCGTCATGTACATGGAGATGTTGAACGGCACTTTGTAGCTCATTTGTCCGTGCTCGGCCATCGCGAGCGTGTCGTCGAGCAGTCTGCTGCGCGAGTTTGTCGGAATCGCCGTGTGATCCGCGAGCAGCTTCATCGTGATCGCCGAGTACATCGAGTCGTCGTACCGCAACCGCATGTACGTCAACTGATGCGGATCGACGACCAACTGGCCGGCCATATCGAACACGACCGGCTGCGTGTCGGTCAGCCAGAACACTTTATGCTTTCCGGACACCGGCTCATCGTAGAAGATCGGCACTTTCCACACGTACTCGTGCTTGTCGAGTCGCGGGTGGTGAGGAACGTGCTGAAAGTGTAACCACGTCGATGACGCTTGGAGATCTGGCCTACTATGTATCGTTCCTGTCGCAGTGTCACAATGCTACCTTCTTTGCGATTCACGTGAACCACCGGAAAGTGTGCCTGACGGATCCACGTGTTCATGACATCCGACAGCGAAAAGTTCTGGCCGCTGAGATGACCGCCGGCCGAGGAATCGTGCACACTAGAGTTGAGATGAGATGAAATGAAGAAGAAGCGTTGAAACTTACTAGACAAGCACATTGAACAGATCCTCATGATCCGCATTCTTGTACATAAAAGTGCTCAAGAAGCGGTTGAGACCCTGCTGAAAGATGTCCTCCTGGACGAGCCGCTCGATCATTCGCATGATAATCGCCGCCTTCTTGTAGATGATCGTCTTCTGATTGGCGTGCAGCTCCAGATGCCGAAGCATGTCCACTTCTTTGCTCGGACTGACCGCCATACTGCGCTCCTCTTGATCGGCGCGCAGAGAGAAGCACATCAGCTCGGCGGTGTGATCTTCCTGGAAAAAAATTGCTGGCCTGGGTGAGGGGTACTGACGGAAACGTTACTTACATATCGCCACGTCGTATTCTCGAGATGATCGACAGCTTTGACGCCGATCATCGTGGCGAATCCCTCGTTGAGCCACATGTCGTTCCACCACTTCATCGTCACCAGATTGCCGAACCAATGATGCGCCACCTCGTGAGCGATAATCTCCTGAGCATGATGTTTCTGGGTGATCGGGAACAGCTTCTCCTGGTAGAGTCCCTCGGCTTGTCGGACTGTGATCATGCCTGAGAAAAAAAGAAGAAGCCGTCGATCACTTTCATTTTTCTCTCCAATGCCTTCTGTTCACTCACCCCAATTCTCCATTGCCGTAACACTCAAAGCCGGTAGAATTACGACGTCTGAAAGAAGAAGAGAAACGATAAACGGGTTCAAAGAAGGTCACATTCTTTTACGAGATTAGATAACTATAGTATGAGATGGGACACTAATGGATTGAATGGAGATGTGCGAGAAAGCTTCCTGTTGTTTTCCAACCATCGCCCCTTCATCTTTCATCCCTTCTTTTCCACCACCCATCTCTCCACATCTCCATCTTCCTCTTCGTCGTCCTCCTCGTCGTCTTCGTTGCATAAAAAAGATGAGGCGGAACGATAATATCACATCCGCACAGTGTCTCTTTTCGCCGCCATCTCTCTCTCTCGTCATACACTCCAAATGCCATGGTGAAGATCAAAATGCCCTTCTCGTTCTTCCTCTTGCTTTTCCTTTTTGTGCTCTCCACCGCGGCGGCGAGCAGTCCGCCGAACGTGACGCTGCTCACGTTGGGCGACTTGTGGAAGACGCGCGGACTCACGCGGACGCATCTGTTTCCGACGAAGACGTCGGCCGTCTATCCCGAGTTTGCGGCGATTCCGAGCAGCCAGGGCGACAGTCGGATCCACTTGACACGTGTCGCGTTGGACAGGGCGGTGGCCAATGTGGCCGAGATGAACGGCGTGCTCATTCACTCGATTTGCTCCTACAGGTGAGTCGCTAACTTTGTCTTGAAAGCTTATGGGGCTATTCAGCGTATGTTTGTTTACCGTTTTTTTACACCGCTGAATTGGGTTTTTTGACGTAAAAAAACGAAAAAAAACGGAAAAAAATCATTTTTTTTCACAGCCTGAATAACCCCATTAGGCCCTATCTCGGCGAACCTCTGTAGGTTTAGCGCAAAGCAAAATTTTAAAAATTCGCCGAGTATTTGAGCAAAGTTTGAAGCAAGTTGCCCGAAAAATGCGGTCATTTCAGTGCTGCGCCTTTGATTCTACCGTACACCGTTAATCGATGTTTCGCAACTCAACTTCTCGATAGCCACGTGAACTTTCACAAAGCAATTTTTATCGCAAAGTAGTTTACGTTAGTTGCGTCGGGTTGCGAAACATCGGCTAGACTGTCTTTCACTCAGAAATTCGTATTGCGCGACTCTAGGCGGCCTAAAATTGTTTCTTGCAGACACCTGAACGTCACCTTCTACACTCTGAACACCCAATTCGGAATCGGTCGAAGCGAGGTGCTCATCGACGCGAACATGACCGAAATGGAGCGCAAAATGTCGGAGATGACCGACCGGCGCATCAAAGTGAACTTTATTTGCGTCGGAGCCAACAACGACACTTATAGGTATTCAATTCGGGAGATCCCTCATGTTTTCGAGGCAAAATAGACGTGTATTATTGACTGGTCAACTTTGGGTGTCAACCCGAATCATCGTCAAAATAAACTGATCGTCGTGTCACGAGGCAGAGGGCGACGACGACGTTGACAAACTTCGTGTTTCAGCGCGGTGTGGCATCACTCGCCCGAGTTCGTGTGGCACTTCATCGTCGACTCGGGCCCCATTATGGAGATCATTGAGAAGGATCGCGTTCAGATGGCCCGCGGATACTACGCCGACTGCTTCCAGACGTATCGAAACGACAACGTGAGCCGAGCGATCATCATCTGGCGGAAAGGATTCGGCCGCAAGTACCGTATACAGTACGGAACCGAAGTGCAGGAGATGCTCATCGACATGGAGCGCAGCGAGTTGGCGCCGGTGCAGTTTGCGAGTCTTCCAAGGTGAGGTGAGCGACGAGAGAGCGTGGGGTCCTAGAGGAGACGCAGACATTTTACAGGCTCGACAGAAAACGCCAGATCCCCAGGTGGATTTTGTGGCATGGCGACGAGTTTACGTGGGGCAATCGGAGCATTCCGAGAGATTTGAGCCGTGTGGAGCACACGTGGGACGCGCTGAACGCCGTCATTGAGCATAGAGTGAGTAAAAGTTATGGCGTGTTCAAAAAGTACTCGAAAACCAATGATTATTTCAAAAGTCGTCAACTATGTATAATGGGGTTATTCAGGCTGTGAAAAAAATGATTTTTTTCCGTTTTTTTTGTTTTTTACGTCAAAAAACTCAATTCAGCGGTGTAAAAAACGAAAAAAACGGAAAACAAACATACGCTGAATAGCCCCATAAAGTTGTTGGAAATTTTGTCTTGTACAACTTTGTACTTGAACATTTTAATCGATTTGCAGATGCGAAGCTACGATATTCCGTCAATCTCGATTCACATTCTGCGGGATGACAAGGTGGAATACTCGGCGGCGTACGGACTCGCCGACATCCTTCAAAACATCCCGGCGACCACAAAACATCGCTATCGGATCGCCTCGGTGAGCAAGCTGATCACGGCGATGACGATCGGAGAACTGCTCGCCGAGCACGAGAACATTGACCTGCTGACGCCGGTGTTCGGAGAATCGGGCATCCTTTCCGACGTCTGCTCGCCATGTCATCCCTACCTCCTGCACGTCCGAATCATTCACCTTCTCGAGCACTCTTCGGGCGCGTGGCCTCACACGAGCAAATTCGAATTCGATTGGATGGAACAGAACCAGACGGAGTTTCTGATGCGAGTTGTACAGCAAGAGTTTCCGATTCTCTTTCCGGGCGGAAGGCACATGTACTCGAACATTGGCTACATTCTACTCGGCAGAATTATTGCCAAAGTGTCTGGGAAGAGCTACGAGGAGTATGCGAATGAGAAGGTGCTCAGGCCGTTGGGCGTGAACGCGACGATTGGCAGAGAAGGCGATCCGAATTTAGAGGTAGTTAGTTACTTACATTCATCTAATGCTTTTTTGGAACCTAAGAAGTTTAGGCCACCTACTACTCGCACGACAATGCGAACGCCTACACATCATGGAGCACTCTTCGCCTCAACTCGGCCGCCGGCTGGGCGATGACGGCGGAAGACGTCACAAAAGTGTTTCGTCATTTGGAGAGTCACAAACTCCGACGCTTCCGCTGGATCATAACGCCGTCGGCGGTGCGCTGGAACTACGGACGGGGCGTGCAGCTGGGCAACGACGGAAGCCTCTACCACGTCGGATCGCTGGCCGGCACCGAGGCAATCGGGTACACGTGGCAAAACGTACAAGTGGCCATACTGACAAACATTCGGGGAAAAGAGCAGAACGAGCAGACGGGATGGATGGAGAAGCTGTGCAGGAGCGTCGCGGACGGACGGTTCATCAGATGACGTGTATTTAGAGTTGTGTGTATGTAGTTAAAGTGTAAATAAAATATTTGCGGATAGACGCACCGAGCTTTTGCAAAGGGAACGGAATGCCAAAGTAGTTCTCGTAGAAGTCAATGATCGGGGCGATGGATTGAATGATCGACCTGGAGGCGTTCAGTTTGGCTGGATCGCAATAGACACGGGACTGAAATGAAAATGAAGACAAGACGACTGATTATGACTCACTCGAACACCATTGGCCGAGTATTCTTCCAAATACGGAAAATCCGAGACTGAGAACGCGAACAGATACGTCGACATTATGGGAGACCGGTTGAAAGTTGTAGTGGTCCAACCTCTATAACATTCTTTTAGTCACACACAACTATTCATCCGTACCCATCAGCAATCGTTGTGTTCTCCAGCATATTGGAGACGGCGGTGGTGCCGAGCGGATGAATGAGGACTGTGTCGAACTGAGCCTTGACCTCTGGAATGTCGATGCACGGGAAGACGGTCCGAGCCTCGCTGGTCTGCAACTGCGTCGCCACAATGTACCTGTTGCAAAATCAAGATCAGTTTTCGTTCTCATCACTTATTCATAAAAACTAGGGCAACTTGGAGGGTGGAATTTGGCGAATTTCTGAGTAGAACCTCACCTCGGCTCTTTTCCGTTTCCGTACGGAACTGCGAACAGGCCCTGCTGCTTCTGAAGTGACACGTGTCCCTTGAACGCGACGTCGAGCGTGTAGTTCATTCCGTGAATCATGTCGGCGGCGAGATGCAGATCGAGCACCTGGGTGAATCCGCGACCTACCTGAAACGACGGTCAGATGACGTGCGTGATCGAGAGCAAATCACTCACGTGCTTCACAAATATCTCTCGGTCGAACTCGTCGCGCACCACACACTCGCCAATGTGCTGTTCGGAGTCGGAGTGGAGCAGGACGCGCGAGCCGCCGCCCGAAATGAAATGCATGCGGACGTGGCCCTCGACCGCAAAGTTATCGGCGCCGAACGTGACGTTTCTGAAGAAAGAGGATGGATGTATGTGGAGAGAGGACAGAGCCGGAGACTTACGATTGCCAAGGAATGAATAGTTTCAGTTTTACTTCGTACAACAACGGGATATGAACAATTGGAATTTGGTGGCGATGAAGTTTATCATTGAGATACTGATACAGAGGATCTTCGGTGGTTGAGATCGAATCGAGTGTAGTGGTGGTTGGGGATACTGTAGACCGGTTCGATTCTTCCGACGGAGCTATTGTCGTCGTCGTCGTCGTCGTCATCGGGACAATCATGAGAAAGTAGATGAGGGCGAAGCTCATCGAGACGGCGACGACTCCGATGGCAAGCGGTCTCGCCGAGCAGCACGAGGCTTCTACTGTCGTCGTCGTCGTCGTCGTCGTCGCTTCTGCTGTCGCGGCCGCCGACGCGGCCACGGCGTCCGAATATGGACGCATGCGACCGGACTCAGACGTCCGCGCTCGATGACATTCTCCTTCTTCCAGTGCAAACGGCTCAATCACGAATTCTGCAAAAAAAGTATGTTTCGTGGCATTTGCATTTCATCATCGTGCTAATCGAGCAATGAGCAGAGCGCACACGATCAAAAGCGAAAAGAGCAGAGAGAGAGAGAGAGAGACATGGTGCATCAGAAGTGTCAGAAGCCTACCGTTCAAAAGCGGACACGCCGAATCGGGTGTTCCCGTCGGAAGAAGACAACACGAGTCGAGGCAGCAGTCGGGCACATTTCTAATGTCCAGCGATTGAAGCCCGTGAAACTTTTGGCGCATTCAGTGTCGTGTGTTATCAGAGGGACGGTGGTTGAGACAGTGTGTGTCAACGGGTGGCAAAACGGGGGTTGCCTATGCGTGTGTGGGGGGGCGGAGTGCCGTACGGAAAAAAACGATTGGCCTGATGCCAGGGCCACGCCCACTCCCCCGGCGTCTCCTGTTTTGAAACTGTCCTTGGAGGTTCAGGGCCGAAAAGTCAGAGATTCGAACGAGACAAGATAAATGATTGGCAGGCGGGTAGGTAGCGAATAATAAATTGAAGGTCTTTGCGAAAAGTTGGTGAGGCTCGGCGGCCACCCACGCGTGGCAGTCAACACTCGATATTAACTGTGACCAATCCCCTATTTCTTCGTTGTTCTCTTCACCGGCACGTACTGTCAATCTCTGTTTCTAGAAAGTGTCATCATCGCAAACAGAAAACATGATTGATCGGGTCCCGTTCGCTCGCCTCTCCGCGCCATACAAGTCTCGCGCGAACTTGCGATCTTCCAGTTTTTGGACAATTGGCACGCGGTAAAAGTTGGCGTGTCCTTTCGAATCGATGATTGGAAAGTGATAATAGAATGGTCTTCGATTATTGTGAATTTTTTCAATTGAAGCTGAGAAAAGAGTAGACGTTTGTGGTCATTTTAGTCATCTAATACCAAAGTACAAAGATTCCCCGATCAAAAGAACAAAACATTGGCCACAAACTAATAATAATCATCGTCATCGTCCTCATTGGTCATTGAATAGGGACGGACGGGTCAGAAGACGCCGCCGCCACCCGGAAGACTCGCTCCTGAGAAACTTGCGAATTTCTAATCGGTTCGTGAAAGACCACGTGAGTCAACGAGTTCCGGCGCTTGCCCTTTCCCACTTCTTATCATTTCATGCGTACTATTTCGAGACAGACGTCCCCTGTATGCGGGGATACTTTCAGAAAGTGTCAACAGACAACACACATCGGACACGTCACAACGCGACAATGCGCGTCGACGTCGAAGAGTGAAAAATGCGAATTGACAGATAGCGTATATGATGATAGTGTTGTGGGTTATAGAAGTGACCACGTGGCGGTGTCTTCTGGTGACCGGTACCGCAAAAAACGTTCACGTGCAATTCACACACACACACACAGCTCGGGGGTGAACCCCAGCGAACATTTTTTGTGGAATGGTCTGCGCTAACAAAATTTCCGAGCAAAAAATTGAAAAAATCTGATTTTCAACTATTCAAAATGTAAAAAGGAAACTTGAAAATCAGAAGGTTATAGTCTTATAGAGCACCAAATTTTCTAAAACTTTTTTGTTGACCACGTTAAGAATCAATCAATAGTTTTTTGAGATACAAGGCTGTGAAGATCGAAAAAATGCAAAAAAAAACATTGCAGGCTCGCGGAACCCAAACTGAAAACGGGAAACCGATTGGAATAATGGATGGATATATTTGGTGGTCTGCCTAAAATGAATTAGTTGCGGCTCTGGAGGACCTCTTCAATTTGTAAAAAGCCCGCTGGCTCACGAGATTAAGAGTCGTGAGAATTGAGAATAGTTTGGTAGTTTGGAGGGATTTGGACCTAAAGAATCTGAAAATTGAATGAACAAAACAACAATCTTGAGAGAAGACGAATGAGGAGGGGACTTTTTCTTCTTCTTCTTCTTCTTCTTCTTCTTCTTCTTCCACCACCGCCACCTCATTATCCGCATTCCTCGCAGTTTATTCATGAAAAATTAGCAATGTGCAGGAGGAGGAGGAGGAGCGACTGAGTCCGTTTTTGCATACAAATTGACGAGATGGGCACCCGAGAGGACAATTAACGGTCGGTTCCTCCGAAGCTCGCTGCTGCAACATGATGATGAGTCACGAATGTTTCTGCAAGAAAAAAACGAAATAAATGAATTAATTTCAATTCGAATTCCATCGCCAAATGAGTCAGGAGGCCGCATAGGCTTTGGAGATTATTGGGATCCCGTTTTAAGAGAGTCGCAGCTTCGAGTGCATTGGTCGAGTTGCTCCATAACTCGAAGAGCATAATTCGTAGAGAATAATTGTCAACTACAAAGTTGATCAGCATGAGATTTGCTACAACTTTTTCGTTGATCACTTCTTCCTGCAACGTTTTGTTCTTGAGATACAAGCTGTTGAAATGGGTAGTAGGTCGTATCACAAAAACGAGTGCACTTGCAAACAGGTTGTCAACTGGAAAACTATGCACAATGTCTTTATCGATAATTCATTAGTTGACAACGTATCTATATCTTTACTAGATTTCGAGATACAGCAAGATTTAGAACTATTGTTTTCATCAGCCTGTATCTCAAGAACTAAACGTTGCAGGAAGAAGTGGTCAACTGGAAAGTTGGAGTAAATCTCATGCTTATCAACTTTGTAGTTGACGATTATTCTCTACAAATTATGCTCTTCGAGTTATGGAGCAACTCGACCAATGCACTCAAACGCAGTTCCTACATGAACCGAACGGCAGCACGCGCGGCACCCCAAGCATTTTTCTGTGCTTCGAAACTTCTGATGCGTGCCGCCGGAGAAATACTGATTTATCTTCTCCGTTTTCTTCAGGATCGTGTTTATAACGATCAAAACTAACAAAGAGCAACAAAAAACTCCCAGAAATGTATATAGGTCACCGACAAAATAGCTTTTTTCGAAATAGAGCGATACATTGGCGCGAAATTCAAATTTTAACTGCAAAATTTGTGTTTTTTGCCAGATTAGCCACGAAAAAGCGATAACTTCTCATTTGTCTCTCGATAGACCGATTGTATAGGCTATTACGAATTTTTTAAGCGCAAGAGCGTCCGGAATTCATCAAAGGTTGGAGTATCTAGTGTGCAGAGAGTATTCCTAGGCCGTTCCCGGATTCTCACATCGTCCTTCAGTCGTTGATCCATATAAATCCATATCTCCATATCTGTCCATATCGATCCATATCTGTTGCCGTCTCGTTTTTTTTTTCATTTCTACCCATGGGGTCTTCGTTGCCCGACAAATGGGATTCGCATAAACTTTAGTTGTATTGTACTTTATTCAACACGATTTGGGTTGGCATCTTGCCAGTCCACAATATTCGGTGCGTTTCATAAGTATAGGGCCACCCCTAAAATTGAATATATCGTCTTTCCCAAACAAAATACCACTCCAAGACCTTGAAAATCGAAATCAGCATCACAAATAACCCCCGGAAAACAATTTTGAGAGCAGTGTATAGGATAGTTGGGGAATTGTGCTGAAATATCCGAAAATGTTGCAGCTGCAAGCGTTTCATAAGTATAGGGCCACCCCTGAAAACACTCTGGAAGCCTCTTAAACTGATAAACATGATCTTGAATGGGGTTCTTTGCACCTTTAGGATGTCCAAAAAGCCTTTTTGAAATCATGTGCAATGACCCCGGGGCCACTCTCCCAGGTTTAGCCTCATGTTCTGTGTGGAGCTCGGGAGTGGAGCCGGGGGACTCCGATGATCTCAAATGAGTCAAATCTTGTTTGAAACTAGTTTTTTGAGCATTTTCAAGTCAGATTCGTTCAAGCCTCTCGATTCGCTAACCCCTGATATCAGATTTTTGGCCAAAATGAAACCAGGCCCAACAAGGATCAGACTGGCTTGAACGTCAAACTCCAAGCTGGCATTGCCCACTTTTGGGACTTCATAAGGAAGGTTTGAAACATAGCATGTTTGAGTTTGGTGTCAATCGGATCAGTTTCAACCGGGTTATGAGCCCCGATTGTTGAAGTGAAGAAAATCAACTGAAATGTACAGAAAAATGTTGGTTTTCTTCACTTCAACAATCGGGGCTCATAACCCGGTTGAAACTGATCCAATTGACACCAAACTTAAACATGTCATGTTTCAAACCTTCCTTATGAAGTCCCAAAAGTGGGCAATGCCAGCCTGGAGCTTGACGCTCAAGCCAGTCTGATTCTTGTTGGGCCTGGTTTCATTTTGGCCAAAAATCTGATATCAGGTTCTAGCGAATCGAGAGGCTTGAACGAATCTGACTTGAAAATGCTCAAAAAAACTAGTTTCAAACAAGATTTGACTCATTTGAGATCATCGGAGTCCCCCGGCTCCACTCCCGAGCTCCACACAGAACATTAGGCTAAACCCGGGAGAGTGGCCCTAGGCACATGATTTCAAAAAGGCTTTTTGGACATCCTAAAGGTGCAAAGAACCCCATTCAAGATCATGTTTATCAGTTTAAGAGGCTTCCAGAGTGTTTTCAGGGGTGGCCCTATACTTATGAACCGCTTGCAGTTGCAACATTTTCGGATATTTCAGCACTATTCCCCAACTATCTTATACACTGCTCTCAAAATTGTTTCCCGGGGGTTATTTGTGATGCTGATTTCGATTTTCAAGGTCTTGGAGTGGTATTTTGTTTGGGAGAGACGATATACTCAATTTTAGGGGTGGCCCTATACTTATGAAACGCACCGTACATTGTGGACTGGCAAGATGCCAACCCAAATCGTGTTGAATAAAGTACAATACAAATAAAGTTTATGCGAATCCCATTTGTCGGGCAACGAAGACCCCATGGGTAGAAATGAAAAAAAAACGAGACGGGAACAAATAAAATGACTATTTCTGCCATTATTTATATACCCCTGTGGGCGTGGCCATTCGAATTAGTGGGCGTGGCCACTGCACCTGGCTTTTCCTTCTTCCT